GAAAGTTTCATTCGCCATTATTTGAGCACGAACTCTTCTTTAAAATACGTACCATTGATTTATAAATGAGGCTTTATTTATTTTAAATTGATTATGATTTGCTTATACTGTACTACACAGATTTATTTACTTATACCTTGATTTAACCATATACTACCACGAGATAATATACGTGAGACGAGAGTAATTATAATGCCTTGTATTTTGATGACTTGGAAAGCGAGGATCACTAAAGGAATTAAATATTTGATGAATACGGAATAAATGAATAAAATCAGTATGGGCATATAGGATTGTCTAAAAGCTTTGTTTATCTTTTAAGAGTGCGTCTGAATACAAGCCAAATAGATAATAGGTGTTATTACAGCAGAGTGTTGTATCGGCCTTCTATAACTTATTAGTATTGTTAACGGATGCTTGATTAGATCTGTCTAATTATTACCAGTGTCAGAATATTAGTTACCTTTGTTTTAAATGTTTACCAATAATCATCGCATAAACAGTCCTTACTATACTAACAACTTTATTCAAGCAAAAAAAAAAAAAAAAAAAGTAACTATAACCAAGAATGATTCCAGAACAATAGTACTTTTTGCATAAAACCAGACAACATAGCAAGCACCCATATATATATAAAAAAAAATGAAGATCATATAAAAAATTAGGCTTTATATTTGTATTTTTACCCGAAGCTTCACTGCCATTTCTTAATAGATGAAACGGAAGAGTGACACCATTTTTCGTAATTTAATTTGACTGAGAGACAGACCAAGCAACTATCAAAGTCTTCTTTTTTTTTTTTTAGAAAAACAGCATATCCTTTTACTATGGCGACCTGAAGCCAGACCGACAATGCAGATTCAATAAAGTAGTACGACCTACGTTGGAGTCAAACTTTGATATTTTATAAACCTTGGCAATAGACGAAGCATACAGTAACTTGAACCAGAGAGCAGTAACAGGTGGTACCTATTAAAGTTTTTTTTTTAAAAGTCAGAGAAAGGTAAAATACCCATTTTTTATATTTTTGTACCTTTTTTAAGGTTGAAGCCCCAGGGGCTCAATCAGATTCCTTGGGATGGCATAATCTAACAAAGAATGTCACGGCCATCTCTAATAGAGCTTCATCTGAAAGAGAGCATTCAAGTGCAAGAGAAGGTACATATTAGAGTTTGTTTAGAAACCATAGTAAAGATGGCGCTAATATTTTTTTTAACTCACGTAAACAAATAGTAATGGAGGAAAGTGGCCATTTTGTTGTTGCACATCTTATAGAACCAGTGGTAGCTTGTGTTAGAAGAAAACATGGTATGTTTAAATAAAGTAGAGGTATATGAGCCTCAAGACTATTACACGAACTTTTTACATGGGGCTGGTTTTTGACAGTTAACTTTGAATAGATGACCTCCTTTTGATAAACACATTATTAGTGACACACGGGATTTGTGAGGTTCTATTTTACAGTCTCCAACATCAAGAACAAACACACAGAGATTCAGCTTTTGCGATGTTACTGGAGGAAGAAAAGAGCTTTCACAATACCATAGGTGATACGAAGGAGCACGAACCCTATATATTGTGTGTTCACCTCTGGTCAATGTTTTTTCTTTTTTAACTATTTTAAATAAACATGAACACCAACAGCACCTTAAGGACCACTCAAAGCTCTCGCCGTCAAGCTCTAACTGATGAAGTTCCTGTCACTCGGGCTGAATTCGAACAGCAAGTTGCTCGTACCCAGGCCTTGGAAGCTCGTCTACAAGAAGAAGACGCGCAACCTATCCAATTGACTCGCCGTCAAGTTGCTGCCAAGAATAAACACTTGAACGTATGTATCTTTTTTACTTTTTCTTTGACTGGATTAACTAAAAGAATATAAAAATATATTAGGATATCTTGAAGAGTCTTATGGAGAATCCAATGTATCACTTCGACTTTACCTTGAATGGCCTCTACGACGGCAACAACAAACAGGTCTTTGATCTTTTGAAAGCGGCTGCTTGTAGATCCCAATATTGTATTGACAATATGTTGGACCAGCAAGGTAATTTCCTTCCAGGTAAGTATCGCTGGTTTAAACAGGTGTGTAGCAGCCGCTACACCACCTTGCGCAAGAAGTACTTGCGTGCCATGAAGACGGCGGGGGAAAAAGAAGCCTTAGCCTGTGCCCGTCGAGTTGAAAGCCGAAAGACCAGAGTCAGTATATTAATTTGAAAAAGCAAAGGAAACAATAGCTAACGTTTTTCCCCCCTTAGAAACTTGAGGACCAAAAGCCTTCTCGTCAGCTCTTGTAGCAAGATTTACTAAGAATATTTTATCTTTACGTCATTTAATAAAAAACAAAAGTCGCTTAATTTACAAGAGATAAAATACCATCTGCAAAAGGATCGATAAAGGCTTTTTTTTTTTTTTTTTTTTTGAATAATCATCGATCGAGAAAAAAAAAGGATGTATAATATATTTGTATAATAGTACTTTATCCCATTAAGATTAAGATCCGATGACCCCCTTCTTTTTTTTTTAAGAACGATAAAGGGTGATTTTCTTATAAATCGTCATTTTTCTGATTAAGTCTCCTTGAATAGTTTTATAAAGAGCCAAATGAAATTATAACGGCGTTTATTCTAATAAGTGGTATGCACTTAATAAATCTGGGCGGAACCCTTTCCTTTTTAGCTAAAATGATCAAATAAAACAAAACATTGAAAAAATCTCATATTGATGGATATACTAAATATGGCACAAGGATAAAAAAAAAAAAAATTGATGGGTAATGGTGGAAGGGGGATGCACTTGTTAGATGTAGTGATATTTTATTACTATTTAATAGTATTCTTAAATACAATAACTATTTTATTTGATGGTGTGTCATTTCTACCACGTAGGCGGTATGGGATCTCCATTGATTAAAATGGTTGGATGTTCTCTTTTCGATATCTGGCTGACAGTCATTATATGAAATCCAAGTGTGCATTGCATTTGATGTTTGCCACGTGTAGCTAATGTTTATGTATGCTCTTCTTTTTTTTTTTTTCTGTCTACCCGGGGAGACGAGCAGGGCAAGATGAAAAATCAGGTACCACTTTATAAAACAAGAAAATCAATGCGTTGATGGATTATTTTAATTGTACAATATTTGGTTGTCTTTTGCGGGTTGTTATGGTGATGTTTCTATTTTTTTCTCGTTGTTCGTTTCCAAGAATTAATTAAAAAAAAAAAAAGTTGTTGTCGGATAAAAGAGAATTCCCCACGCATAGTTTTTACCCCAGTTTCAAGAAATTGTTTGTAACACTCGAACAAACATTTTTTTTTTTTTTTGATTGCATTGGCAGCGGAGTTGATCGACCGGGGGAAAAAAGTATTATTTCTGCTTGCTGGGATGCCTGGCTTAATCTTTTTTTTTTTTTTGCTTTAAAAAAAAAAATGAACCTTTGTAAAACCGAGACACAAAGATTTCCATTTTTAAAACAATTAAAATAGACAAGCAATAAATTTCAAGGGGAAAAGAACGAAAATTAAAAAAAATATTTTCTTTATTGTTGGAAATAAAAAAGAAATTAAACATTTTTGTGTGTGTGTGTTGTTCATAACAATGAAACTCCGTGAAAGCAAAAAAAGAAAAAAAAAAAAGCTCAACCCCTAGTTTTATTTTTTTCTTTTTCTTTTTTTTTTTCTTCTTCACATATTTTTCTTTCTCGTAAGTTGAACCTTTGCGCGAAAAAAACAACAACAACAAAATAACTTAAAACTAAGTAACTAATTTCGTTAATTAGCAATGGCAGAAGTACAAGAAAAGGCACAACAATTGACAGAAAACGTTGTCGAAGGTCAAGTCCCTGAAGAAGGTATATACATATAAAAAAAAAGTGACATGAGCAAAGCAGACTGAAAAAAAAGTTTTCCGTCGTCATTCTAGTTGAAGAAACTTACCAGTTGACTATCAAGTTACCCGGAGACCTTGATGATATTAAAATCATTGTAAGTAAATAAAAAAAAAAAAGAGAGAGAGAGAGAGACAAGGGGTGGGATTGATTCATTGGATCACTGATGATACTATTCATTGTAGACCAGTCCTCGTGAAACTGTTCAGGATATTAAACAATCGATTATGGAATCCCCTGATACATGTGCCAACTCATGCTTTTATTTATCCTTGAACGGTAAGAGAGTCAACGACTATTTGGAATTGGGTGAAATTGAAGGAATTACACCTGAAAGTGAGCTTGTCATGGTTGAAGGTTTGTTAATACAAAAAAAAAAAAAAAAAAATGTTTAGCATGTGTCAAAAAAAAGAGAGCGTTATATTAAAAAAAAAAAATATGGGATGTGTTACCACCAACTAGATAAATACACTGAACGTGATGTCAGACTTCATGTGAGTCGTCTTCGTGATTTATTGGGTGGTCCTTACAAGCCCAACCCTTCCACCATTGGTATCGATCCTGCCATTTCCTTCTTGACAGCCATCACTGGTGAAATCGGTAAGTTTATATAAAAGAGAGAGAGAGAGAGGGGAAATGTACTTAAACATATCTACGTTAGACGAAGAAATCAACAACGATGCCGATAAAAAGATGGACGAGTTATTCTCTGATGAACCTATTCCCGAACACGCCTTTTCCAAGTTCAACATGGACGAGCGTGCCAAACTCTCCAACATTGTACCTGCCGATTTCAAGCGTGTCGCTCCCGAATGCATCAAGAGTTTGACTCTTTCTGGCTGGAACCCTGTCCCCCACAGACAAAGATTGAAGGGCGATCTTCTTTATTTGGCCGTTAGCACCTTGGAAGGAGAAATCATCCATATCACTGCTTCCACCAAGGGATTCTTTGTCAACAATTCATCCAATAACAAGTTTGATGCTTCCCCTAGTACCACGAAGCGTGCTTCTGCTCATTCTCTCATCACGCTCTTGCAAAAGATCTCTCCCTCTTTCCAAGCCAAGTTCATTGAATTGCAAGATTTCATCACACGCCATCATATGTTGGAAGTCCTTCCTGTCAACACTTACTATCCTAGTCATCCTTGGGCTGTTGAGAACCCTCAAGTTCTATTTGATCCTTCCAGACCCTGTGAGACTTACTTGAACTCTGGTTCTGACGCTGTCGAATCACTTCGTGACTGGAACGATGAACTTCAATCTCATCGCGAGTTACCCAAGACCATGTTACAAGAGCGTGTTTTACGTGAACGTTTGATCACCAAGGTACAAGCCGAGTTCACTGAGGCTGCTGTACGTGGTGCTATGGCTGTTGTCAATGGCTCTGTCATTCCTTTAAACCCTCTTGAGGCCGAAGAATCTCAAATGTTTGTCTATAACAATATCTTTTTCAGTAAAGGTAACGATGGTCGTGGTACTTTTGAGACATTGGGTGCTGACGAGGCTGCTCATGTGGCTACCGGTAAGGATTTGGAAGGTGTCAAGATCTTGAACAGTATTGATGCTGAGGGACTTTACACCTTGGCTAGTGTTGTAGTTGATTACAAGGGTATTCGTATCGTAGCTCAAAGTATCGTACCTGGTATCTTCCGTCGTCAAGATGAAAATTCCATTGTCTACGGTTCAGTTGATAATGGCGTTCAAATCTCTTCCGATCCTACTTTCCATGAAGCCATCGGTAATGATGTAGCTAAAGCACTTCATTTGGCTGAACATACCGTCATCGATGAAGCTGGATCTGAAGTCAAGCTTTTCACTTCTCAGGAAACCAAGGGTCTTTTGGGCGCTGATGGTCGTCGTTACATGTTGGATCTCTATCGTTTGAACCCTGTTGATATCGAATTTGTGGATTCTGAGTGTGTTGATAAGGATGATATGCCTGCCTATCCTCACAAGATGACCTTGTTGAGACCTGAATTAATGAGTTTGTTCTGGGAGCACAAGTTTAGACAATGGGTCAAGGCCAAGACCGATCAATTGAAGAAGGAAAGAGATGCTGCCAAGCCTACTGCTGTTGAAGGTACCCCAGTGAAGACTGAAGAGGCCAAGACCGAAGAGGCCAAGACTGAAGAGGCCAAGACTGACGAAGTAGCTGCTCCTGCTGCTGCTGAACAAGAGGAAGAGGAAGATTTCAAGATTGATGTGAATGAATTCAAGCTTACTTTCAACACTGATGTGTTCACCTCTGCTAGACAACCCAGCGGTGAAGAAACCACACAACAAGAACAAGTGATTCGTGAAGCCTCTAAGTTCTTGACAGAAGAGATCCTCCCCAGTCTCGTTTTTGATTTTGCATCTTACACTATTTCACCTTTAGATGGAGATGCACTTACCAAGGCTATGCATCGTCGTGGTATCAACATGCGTTATCTCGGTAAACTTGCGCAATTGGTGTCACTTAGCAAGGACAAGCGTATTGAGCATATTCATCAATTGGCTGTACAAGAAATGATTGTGCGTGCTTCTAAGCGTCTTCTTCGTAAGTACCTTGTTGCATGCCCCGTAGAAGAAAGTAGTCTCTGTATTGCCCACTTCTTGAACTGTTTGATCGGTACAACTTTCAACCCTAAGCCCACACCTGTCTTACCTGAAGGAAGCAACCGTAATGATTTTGAATGGGCTCAATTGACACCCGCTATCTTAAAGACTTTATTGGCTCAACAAGTGCTCCTTCGTTTCCGTTACAAGCTCTCTGAGGATAGTGTGGATCAACTCAAGTTCTTGCCTACACTTCGTGAACTCTGTATCCGTACTGGTGTGCAAGTCAATGCCCGTGATTACCGTACCCATGCTTATACCGAAGAAGAACGTGCAGCCTTCACTGCTGAAGATTCCGCTCATCAAGCAGCACTTGATCGTAAGAAGCAAGAGCAATCTCATGCTCGTGGTAAGAAGGCCAAGAAACAACAACAAGCTGTTACTAGCCGACCTACACGTCGTACCACGACATTCATCCCTGAAGATATTTTGAACTTGATGCCTACTGTAAAGCAAGCTTCCTCCAGAAGTGTCTTTGCTGAAGAGACATTTGAAGCTGGTAAGATGAGTATCTCTCAAGGTCATCGTCAATTAGGTTTGGAACTCTTGTTGGAATCATTGGCTTTACATGAACAAACTTACGGTTTCTTACATCCCGAGACGAGTAAATGTTATGCTACCTTGGCCATGATTTATCATCATAGTGAAGATCGTGAATCTGCTTTGGATCTTCAACGCAAGGCAGTGATTTCTGCTGAAAGAACCTGTGGTATTGATCATCCTGAGACCATCCATCATTACGTAAGTGAATCTTTTTTTTTTTTTTTTAAATTTTTTTTTATGATTCTATAACTTTTTTTTTGTGTGATATAGTTGAACCTTGGTTTGTTTGAGCATGCTGGTGGACGTACTAAACTTGCGCTCCGTTATATCCAACACGCCTTATACTACTGGGATCTTCTTTTCGGTCCCGGTCACCCCGACTCTGCCACAGCTGATGTAAGTTGGACTAAAGAAAGATATGTATATTATATATATAAACGAAAAGACTAAATTGAATATACAATGGATAGAACAATGCGGGTGTAATGCTTCAATCGCTTCGTGATTACAAGACAAGTACCAAGTTCTTTGAGAGAGCTTGTAACACACATGAGAATATTTTGGGTAAAGACCACGTGTTGACAGCCACTGGTTACCATGTACTTGCCAAGGCGTATACTTTAGAAGGAGAATTTCCCAAGGCCTTAGCAGCTGAAAGAATTGCATTTGATGTGTTTGATAAGAAGTTGGGAGCAGAAGATCCTCGTACAAAGGATAGTGATCTTTGGTTAAAGGAATTGACGCAAAATGCAGTGATGGTTGCACAACAAGCGCGTGAGGACCAAGCTAGAAGAGCCTCTAACGCAACCAAGACGATCCCGGTTTCTGTCAAGGAAGATACTCAGCCTGTTGTTGGTGAACTTCCCATTGACCAAGTGTTACAGTATATTAATGGACAAGGTGCTAATGGTGGTGCACGAAAGGGAAAGAAGAAGAACCAAAAGGCTAAAAAATAAGTCAAAAAATTAAAATAAAACGTATCATAATTAGATTCCCTTTCTATATTTTATCTGTCTTTCTATATCCATATTTGTTTAGATTCCCAAATTACCGGTTCAGCTATTTCTTGTAACACTATAAATGATCCCACCAATGATAAAAGAGAGATAAAGAGTGAAAGAGAGAGTGTGTGTGGCCCCCAGGTAAATAATAATAAAGGGGGACCCAGATTACTGGGGGTACTCGAATCGTCTCGCAGATTACTATAATTGGAAACATAGTCTTTTTATAATATGGAAAAATGAGATAATCTAAATACATGTCTACTCTCCCCCCCCATATCCCCCAAATACTCTCCCCCACCAAAAAAAATAGTTGTTTTATAATGTGAAACCCCCCAAGTATCTGCACCCTTCTTTTTTGTGTATGATAAAGTGATACCATATACCTGGTTTCTTATATATATTAGAACTATTATTTCGGGTTACTAAGTAAAATATATATATATCGTAAGTTATTACTACTGAATAATTCTCCTATTTAAAGGGAGGGAGGGGGGTGAAAAAGGAGTAAAAGGTGGTAAAACACGTCAAAATATTAAAATACCGCGGTAATAGAAGAACATTCGAAACCAATCTAGAAAAGGTGAGAATACTGAAAAAAGAATTTTTTTTTTTTAATGTTGCACACTTTTTTTTTTATTTTTATTTAAAAGGCCCATTTCTCCCCAAGGGTTGTTCTAGTGCATAAGATACTATTTAAAATAACATTAATAACCATTCATATTATGTACACTTGTTTTTTTTAAGGGGAGTTATGAGACTATAACGTATGGGAGAGAAGAGTGAAAATAACAATATTTTTTTTTTGCTAGGTTCTACATCAGAATCGATCGATGAGAGCCAAATAATCGATTTGGATGAAATTTTTTTTTTTCAAACAGCGGGTAATTACTGGATTGGGAAAAATAGCTTTATCAACTCCAAAGAAATTCATGGATTTTGCTCTATAAAGTCATATAAAACCAACTTTTTTTCTAAATGGGCCGAAATCACACATCCCCCAACAACGTAATGTTTGTTATGTAACTCGCTCCAAATCGTGAATTCCCTATGAAATATGAGATAATCGTGTAGGTCCTTAATGAAAAAAAGAAGATTAGATTCAATCGAATTTCCTTTTTTAGTAGTTTTTTTTTTTTTTTTTTTTTTTTTTTTTTGGGCCTTCTTCGAACCAGTATAAAAAGAACTGCTTTTTCTTTTTTATAAAAAAAATTATTTTCTATATTTTTCTATTTTTGTTTAATTACTCTTTTTTTTTTTTTTTGTTTGTCCCCATTAAAGTTTGAGTTTTGCATCCTCATATGCAATCGTTTCATCAGCAACCACAGCTCTTGTCAAAACAAGACTCGCCTCAATTTGATTTTGGCGATCGTAACCATGAGAGCGTCAGTGACTTTCTTAACCACTGCCATCTCAACCAATACCTCGATATCTTTTTATCCGAAGGCTTTGATTCTGTCATTTCTGTAAGCCTTTTTTCATAATTCATCTTTTTATCTTTTTATCTTTTTTTTTTTTAAAACTAACTCGTATCCGCTAGCTTCTAGAAATTACGGAGGAAGACATGATCTTCATGAATGTAAAACGTGGTCACAGAAGGGTAAAAAAAAAAAAAAAAATTAATTTTCATATTCCCTCATTCCCTATTAACACTACAGAGTTAGGTGCTTCAAAGAGAGATTGCAACTGTAAAAGGCATTCCCCGTGATCAGCCACTTGTTACCAACGTTATGGGAACAAGTAAGAAAGTCCGCTTAAATACCCCGCTCTCTATTTATATTAACACACCTTCTTTTTTTTCTAATAGCTTACCCGCCTGAACTTATACCCACTACCTTAAAAATGCCCATAAATATCCCCAAGCCTTACAACACTAACTACGAATCAATACCCACAGGAATGACGAGCCCCCGTAGTATGAACAGTGGTATGGGTGGCACAACCACAACCACAACCACTAGTATGGGTAACAATAACGGTGGCAGTGGTAACAGTGGTAGCACCAGTGGTGGTAGTAGTTCTCCAATCACATCTCTCCGTTCTCGACTTGGAAAACCTCTAGACAACAATGTAAATAGTATTCGAAACATCACAAATGGTACTAGTGACAACCAAATCAGTAGCAGTATATCCTCCAATGACGATGATGATTCTATCGACACCAACGAATCTGTACCCGCCAAAAGAAAATACAGACGTCATGCTAAACCCGATAGAAACTCTCCAATCAAACCACCATCGGCCTACATCATGTTCTCCAATGACGCACGTACCGAGTTGAAAAATCAAAACCTTTCCTTTGCCGAATTGGCCAAAATAGTTGGCGATCAATGGAAAAACCTAAGTCATATTGAAAAGCAAGCTTATGAAAGAATGGCTATGCGAGCCAAAGATGAATACTTGGCTTCTCTAGAACAATACAGACAAACTGCCAACTATAAACGCTATCAAGAATACTTGGATGACTTCAAGTCCAAGCAAGACGCTGCCAATCGATTGATCGGAAGAGCTCGAAAGAGAGCTAAGCAAAAGTCACCTGGAAGGTATGTTTCTGATTTGGGGGGTTTCATACATAAAACTATCAAATGTCGTTCTTTATTTGGCTTATGTTGTTAAAATTTGCACGCATTTTTTCATCTTTTTCAAAATAGCGGTAGTATAGCTGATTCCAGTTCTAATGGCAATTGTAATAGTAGTGGTAGCTCCGGTAGTGGTTCCGCTGATGCCTACGGTGACAAAGAAAGTGTCATTCGTCGACAAAAGAGATCTACATCCGATCAAATCATTCCTACCAATAATAACACGAGTACCAATGGTCAAGATAAACCTGCGAATCAATTAAGACCCATTCAAAATCAACAACAGTCCTCTGATAGTGGTTATACCTCGCAGACTTATTATAACTCTAATAATTCCTTCTCATCGAATCAACAACAACCACCGCAACAACAACAACAACAACAACAACAACAGTGGAGTGACCGTTCAAATCAAATCATGAGAGGTATGTTGCCTGTTGAATTCATACAGTCATCACAACCTGAAAATAACGAGGAAGATGACTGTACAAAGAGACGAAGCCCGCGTTTCAACAAATCAACTATGCAAACATAACACATTACTCAAACACACACACACACTCTCTCTCTCTTTTTTTTGATATCTGTACATAACTATCTCTCACTTTTCATGCTTTCACTAGTCATTCCCTTACCATGTAAAAATTGCTGCTAAAAAAAATATAACTTTTTGCTCATATGCTTCCCACTCTATATATACTTCATATGCACTAAAAAAATAATAATAAATAATTAATCAACCACTCATTTTTTTAAACATGCCACAAATAAACAGCAAAATTTAAAGTGGTGTGTTGTATCTATATTTTGTGGCTTGCCCTCTCCTTCTTTCTCAGTATAAAGGGGAAAAAAAAATTACCTGTTACACCCCTTTCCTTTTTTTAACCTCTTTTTCTCTCTTCTTTTTTTATTTTAGTTATGCATATAGCCATGCCTCATCATCATTCCTTTCAACAATCGTTTTGGTCTCCTACAGCGTCAGTGGATGCAGTTCCTAATTTCAACACAGGGTTTTCCGTGTTGCACGGTAAATTACGCCAAAGTGCCAAAGAAAACCGAGCGATCATAGAGTATATTCGACACCGAATATCTGCAGAAAAACTACATGCCAAACAACTCTCCACGCTTGTTCCGGGTAACAACCCATTTGATGCAGATATGGGTGGTGCCCTGAAACGATGTTTTGAAGTTGTCTATTCCGAAAGTATCGAATCTACCAAGGAACATGAAATTCGTGCCACCAATTTACACACCACAGCATTGGATCCTCTTTTACAGTTTAGTTTACGCTACGATCGTATCATTGCCACTGCTAAACAAACCGTCGATGCGCAATTGGGTCACTTTGAAACCCTGTGTAGACACATGGAGCTGGCCAAGTTGAATTATACCGCCAAATGCAAAGCGCTGTTGTTACTTCAACCCGACTATCAATATGAATATATTCGTCTGGATGAGTCCCTCGAGTTTCTTACACGTGATCACGTCTGGATTTGGTTGCAGGATTTACTACTGCTCCTACCAATGAAAAGGGACGCTATCCTGGCATGGCTACAAGAAAAACATTCTCAGAACGAAGGGGATGCAATCGTCCTTTTGGAACAGCTTGAAAAATTAGAATTCCTCACTCAAAATATGGACCTGCACCCCAACGGAGATTATTCCAAATTCGAATCAACACCATCCTCACCTTCAAAAAAGGGATTCGCCACAGGCTTTTTAGGTCGATGGAATACAACCACACCCAGTGCTCAATTAATCAAGAAATCAGAAATGGAAATGATGGCGGCGGACACTGCGTATCGTGCAGCGGTGGGAAAAGTTGAAAAAATGCGTACTCAGGTCGAACAAGTCTTGTTTGTGCATTATGAAGAAATGCAAAGTCTGGAATTGGAGCGCATTGCAACCATCAAACAAGTCTTTATCAGTGTCGCTGCTTCGCTATCTAATACCATTCCTCGTTGTAAAGAAACATTTGATAACATGATGTTGTATCAAGAAACATTGGAGCCTGACAAGGATGTTCAGTTTATTGTGGAGCAGTATAGGACAGGTCAATACAATCCCAGACCCATTCTTTATGAGAATCATTTCCATGGCAACACAGGCAAGTCAATTTTTTTTTTTTTTTTTTTTTTTTTCATTTATTTTTCAAAAGAGTGCCCTGAGTTTTATTTTTTTTAACACGTGTGTACCCATTATATCAAAAATTAAAAGCAGATCAGCTTTTCGGTGTACATTTAGAGGAAATTACCAGAGCACAACCTTCATTGGTACCACCATTAGTATCGCAAGGACTGTCTGTCATTGAATCAGGTGAGAAAAAAAAAAAAAGGTTAAAAATAATTGTTTTTTTTAATTATAAATTAAAATAGGCTTTTCAAGGTTGTATGACGAGGAAAAGAGCTTGGTGTGGACAACAAGTGTTCCATTGGACAGAGTGCATGCAGCAAGAGAAGAAATCAATCATTGTACAGTAGATAAAACTGCCCTAGAAAAATATGACGTCCTCTTACTAGCTTCTCTCATTCGTCTTTATCTCATGGAGTTACCAGAGTGTTTATTTACCTTTGAGCTCTATGAACCCTTTAAACTCATCTATGCCAACCGTAAAGTTTCTTTTCTTTCTTTATTCTATTTCATTTTGCACTAACCACCCACGCAATAGAAGGCCAGCAGGATAAGGACACTCGGTTGTGCTCCATCAGTAAATTACTAGCAACTTTACCCACATGCAATTACAAGACAGTCATGATATTACTGGGCCATTTTTATAGGCTGGTGAAAGAACTGGATAATCATGCACTCGCCACATCACTAGCAAAGTCATTTAGCTATATCTTACTGCGGCCCAAGATCGAAACCAAAATCAGTGCTCATGAACGTCATGCACAGCGATTGCTACAAGACCTAATTGAAAACTATGAGGTCATTTTCACAGCCGAAGCCAGTAAAGCGCAAGAAGAGAATTCAAGTCGACCTTCTATTATCATCAATGCTACTGATACGGGTGAAAAGAAATCATCAAGTTCATTGGATGAAACTGTGGTAAGTACACGAACTAGCTCTTCTTCTAGTACACGACGTTCTTCTATACTGTCATTTATGCGCACCAGTCAATCAACACCGACTTCATCTATCTCTATCAAACGTACAAATATTCCCATCATACCCTCTTCGTCGACCTTGTTTGAGGATCCCGATGAACTTATCTCTTCGGAATCTTCCATCTTGATTCATACACCCCCTTCTTATACCTCCACATCGCATCCTCATCAACACAAAAAAGAGCATTATATCATGGATGATTTAGCCAGTCTCGATTCTTTTTTTGAAGATGAAGATGATTAAAAAAAAATATTTCATACTAAACCTCACATTTTTTTTTAAAAAAAAATAAAATACATATTAGCTATATTTTTTATTGTATTCATAATCCAGCTCAAACAATTCAACAGGTGGATTTGTCTAACCGTTCAGGATACAAATGAGTTCTTCTATTGCAGACAAGTAAATTGATTAATGAGGCACAACAGTTCTTTGAATGGGACCATGCTTACAGTCCTGAGATGAAATTAATATTTGCTTGTTATGTGATATTTGATAAGTTTTTGGATACCTTTTTACAGTGTCACCGACCATTTTAAGATTGACATCGAGTAATCTATCATGATTAAAATCATTATTCGAGTGCGTGCCAAAACCTTTAGAGGTTTGGACAGTTCGTCAACGCATATCGTAATATCTCCAAAGGCAAATTTGGGCGTGTGTCGCTCAGAGCGGCATAGATCTGATAAATGAATTCTGGTCCTATGATTGAAGTGGAACGATTGGGAGTTGCTAATTAAATACGATCATTTAATGAATATTCTTGTTCGAAGTCTTGCTTCGTTAATGGTAGATAGTAACCGGATTCTTTCAAACTGTAAATGAAATACAAGTCGTCATCTGGAGTTAAACCAAAGGACTTGTGTGCGTTTTAATCAACACAAACATTGTTGAACGTCAAATGAGTCAGGCTATTGAAATGATATAACATCGTTAACCTACCGACATTAATAGGCCCTAAATTAAAATACGTGGAATTGTATTCAACCTATCAAGGGGTAATAGTTGCACGATACTTGTAGCAGATGACAGATTAAATGTCATTGGAAACGTTGATGCCACACATATAGCTTTTGCGACTATCCATTATAATGACCCTAATTTTGTGCAATATTTTGTCGGATTCCGTACAGCTTAGGATGTATTCCATATATTTGGCGGTAGTTTTAGTTTGAAATAAATCCAGAACTGGTATGTTTAGTAGGTATTCCAAAAACAAGATCCATTCTTTCTTTGTAAAGTGAACGACGGTATCATTCAAGTCATAAGGTAGTTTACGTACATAATCCCTATAAACAACAGACTTTTTTGTGAAAGTGCTGTGTTGAAAGTAACGATCGCGTTCAATGGGATTTAATTATAGCAGTTTCTTTGATTTAGCAGCTCCATCGAATTTGATAGACAAGTCCTTGTATAAAAATGTTAACGTGCCTTTTTTTTCAGCTTTTACAAGTCAAAGCACATTGAAAAACAGTTCTTTTATTTAAATGGCTGTATACAGCATGTAGGATTTCCAACGGTAACTTCGACATGTTTACCAGAAATTCAATTTTTTGGACACCGAAATCATTATAATCAAGTTATTCCTTCCATTTAAAAAGACATTGCGTTTAATTATTTAGGAACTGATGTAATATAGACGAACACGCGAGTTAGAATAAGAAAGGTGATGTAATTTTATAATAATCTCTTTGTCTAACTTACTGATTTTTCCGTTATAAATTTCTGTCGTCCTTGAACGGTTAGAGAACAGTTCGAGTTTGACCTGCTTGCGGCACTGGATGAAAGCTTTTCCAACATCACCATACTCTCTTATACTTATCCGCTCATTCATATGTTCCAAAGTAGTTCTAGTTACAGTCAAAGTCATATTATCTCCCCACAGACGGTAGTATTCCCAATCTTTATCCAAGTACTGTATTTCCAGAAATGCGGTATTTTGTCTGTCACAATCAAACAATTGAACATCCAGCCGAACTGACTTTAAATACATAAATGCTGTCAGGTCCACTTCAAACAATTCAACAGGTGGGTTAGTCAAATCATCCAGAGTACATATCAGTTTTTCTACGGCAGGCAAGTATTGATGAATGAGACACAGCATTTCTTTGGGTGGGACTATGTTTTCAGTCGCGACGAAATTGATATTTGCTTGTGTGCTATTTATTGAGTTTGGAATGCCTTTTACAATGTCATTGCCCTTTTTAGGATTGGAATCGAGTAATATTGTATGGTTATCATCACCAACTAAGACGCACCAAAACTTTTGGAGGTTTGGGCAGTTCACCAACACATATCGCAAGAACTCCAACGGCAAATTTGGACGTGTGTCGTCTAGAAATACATTGATCTGATTAATGACTTCTGGTCCTATAAATGAAGTGGAACGATTGGGTTTTCCAAATTGAACAGGAAGTGATACTGGATACCCTTGTTCAAAGTCTGGATTCGTCAATGGTAGATAATATTCAGATTCCTTCAGGCTGTAAACAAAATACAAGTGGTTATCTGGAGTTACACTTAAAGATTTGTGTGTACTTTCGTAACTATAGTGTGCTCGACAGTGCATATTTTCGTTTCTTATCATTGCGTTAAGTAATGTAAAGAAAACTGTGGCTTTTGATTCCGGGCTTGTATTAATAAGTCTATCATCGTGTTCCTGAGGTTCCCAAATGATACTAGCCGTTTTAACCTTGCTTAAACTGCGTAAAAACCCCACCGCATTATAAAGTCCAAATCTTTCGACCCAATCGAATATATCCATGTTACAAATTTTCAGCTTCAGGACATCCAAATGCGGTGCGACATAGTCTTTAATATAATCAGCATAATGCATTGAAATAGTTGGGATCGTCAAATGCAATTCTTTAAAGCTACTATTCAATTTCTTGCGGTTCGTGTCACCACCAAGAATATTCTTTACAATTACTTCTGGAATGATATACTTGCTTTTGTAGTCTAATGATACTAAATGGGGAAAAGCATCCATGATATCCAAGGTAGTCAACTGGTCATCACAATTATTGTTGAACGTTAAATGAGTCAAGCTGTTGAAATGATATAACATCGTAAGCATATCGCCTTTAATATGTCCAGAACTAAAAGGCTTGGAATTGTATTCAACTTCTAACGTGGTAATGGTTGCACGATACTTGTAGCAGACGGCAAAGTAAATGTCATTGGGAACCTTGGCGCCAGCCATATGGCTATTTCTATCAGCCACTATGATGGCCCTAGTTTTTTGCAATATTTTGTCGGATTCCGTACAGTTTAGGATGTAATCCAAATATTTGAGGGAGCCCTTACTCTGAAATAAATCCAGAACTTGTATGTTTGGTAGGTATTTTAAAAGCTGAATCCATTCTTCCTTTGTATAGTGAACGACTGTATCTCTTAAATCAATAGGTATGTAAAATCCATAATCCTTATGAACAACAAGCTTTTTTGTAAAAGTGCCGTATTGAAAGTAACGATTGCGTTCGATGGGATCTAATTGTAGCAGTTTCTTTGTTTGGAAAGCTCGTTTACTGTCGATGGACAGACTATTGTAGTAATGTGTTAATGCACTTTCTTTCCAACTTTTGCAGGTCAGAGCACATTGTAAAACATCTTTGTTACTTGAGTGTTTGTATACAATATTTAGGATTTCAGATGGTAATTCCGACATGTTTAGAAAAGCAAAATCCATCTTTATTTTCTTTTCGACATAAAGTTTTGGCCAATTTTCAGTAATTGGATCGTGTAACTTATGACTCTGATTATAGGTTTTCCCAGACTAAGTATAATCAAGTTTTTTTTTTTTTTTTTTTTTTTTTTTTTTTAAAAAAAAAGGCACCACATATAATTATCTAGGATCTGATGAAATGTAGACGAACACGCGAGATAGAATAAGAAATGTGACGCAATTTTATAATAATATCTCCATCTAACTTACTGATTTTTCCGTTATAAATTTCTGTCGTCCTTGAACGGTTAGAGAATCGGTACAGTTTAGGATGCATTGCATGTATTCGTGGGAGCTTTTCCAGCGAAATAAATCCAAAACTTGTATATTTGGTAGGTATTCCAAAAGCAAGATCCATTCTTCCTTTGTATAGTAACGGGCTGTAACTTTTTCTGATACGGTGTCTTCTAAACCATAATGTGTGTCATACATACTATCATTATGAACAACAAGCTTTTTTGTGTAAGTGCCGTATTGAAAGTAACGATCAAGTTCTATGGAGTCTAGTTGTAACAGTTTTTTTGTTTGGAAAATTTTGGTTAACGTCGAAGGATATACTATCGTAGTAATGTAGTAATGCAATTTCTTTCCATTTTGCAGGTCATAGCACATTGCAAAATATCTCTTTTTCTTATATGCTTGTATATAATGTTTGGAACTTCAGACGGTAATTTGAACATGTTTAATAAAGCAAAAGCCAACCTCATATTATATATATATCGATATATCAAGTTTTGGCCAACCATGCCGGATTTCAGTTTCTTGAAGACATATCCGACGTCTTTTCTTTAAAAAAAATCATTATGCGACTTATTAGTCTACAAAAAAAAATTATTTCAATTGACATCTATTTATCATGCTTTACTATTGATACATGCTCGAGTGGGTCGTCGTTCGTTTAAGGCCAAAGACCAAAAGTATGTAAGGAAAGAATGGATAGTGTGACTCTAAAAAATATGTAGAGGCAAAATTTATAAAAAGACGTTTGTGTAGACATTGTCTATATTCGTGAAGAAGCAGATGTTGTGACAATCGACTACGCGAGAGAATCTAATGGGAACGAGCAACTGATGACACTCATTCGTCTGACACAAGCCCAAATTGATAAGCTTCGTGAACGCCGTCTTGCGAGGAATATGTACGTCTCTCCACGATGTAGCGCTTCGATGAAATTGGAAGCTCGTGACAAAAAGCCCAATGTATGATGACAAGAGGAAAACTCGTTACGGTGCAGGACTTACTACATCGTTTAACAGCATATATAAAACCAGTAAGACCTGTTGGCATTGCTTAAGCTGGTCTATCAACAGTGAGTTTGAAGATGTGTGTGGGCTTGTTGAGGAGTACGGGTATGATATCATACCAATAGCTGATAGAATCTTAATGGTAACGCTCTGGCATCAAGTCCAATCACGGGTTAAAGGATTGGTCCTTATTCACAATTCAGAACACTCCGCCCAGCCGGTACCTCTCCCGTAGCACTTTCTGCCTACTAATGACTATTTATGTCATTTTGCGTATCTCTATAAAAACCTTAATTTCTTTAAAATAAATCCGTGTTATTTCATATCCTTAAGATTACTTCTTTAAAAAACAGTTTTTTTATTGCAATAAGAACTAGCTGTCATTTTATTTATAATCGCAATTACATCAACTTATTCCTGGTACCAAATATTATAAGAAAAGCAATCCACGTACTTCCCCTAATAACTTAAAATCAAATCTTCACGTACTTTAACAAAATAAGTGTATGCGATTGGTGTCAACTTTCAGATCAGATCAGATCTAATCGCAACAGTTAGTGACCAATTTTTAATATGGACGACTTTTTAGAGTTGTCCAAGAGTTGATTTATCATCTTAATTATATCGCTTGTTTGGCTCTGTGTACGGCTATTAGAAAGCATTTTTGTGCAGTCCTCATTATGCCGTACACATTTATATCATATTACTCTATGTTTTTTTTTCGAACACGAGTAAAAAATAATGAACAACTTAAAATTACCTCAGAGCACCAGCGCCATCAATCATTACAAGTCAAATAGGCTTCATGTTTGTTTTTAACGGATGTATCCGATTTTGCATGGCGCCAGCACAGACATTTCAGCCGAGCCAGTTTTTACCGTCATCACTTGTTTTTGATCCAGAGCTTTAAATTTCATCGACGCACTTTAGCGTAAAGACACAAACACCACTTTTTTGCAAGGTAATAACCTAGGCTTATAGAAGACAGACGCGTGTGAATATTGCACGTCTAACCAAACTGTTACTACAGTAAGTATTAGCGATAGTTTCCCATTTTGTTTAAAAATTCCCACCTCTCGTGCACATCAGCTTCCGTGTACGACGGTCGATAGACAAAGAAATGTCTTCTCCAACACGTGTAGAACACTTACTTTTGTTATTGGCATCCTTTCGTATGTTATAGTTTGTACTTATCTATCTTTGCTTAAGTCTCAGTTAAAAATTGAGTGAGCTACACACAATTGGTACGCAAACAAATTATGTTCAATTCGATTTTGTTCGATACTTAACGTAATGAATTGGCCTTAACGAATCCACGTAACAAATATCAAGAAGACTCGTGTTTAAACAGTCTTCTTGGAGCAAAAACAACACTTGACACTTTGAAGTAAATCAATAATAATAATAAAGAAAGCTAATATAAATTGTGGTACTATTGAAGTGAATTGAGATGATGGTTGAAAAGAGGGAAAAGACAAGCTTTTTGGGAAGGGGCCAGAAGAAGTAGAGTTCAGAGTGCATAATTGGTATGCAATCACCCCTAACTAAAAACCTTAAATTATTTCGAAATTTAGGGTTGGGTAGCCGAGAATGTTTCACGACTATCACCAAATCTCTCTGTTTCTCTCTACTGCATGTATTTGTAAACAAACAAAAAACAAGTTTTTATTAGAAGTGTATATATGTTATTAATTCCGGAGTCGGGGTTCCATATTCATCGGGATAGAAGTTCATAGACGTAAAATAGGCACACTTTTGCTGATTGAGAGTACGGTGATTATCTCTGGGTCATGTTACAGTGATCAAAAAAAAACAAGAAAAGAATGTAACACATAAAGACACTTAGTATAACAGGTTTTTGTTTGCAAGAGAAAGAAAGAAAAAAAGATAGTAGTTGTTTTTTTAATGTGTGACAAAGGATAGATGTCATTATTTCAATCCATTGTCACACAGTGGCCAAGTTTCAGAACGGAACACGGATTAACAAGAAGTTACTGAGAGGCGGATAACTGAATTAGGAAGGTGCACGGCAGTTTCTCATTGCAAAAGAGTCTTATTATTAGGAAATAAATGTCTATTTTCAGTGCGACTTTGATAGAATGAAACCGGCAATTCACCGAATTGTTAAAAACATGCAATTTCCTCATGTTCCTGTACAACACCTTGTTCTTATTTTTGCTACTCCCGGGTCCATTGATTGAGCATTTTATTTTGTTTGATCAGGGGAAAAGGCTAATTTTTGTGTGTGCATAATAATATATATTTTTGAAAGGAGATATGGGAAGGGGAGAAAAGTAACATATTAAAAGAAGGGATGTTGGGTATAATGATTGTTATAGTTGTTTCGGTGGTGGTGATTTGCGGTCAACGCCTGGGATAATAAGTTATATATACATAGTGTGTGATTTTACATAGAAAGGATGAAAAGGAATGTAGGTAATAGTGACAGTAGTGGGGCTTAAAAATAATCTGGATTCTTGGTCAGTTTATAATGTATGTGCAACCCATTTTTTATATACTAACCTTTGTTTAAACCAACTAAAGTGGAAGGATCTATAATTAAAAGAGGAGTGTTATTGGACAAATAATCAGGAGATAAAATAATAGATTTTTACCTTGTTGGAACTTATCAAAGGCATGTAGAAAGTCTTGTTGGGGATAATAATGAGATGAATTGGAAGTGACTGAAGAGCGGCTACTGAAGTTGTCTTCACATTCAGGCGTGGCACCTTCATCTTCTTCTTCATCTTCTTCTTCAATGACAGCATGGGTCGTCGTCATTTTGGAAATTAAGCTTTCATTGGCCAAACGCAATTGCTCGATTTCAGTTTTCAAGCCTTCTTCTTTCTCTACCGTGAGTTTGACTTTTAAATAAAAAAACGTAGTGAGTATAATGTATTATGTAGATGTATGTGGTATTTCTCTTTACCATATTCAAGCGTACGTTCAATAATGGTGCCTTTGGAAGGACGGCGATCATTATGCAAGTTGGGTAAAGAATGGGCCAGTTGCTGGAATTTGGTGTTTAAAGATTCACGTCGTGCACGTTCAATAGCATTGTGCTCAGCTCGGCGTTGTGCCTTATCGCCACCACCACCTCCACTGCCGCCGCCGCTACTATTATTTGAAAAGTATTTTTAGTACAAAATAAAATAACGTTGTCTTTTTTTTTTCTAGGTATTACCTGGAGGGTGACAAAGGTGCTTCACCATGAGTAGCACCATTTAAAAGATCAAAGGCGTCATGCTCATACTGCTGCTGTTGCTGGTGGTGATGCTGCTGATGATGATGGTGATGATCATACTGTTGCTGTTGCTGCTCATAATACATCACTATGATTATGCATTGTTAATAAGATGTTTTAAACAATTAAATAAGAAAAAAAAAAAAAGAGATTGATATACTTTATTACTTTGTTGATGTAGTAATGCTCTTTGCTGTTGAAAGGCAGCTTGTTGTTGAACTAATCGGATACGTTCTAGTTCATTTTGCTGTTGCATTTGTAAGTAATGTTGTTGTTGATGTAATTGATGTTCATCGGTGCTGTAGTACATTTGATCCGCGGTATGATGATGATACGGCTCTTGATACATGTGCATTGATTCCATACTATTTAAACAGGGTTGAAAGAAAGGAAAAAGGGGAAAAGAGAGAACTAAAGAGGAAGAAAAGAGAAAAGAAGGGAAACAACTATCCTTTTAAGTTTTTTTTGTCTGTTTATTTTCCAGCTCACAAGGGGAGGGGGGGCGTCGGAGGGAAAAGGGGGTGGGTTCAAATTTTTTTTTTTTTTTTTTTTTGTATATACACACATATAATATTATTGGTTTACGAAATAGATTCTAGTACGTGCACAGATAGTTATAACCCTAAACTACCTTTCCCTTTAAAAAATAGAGGACGGTTTACCTGATTCCAGGTGCTCCGGGTGCCTTGGGTTACACTACTTGTCAAGGACCTCTCTTTTTTTTTATTCCACCTCGGAGCAACTCTTTACCAATCAAACTTGTTATCCGGTAATTTGATCATGGGTTCAAGTAACGTGATACAATGTCTTTCTATGGTGCACGAGCCTTCAAAAAAAAAAAAAAAAACTTGTCATTTTCACTCAGCTTTCTGTTACCATGGGAATTTTTTTTTTTATTTCTTTTTTTTTTGTTTGCAATGTATGTGTGTATATATGATCTTGCACGCAAAATCAATCAATGAGAAAGAAGGAAAAAAAAAAGTATGTAGTGAAAAAAAAAGAAGAAGAATATAAACAAGGGGAGTATGGGATGTATAAACAAAAAATCAAGGGGTGGGATGTTGAGAGATGAGGGGGTGCAACAGCTTTTTTTTTTAAAGTGACAATTTTTCCTTTCTACTAGCATTGGGACAACGATCTTTGGTTGTACGGTGAATACGAATATGTTGTGATAAGTTGTCTGATCGAGAGAAACGTTTACCGCATTGCTCATAAGGGCATTGATAAGCTAAAATGCAGAATGTTAGTCAAGTTTCTAAAAATGTTAACATATATATTTAAATCTCTTACGTTTTTCTCGGGTATGGATGGATCTCACATGACGCTTTAAATGTTCGGATCGCTTAAAGACTTTGCCACAGTCGTCATGGTGACAAGGGAAATTCTTGTCATCTTGATTCTTACTTGAAGTGGGACTACGCTTTGCACGTGAGTGATGGATTCTTTGTTTTCCAGATGTCTCGGCTTTCATGATTAGTGCTGCTGCGGGTGCAGATGATGGTGGTGGTGGTGATGCAACGGCAGGTAACATTAAATGATCAATAAGACAGTCATAAGATGGATAATATCCCATTGGAGTAGCACCAGGCTGTTCATTTTGTTGTTGTACAAATGGGTAGACTTGTTGTTGATAATAGAATTTAGGTTGGCCAGCAACAACAGGATAATATTCTTCGGTACCAGTCAAGGGTGAACTTTCGTAATCCGAGTAAGATCCTTGACTTGAGGAAGATGAGGATGAAAGATAATCACTGTAACTCATACGTCTGTTATCTGTCTCTGGGTAATAATTCATAGGTTGTTGATAGAAAGAATTGTAGCTGGTTGGAGAGTACATTTTAGGTAGAATGATAAAAAACGACAGTAAAAAGTTAAGTATATGTATAAGAAAAAAGGTTAAAGAAAGAAAAGAGAGATGATTATTAAACATAGCCAAATTCCGATTTTAGGTCCTTTTTATATGTTGACTGCATCACTCCTTGAAATCATCACCCCCTTTGCTTCACTCGGATTGGTGGTTCCGAAAATAATTTTATTTGTTGTTTTGATAAAGAGAAGAAAAGGGGTCTCGTTATGGCTTGCTAATTAAGTAAGTGATCGACAATTGACACTAAATCATTTCCTTTCTTTGCCGTTCCTCCTTGTCTCTTATTTTTATCAATTGCCTTTTTAGGGCAAAAGTACGAGAATCAACGTTGGCTTTTCTTTGAAGAACTCTCAGGCCACCGCGTGTGCTGCACGAAATCCAAAAAAAAAAAAAAAAAAAAAAAAAATAGTGAGCACGAGCCCTCTCTCTCTCTCTCTTGTTTTCCCCTCCAGAAGTTGGCAAGTATAAATTCTCTTAATAGGAGAAATAGCTATAAAAGATAACGTGCTTGAGCTTGTTTATTTTTATTTTAATGCATCCAATCAATGATTGTCCAATAAGGCCCGTTCGGGGTCTTGTGATTCATATGTGGGTGATTTAAATAATGAAATTAGAAATCCAAATGTAAATGATACTAAAAATGCCCACTGAGCGTAATAAAATAAATAGCCAAACACTGGTGTGTTTAATGTCATGCGGTCGATCAATGTGGAAGACACGGTTGGAGTGCAAATTTCTATCGTTTCCTTTTCTTTTTAGATACGTGGTTGCATTTCATATTATATAAATAATTGTTATTCTTACCAAGTGGTGCATATACATCGCACGGGAAAATCTTGTCAACTTCAGTCGTACAATCTCTTCTTCCTCCTTCCGTATGATTACACTAAGAAAAAAAAATTTTTTGTGTGTGTGTTAGTTAATAATAAACAACAATGAAATCAACTTACATAAACTTGACTTCCAAAATGTGCATAGCCCGGTGCCACCACTGATGTAATTGCATAGTTAAAGGCCAACACTCCAAAAATTAGTAAAATGCAAGAGAATAACAGTCCTTGAGGTGCTGTGGATCTCTTTTTAATACGATACAGCGTGACCCATAAGAACCGAACTCCAATTTGAATTATACCCGCCATCGTAGCCAAAAAAAAGTAGATAGCAATACCAACCATCATCATGTAATCAAGCGGGAATAACTAAAACATCTCTCTATTAGTATTTGTTGTTGTTATTTTACTTGCTATTTGGGTTGTACCTTTTGTAGATGAACAAACATAAAGTTAACAGGATTGAATAATCGAGATTGACTGATGATGTAGCCACATTTACGACCACATACAGAGAATGACAATTTGTCAATACTAAAATATATTCTTGTGATTAGTAAAAACGAAATGCATGCATGACAATAATAACTTACATGCTCATTAACATGGTGATAGCCAATAATAGACTCAGCGACATCAATAAAAGACCGATGATAACCTGTACACAGAATAGATACAATGAAAAAGACCCATGAGTATTCCTTTTGTCACACCATCAAATATAAGTCTAAGCCTTTTTCTTACCTGAAATGGTTTAAAAACTCGAATTACTTTTTGCACAAAGTCTGTCCTGTCCTGTTCGATGCCATTTAAACGGCGCAGCAAGATTCTATATAATTTATTTTTTTGTTGTTTATTAAAAATTACCCACACTAAATATAAACAAAAGAAAACCTTAATTCTTTTACCTTTCTTCATCATTCAGATTTTCTAATGTACGATAATCATGTGCATTCAGTGCTTCATCCGACCCAGAATATTTGTGCTGAATAACTTCCTGGCCTTCTCGTACCAAAGCCAATCTTTCATGGACATCATGGTCTTCCACATCTAATCTTGACTTGCCCTTAATCAGAGCAAACGCCAAGATAGATAATCCCGGTGCCTAAAATAAGCGTGTTAAACACCACCACAATCATAATAATAATAATAATAATAAAGAAGCATGCTTTACGGTGTAAACAATGAAAACTGCCATTCCGGGAAGAAATAAACAACCCACCACGAACCAGGTGGCCTTGGCTCCATCTATCAATTTCATTATACTCCATCAGTAACACACACACACACACACACAATCTAATCTTTCCCGGAAAAAACTTACTGCTTTCAATCAATAGATTGCGGAACCATTCTAGATCAATATGAGGCGGTAAAATATTGGGCTTTAAAAACAAGCCAAATAAAAACAAAATGACATTTAAGCCTACAAACACCAAACTATATTTGAAGGCTGCATTGCGTCTATTCGGTCCTTCTTCACGATGATAAAAATAAGCATACGGAATCACGAAAAATCCAAAAGTAATAATAGCTCCATACAAAACTACACATGCACATAATAAATGTCAATAAAAACAAGAATCATAATAATGATGTAGGACGCACTATAATACATGATCTGAACTGTAAATGTCATCCAGTAAATTGTGTCACTATCGGCCCATAATTTCTTTAATCCCGTATGCGTGTCTACCGTGCTTGAAACCAAAAATACATCAATCGGTAATAATGCCACCGTTGCAAAAATAAATGTCAATGCCACCATAGTAACAATCGTGGCCGACAGCTCTGAGTCTCGTTTACTTTGGTAATACCGTGTAAACCCTATACTAAAAAAGGACAACAGCTTATTGTTGTCTATAATTAGTTATCTTTTATTTATTATGCCCCCCTCTTTGGTTGCAATGGAAACTTACCATGACCCCAATGGCAAATGCTGCCCATGCAAAACCAACAACTGCTGGCATCTTACTAAAATATTCAAAAGGGTAGTGATAAAATAGTAATAAAAAAATAAAAGAAAACTTGTCCCCGACTAGAGCGCTTTTTATGAAAAAAAATATATATATAATAAAATGAAACAAAATCTATCATCATGACATCATGGTATTATTCATTGACTATGGTCGTACCATCATCCTCTTTGATCAAGTCGTTCTGTAACAGGCTTTCTATAAACGGTAAATCTGGCTTTGACAAGGTGAATGACGATTGATAGACGTATAATCCAACATGTTCAACAAAAAACGAAAGCTGACGAATCGATGCAATCGTGCGCATCGTCAACATCGGTCGTTTTAAGGAGCCTAAAGAGGGTTGCATCGAGTCTGTCAACGAGAAATCAAACACATTATCCTTTTTGTTTTTTTTTTCGGTTTTATAAAATATGAGTGAATTTTATTATCATAAGAATCCAGACCTCTTCACACACACACACACACACACACACTCTCTCTCTCTCTCTCTTTTTGTAAAAATGTAACTTACCATGGGGCTTGTGCTCAATTTCTTGTCTAGTAATTCCATAATCGGTACAGGTCCTTCCGTCTGCGGCTTAATCATCGTTTCCACAGTATCTCGGATAAAGATCCATTGATATCTAATACATAAAAAAAGAAGCATTGTTAATATACATGTGATGTGTTTGCCACAATCCATTCTAAGTTACATCTGGAACGCATCAAGTTCAAGGGTACACAACAGATCTAAGAATTTACACCCAGCTAATGCAATTTGCGCTTCTTCAGGCCTATCTTGCAAATCATTATATACAAACGAATTAAACAATCGCATCTACATAAGAAGAAGAGACGGTAAATAGACATGATGATTTACTTGGTTTCCAAAATACGAACCAGCTCGGTAATGAGGACAGGCCAGAAATTCATGAGATGCTTTTGAGAGAAGCGCATTAAGATGATACGAAGACAAAGAAAAATCTCCGTATGCACCATTTCTCCATGATCTAATTTTAGCAACTCGACAATTTTCTCTTGAATGACGGGTAATTGAGGCACATATTGATCGCAGGTGCCTGCAAATAACACAAACGAAAGTCGACGCAAGTTTAAACTACGGTTTAATGTCTCTTGATCCTTGTTGGAAAAGAACGTATTGGAAGGTGATGTCATGATACGTGCCGTTAACTCGGTCATTCTTTCCTTTTCAATCGAAAATGCGGTCCCAATCACTTTCACCCATTTCTTACTCGTTGAGGCGTTCATGTAAAAGAACCTGTTGTCAATAAACACTTCCCAAATTTCCTTTCTCCATGTCTTGTACGTAAATGGCATATGAGCCATCTCACACAGTTGATCTAAAATAATGGGATTTTTTCTTTTTTTGTATATAATATACATATGCATGTCAATCATCCTAATTTTCTAGTTATAAATAGAGATCCTTATACATACACTTTAGACTTGAGACAGGGACCAATCACATAATAGACTAAATTGTTCAACAGCGAGTTGATTTTATCGTTATCGCCCACCAGTTGTCGAAGTCGTGGAATCACTTGATGAGCAAGGTATTGATTGACTTGATTGATCATAATATCCTCTCTTGATTTCCAACTAGCCTTTTTTTCCATCTCGGACACGTTACTGATGGAAACATTACGCGTCATGGCATCACCCCCTCCTGTGGTCGTGGTATTCGAATCATTATTTAACGAGTCCACCGTGTGAATGGAAGAGTTGTCGTCTCCACCTTGGCTACTTTCATCATACAATGTGGTGCGGCTACGCATCCATAAACTTTGATCAAATGATTTACCAGCAATCAAAATACAATAATCAATACACCGTTGATACAACTCTTGCGCGTCCTTGCGAATACGGCGGTCTTGTTCATACCCATTGGATTTCGTCAGCGCTTCTAATGAAACCGTCAAGAATCGCATCAGACCGGGTAGGAACATCTTGTACGCATTCGCCTGCGATAAATAGTCCTTGGAAAATGAATGGATCATTGGCCAGAGTAACACAATCGATTCAGGATTCTTGATATATCCGCAATAAATTTCGGCGAATCTTAATATAGAAGTATCCGTCCTACCATTTTTTTTTTTTATGAGTTAAGAGAGAATAACAAATAATAATTAAAAAAATTTTTTGTCTTACAATTTGCCTACTCTCAATATCTTTCGTCGTCGACTTTGATAAGTATTGGGCGTCCGTTGTCGAATGCTATCCAGTAGAGTAGTAATAATGTGTTGCGGTGTACTGGTTGGTGTGTTGGACAAGATATCCATGGCAATGTACTGATATTGATCCTGATCAAACTCTAAAGCAGTGGGGTTTTCCAAGAAAAAGATTTCTGTCAAACCTTCAACAAAGTCCACATTCGAATACTTGAAAAGTTTTTCGAAAAACGATTCTAGTCTACTTTTCGTTTGATCCGCAGCATACGAAAAGCTTTGCAAGACGGCATCGACCTTGGCATCTCCCATAGCCTGACTTGTCTTTTCGTCCCATTGAGGTCTTCTAAATACGTGCCAGACATTGAGCAGGATGTGCAAAATGATTGGTAAATGAAACATGATGGTATCCCTTGGCTTATCCTTGTTTTCGTCCTGAAGGACCACTTGTGCCAAGCCCACGAGTGCAGAATTCTCAGGGATGCGAGGGATGGCTATTTCGGGAGACTTTAAATTCGTAAACCAATCATCGTTTAAGGCCCTTTCCGTCAAACAAAACATCACAATTTTTTCAAGTCCCATCAAAAGCACCAGTAATTCTTTGTCTGCATTGGATGCTGAGGCATGGGCTGGATTCTCATGAATCATAATATCCATGGTATCACAACGCCAACTAATTTGGTTGCATACACACATTAAAATGGGTACCAAAATAAACCGAAATCCGTTCTTGACATAGGGTAAAGTGGCTAATACAAAATCCATCCAGTGCTGCAGCATAGGTCGGTTACTTGACAATGTCAGTGCATCCGTGACACATTTTACAAATAAATCAGTTGATGTCTGAATCAATGAAATCGCTTCATTCAGGCTTGTTGCAGAAGAGATACTATCGACAGATCCTTTCTTTTGATGTCCTGCCACCTCGGGTTGTGTACTAGCACAGGTGATGGCCAACGACGCATGTAGCAAGTGTAAAAGCTTTTGCTGTAAATCCAGATTGCGTGTGCTAATACAAAACAAGAGTTTGTTGATCACGCTGGTCTGAATATGTTGAATTAGTTTCATATTGACATAGTCCAATTTAGAAATGATCAAATACAGCAAGTCGGCTGCATGCAGTTGAATACTGCGTACGGGCTTCGTCAGTGTTTTCGTTAGCTTCTCTGTAGGCTCAGTTTCTAAATATCTTTTTTTATATATATAATATGAAAGTTTAAGTTGTTTGTTTTCTTTTTGTTTGGTTAGTAGTTTTTATTATCTATTTTTTTATTTACCTGATTGATATAGAGACCAAAAGATCCAAAAATGACATTGATTTTGTCATGTCCTGTCCTAAAGATACTTGAGCTGCCTTTGAAATCGGACCTTCACTATCCACCTGATGATTCTTGCATGTCTTGAGCACATTCAATCCACCAAAGGTAATCAATGTATTCAAGGTCGTAAACATGTAATCAATCACACCCGTATCAAACGATCTTACATAAACAAAATATGGAATCTCCGTCACCTTTTCTTCTGTCTTCTTTTTTAAAAATGTCTGATGTTTCCAATCCACCTTGTAGTGTTCTGAACGTCGCATAATCTGCTTATCCAACATGGACATCATGAAAGGCTCCAATAAACGTACGTAACTCTTGAGATGACATCGAATCCATGTCTCACCAGATCGTCTGTCTAACGGTGATGTGCCTTCTCTTAACAAATCCAGCATGAGAAACATGGGTCTTGAGAACACAATACTTGCATCCGGCATATTTTCAGATAGTTCCCAAACAATGCCAAATTTCTCATAACTCGCTAATCGTTCTGCGTCATCGTCTTGACGGATTAAATAGTTGGATACGATCGTTTCAATCTGGTGTGGTAAAGAGGCTTCGATCAGTAACCATAATAACTCAACCGTACGCATATGAAGTAACTGCATGGAAGGCGATAAGAATGCCCACAATCGATCCGTCACACTCTTGACCTGTACGACATGTTTTAAAACAGACGACTGTACAAATCGTTTCTTTTTGACAAGGCTGGTTAATGTAGATAGACCCGCATCTACAACACCAAATACATGCACTTGTTGACAGCATTTCAATAGGACGTGAGTAAACTGGTCTTGCTGTTTCAACTGAAGTGAGCTATCTGCATGATTGGCAAGGGTTGTGATGGCTGTGCATGTGCCTAATAAGACACGCTCTAAATGATGTTCGATATGCTTTAGTCGTTTCCCCTCTTCTCCCACATCCACACCTGTCACAGGATTCTCGGCAAGCACAATATAACTGTTGGAAAAATCAATCAGGAAATCAGCCAGATTATCCGCCACTTCCTTCACAAGAATCTGTCCACGTAAAGGTTCGAATTCGGGTCCACGTTGAGGTAAAGCTGTGGGTTGATTCTTTTTGATATGAGTTGAAGATGAAAGATCCCCGCCTTCCACATTCTCTAGATTTTCTTCCTCCTCTTCTTGGTCAATCGATGGTTGTTGATAACCATAAAAAGCCCGTGCATGATCTAGTACATTCGTGCCCTGTTTGAAATGCTGTTTATCATCTTCTGTCACAGGTCGATCCACATAGACAGATGCTGGTAATTGTCCCAACAGGTTCAAGATAATGGAAATACATTGGTTGACTTGAGGTAAAATCTCAATAAATGTTGGGCTCTTTAATGCATCCTTTAGTTTTTTAGAAAGGGTAGCTAAAATCAAGGGAAAATGCACATGCTTGATCTCTTCGTCCGAGAGTTGAAATGACTTTAAAGTAAATTCAATCAGTTTCATATTCTCCAAATTCTTTTCGTGATTGCCTTTTCCAGCAGCAGTGGCAGGAAAAGATGTATCAATCATTTCAAATAGTTTCAAACAAATCAAGTAAGGTTCCATCATATCCATCCACATGTTGGCGGTTTGGGTGATTTCGGGATTGGATTTTAATTTGAGGCTGGTGAGGGAATCGATAAAGATATTATTTACAATCGGTTGTCCCAATTCCCATTTATCCATCAACGAGATCAAAATCTTGTAGGGCTTCTGTTGTACTGCCGCCTCTACATGCTGTTCCTGCAACATACCTCGCATGGCCTGTGTTGCTGCCTTTTCTGCAAAGGTCATAAAATAAGTCAACTGAACTTGGGAACTGCCTTCACTTCCCAATAACCAGGCATATAATCTTCGGTTTAACGACATATCCTTTCGAAGCACAATGCCCAAAGCAGATCGCATCAAAATCACCAAATCCTCATGCGATATCATTCGGCTCTTCAACATAAAGTTCTGTACTAGCAATTCCAGCATACCTCGTTGCACTAATAGTTGCTGATCGCTTAATGTACTGGCAAACGCTCTCACCATCAAACTCACATTCTCTTTCACTCCCAATACAACTGCCACCGCTTCTCGGTCTGTAATCTTGGGAAGTTTTCGTAAGAGATAATTTAAAGCTGGTGGTCGAAGACTCGGGTTGCTGATCATCACTAACCACATGCATGAATAGAAAAATGGTAGCTCCACAGTTTCTGATAAATTCTCCAGTAATATCACAACCTATTTAGTTTGTACACTTTTCTTTAGTCTCTCTCTATCTCTTCCTTGTGTTGTATCCTGCACTTTTGACTTACTTTATCAAAATACTCGCTTCCTTCTTCCTCTAATGCTGGTAATAATGCAATAATCAATCCTCGCATGGCAGGTCTAAGTTTACCCCGCAACGGGAAATAATATGTTTCAAAGATGGCAATTAATTGTGGCTAAACCATAAAAAAAAAAAAAAAATTGTGAGTAACATGCAAAGCCTATCTGTTCTTTCTGTTGTACCTTGACGTGTGTAGCAGCGTATTGCACGAATGGAAATAAACCGGTGGACCATAATGCTAAATCGTCAGCGAGTTGATCCGACTATATAAAAGTTTGTAAGCTGATACAAATATATATACATAGAGTAGCGACTTACACCAATGGTTTTGAGGATAAAAGCATAAACCTCCAAGGTTTTCTGGTGTACACCAGCGGGGAAACCTGGATTTAAACATTGAGCTAATCTCTTGGCGACTAGCTGTTTACGAGGTATAATAGGAAATTGCGGATATGCTTGAAAGGACTTTTATAGATAAATGAGTAACCTGATATGATAATGACCCCCCTCTCCCCCATTCTCCCTCTTTTAATATTGATAGCTGTTGTTACTTTTAATAGTCTGCCGAGAAAAGAAATGATATCGGCCCATTCGTTTACAGCATCAAAGGATTGCAGGTTTTTTTCTACAAGTTGAACATATTTACGAAACCTCGAGTCATGTTGATAGGCTTATTATAAAAAAAAAGGGCTATTAGTTGCCTGAACACGTTTTTCTTGACTCATGGAAGATTTTACCTTGTTCTTTAAATTGAGGGCCTATTGAAGGAAAGAGAAAAAGAAGAAGCATCCATTAGACAATGGCATGGTTATACTATTTTGTTTCAAGAACATTAAAAGCGTGCTCTTACTGGATACGTCGGGAGAGTCCATTGTTTTTTTTTTTTACTTCCAGTGTCTAAATGGGTCTCACTAATTAGATTGTAAAAAAATAATAGGAATACTTTCTATAATAGCTTTTTTGTATGTGTTTGTGGAAATGGGATAACACAGCAGCAATTTGAGTGTGAGTTCCAAATTATATTGCGCACTTTGTAAACCAAGCCATGTGACTGGACAAATCATCGTCATGGAAGGGTCTCCTTAACTGAGATTTAATGATTTCCCCAATGATCACGAGAAAAAATGCATTGTCCCTGAGACTCCATTGGCACACGTATTGGACTGTAGTTAGAAAGACACGATGGTTTCAGTTTAAAGTAAAGAAATAGGAAAGAGAAAGGTATGGCAGCTGTTTTACAAAATGAGGCACTCCCATAAATACTGAACATGGGAGTTTAGACGCGAAAAGTTGGGTTAGCTTGTCTAGTAAGTGATGGATTCGACAGCATAAAGTTCAATGTGAAGATATGAATTCTAGAATCTAATAAAATCTATGCAATTGTAAAAAGAAAGCCACCTTATTCCGTAAGTGTAGTTTTGACTTTACCTCGCTGCCTATCTCCTATCATTTAACGCCTTAAACTCATGAGCCTTACAATTATATCTGTATGAATTATGACCACAGAAGAGCTAGTTAAGATGGTTTTAATCTTCAGGAAAGAGAAGTTCAAACAAGTAAAACAGCCACTCCTTTATTCTTTTTAAATCGATTATGCCTTTCACGACAATCGCTATATGAGTTCTTTTATTTGATTGTTGATTTTTCACTTACGCGATTCTTACTTATCAAGCGAAACATAAAAGAGATCCATTGATATGCTTCAGTTTTTACAGCCGTTTGATTGTGCATCAAGCCACGTAAATAGAGGTGCCAATAGTATGGTGATGTATCACGAGTAGTCATGATTGTAAAGACTTTTCAAATATTGATCTTATGACGAAAGCAAAGAGCGAGCAACCCGTACAATGCAAAAACCAAGAATGCACTCCGCGCACGTAGTTTTTTTTAGGGCACAAAAAGAATTTAACTTTTAAGCCTGGAGGTACGTTATACAGCGGCTCCACCCCCAAAGTTCGTTTTCCAATTTCATAAATTCGCTTTTGTCGCAGCCCAAAGTTCGCTTCTTGATTGGTCAAAGTTCGTTTTTTGTAAATCACCCAAATTCGCTTTGGTGGCACCCAAAGTTCGTTTTCACGTCAGAAGAGTTCGCTTTTAAAAATTACAGGATTATGAGATAATGTTATGAGAGATAATGTTATGAGAGATAATGTTATGAGAGATAATGTTATGAGAGATAATGTTATGAGAGATAATGTTATGAGAGATAATGTTATGAGAAAAAAAAAATGTTATGAGGAAAAAAAAATGTTATGAGAAAATGTAATGAGAAAATGTTATGAGAAAAAAAAATGTTATGAGAAAATGTTATGAGAAAAAAAAATGTTATGAGAAAATGTTATGAGAAAAAAAAATGTTATGAAAAAATGTTATGAGAAAAAAAAAATGTTATGAGGAAAAAAAAATGTTATGAGAAAATGTTATGAGAAAATGTTATGAGAAAATGTTATGAGAAAAAAAAATGTTATGAAAAAAAAAGTCACAACATATTATCTCATAACATTATCTCATAACATTTTTTTTTCTCATAACATTTTCTCATAACATTTTTTTTTCTCATAACATTTTCTCATAACATTTTCTCATAACATTTTTTTTTTCTCATAACATTTTTTTTTCCTCATAACATTTTTTTTTTCTTATAACATTTTTTTTTTCTCATAACATTATCTCTCATAACATTATCTCTCATAACATTATCTCATAATCCTGTAATTTTTAAAAGCGAACTCTTCTGACGTGAAAACGAACTTTGGGTGCCACCAAAGCGAATTTGGGTGATTTACAAAAAACGAACTTTGACCAATCAAGAAGCGAACTTTGGGCTGCGACAAAAGCGAATTTATGAAATTGGAAAACGAACTTTGGGGGTGGAGCCGCTGTACCCCTTACAATGAGATTCCGGGGCTAAGATTTATAGCAATTCAGGCACGTCCGTCAAGACAAAGAAGGTGGGGCATTTTTATTTGCAGAATATGTTACGACTGTTTATTATTAGAGAAAAATAGTCATATATAACTATTTGTTTTTAAAACCATACAAAAATGGAAAGAAAGAGAGAGAGAGAGAGAGCACATCCAGGGCATTGCTATCGTAAAGGTTTTCACCGCCGCTCATCAACGTACTTTTAATCTCTCTCTCTCGTGTGTGCCTCTCGAAATTAAAGTTGTTTAACTCCCTTATGCTTCATACATGAGTTATTGTGATAACGAATGCGTATACAGATTCACAGTAAAGCTATGATGCGTAGCATTTCACCGAGGCAGGGGGTGCACATAGACTGGCTCTTAATAGCTGCCACTCCAAAAATAAAAAGAAAAAGAAAGTAACTTCTCTTTGTTATTTCTGAAAAAAAAAATGTTGATATTTTTGACTAGTTATGCCTTGATTGCGGTCTTGTTCTACTTGGAATATCGTTACGAGTCTTCACGTACAGCCACTACTCTACAAACGGCTGCTGATGACCGAGGAACAACTCGACTTTTACTCATCATGTGGTTCTTGTCACTTGTAATTGCTCCAGTGTTGTCACTCTTCATTCCTCTTGTGATGCCCTTAGTTATGACTTATATTGGTTTATCTTGTATTGTTGTTGGACTTTTGTTACTTCGTTGGACAACGTTTGTCAATCCCTTCTATTTACGCACCATGGCAACCACAGACGATCATTACATTTGTACGGATGGTCCTTACAAGACCATCCGCCATCCCGGTTACCTTGCATTTTTATTAGCTTGGATAGGGTTCGGGCTTGTCTCTGACAACTGGATTTCATTCTTGATGATCACACTCTTGATGACTTATGCTTATATTCTCCGTATTTTGGCAGAAGAACAAATGATGTTGGATCGTTTTGGTGTAGATTATCAACAATATATGAACGAATCTTACAGGTAATGACTTATTTCGAGGATAGATGGGGGATGGCACTGTATTGATTTTTTTTTCTTCTTCTTTTTCCTGTAGACTGGTCCCATTTATATTTTAAGTTCCCAAATACCCAACTTTTGATTAAAGATGACCTGTGTGACAAACACTGATATTTATCAATTATGCATTTATTTATATGCATTCTCCACTATATGACCATTGTATCGATGCTGTAACACATGCTGTCATTACATATTCATTTACCCTTTATTGTACCACTTTTTTTTTTTTTTTTTTTTTTTTTTGCACAGCCATATGACCTATCGGAAGAATCTTTTTTGTCTCATGGTGTGAGGGATCAACTAAGCAGTAATGGCACGTTAATTGCATTGAAGCTTGAGTGACTGTCAAGGATACCATGTTTTTTAAAAGCTGGCAAATGAATTGACACCAGCTCATGGCAGGGGGGATACATGATTGTTGTAAAGTGTATAATTTTTTTTTTATTTTAAATTGTTACAAACAGAAAGGATTTTTATAATGAATCTCCTTTTTTTAAATTTTTTTTTTTTCGTAAAAAAGTATATAACGTGCTAAGAAAAACTAACATTAATTTATTTTATGTTGTTTAAAGAGCAGAAGCACCAGTAATAATATCAACTATGAGAAAGAAAAAAAGAATTAGTGCCTATAATTAAACATATTTTAAATACAAGAAAGACTTACTCAATTCGTTGGTAATAACGGCTTGACGACCACGGTTATAGGTCATGGTCAATTTACCAATCATCTCACCAGCATTCTTAGTGGCGTTCTCCATAGCAGCACGCTTGGAGCACATCTCAGCGGCATGACCTTCGACCATAGCCCAGTAGAGACCGTTGGCGAAAGAGAATTCTTGGAGGTTGGCAAGAACATCATCCTCGATTTCGTACATGGCAAAGTTGGGAGAAGCCTTGAAGGTGGCTTCAGAGTAAGCAGGGATGATATCGGCTTCGTAAGAAACGACAGAGATGAATCTGTTGTAGACAATGTTGGCAGTGTCGAACTCGATACCGTTGGCCTTGATAGTATCAACAATGGAAGCAGCTTCCTCGAAAGAGGGCATATCCTTACCAATTTGGTTGAAAGAGATGGCAATGTTCTTACGGACAGCACGACTCAATTGGGCCTTGGACTTATCACCGAGAATGACAAGTTCAGCTTCGGGCTTCTCAATGATAGCTCTACGGGTAGCCTTACTGACACTGGAGTGAATACCACCACAGAGACCACGATCGGAAGAAGAGGCAACAAGGAGAACCTTATCGTCAGCACCGGCCTTAGTTTCAGCACTGGTGAAAAGAGCTAGTAATAACAAAAAAGAGCATTAGAATCATTCTAATTACACCAATCCCTTCTTTCACTCTCTCTCACTCTCTCCCCGCACTCTTGTACTCTCTCTCTCTCTCATTCTCTCTTGGTATACTTTACTCTTAGAGGCGCTACCGAAAACACGAGCGGCTTCCATACCACGTTGAGCCTTGGCAACCTTGGTGGAGGCAATCATCTTCATGGACTTGGTAATCTTTTCAATGTTTTGAACAGACTTCAAACGTTGTTGAACTAATTTTTTTTTTTTAAAAAAAAAAAAGCGTGTCAGTGACAGTGTATGAATTATGTGTGTCGCATAGATATTTACTTTCTTTCAAGGTAGCCATGTTACGGGCTTGGATAGCCTTGCTATATTAATTAAAAAAAAAAAAAATTGTTGAATTCTTTTTTTTGTTCTCAAAGTCATTGCCTGTTTTTTTTCTTTTGTTACCTAACGGGAGCAGCAGTAGGACGGGCAATGCGAGAGACAGCGAACAACATTGCTAAATTAAGGGTAAAGTTAAAAAGACAAAGACAAAATTTGAAGAGTGTGCCTTTTTCTTTTTTTTTTTTTTTAGCGATAGGCCCCCGAACAAATCGCAGTTTCTCCCCCAGACAATTACAGTCTACGTCACTCAACTGACATTGAAACAGTGGGGGAAAGCAACTAAAAATAACAAGCTCGTTTTTTCGTTTTTTTAAATGGGTTTTTCGTTGTTTTATTTTGTAAGATATAAAAAAGGGTTTAATATGATGGATATGATGATAAATAAATAGAATGAATAATTATAAATGAAAAGAAAAAAAAAAAAAAAAAAAAAAAAAAAGTGTGTGAAAGAGAGTGAATATGGTAGGAGAGATTATTGAAACAAAAAAAAAAAAAAAAAAGAAAAGCTTAAACTTTTCTCTCTCTTTTTTTTTTTTTTTTTTATATAATAAATGTGTGTGTATTTATTAAGCAGAAGCCAACTTGGGAACGTGAGCCAAACCAAGATACTCTAAAGGAAGCTTCAAATCAGAAGAAGCTCTTTGACGTGCAACTTCCGAATAATGATTCAATTGAGCTTGTACTAACTGAAGTACGGGCAAAACTTGTGATTGAAGAGCTTGAGCAACATTCTTTGCCTTATCCAAGGAGGTAATATCTTCACGTGCATATTGAACACGAACTAATTCGACTTGCTTATTAGCAATCTCAACAAGAGAAGAAACACGGGTCTTGAGCCATTCAGGAGTCTCACCCGATTGTACCTTGACAAAATCAATCACTTGCAAAAGCTGGGTAGATACTTGTTGGGTCAAACCTTGTAATCTTTCATTGGTACTAGCATGGAGTGTTTGGATACGCTCAGTTACAGCAGGAGGAAGACGTTGATGAGCTTGTTGTGCGTACAATGTGATTGATTGAACAACAGTCTCTTGAAGAAGTTGAATATTGGCTGTGGTCTTTTGAACTAATGCCGATGTTTCGGTAATACGAGCAATATCGCCACGAGTACGAGGAATTTGTGCTGCAGAAGTCTTGACTTGTTCAGTCACTCTTTGACTTAAACGAAGAGTAGCATCATTCAAAACGTAGTAAGCACGTACTGCTTGGTTAATTTCACGTGCATCAGAGCTGGTCTTTTCTTCTGCAGGAAGATAACGTTGGATGACTGCCTCGACATTATCTACAACACTTCCAAATCTCTTATTGGCTTCCTTGGCAACCTGGTTGGCGGGTTGTGTAATAGAGCTATCGATTTTAACCTTGACGCCATCGACGATTTGATAAGAGGGAGTAGTAACAGCTCTAACGATCTCTGAAGTGGATTGGTTAACGACGGGAAATTTGTTTTGGATTAAATCTAAAGAGCGACATCCAAGAGCATCGGCCTTTTCGACGTGAGGTTGAATGTAGCTTTCATAATAGGATTGAACATATTTAGGTTGACTGTTGGTGTATTTACTGACGGTGAAATAAGTGGAGTTAGCTGTTAAGAGAGCAAATCTACCAAGACTTGTCTTGTTAGCGATTGCTTGGACGGTTGAAACACCATCTTGAACAATAGGAATTGAAGTAACACGTGAGACAAACTTATTTCCTGATTTATTATCTTGAACAATTTCTTGTTGTTCACTTGTTGTTTCAACTGTGGTTGTATCAGATAAAACTTCCTCTTCCAACACAATTTGTTCTACTTCTTGTGCTTGTTGCTCTACTTTACGTTCTTCGCTATGCTTTTGGTTTTCGTGACCTTCCATAATAATAATAAAAAAAAAGAATTAAAGAAAAGAAAATAAAATAAAAAAATCAATGGGGGTTTATTATAATATTGAACGTTTAGCCGCAAAAATGTGAATAAACGTGGTTTCCTTATCGAAAACAGATAATATATCCCGCAAGTAAATTAATACATACCATGTTGATGTTGGTGATGATGATGTCTGGCCATTTTATAATTATTTTTATTTTAACAATACAAAAAAAAAAAAAGAAGAAAAGGAAAATAATTGTATCATTCATTATTTATATATCGAAAAACCTGATTTAACATGATGATGAAACAGTTGAAATACTGATTGGCTTAGAAAAAAAAAATTAACGCTACACGAGTCGAACAAAAGTCTGCCTATTAAACAGGACACTTATTTGCATGTGATAGACAAATAGAGATTATAATTCAACAAGCTATCAATTTTAATTTCCTCTGATAATCACCTTGAATATCTTTTTTTTTTTTTTTTTTTTGTTCACTTTAAAAGTACTTGAAAATATTTATAATCGTGTCGTGAATTTCAGCTAAATCGGGGTGATCACAACGAGTATCTTCACTTTCACATGTAAGAAAGCACAGACACACATACACATCCTTTGGTCACGTGAGCTCCTTTCTTCTATCATTTAAAGACCCTTTTTCAAAAGAGCAGTTTAGTAGTAGGATGATAAATGTGCAACAGCATGTCATTTCTTTTTGAACACTGACATTGACTGGCATATGATAGTCTTGCTATATACACGCGTCTTCTTCTATCACAATATCAAACTCTATAATTGGGTATATGAATGTCTTCTCTAATTTTTATAATAACCTTTATTCAAATGACAAATAAAAACTGCGCTTATTTCATGTATTAAAAAAAACCCGCGTATTTAACACTGCGTTGATGTGATACAAAATTAGGGTCATACAAAGCGCGCTGTCAACGATTTGCTAGATAGCAACCGACCCAAAAAAAAAAAAAAAAAATAGTGAGATTGTAGGTCTAGAAAGCGTTGTTACACTATGTGTTAATGCCATTATAAACATGATACGTGGGATAATTGTGGAAACCTGAGAAGAACGTAACTGATTCTATCTCTCCGTATTTTTCCCTTTCAATATATATATATATATATATATACCATTCAAAAAAAGGGTTCTTTTTATTTCGCACGTTATCAAACACAGTGTCTCGATCAAAGAAAAATGATTTGTACCATTGCTCACCTTGTCGAAATCTTTTCCTAATCAAAAGAAAAAACCCCTTTTTTTTTTCAGGGCGGAGAAGTAATCCAGCCTTTTATTTGGGTCTCCTTCCAACACACATTTTTATTTCTTCTCTCGTATTGTAGTAGAGCATGTTCTGTGTAATACACCTCTAAATATATATATACTACCGCTATCTATCTAGTGGTATCAAAACAGTTTATTATGAGATGATTTTTAGTGTAACAGAAAAAATTGTTTTGCCTGCTGAAAAATTATGGTCAATGCATTTCTAGCATGTGATGGCCTAAATTCATAAGCCGCTACTTTTTTTTTTACATGTGGGACCCACTACAGAAAAAAAAAAGGCCGCCAAAAAGCTTGTTTAAAAAAGGTCAAGCGATAATATTGTGTACGTCTACAGCAAACACAAACTAAGAATTTGTGCCTCTTGTATAGGAATTATGACTTTATTGCCTTTTATGCGTAATAATAAGCTTTTTACGGTAGATCCTCTTGATTTTCATTGATTTCCGGTTAAGCATATGAAGAGTACACCCTATTGGTGAAAATTGCCATTTTCGATTTCGGTGGATTCGGCGGTCACACCTGGCAAAGAAGCATAACCAATCGTATAAATGTAACTATAACATACAGAGACAACTACTCGGTCACGTAATTGATGTATTAGACCCGTGATTGTCATTATAAGTTTATACTTATGACTTACACGCCCTTATATATAATAAAATTTCCGTTTTTTATTAATTTAACAGAATCTATACATCTGTTTGTATTGCACAGATTGGATTAATTTTCTTGACAAACACTAATAATCTATATTTGGTTTGTCGTTTTCACGTACACATGAAATATTTTAAATGTAATACAGCATAAAATTAAACAAAGTTTTTGCTTTCATTATGTGTTTTTTTTTTGAAACGAAAAACTCTTTATGAGTATCCGTGTCAACCCTCAATATAAAGCAACACACGGAAGAAGCTAAAGAGAGTTAATATTATGTATGAGTGTGATATCTTTCGCGAGTATGAATATTACTAGTTCATGCTGCACTCCCCTTTTCCGCAAATGTACGCACTAGAGTCTTATAGTATAGATGCTAACATGGGTTATTTTTGCACAACAGCCATAAGTTTGATACTTGAATGTGGTGCCAAGCCTAGCATAAAATCATTAAACAGTCAAATAGTTCTTGTGATTTTTCAGGTCTGTCTTAAAACCTACATTGCATCACTGCAAGGGCACAAATGTTACCAAGGCTAAAAAGGCAATGTTTAAGGAAACTCAAAATATGGGTCTGGTAATCATTCCGCTACACAAATCAGATATCTGGGGTTAGCTTTACTAGTATATACATAAAAAAATAGTCTACAGAGCCCAACCATTGACTTTTTTAATTAAATCTAAAGTTAGTCACTGTTTTAAAAAAATACCCCCTATTGGATGTTAATACTTCAGGCACACGGCAATATTTCCTTGTCTGTAAAAAACACTGAATTAAGCGCAGGCACTTAAAATAAATTCATTTTGATCATATTATCAATTGATACTATTCTGATAATGCAGGTACCTGGAACTTGTGAAACGTAAAAATTGTCCTGTGTTTGCTTTTGTTGATTCACCATTTAGTAACTTATTAGAAGCACAAACACTAAAAACAAGGACTGTCAAAATAAAAAGTGTAATGCAACTATTCAACTGGACTTGTGTTATTCAATTGAGCAAAAGTGTCTAATTTATTATTGTCTGTGAAACATGCGATTTCTCGTCTTTTATATTTTAAAAGACATTATCAAGACAATGTGCCAACGTCTCACCTAATATAATACTATCAAACCTGATAAAGTTTTCAATCAAAGATGTCATTGCTAAAACATCAGCAGATTATTAACATTGCTTTAGAAATTTGATATGCGACAATATTTTTGTAATGGAATATCGAAAAAGTATCGAACACCGCTAAAGACAATAAAGGAAAAACGCGTTCATTGCTGGTCATATGTAAAAGAGCTTATTTATTCTTTCCAAAATGTTAAGCATAATCCAGCCAGCTCAAGAGCACAGACAAGAATTACATGACGACAGCTGAAGAAAAGCAAAAGTCGCAAACGATGTACAACTCTAAGATGTGGACTTTGTCAACTGAAAAAAAAAAATAGTAAAGCAACAAATGGCATCGTTTGCTCTATCCTACACGTATGGGCATTTGGAACTCTATCTGATTCTTAATGTATCCAACGGTGTTTAGAGTGATTACTTCATATACACTCATATATCACAAATATCATGAACAAGAATTGTACACTACTGCCCCTCGCTGTCTAAAAACCTTTATTCCTTTATAAGCTCCTTTGATAAAGAATTCACTAACCCTTCAGATTTATAAATTATCAACCACATGACCTTGTATTATTCATTCATATTCAGAAGGTCGAAGTTATATGTATCATTTGGATTTCCGGCATAGTATAGCTCACTAGCTTTTTTTGCATTTGATAAGACAAAATAGTGCAGTTAACATTACCACAAGTAACTCTTCCATTTAACATATAATATAAGGGTGATGTAATACAACACATGTCCATCTTATGATATATTAGGCCAGATGTACTAACTGGATTATTCCGTAGTATTATACCAAGCAAAGGTCGCTCTCGATTCTCACAATCGGTTCGCCTAAAAAATAACATAGCCTTTGATGTGTTACTCGAAAAAATTCTGGGGGGGATGATCTACAGACATTATCTTGCGGAGTCCAATATTTTGGAGGGTCAATGTACGTCATTGAAAGCGAGTCGAGAATACAAGATAATTATGTCTTCTTTACACTTTCGTGGTTTAATCCCTCGTACCCTTCAATACAATGCGAGAATATATCAAAAGTTCTTTCACACCAGTGTGACGCGACGACAAAACTATTTCGATACGTTCAAGTTTGTTGAACGATTAGAAAAAGAAGGATTTACAACACAACAAAGTGAGGTGATTATGAATTCGTTGCAGAAAGTTATATCTGAAAGTATGCAAGACCTTACAAAAATCATGGTATCCAAAGCAGAAAGAGAAAAGGTGCGTGGTTAACAAGCATGTGGTTATGTGTTACTTATAATGAATGTAGGCCATTTATGCATATAAAGTGGATTTCGCAAAGTTGAAATCAGAAATACAATTGATTGAACGTAACGATTTTACAATGATGAAGACCGAGAACGATCGCCTAGAGGGAGAGCTGGAAAAGCTGAAACAAAGACTAAGAGAAGAAGTAACAAGAACACAAGCTAACGTTCGACTTGACCTGAATTTGGAAAAGGGACGAGTTCGAGATGAGGCCAGTGCACAAGAAATCAAGATAAAAGAAACAGATACAAGAATTGAAAGCGAAATATCAGGACTAAGAACTCAAATGGAAGCTATAAAATTCCAAATTATGCAATACATGATTGGTACGATGACTGGTGCTGGTGCATTGTTCTTAGCGTATTTACGTATGTTTAAATAAAAATTTATTACAGTGTTGGTATAATTTATCGACCGTACTTTTGCCATTCCCATTCACGATTATCAAGAGGACAGACTTGACGACTCTTTAACCAACGAGAGATACAATGGAAGTGAAAAGCGTGCTAAATATTATTCCAAAAAGTTATTATTACACACTAATTAATTACATAAAAGCTAATACTTACGTTACAGATACCCCAAGCAACTGTGCATTCTTCAGAAGTGGCTGAGGCTTGATTGGCTTGACATTCGATACCTACAACAATGAACTTATCAGTGGGGCTGCTTCTTAAAAAAAAAAAAAAAAATCGGTGCTTATCTGGACTTACATAAATCCATAATGTGGTTTCTGCAAATAGCGCAGTTGTCAACAACAATATCTATAAACGGAGCATTAGTCGCTGCATTGCATCCATGTTATAATCAATTTACCCCAAGCCCAAAGAGCGACGGCATTCCACTAGTCTAGGCGTTAGATTTAATCGGGTTAAAATGGTTCTTTTGAAAATACCTTTTTAACTTCAAAACGAGGTTTTTCCTCCTTTCCTTTTCCTTTAGATTCTTCCACAAGTGTGATATCTGATGATGTTGCTGTGGGTGGATCAATATCCATTGGTGTTGACATGTTGATTTATGTATGGACAAAGAAAAAATGAAAAAAATAGTCTAGTTGCGCGTTTTTTTTTTTAAAAAGGCACGAAGCCATGTCATCATATAATCACTACATACACCACAATTTGTATTTATGTGACAAAAAAGTGAAGTTTGCATGCAATACGCATAAATTTTTGCAACTTACTGGGTAAAAATTTGTCGTTTGATTAATTAGAATTGTTTATGCAGTAACAAGTAGAAATCTAATTGTAAAAACAGAGGATTCGTTTAAAAGAGCAAAGGTTACATTGTAACTTGTCTCGATCAGTGCGTACAAATTTAATAGTTTAGAGTTGAATGAAAAACTCAGGTCTGGTATGACGAGAAATTTGCTTAGCTTTTGATGCATAAACTGATTGTTGAACACTTCTATGAATAAAGAAAATAAAAGCTGTTGAAGAAAGTTAAGACAACTAATCGCGGTCAAAATACAAAATCATGTAAAGGATATGTCCGAAAAAATTAAGATTAGAAGGATGCGACAAAAAATCAAAGCGTTTATGGACGTTTCATAAAAAACCAGCAGAATTCCCCAAGTTACAAATGTTTCGTGTGGATTCTTAAAAAAATTTGCATTGCTTCAATTGGAACATGCGGTTAGCCTGAAATTTTAAATTTGAAGCATACCCAACAAGGTCCTATAAAATATTTTTTATCTTTTTTGAAATCATAAGAGCACACACTAGTAATATCTTCCACGGATATTTAGGGCGAACATATAGTAGTGAGATCTTGCTACAAGTTTATCTCGCAAGGAGTACATGTTGCTGTGTAAATCTATTCCCGGTGATCAGTAAGTTTTATACAGTTGCTGCGGGTATGGTGCTTAAATGGGATAGATAGCTAATTACAATCTTTTCGTAATTTTGACAAATTACCGCATTAAGAAGATAGAACCGCAGTAAAATACAAGGGCGCCATCCTCTCGGGCCACAATACCTAATTTTTTGAAGGGGCATGATGAGCTGTCTTTTTTAAGCGCATACAGTATCATTTGATTTTTTTTTTTTCGCTAGGAAAAGAAGATTATCATCAGTTGCATTTAATGAATAGCCTCACATATCTGGAAATTAAAATAATTTAATGATCAACTAACCTTTCTACGGTATTTGTTATTCTTTGTTATCATGTACACAATGAACATTGTTTAGGAAAAAAGAAGAAAAAAAAAAAAAGGGCGAGATAAATAAATAAAACAGCCCCTTTGCTTACTTTGTACTGAAGAAACGATGTAATTATTCAGCAACTGCTTCGATCACTATTATTGCCTTTAAATAGACTTATTGAATATATATATACTCATTTGTGTTAATACTGTAGGTTCATCATTTTAAAAACCTCATGTCTTTGTATAAACAATTACGGACCATGAAAAAGCTTCCGTACTTTCTATCAATGTCAACCATATCTGCTATGAATATGTTGAACTTTTTTACGCGTGCTCAGATTTTATTTATGTCGGACTTGGAAGTTTTGTGCGTCATCGAATGAAAAGAGCTTGTGCAATTATGGGAAAAGTTTATCATTCTTCAATTGAAGACCCTTCTTTTCTTCTTCTTCTTCTTCTTCTTCTCTTTATAATAAAGCCATATTTATATATATAAAAATCATAATGGAGACCAATTGCTATATTACAGAATTCTATCCTAGAGGATTATTTGGAGACGCACAAACACAGATCGATAATCGGCGGACAATGTTCTTTATGGAGACTATCCAGGAGGAAGAAGAAGAAGAAGACAAGGATGAAAAGGATGAATATTTGTTTAATATATAAAAGAAAAAAATAAAAAAAAAAAACGATTTATTGAATCTCAAAGCCCTCTTCTGCCATCCAAATGGATACGATTCTGATACATGCTTGAGCAATCATATCGTGATCTAAATCCTCAGGTTTATCAGTTGTTCCTTGCATAAATTTTAATAATTCCATAACTACATCCATCATATCAGATAAGGTGGTACGTATCTTCAACAGCATTTCAGGATCCATGCCGGATTCCTTGTCCTCAGTATAATTAGTAGCTAAATATTCCATGGCTGCTTCAAGTATTTCAAAATAAACGGGTACCATGATTTCTTGTCGTTTTTGTTTATGATTCTCGCTCTTTTGTTCTGCGTTGTGCTCTCGGATCACTCGGTCGTTAATATCGTCAATCATAATCTTGGCCTCAATCGAGACTAAATGAATTAATAGCGCTGGAAAATTAGCTATGGCATATGATTGATTAACAGGATGGCTGACATTATCACTTGATGCCTTCTCCTTCTTTCTTTTGGCCTTTTTGGTATCTTGGAGGGATTTGAATAACCAGTCGTTACCAAAGTAACGTAATAAACATGAAATCAACAATATCGCATTATCTCTCTGGGAATCATCTACAAACAGTATTAGTAAAACACCCACTATGATCTTGCTGTATTTTCACTTACGTAATTTACTGCTCAAGATCTGTCTAAGGCCACCTAATAAATTATCTAACCATTGATCAATTTTTTTCTCTGATTCGACCTTGACTTGTTTCATAATCTACATAAACGTAAGTAACTTTGTGGGGAATGCATTAACTATAAAAAATAAATAAAGTCTTACATCTGTTGGAACGTCAGGTAAGACACTAGCCAAAATAGTCAATGCCTCAAACTTTAACATTTTCTGATCATGATTCAAAGTGTTTGAAAGAATGGAAATCAAAGTGGATAAAGAATATTTCAAAGCAGAAGATAGACTTGGAATTTTATGCTCATGTAATAAGTGGCATGCTCTTGCATAAACAGTAGTGATTAATTGTGTGCATAAGACCCGATCATCCTTGTCTGTTGTTTCTAAAAGCACTGAGAAGATATTCTTGAGGACATCAGGATCGAGCATCTTTACAAGGCCCTCCTTCTTTTGTGCGACGCATAATAAAATGTTCAGGACTTCTGTATTCAGCTCACTTTTGGCGTCAAGTAAGCGCGAAAGGCCAGGAATACGATCAACCATGTCGGGTTCGGAAGCCAAACTTTCGTAATGGGCAAAACAGGCTAAAATGTTGACAGCAATCTCTTTCAAAACTGGATCAGGAACTTCGGCATCAATTTCATGATCTATTACAGAAAGAGAGAAAAGGTTGTAAGTTCAATGTGCATTGTGCTGCTGATAAAAAGATAGTTACTGGTTCGAAGTAATCGTTCAATGAATTTAAAGTTCATTCCTTTAAAGACACGTTCGATATTTTCAATATTGTCTTGTTCGAGTAATTTAGGTAAAATAAGCATTCCAACAAATTTAGACTCGTCAGAAGCCGAAGGTACAATCATGGAGAGACATCGGTCAATCTCTGCTGTACGATCTCTCTTAGAGCTTGCAATGGCTTCCATGTCAAAAAAAAAAAAAAATTAAGAGAAAAGAGAAAAAGTATCTGAGCTCTAAAAATTGTCAAGAACCATTGAAAATAAAACGTCAGCTAATAACAAACTATCATCCATTTACTTATACACTGGAATTAAATCATGGCTATCAATTGCATACATCGGTACTTACCGAGACTTCTCAATTCAGACCATAAAAATTACACAGCTGTACAAACGTTCACTATCTAACATCCTAGCACAACAAGCCACTATGTTCTGACATCTTCTTCAATTTGTTCCGCTGTGGAAATGACATACTCTTTACTCTATATTAAAGCAGAGAGATTCAAAAAGCGTATGTTTATAGTTGAGGACAAGATTACGGCAATTTTTTATAGATTTAGCGATATAGGAACCGTTTCCTGGGGTGGTATGTTTAGTATGAAAAAAGGTTTTTCAGGCCAAGCAACTATCTAGGCAAAAGGCAAAGTGTTGAAGAATACTTTTTCTAATTTGCTAGAGGTAATTTGAATGCTGCTACATTATTTTGGTTTACACTTATGTTTTAAACTGGATATGTATACGGTGACAAACTAGAGTCTGCTAAAAATTTAAAAATCACCATTGCATTGAAATAATAATCAACATAAGCTACTAAATACTGTTTATGAAGCTTGAAAACTTCGAATAAAATCGATTCATCATCATTGAATGTGACCTTGTATTAAGGGACAATATTAAATTTAGTTCTCGCAAGTATGTAATTAAGACCCATTGTTAATCTGTTAGTAGTTAAGGTTAAATAAGTTTTTGTTACAGATTTATCGCACTCTAACCTGGATAATTACATATATCATAAGCTTTTATGCGCTGTGAAATACCAGTCTTTCCTCGGAATAAAGTGGGTTTCTTTATTAGACACGGTAAAAAAAAGCTTAAATAAGTATCTGCAACGCTTCCATATTTGTTGATCTTAAGGATAATACATAAGCATGGCTTTAGAATGGTATCATGATGTGGTCATTTATTCTAAATATGCATTATTATTTTTAAATATAAATAGAATTTCATCATTTATTGTAGTCCTTATAATCGATGATATCAATGATTTAACGCATCTAAAAAAACAAAGAAGTGTTCATGTCGTTTATGAATGCTGTGGGAATTTACAGAGCTTTTTTTTTTTTTTTCATGGAACTAGTCCCAGAAAAAAAAACTAGCCGTTGAGCCGCCATTCATAGAATTGATAGTTGTAAGAACTCAGCAGGAGATCACAAACATCCCCTGGTGGAGATGCACATGAAACTTCGAGTTTTTACATTTCTTTTGTGAGGCAACCGTTCCGGGCAGAACGGTTGCTATGCTACAACTCTGCTTCATAAAATGAAAACGTAACATAATCTAATAACCTTTTCTTTATAAATAGAATATCTATATTTAGTTTCGATTTCTTCATATGTTTATACTTAGTTCAAAAATTTACAGAATCGATCTTTTATAGATAGCGTTCCGAAGCATCAATATATATTCACACGCGCTCTATACTCTATGAGTTCTACCATTTTTTTTTAACTATTGCATAACAAGTCAGTAAACCAAGACCCTATGAATGACGAATAATTGTGGCAATTTTAATTAAAGCCTTTTCGGATCTAAAATCTATTGGCTGTAATATATTATCTAATCTTAGCCTAAAAGTCATTTACTGAAAGAAGGACACTTTAAGTTAGTCCTCATCCGCTGACTTCCTGTAGTTATGTATCTATGTGGAGATATAAAGCACATAGACATATTACATGCCGTGAGAAAAAATAGAAGGGGATGTGTACTTTTTTATTCTTAAAAAAAAATTATTATTAGCATAAAATATTTTGTAAACTCATGTGCTTTGGCTCCAATATTGGTGAGGATGGCTCGACAGGCTTTGTAGGTTCTTGTGGAGGAGTTAAAGGGGCTGAAGACTTGATAAGATCCATGGGTTTCAATGCTCTCTTCTGTTCGTCACGTACCGAGAACTGAGTAGTGAAAGGCTCTACTTCTTTAGGTAACATTGATTTAGCCATTTTGATCCTTAAATGACCCCCTTTTAATCGATCATCGTTACCATCTAGTGTTTTCACCACATCTTTTAGATAGGCAATATAATCAATTGCACTTTGCAGGATAGACATTTTATGAAGATTATCTTGTTCAGCACAGGTGGGTATTAATTGTTTTAACTGCATTATCTTATCATTGATACGTTCGCGACGTCTTCTTTCTATAGCACTATGAGAGACTTTTCTGGCCTTTTCTCGTTGATCTGCTGCGGTTACGGGTGTTGGTGTTGTTTGGGGTGACATTTGTAAGTATGGGTAGAAAGGAGGTGGTGGCTGAGGTCCAAGAGCACCTGCTGGAGAAGATAAGGGTGTGATTGTTTCATGCGTCGCTTTGGGCAAAATCAATGGGCCCATAGAGTTTCGATGAGTTTCCATAGAAAATGGATGTTGTTGAGGACTGATTGGACAATAAAATTGTTGATAATAGTAAGGTACGATGTGACCATTTGGGTATTGCATTAAAGGTGGGGGAAGTGCCACTAAAGGAGGAGGAGGAGGAGGAGGGGTCGGCACTGACATTGTTTGTTGCGCGCTTGTAGGTGATTCATCGCACGATAATGATGACTCTGAGTGCTTTCTTTTATTACTATTACTAGACATTTTGATTTTAAAAAAGAAGAAACAAGGAAAAAAAAAAAGAGAGGGATTTTTTTTTTTAAAAAAAAAAAGGGAGGGGTGGGGTTAAGGAAAAAAAAACCAATAGAGATTTAGATTGTAACAGCATGGTTCAGTTGTCATTGATAGTGTATATCTCCAATAAGCAAAGACATGCTCTCGCACGTGTAGTTGTGATTGGGCCAATTATCGGTCACGTTTTCTCCACAAGCGTAAAGGGTTATAAAGTTTCTTTGTGTACATGTACCGACCAATAAAAAACGTGCAGATCTTGACCTTAACGACACAACCTCTTTTTTTGGCAACTGACTAAATTTTTTTTTGGTTTACCGAGGCATTGTTACATCTGAAAAAAGAGAACTTGCATAAATACAATATTTAACATGTTTGTTCAAGAAACAACTTTTTAAACAACATGAGCTTTTTTTTTTGTATTTTCAAGAAAAAAAAAAAAAAATAGTGACGCGTTCTTTTTTTTTTTCTGTTCCCAAAAAATAAAAAAGCGCGTGCTCTCAACAATTTTTTTTTTTTTTTTTTGGATGGGATATAGTTGATCACAGGTAATTTTTTATTTATTTTTCTTTTTTTCCTTTTTTTTTCATTCGAGTTTTTTGGTACCTTAGCTTTTACCAAATTTAAAACTCTTCTAAACCCCCCAAAGAAAAATAAAAATATTATGAGAGAAGTTATTTCACTTCACGTCGGTAAGTTATTCTATCTAGTTGTTAGGCAATAGATCTAATATTACCGAATTCTTTTCTTTAGGTCAAGCTGGTGTCCAGATTGGTAATGCCTGTTGGGAATTGGTAAGACTTTTAGCAACAAAATAAAAATAAAAATCTTAATGTAATTTTTTTCTTTATAGTATTGTCATGAGCATGGCATCCAACCTGATGGACGTTTCCCTGAAGGTACCCATGTCGATGATCACTCGTAAGTTATTTTATTATTAAAAAAAAAAAAAAATTGTTCATGTATGACTAAACCGCACATTGAAATAGGTTCGAGACTTTCTTCTCTGAGACTGAAGGTGGTAAGCACGTTCCTCGTACCGTTATGGTCGATTTGGAACCCTCAGTAATTGATGAGGTGCGTACTGGTGCTTATCGTCAACTCTTCCATCCTGGTAAGTTAGATTCGTAATCTATTTATAAAATGTACAGATTTTCTTATATATGTATACAGAACAATTGATCAGTGGCAAGGAAGATGCTGCAAACAATTATGCTCGTGGTCATTACACTGTTGGTAAAGAAATGGTTGATAATGTATTGGACCGTATTCGTAAGTTAGCCGATAACTGTTCTGGTCTTCAAGGTTTCCTTGTTTTCCATTCATTCGGTGGTGGTACTGGTTCTGGTTTTGGTTCTCTTTTGATGGAACGTCTTTCAGTGGATTACGGTAAGAAGTCCAAGCTTGAGTTCTCTGTCTACCCTGCACCTCAATTATCTACCTCTGTTGTTGAGCCTTATAATTCTATCTTGACCACCCATACAACTCTTGAACATTCCGATGTCTCCTTCATGGTTGATAACGAAGCTATTTATGATATCTGTCGTCGTAATTTGGATATTGAACGTCCTACTTACTCCAACTTAAATCGTTTGATTGCTCAAGTTGTTTCTTCTATTACTGCTTCTCTTCGTTTCGATGGTTCTCTTAACGTTGATTTGAATGAATTCCAAACCAATTTGGTTCCTTATCCTCGTATTCATTTCCCCTTGGTTACTTATGCCCCTATTATCTCTGCTGCTAAGGCTTATCATGAACAAATGTCAGTTCCCGAAATCACCTATTCTTGTTTCGAACCCAACAATCAAATGGTCAAGTGTGATCCCCGTAACGGTAAATATATGGCATGTTGTTTGTTGTATCGTGGTGATGTTGTTCCCAAGGATACCAATGCTGCTATCTCTGCTATTAAGACCAAGCGTACCATTCAATTCGTCGATTGGTGTCCTACTGGTTTCAAGGTTGGTATTAATAACCAACCTCCTACAATTGTCCCTGGTGGTGATTTAGCTCAAGTGCAACGTGCTGTCTGTATGTTATCTAACACTACTGCCATTGCTGAAGCATGGGCTCGTCTTGATCATAAGTTCGATTTAATGTACGCTAAGCGTGCTTTCGTTCATTGGTATGTCGGTGAAGGTATGGAAGAAGGTGAATTCTCTGAAGCTCGTGAAGATTTAGCCGCTCTCGAAAAGGATTACGAGGAGGTTGGTGCTGACTCTCTTGGTGACTCTGAGATGGAAGAGAATGAAGAATACTAGATATTTTTTTGTTTTTTTTTATATATATTTTATTTATAACCCCCCAACAACAACACACACATAACACACACATTTAATTCCAAAAAACATTTTTTATTTTCATATAATAAATTAACAAAAAATAGCCACAAAATTTAACTAGTCTCGTTCCTTGCCTCTGATTGCAGTCTTAAAACACGGGTTGCATGCTTTCACGGAGTAAATAAAAATCCATGCATTGAAACATAAACACGGGTGACTTATTTGCCTACATTTTTGTTGACTGACATTTTTTAAAGTTAACCTTAAACGCTCACAAGCAGTAATTTAAAAATAATATGGGACAGTTATTTTTTTTTTAAATTTTATTTTTATTTTTATAAATATAAATAATAGGGTTTGATAACACATTTGAGAATTCTGTAAAAGAAAAAAATGAATAAGTAAAAATGATTGATTTAACAATAAACTCAAAAGTTTTTTTTTCTATTCTTTTTTCATGGTGTATAAGTTTCAGTTTTTTACAACATTACTCAGCATAAGCCACCACTCGAAAATTTTTTCGTAGCGGGGCTCTAAGGCGGCTCTTCCTATATATTTTGATGTGTATTGTTTTCATCTTGTTATATACGCCCAAGAAAAAAAGAATAGAAACAAAACGATAGAGTCCGATTTATATATAGGTAAAAACTTACGTATTATAGTGACCCTTGCATAAACATTATTTTGACTGTACCAAGGAAATTTCGAGAGAAAAAAGTATGGTAAAATCTGTAATAATTAAAGTAATTAGTAATTCGCGTAAAGAAATAAATAAAAAAAATAAGAATGGATATTTCAACAATGAAAATGCGTCAGGAAGTTATACTGGCAAGTATCAACAGCACTCAGCGAAGCACTGCGGTTTATATCATCATGGTCGATAAGTTAAAATGAAGACAATGTTGTTTTTCATCATTCACAAAATCATTATCTGATACCCACTCTTTTTCTTTTATATATATATAAAGTACATACCAAAATAAGTTTAATAAAGTAAAAAAAAAAAAAAGTTTTAGGATCAACAAAAGAATCTTCATTTATACCCAAAGGAAAAAAAAAAAAAATTTATGTAACGTGACTCCTATTAAGCCAAAGTCACAAAAATTTCACCAGTGCAAAAGGTTTTGGTCTTCTTCTTTCAACATCACAGCATGAACGCCAGTTTGTGTACGATTATATCTCTCAAGGTTTTCATCTGTAATATAAGCTTCATCTTCTGGTGAAGGTGCACGATACGTCCCTAACATAAAATCCGTTTCAAAGTAGGCCCGCTGGAATGAAACACGCTCCAAACTAGGAAATACAGTCAAGAGCTCATACAAACAACTCATGGGTGTACGTTCTGCCAACTGCGTCAAAGTCAGATTTGTCACATGAGGTACAGTCGTTGCATTATTATTTTTTCCTTGAAACTGAACAATGGCATTCGCTATACTTGTATCCATTGTTATTTCTTTAAGTTTGAGAAACTGGCTGTTACAAATCCAATCGGCTACTTGATTTTTATCTAGTTGCTTACATCCAGAGATATCGAGCACATGCGTACTTCGTAAAATACAGGTAAATTTACGTAATTCGATTAATGTACACACCGTTTGTGATAATGAAAGTCTTGTTAAATGAGCACAGTAACGAGCTATCATGGTCAACCCAACTGACGTGATTTTTTTACACCCCGTCAAGTCTAATGTAAATAATCGAATATGCCGAAATTTGGCTAGCGCAGTTAATGCTTGGTCTTCCATGGCTGTATTAAACCGTACCGAAACGGAGGTCAAGGAATCACAGTCAGAAGCAAACGCTGCCAAACCTTGACCTTTATGTCGTGTAAGATTGTCCAATGCGACATGGGTTATTGCCCGACAACTTCTTGCGATACTGACAAGCATTTCGTCCGTGACCTGTGAACAATCAGAGAGATTCAAGACAGTCAAATGAGGTAATTGCCAGTGGTGCTTGGGTAAGGATTTATGCATGAAGAAGTCGGAATGAGACAGGTCGAGTATGAGGAGCTTACGGCAGTACTGCACAAGAATACGAAAGAAATTTGGGTTGACTGGATCATATAAGGTCTCCTGAATATTGGATAAATCTAACGCTTCGATTTTTGATAGATTCTTCTCTCTGATTTTAGGTAAATGAAAGAGGAACTTGTTGAACATGAAGAGTGCATCGTGGATATAAGAGAGTTGTTGGAAATTGGGTTTGTTATACACGCAGTCAAATACATGGTTCAATGTGGAGCTAGCACTGGCACAGACCAAGATATCGACTGTTGACAAATAAGGATATACAAGTGGTATTACTTTATACAATTTGGATTCGATGGGAGGTTGTAACAAAAGATTGCAGAATTCGTCCATGGAAAAATCAATGTGTTGATCATCCGAAACTGGTTTATTCCTGCTATCGCTACTATAAGATTGATTAAAAGACATGAAGAAAGAGAGTATAGAGAAACATATTTTTTCCTTCTTTTCGAATAAAAGAGTGCTCAGAACACATGAGTAACACAAAAAAATGGCTCAGCAGAAAATTTTATTTTTTCAAACATTGGCTGTATTTTCGATAATTGCTAATTTTCTAAACTTTTCCAAAACTTGATACATGGACACCTGCTTTTTCTTTTTTGAGGAAGGTTTTTTAACGGTCTCTTTCTGTTCTTCTGTTTCAATAGCATGCATCATTTCGGTGTTTGTCAACCGATGATTTTTCAACTGAACATGCTCTAAATCGACAAGCGTCATATACACCATATGACGATGTGCATGTGATTTGCGAAGCTTGAGTGAGACTCTGACATTATCAAACAGATTAAACTGAATAGGACGAGGCAAATTGGCCGAGGTCACAGATATATGGGTTGGTAAATTCACCTCGATTTGACAATCGGGTATCGTCTCTCCATTGTCTAAAAAAAGGAATGTTTGTATGCGTGTGCCTTAAATTTTTATATTTATTTATATCTACCTTGTTTGCCGGATATCAAAGATAACGGAACATTAGGCGAACCATCTTTTTCTTTCAGATAGACTGGGCCTTTTAACCCAAGTCTAGACATTGGGATTAGCATAATTTTATATATAAAAAAAATGTCTGTTCGATGCTTACCTTGGGACAAAAACGTAAAATCCATTGGATCTGATTTCTGAAATGACACCTCTTTCGATGAGCTGTACTTCATCGGACGTCTATATTATTTTAAAATCAATAAATAATGTAATTTTCTTTTCATAAAAGAGATGCATACATGTTGTAAAACGTAAAGACTTTGAAACAACTCGGTTGAGTCCTAAATAATGATATATTAGTTAGCTCAGTTGTTGTTGGTAAATGAAACATTACGACATACCCTTTGAGCAAATTTGGATTCCCTGGATTTCAAGTTCAAATGGTTGCAAATATCAGCAATTGTTCCATCTTTAAACATAACAGATCCTCGTGTACTATTGACGGCGATCGGGTCTTGTACGCACATCAGTAATTGACGATGCGCTACAACATCGGCGTATCGACGAATTGGTGACTTTATATTGATTTGTCAATAAATAGAATAGAACACACATTTAAAAAACTTACGGTGAAATGAGTATAGAACTCCAAGGCAAGACCATAATGGTAATACTGATCTACAGGATAATGTCCTGACGAAATGTATCCAGCTTCATTCATGGCAATAGTTGCCATCGTCTTTAACAATTTGGCAATTTCTGGATCCTCTTTACAGCCCATGGTGATAGCCTCTAACGATTTTGCCAACGCTTTATTGGAGGAGAAATCTACAGAAAATCCCTGTGGTAATGATTAAGTGATCCGTGGTCTCTCAATGTGTGATTTATATTTACTCTGCTTTTGGCCGCTTTAACCAATCTTTCAAATTGACCTTGGGTAGGAGGCGGATGGTGTCTAAGAATTGCGGCATCTTTGTAACCGTCATAAATTCGTTTTCCAACTGAAGCGTTAGCTAAAATCATGGCTTCTGCGACCAATCCATGAATTTCCATACTATCTTTGGGAAGTAAAGTAAAAAAAAAAAAAGTTAAGGATAGTTACCATGGTATTAAAATATTGAAAAAACAAGGTTAGTAACATTAAATTATCAGAAAAAGGATATTAATATCAGTAATTTCATGTTTGTCTGTGATTTTGAACTTGATTTCGGATCCTTCCAGTTCCAAAGCGCCTTTAGCCAATCTTTTATCCTTGATTTCCAAGTATGTTAGATAAAATAGATAAAAGTTTACTTTGTTATGTTTACCCTAATGACACGAAGCACTTGCGCAAGTTTTGTTACGCAAGGTTTTAATTTCTTACACAAGGTTGGATCTATAAATAAGATTGAGAAACAAACCGTGATATATATCATTTAATAACATACCTAATCCTGTTGCCACAGATTTACCATCTAATAGCTGCTGTGCTTGTTCGTACTCCATTTCACACGTCGAATTGATTATGGTCCTTCCAAACCAGGTGTTAATGACCTTGTAATTCTTATCCATAGTCCAAATGACAGAGACAGAATATCGATCGACGTGGTGGCGTAAAGAACATACTCTTTCACTGAGAACTGAAGGAAGCATATCGAAGCGTCTATCTGCTAAATACACAGTTGTTCCCCTATATTTTTATATTTATTTGCATTAGCCATACATTTTAATAGCCTTATTTCTTTTTTTTACCTGGATCTAGCTTCAAGGTCGGTCATCGAGTCCTCTTTGACAAAATAACTTACATCTGCAATATGAACACCCAACTCTATCTTTCCATCTGCAAGCTCCTTTACAGACAATGCATCTAATATGAAGCCCAAGTTAAAAAATACTCTTTTTCTAACTAGATTATACATACCATCAATATCTTGACAGTTAGGAGGATCAATACTAAAAACTGTCAAGTCCCTTAAATCCCTTCTGTTTTTCACCTCTTCCTATTTGAAAAAAAAAAATTATTTAATTTCGGGTTATTAAGAGTTTAAAAAAACTTTACTTCTTCAGGTCTCCACGGGGCTTGAGGAGTATCGATGGGCATTTCATTTAAAGAGGCTTGGCTAAAACCTTGACTCGCTTGAGACACTGAAATAGAATGCTCTACCAAGATGGCAGATATTTCTGTATCTAATTGATGGATAGGGCCTAAAGATCTTACAAAATGGCCATTTGGATATTGAGAAGAGATTGGCCTGTGGATAGGTTAAGTAAAGAAATAGAAAGTGTGTGTATGTGGAGAAAATAATAAAATACCAGTTATCAATGCGAACAACGATACGTTGGTTTTCAATGAGTTTTACCTCATGATATCGAATTCTAATTTTGGGAATAACGGGATCCAGTGGGATAGCGAGATGAATGGATCCTCCGACTTCAGCACTGTCTTCTTGAAGTGTAGCTACATAGGATCTCCAGTTGCGGTTTAATATACCAATCACACGGCCCGTAGGCTGATTTGATACACTAGCATTCGTGAATCTATCCTCTTCAAATTCTTTTTTTTTTTTGTGGGTTTTAGATATTAAAAGTGCATGAATGTTTCAGTTTCTTTTTTTTTACCATCTTCTGCGTTACTGCTATTGAATGCGATTTCACTTGATGGCGTAGTCCAATTATTTTCAGATAGCAAATCAACAACCACGACATCACCATGCACTTATTTAAAAAGGAAGGGAGTTGAGCTTATATCTAGAATAATCTTAATTTTACATTTTTTATTACCTGCACGGTTACGATTGTCATTACCGATAATGAGTATGTCTTTACCGAGTTGACCGGTCACGTAGGCCTGATCACGACTATCTTTTCTACAACGCAAGATGCCCGAGAAATAACGAGCAGATTTAATACCAACTTCCAATTCTTGCATAGATTTATACTCTGCATAACCGGATACAGCGACATCATGATGACCACGCTTTGTGCTGATTTTGATCTTGTTGTCATCCTCATCTTCCAGAACTACATCAGCCAGGACTTGAACAAGATTTTGCAATAATTCATTGTCAGGGAAATAAATGTCAAGGTATTGCTTCATTGTCATGACAGTAACATCGGTTGTGTTCTCGTGAGGTATTTCGGAGAGGAGAATAATGGATTTTTGGTGATGAAGGTGCTGATCATACCAACGAGCCATTTTACAATGGGCTCGCCAATCACGGTCTAGTGCGGATTCTTCCGGTTCTCTTAGGACTTTGGTGGCCTCACAAATTTCGTTATAAAACATGACGCTCTTTCGTCGAGAATCATTGGTTATTTGACGAAGTTTACGGTATGTTTTCATCTTATCGTGTTGTTGAAGCTAAACCGAAAAAAAAAAATTAATATGTATATATTGAGCATCCAAGGGGCCAAGACAGAAACCTACATGAATAGTAACAGTTTGGCTTAAAATTAGTCCAGTTATTTCTTCTGCCTCTAAAATTTCCATGTAACGCATAATCACCTATCAAATAGACACGTTCATTAATTATGATAAACAAATAAAGGGAGAATAAAATTAGAGTACCGAGGTGTCTGGTATGATATAATGTTGTGCAGCTGCGCTTAAAAGAGGACCTTCACGTCGACACGATGAGCATGCTTCTGAAAGACAAGGAATGTCTGTGCGTAAGTATTCTAACAATGTTCACGTTATTTAAGAAACCCACAATTGCTTTTATTAATGTACTTTTTTTTTTTATTAATGTTTTACGTTCTCTCACAAGTTTTATAATGGCATTGCTTTTAGTTTTCTTATAAAACGCGCGGTCAGTTTTTATCGTCATTGGGAGGTTAAAAAGGTTAAAGAGGGCGAGTGTTTGGATGACAAAAAAAAACAGATTCAGTCAGTCGCATGTAGGGAGCAGTCACACGTGATGAACTCTATTTTTTCTTTGGTGATCGAAACAGTTTAGAAGTAAGAACTGACAACAAAGAACATATTTAAAAGTGACACGTGCATGATCTTTTTCCAGTAGAGTTTAATGGCAAAAAAAAAAATATAAATAGGGCGACAATTTTTTACTTTCCCCTTCTTTTTTTTTTTTCTTTCTTTTTTTGTATTTTCCATAAAAGGAGTATGAAATTCTCCAAGTATTTAGAAGGGCAAAGTATCCCAGAGTGGAGAAAGGCTTACATCAACTATAAAGGATTGAAAAAGAAGTTGAAACAAGTGGAACGAGTAAGTTGTGATATGCGAAAGGAAGATCAATATTGATTTGAAGTAAATAGTTCCGAAAAGCCAAAGAAAGAAAGGCAGCGATCCATTTAGACAATGCGTTTCAAGACATGGATGATAGTGATGACAGTCATTATTGGTATAGCAAGAGCGAATATGGAAGACCTCAATCAATCATGAGCAAAATATCTTCCAGATTCAATCATCGGCCTGCTTCTCGGCAAGGTATAACCTTTTATTTGTTTATCTGCACCCAAAACATTAACTTTATATTCTTGCGGGTCAGGCTCTTTTAAAAGCTCATCTACCACAATGTCTATTTTAGATGAAGTTTTGTATCATGCCAGTTCCTCAGAGAGAAAATTTTTTGATGCCCTGGATTTCGAATTGGACAAAATATCAACCTTTTTTGACGGTAAATGAATTTAACTTTATGATGAAAAGCAAGGCAACTGACATACATGATACAGAAAAAGAAATTGAATCTAGGTTAAAATTGGAAGCATTGAAAGCTCAAATGCAATTTATTGCCGAGTATGGGCGTCAATTACTGAATATAGGGGTACACAAGAAAGATATATAAATATTTTTTTAATACACCCTATTAATTTGTTAAATTATGGCATCATATTTTATTTATTTTAGCCCGCACATCATCCAGAGCCCCAAATCATCGGTCATCATCGGCTCTATCATTGGTTTCGATATCAAGATCCACATACACAATCATATACATTATCTGAACTGCCCAATGTAGATTACGTCGGCGACCAAAGAATCAGTTACAATGTGGCTAGAAATAGGCTCAAAAAAGCCATCACAGAATACTATCGTAGCTTGGAATTTTTAATATCCTATAAAACTTTAAATGAGACTGGATTCCAAAAGATTCTGAAAAAGTTTGATAAAGTGGCGGGTTGGAAAGCAAGTCATTTGTATGCGCAAACCATCCAAAATCATCATTGGGCAAATACAACTGATCTTGATGTCATCATCAAGGAAACAGAAGTAAAGAAAGAAAAAAAAATGCCTGTTTAAAAAAACCAGATGATTTTCTTAACTTTATTTTTTATATATTTTAGACATTGTATATTAATGAATTTGCGGATGGCCATAGAAGACGCGGTATGCGAAAATTAAGAGCACCTGAGAAAGATGAAGTAAGTACCCAAAAAAGATAAATACAAAAAAAGTAAATCATTTGTAACCATTACAAAAAAAGGATCATAACACGACAATATTACGAGTGGGTGTCTTTTTGGGCATGACAGTACCTCTTCTAATCCAATCCTTTTGTTTGGCGGTCGACCCAAAGACGGCAAGACAATTACCCAACCTTCAAACAAATATCCAGATCTATGCATGCTTCTTACTGCCCATCTTATTCTGTTTGGGATTCGCAGTAAATCTCTTGGTTTGGCATCGGTCACGCATCAATTACAAGTTTATATTTGAGCTTGACCCAAGACAGAATTTAGATTATCATCAATTTGGCGAACTTCCTACCATCATGTTATTGATCAGCTCGGCTGTCATGTACATGGACTTTTCGCAATGGTTTTCTCCCATGATACCATCTGAATTATGTCCATTAATACTGTTTGTTATTCTTGTCGCTGTCATGCTTTGTCCTTTCGATATCTTGTACTGTTCTGCTAGAAAATGGTTGGGGGTCGCTCTGGTAAACATTCGAACAAATACAAACCTTAAATTTTTCATTTTTGTTAATATGTGGCTGGTTTTTTTTTTATTATTATTATAGGGAAGAATATTACTATCCTACTGTTTCCCTGTAGAATTCAGAGACTTCTTCATTGCGGATGAACTCAATAGTTTAAGTTATTCCATTTGGACGAGTTCATATTTTTTCTGCGCCTATTCGTGTCACTGGACAGACTTGGGTAAGTGGGTTAATTCTTTCTGAATACAGTTTATTTTTTTATTTATATTAAAATCATACAAGGTGGGAACTGTAACATGGCACAAGTTTGGGTCGCACCATTTCTTGCTTCATTACCTCCCTGGTGGCGTCTATTGCAGTGCTTTCGAAGATATAGAGATTCGGACGAAACAGTTCATTTATACAATGCAGCTAAATATACCAGCAGTATCATGGCTGCCATTGTCACAGGTCTTCGACGCATTTACCGTAAGTCTATTTTGTATTTTCTTGGGGGGCACCATTATTAAAACCTTTTATTTTAAATGCAGCGTCCAATGCCATGACGGTATTTTGGGTTTTGACATGTGTATTTAATTCATGTTATACAAGCACTTGGGATATTAAGATGGATTGGGGTTTACTTCGACCCAATGCTGAAAATTACTTGTTAAGGGATGAACTTGTTTTCTATCGATGGGTAAATAATGCGTGACCTCACATGGTGTCAGCTTGACTAAAAAAAAAGCTTATTTTTATTTTGTGTATTGTTTAGACATATTACGTCGCTGTACCAATCAACGTCATTCTCAGGTTTACTTGGGTTTTAAACATTGTCCAGTTACGCATGAATGGTCAGCTGCTGGCCATCTCGTTGGCACTTTTAGAGGCTTACCGTAGAATTCAGTGGAATTTCTTTCGACTTGAAAACGAGGTAAAAATAATACAAACAGTCAAATATTTAAATTAACAATACCCTATCATTGCAGCATCTCAATAATTGTGGACAATACCGCGCTATCAAAGATATTCCGTTACCATTTACCTTGTCAGATACTGACCTAAAGGCAAATATGAGTGACGAAGAAGAACGCCTGAGCATCATTTCCTCCAAAGGACCACAGCCCATTGACATTACAACCAACAACAGACATAGTCTCATGTCCATGTTACCCATGTCTCGACACCCTTCGTTTGTGGACCGAAACTCGGTGGGACATGATTCGATGCTTCGTGGATCATTCTATGGTAGACGTGATTTCGAAAATAAGCATGATGATACTGCAGATATGGTGGTTGGGTCTGTCAATACAAACAAACTGTGTCGAAAAGCTTCCACATTGGATAACGTCTTGACTAGAATCAAATCCATGAGAAATTCCGATCATAGTGATGAGTCTGAGAATGAAGATGATGATGACGATGATGATGACGAAGATGAACATTCAGATCATTAAATATATCGCATAATCTATACCCCCTCCCCCTCCCCTTTCTTTATTTTCTCATATTATAAAGCACATTTAAAATTATCCCCCTCTACCCTATTCCTCGCATACAGAATTATTCTTATAAATTATAGAGTATTAAAAAGACTTTCCTGTAACTAAAATTCGGTATTGATGGATGAGTTATTATGGAAGTAGTAGAAAGCGTTGGTAAAGCTTCACTAAGCCAGAAAATGAAAAGTCATATAATTTTGTGATTCTGTCTCAAAGAACTATGTGCCATCATCATTACGGCTCGGCAGTGTAGCTAATATGGTATGCCAGTGTAATACAAAGTATTACCTCTTGATTGCACACAATAAAGAAAAGTGAAAGATGTAACACTCTTCTTTATTGACGCCTTCTCTTTTCTCTTCTTGACGATTTTTTTATATATAATATAAAAAAATATAAACTTGCATCGATTCGAAAGTATTTTGGATGGAAAAAAGTTACTGCACCTCTCTGTCATCTGTTAAAGATTATATCCAGAAATACTTATTAAGTCTCATTCTTCATATTGCAAAGAAAATCTGTTTGATAAAGGCAGAAATGTAAAAGAGGTGAACTTTTAGAGTCCATCTTTAAGCAGAATAATTGAACAGTGATCTTTTGTGATAATTGTTAAAGACCAGACCTTTTAATTGGCCAACCGGGTGTCTGTCCGAGCAGTAAACATTTGTGTTTACTTCTTAAAAGTTCTTATTGAATTTTTATGTACATTTGCTTTATACGTGACACACTTTTACATTAATGCTATTTGAAGTGGAGTATGGATTAATCAGTCCTTTAATAAAAATAAATTAGAAATAATGATGGATAATGGGAACCAAACTCGGTCTTTTCTTGAATCTTACGTATTTCTTTTATTGACAAAAATTATTTGATCCCACAATCACTTGATTCATACCACAATAAAACCACTCATTTTAAAGACCGAATGGTACACCATGATGCTCTCACAGTAACAGCATGCCCGAAACAAATGTTTCTGTACTGATCAATGTATCACCGCATTTTACCACCATGATCAGCTTCGCGATGACAGAACATTTGTTTGTTACGCACATTCAAAAGGACCAGTAGTGCCAACATAATAATCCATTATTTCAACCAAGCCATCTTAAGAATAAATATGTTTCCCTCACAAAGCAAAAGTGTTTTGTAAACCTCTAATCACATCATCATTTCGACCATTAAATAGGTGTTTTATTTGTTCTACAATTACCCAGTTTGTAAGTACGCACAAAATATTTGAAATTGCGCAAAGCTTTAAAGACTATAATGCAAGCTTAAGTTTTTAGGGCAATAGCGAGTTACACAAACAAGGGGTATCGGTTAGTGAGAAAAAAAATTACAATGGAGTTGGATCCTCAATGTATGACGGATAAAAAAGCTACTAGTATGGACCAGAAAGCAATGAGAGTTTCACGCGAATCAACTAAATAGCAAAATTGGAATCGTGTGTGTGTGCGTGTGTGTGCGTACGTGCCTGCGTGCCTGCGTGAGTGTGGGGGATGAATTACACATGACATTCTGCCAACAAGAGCACCTTTTATTCTCTCAATAATATTTTGGCCATTCCTGAACCAGATAAGATCATTTTTCTGGTGAATAAAGTATTACACATCTTTTTGTTGCTTCTATATTTTGTTTGACTTTGAAAAAAAAAGTTCAGATAAGAAAATAAATCAGGGTTCAAACTTCTGGGTTGAATCATCTCGAAGTATCCTAATAAAGAAATAATTGTTCACATCCGGTGCCCTTTGGTATCACAAATCTTACATATATATTCATATATAACAGTAATCGGGATCTTCAATTCTTTTCTCGTGGTTTTCTTTTGTTCCTTTTTTTTTTTTTTTTTTTTTTTTTTTCTGTACAAATAAATACATGGATGATAAAACATTTTGGCTAGTTTGTGATGGAGCAAATAACTGTCATTGTGATTGGAGAGTAACAATTGTTGATTGTGTGGAAGGACATGTCATGTTTTATATATACCTTGTAAATGCTATATTTTCTTTGATTGCTGCATTGTTAGGTATAATTTAGTTATATATTTCTATTAAAGTTATACTGACGAAAATACAAATGTATATATATATATATTTACATAGTCGGCGGACTACTTATTTATCGAGTTGCATATAAACAAATGACAATTTTTGACTATACCAGATCGCCTCGACATTTTGCTAGGCCAAGGCCGATAGAGTCTTTGTTATTTTTTGGAACTATATTCAACTTCCGTAAGTTTATATAAATAAATTGACACCGTGAAATCGGGGATATATCGTAATGGGAAATCGTTCTTTTTAGTTAGAGCAATTGACGCGGCGCTGATAGTAACTGATGCTCTGTCAAACAAGATATTCCGCGCTTGTAAGACCTTGTGCTAAAAAATCGCAAATTAGAGACTAACCAAAAATCTAGTTTTCTATGAACTCCCGTGGCAATTTGGTATCTGTGCATTCACCTGCTATCTTTATGGCATCGCGCATACTGTTTCACACGTAAGTTTAAATTAAAGAGAGACAGATTTGTGTAATGACTTTTTTTAATATAGAGTAGTAAAGTGATACAAAATAATTGGTTTAAATCTTTGATTCTAATCGATATTTCCTGTACCGCCATGCTTATCCTGCCATTCATTAGTAATAATATATGTTCAATTGCAGCAGCGATATACGCTGAACGAGGGGACCTCGTAAAAGCCAAAATATTTACAGATGCGCTCTATTTCTTTTGGACATTCTACTGTTTTCTTTTGGCGTCCTGGATCGTTTTTGCTGGGCTTCGATTATTAAAGATTCTCCGACACCATTTAGACAACCAACATGATCCAGAAGGCTCGACCGTGCATAAAATTAAGAATGGCCGATTTAAAGTAAACGCAATCAACACACAGTGCCTAAATGCTGTTTAACCTGATTCTTTAATTAATAATAGGTCAAGATGATTATGAGTATCAGTGTTACTTCACTACTTGTATTCTCTTTTGTAAAATGTATATACGGTATATTCAGGGTCAATCTATTATTACACAGCGAATTTAATTTGGCACTGGCGTGTATCTGGACATTTGATGGCACTTTGGCATCTATGCTGGTGGTTGTCTCTTTACTGATTACGTAAGTTAATTCAGTTCTTTCGTCGACATGGATACTTACTATCAATTAGGCCCAAAGCGCTTTCACCCTTGGATTCAAGTTCTGGAGAATTAGAATCATCATCACAGAGTGATTTCAGTAGAGGCCGTCTATCGAACAACACAAAGGGCGGTTTTAGCCGAAGTCGAGATACGATATCGAAGAATGGCTTTAGAGGACGTGAAGTTCTTGTACCTGAAAGTCCATATCATGGAGAATATCCTGCAAGTAAGTGTCCTATCGAAAAAGGATTGGCTGTTTAACTAAAACAAAAGATGTTAGACTTTAATCAATCTGGAGTTTCAGAGGCACATCTTATACCATTGTCACAAGACATTAAGTCTTGAAGAGAAAAAAAAAAAAACGTGGCAAATTGCTTGATTTGTGGTCGAGCCATCCTATTAAAAATACCAAATTAGAGAAATTATTTTTTCTTTACTCTCTCTTTTCTCTGTAAGGGGGGATATGCATAACATCAAATCACATCAATAAGTTTTTTTACAATTTTTTTTCTATTACTATTTCTTCTTCATTTATAAAAAAAAATAATTGATCATGACACACTCATTACTACAACAATCCTTTAATCACAATGATCTGGCTAATGAATGGGAAGAAGCCTTTCAAAATAAAACCAATAATCAATCCCATTTCAGTCATTATAATGCCATCTTCAGTGACGATGAAGAAGACGAACCACAAAACAAACTCACTTCACGCTGGCTACAGCCAGAAAATAATTTAATACCGTGTTCAAGTTCAGGCTATATCGATCCTGTTCTAAGCTCATCCACCTATCATATCCATCAAGCCGATAATGCATTATTACTGTTAAAACACGTTGTACTGGAAGATGGTTGGAAAAAAGCATTGAAACATAAAAGTGGAGTGATCGTTCATATGAAGAATGGAATCCATAAAGGTGATAAAACTCCCATCTTTAAAGGTGAGGCAATCATTCAAGGCTTCTCACCACAGGCTATTTTTTATGTCATTGGCATGCGTAAATTATGGGACGAACAGTAAATGTGATACAAACCTTTTTTTGTCGTTGTTATAATGGTTTTGCTGATTACATAATCCTTCCCTTAGATACGAAGATGGTAATTTGGTAGAAAATTTAAATGATACTACTTCCTTAACCTATGAGGTCATGAAACCGACAACTACAAGCAAGTAAGCAAACACACACACACACACAAAGTACAGTTATCCAGTATCTAGTTTACTAACATCCAAACAAACAACAACAAAAAAAAGGTCGCGAGATTTAGCGCTTGTGGAAAAAATTGAGTGTACACAAAATGGTGCGATTGTGTTTGCTTGTACCAGTGTCGAAACACCGAGAATACCAAGAATGAGTGGCAGAACACGTGTGAATACAAAGGTACAATAATAAAATATAAAAAAAGATGGCATAGTCTATTTGAGACAAAGCACAAGTATTTATTAATTACATAAATATAGTTACAAGGTTGGATTCTAGAGCCATTACAAGGTGGGCCAAACCCTGCAACCAAAGTTGTATTTGTAGTCCAGGAAAGCATGAAGGGATGGGTTCCTGGATTTGCTAAAAAGACCCTAGCAAGACGACCTTTGGTCATCGCTAAAGTAGCCGAATACCTTGAACGTAAAACAGAGCGAATGAGAAATCAACCTGTTAAAAGCAATCAGCTTCAGGCTATTACGAGTGGACATAGTCGAAGACCTTCAGTTATGAGCAACACTTTACCCCTATTTAATCATAATAGATTGCCACCTGTAGCACCTCCACATGAATCCAATCAACATTCAATACTTTTATCGTCTACCTTACCATCCGCTAAGAAACACATCAAGTTTATTGATACGATAGATCAAGATATTAATAGTAACAGTAGTACAACCACAGAAAGTAGCCCCCAAAGCAAACCATCGCAATTACCTCCTGTGAAACAACACTTGTATCCATCTCATCGACATCCAATCCAAAAAGTAGAAAGTATTCAGCTATTAAAGAAATTAACCTTTTCAAACGACAATTGGAGTTTAACTAAAGAGTCGGGAACGAACAAACATTACGTATTGAATTCAAATATCTTGACTGATGATGATGAATTGATGAATTATCAAGGGGATTTGGGAATTACAAAGCGCAAAGTGCCATTTATTCGTGCTGACGGAGTGATTCAAGGTGGTTGGACCGCTGAACAACTCTGCTCTGTCATACATTGCTTTGGTTCTAGAAAAATATGTAATACAAAGCTCATATTTTGGTAGATCAATATAGTTACTAAACACACTTTTTTTTTTCTTTTAAAAATCAACAGGGGATACATCATTTGAAGGAGGTCAGACTGTTGAAAGATTTAGTCAGAAAGAATATCTTGTACAATGGTACCTTTCCAGTTCGTTACCTATTGCCAATGTGGATTTATCAGCCATCACTAGCATTGAATCAGATCCAATTACCGGTACTGTTTACACAGCCACTTCATCTGTTGTAGATCAACAGGTTCCTCCAGATGAGACAGGTCATCGTATACGTGCGTATAGTGATCTGTATGGCTGGGTATTTCGGCCCAAATTTGATCAACAAGGTCGTACATTATCTGTTGGCGTCAGTTTTGTATGTAACATGGATTTCAAGTACACGATACCCAATCAAGTACTCCAATCCTGGATTGACTCCATGTTGGAATCAATTGTTCATGTAGATCGCTATTTGACAAATTATGGGTGTCCACCTTATATCCGACGCATTGCTGGTAAAGTTGTTCGAGAAGATTTTAATGCTAACAGTAGCAAGTATGAAATTGTATTTATTGTAAAGCATCAACCCTCCAACTCATATCGTGCACGTAAACAAAATCAACAGACTGTGTGGTGTACAGATATAAGAGTTCACAAAACTATGTTCCCTCACGGCCTGGATATTCGTGTCGTGCCAGAGCATGCTGTTCGCATCGAAGTATCACCAAAAGATCAAAGAAGCATAAAAATATTTACTATGGATGAAGCCATGGAGGGAAAGCAAATGACTTTTACCTTGCAACCACTTTTGGATGGACACTCTGCAACTTATAAGGTTAATGACAAGGTATTTAACCCCAAGCAGTCATTACCTGTCATAGAACCAGTGGCGAGAGAGCCGGTTGTCAGGGAGCTAGCCGTTAAGAAGTCTGTTCTAAAAGAGCCAGTTGACAAAGCTGCCACTCTTGTTACTGAACCCCTTGTTTCTCCTGCTGCACCTATAATTACTGCACCTGCTGAACAGGCCAAGACGCCATTGCCTGTCATAACCACTACTACCACTACTGTCACTACTGAAGCAGAAATAATTAAGGATGAGACATCGACTGCACCATTGAAATTGCCACAAGGATATTTGCTTGTTCCTGAACACCAGGTAAGACATATGTGAATGTATAAACTACCACAATAGATTCTAACAAGTGTTTTTTTTTGTAGAATAATAATATTATCATGATAACCGACGACCTGTCATTCAATGGCCAACAAATATCTGTGATTTTCCTCGCTATGGTTATTTGTTATTATATGGGTAAATTCACATCCTGTAGTTCTTGCTAAAAAGAAAAAAGAAATCCCTGTACCATATACTTATATCACTACCCTTATTCTACTCTCACTATTTTTTTAATCACTACTTATTACTTAATTTTCACTAACAAGCTCGTATAATATTTTTCCGTGTTGTGAGTGCGTAAATGTGTGTGTGTGTGTGTGTGTGGAGTGTGTTTATTCTTTTTTGATTTTTTTAAAAAAAAAGGAATTGCCGGTTTATTGTTGCTGGTCTAATTTATGCCTTGTCATCAATGATGTTTAATTTTGGCAAGTTTGATTTTGCTGCAGTCAAAGCGTCTTGCTTTGCCTTTGCTTGTTCAGTTTGTCTCTTTTCGGCTTGCTTTAATTCCTCTGTCTTAATACGTGTGATACGAGCAAACTACAATATTGGAGAAAATAACGAATGAGTCTCATCAATTCATGCTTTCCCAAGCACCACTTCTTTTTACCTCTTTGGTATGATGAAGACATTCAAGATAATCGTCACGTTGATCAAGACATTGTTGAGGGAGATCGGCAGTGGCATAACACTTGTTGAATTCTTGCCAAAAGTGGAAACAACGACCACGGCCTAATTTCAAGAAAAAACGAAATTTTAGAATTCTACAAGACAAAAAACGATTTGCTCATTCTCAAGCTTCATATTTTTAAAGATCTTTACCACCGTCTAAACCAAAACCAGAAGCCATTTTTTAATATAAGTTGAAATTGAGAAAAAAAAAAAGGAAAAATAAACAAGAGGTAGTTGCGGTCCAAAAATTAAACATCCCCGCAACATTTTCGGCCCAACTTCAAGGGCGTGACGTAAAAGAAACTCTTTTGGCGGCTTTCCCAGAGTCTTTGGCGGGAGTTAAAAGCAGTGGACTGCTTAATTGCTACCTGTTACCAGACATGTCCCCCGTGTCTTTTAAATTGTCGAATACATACATTAACATGATGAATGTTTATAAATACTTGTTTATGATTAAAGATTCAAATATTATGATTAAATCATAAACTAATAATCTCTCAATGATATACATCTGTCATGGTAGTCTATCATCATTGTCAAAGTATATTCTACTCTCTTAAACAAAACTGTATTAGTATGTGTGAATAGTTGGTTACCGGATAATTTGAAATTCGCATCCAAAGGCAGGAAGTGTGTTGCTCTTAAGAGCATCTGCAGCGGTGCGCTTAAACTTCCACTGAATGAATGTGACATTTTTTAATCGGACTGAAAATGTATTGTCAGTTTTCAGTGAGTCCCCAGCGGCTAGAAATAAATTATTAAAGCTATAGGTGGTTCTCGTAATAGTCATCATTAATTTTCATTGTCCATTTCAGTTGGAGTAGGGATACGGCTGGAATTGACAGTAGTCTAGCTGCTCATTTGGTTTGAAAAGTTTAGGAAAAGAAACGAAAAATTACATTTTAAAAATCTTACACTGCTTATAGTGGTTTTTCAACATTTAATCTGGGGGCTATTATTTTAGTGTGAGATTTAATGCAACCGCTGCAGACACATTTCACTAAAAATGACCACTTATTAAATGTAGTGATTACTTTTAGTGCACCGCTACGGATACTCTAAGATTACTATGTATGTGTAACCATTCGAAATGTATTTTTTTTTCTAAAAAACAGAGCTTCTTATGTATGTGAACTGGGCACTTTCTTGAAAGCGTTAATCAGAATTTTAAACATTTGTTTGTCTCTTTTTACAAGTCCAATTGATCTCTTTGTTTATGTGGGCACCTTTTTCAACAGCTGAGTTATGTTTTTGATGTGAACAGTAGGTAACGCTTCAGTAGTCCTGATGATTTTTGAAGTAAGGGCCTTTATGTCCCGAGACTGACAGGGACCCTCGACTCACACAACATGAGCTGATAGTTGCGTTTAGCCTATGAAATTCAATTCAGATATATGAAGACATAGAAATTCTTGAGCAAAGCATATGAAACGTGCATTTATTTGCTCAAGTTTTTGCCTGGAAATCGAGCGATCAATTAGAGTCGAGTATATGCCATCGTCATCATCGAGTGGTAGGTTCAATATATGATACGGCGAAATTTTTGGGCATTGATTTTTTAGACACTTGAAATTGGGTGCTGTTCCTCTATGCAACGCTCTTTACGTTAGGGTAATTTATCAACAAAGAATCTGCAAGGAGCACATGCACGCCAAAAAAAAAAAAGCTGTACTCGCAATTATACTCTAACCTTATTTTAAACTGAAATAGTCAGACCTTGGGCAAAAAAAATTTTCTGGGGGAAAAAGAGAATAGCGATGAATTTTATTATGACATATCTGAAAACAGAGCGATGACTCAGAGAGCTTATACTACTTTTATCTTTTGGCTTCAACGACTTGATTCTTTTGATTTTCCGATTAATGAATTTCTAAACTTTTTTGAAATCTAGAAGTGTAATTATAAATTATGTAGTGTGTGTAAATGAAAAAAAAGGGGGTGGAAAATATTATTGTGCAAACTAAATAAATAAAGTTAGTGCAACCATAGGAACTCAAAAAGAAAAGAGCACTTACATAGTTTGAAGGGACAATACCAATTCTTCCATCCATTTTCTTTGCTTGCCACCAATTTCCACTCTTATTTAAGATTTCTAAGACTTCATCCTTAGCAAATGTCAACTCGTTGGGGTCCTCTGGATTAGCTTGATCTATTAATTTAATTACAGGTTAAGAAAATCAGGAGAGGATAAAAACAAGGAAAATCATACTAACATGGGTGAAGTGCTGTGGCCATAAATGTTTGGTGAGGTGTGGTGGGAGGTGGTGTCATATGAGGTGCAGGAATACTCGCGATAGAAGGTTGGTGTTGACTATAGTGACTATTTGCTTCTGGAGAAGATAAAGCTACTTTGCTTTCTTTAGCACTGGATTGCATATTGTTCATACTATTGTGTGATACGCTGGAAGCCAGTCCCGAGTAAACGAATTGATACACAGCTGATTCTTCTGTACTGCCAAAAAGAATAACCCAGAAAAACTAATTTAAACAGGTAAATTTTAATAATAGTAAAAAAAGAAAATTCTGTATAATCTTGTACCTGCATGACAATAAGAATCACAGCGCCAGCACCAGCGGCCTGTGCTCCACCTGTATATTGGTGCATTAATCCATCGATATTACCGGTTAACATTGCAATACTAACAGCTAAGAATACGAGGAACTATATATATAAATAGATGTAAATCACATTTCAAATCTTCTCGTTTTCTGGATTCGTTTCATACCATGACTTTATATTGATGGAATACTTTTTTGAAGATACTAAACAAGAGTCCAGCTACAAGTAATAGTTCGAAAATAACGGTCCACCAAAATCCACCAGCAGAGGCACCTAAAATACAGGCACCTATAAATGCAATGAACCAACCAACCTAGTTGAATAAAGAAAGTCAAAACAAGGGCCTAGCAACTGTCAGTCGTTTTTATTACCACTGCCATCACTACTGAGACCAGCACGATTGGATTTTTTGTCAAGTGATTTATATTTAGATGCATTGTTCAAAAAATAAGAGAAAGAGAGAGAAAAGAGAAATAATCAAATATAAAGTTTTTTTTTTTATTATTATTTACACCAAATAAATGTTCGTGTCTCCTAATAAAACAATTGAATTTTAACGGAACTACACAAGCCAGAAAATTATTAGTTTATCTTGGTTCACTGCAAATAATATATTTTGGTTATTTACCTTGTTGAAACCAATATCGCTGGCATATTCACGGAAACATTGACGACAGATGTTGAGGTTGTACTTGCGGATAAGACCGGCACGATGACAGCAGACTCTACTGTAGTTAATTGTCAGCACATGTCATTGACCCTTGTTTTTTCGGTGGCTTATATTTTATAGCCATGGAACAAAAAACTAGCACAGAAAAAAAAAATATAAAAAAAAAGTACGTACCAGGCACGAGAACCTTTACCGAAAGTCTTGGGGTGAGAGTTCCAAACGTTAGCGTGGGCCATTGTCAATAAAGTTTTGTTTAATTTAAAAAGGAAAAAGGAAAAGAAAACAAGATAATTATTTGACCCGTTGTAAAAAAGAAAAGAAAAAATTTGATTGTCGGGGTTTCCTTCTCTCTCTGCTCTCTCTCATTGTTTGAAACAGCAAAAAGCCTTCCAAAAAAAAATCCCAATTATTATACATATGCTGTGTTACGCTTGTTCTTTCTCACTCATACATTCATGTGTACTACTAAATTGTCACTGCATTCAGGACAAATATTCTGTGACACGTCATGATAAATTACAATCAAGTGTTTATATTTAGTGACCAAATTGGCCCTCTTTCAGATCATCAGAAGTAGCTTTAAGCCGCACTTATGTCGTCTTGAATGGAACAACTTCGTTTAGCTTGATTGTTTCATCAATAAACTTTGTTTGCGTAATCAAGAAGCCTTTCCTGATTAAAACTAGTTTACTTAGATATCTTATAATTTAATAAAAGTTGAGTTGATTGAGAATACGTCAAGCGTGATTGCCATGATATAAACCCTCAGTGAAAAAATATGCCTGCACATTCGTTTGTATCCCCATAATTACTATAAATTCCTTTTATTTGATGTTTAGATGGTTTATTTTGAACTTTCAAATATTCTCGTTGTCAGCCATAAATTTGACATATTCGAATTAAAGTAGCCTGGGTGTTTCCATTGACGAAGACGATTGTTTTTTTTTAGAGCTGAGTCGCTCAATAATAAACGTGTACTAAAGGCTCTATTTAAGTGAATATTACGTACATCGTTCAACAATTGTTCTCTTGATCCAACGTATTCATAGCCATCATTTGTCTCTGTTCTTCCATTTTTACATGCACACGGGACAAATTAGCTGATAAAAAAAGGGAAGGATCATATTATTAGTGAAAATGTGAGACAGGTGTACCTAAATAAATAAGGGTTCTATTACGATTTGAATGACTCTATAGTTGCACTAAAAAAGCTTCAAACAAGAGCAATTGTTGCCGATTAGCTTGTGTGTTCTCTGCGTGTTTATTATAGGGATGTATTACCCTTAATGGGAGTATATTAGTTCATTGCAAACTAAGCAGATAAGGCTAACTATGAAGCAAAAAAATGGTCAAGACGTTATACCTGCTGAGGGTAAAGCAGAGGAAGAGCAGTAGCTATAGATTGAATAAAGTTGCTTAGCTACAACATCATAGGACTAAACAAATCCTGTAGTTGAATCATTCGAACCGAGGCATAAGCACATTAGATAAGCAAGGGAAATCAAAGTTGGGGCTAATGAGATTTATATTGAGACCCCATTCCTATAAAATAATCGTATTCTTGACGACCAGCAAAATAAAAATTGTATCAAAATCATAGATGGTTCACAAAATGTCAAAATTTGTTACACCAGGAATCCAAGAAGACCTTTTCTACACTCCTTAAAGCCAAATCATTATGACTTGCACCATCGAGTTATCATCAATACCCAGCTATACTTGAGGAAGAAAGTAGTGGCCATTCATGAATAAAGTACTTTCATGAAGATCGTTTATTTTATGAAGATAGAATGACATCTTAAACGCTGGTAAGTTTTGCTTCTACCGCTGAGCATCTTCACACTAGCAGAATCTTTTAATCTGTGAGCCATGACGAGCTGAGATTTAAAACCGGCCATCGTGTTAAATTTTTCCTTGACAAAAAAAGAAAACTTGACAGTTAAATAAAAATAATTTTGACAATACGACCTTAAAACAGCAACACATAATGAGAAAAAAGAGAGGAATAATCACTCCAAGTAACTGTAATAAGACGATTCATTTAGTTTTTCTTCATTTATCATTGCCAAATAAAACATGACCATCCTGAATAAGAAAGAGTGATGTTAAGCGTACATTTTAAAACAACCAAAAACAGTGATTCAGAATATGTACATTATCAATTATAATATCCATATATTATCTGATAATGTTCAAGGGTCTGTCCAATGCTTTAAAGCAAGTATGTTTTGTATCTTGGTTTTTTTTTTTAGGCGGAGAATTAGACACGATTACTGGTTAAATGGCAAACGCTTCTGTCATGAAACGTCTCTTATTTCCAAAGATCTATTCCGATAGAAAAATGGAATTACATCAGCTTACATACAGAAGAATCCCCGTTTTCTAGTTTAATTAATAGCGGGACTTTTTTTAAGGTTATTCGGTAACTTCATCTCAATTATTTATCTTTTTCTACTGATAAAGTTTTGCACTAGCTGTAACGTAAGAGAAATACCTGAGCGCTCGTGACAGCGTATTAATAATTACGTTTACAAAAATAGAAAGCCTAATTTGTTTTATGATGATCATGTGGTTAAAAATGAGGTAACTTATGATGACATATGTAAGTGTGGCAAAGCCGTCCTATTGTGTAAATATGTATAGGCACTCTGTGATAATGTGGGGGTCTAGTGAGATGTCAATCATCTGTAAAGTGACGCAAATAAAGGTCTATGATTCAATTTTGGAAGCATAATTTTATCATTTTATATATAATACATGTAATTTAGACAAAAGAAAGAAAGGGAGGTTATGAATTCTATTTTTAACTGTATGCAGGAGGAGCAACCGAGCTGTTTGTGGTCGCTTCGAGATAAGAAGGTAAATCATCATGTGTATAAGTTGGTATGGCAGACGAACGACCTCGGGCCAAGATGGCAGAAGTAGCCATTTTTACATATTCTTTTAATGACTCTCTCCGATGAGCATCCTTTTTATTCAGAAAGGTGATATCAATGCGTATATCGAGACCCTGTAGAGTTTTGATATCAAATCGCAATCCTTTTTTCTGTATCATGTGTGTTTTGAGTGATTGAAATTCTGACAATTGAAATTCACAGGTATCAAAATGGTTGGGCTTTGTAGATGCTATGCTTGTAGATTGAGATAATAAGATGAGACGTTTGTTGGTGAGATGAATGGATGCGATAGACGACTCCTTGTAGGAGATGGCATGATTTGTATAGTCATACACAATGACTTTGACGGCATCTTGGTTGAAGAAGAAACTTTCATTGACTTGTGGTACAGGTACACGATATATGCTTGTTGCTTTACTACCTCTGGAAGATTTTGTATTAAGATAAACACGAGTAGAATTAAAAAGTGCCATTTGGTTTTAAAAAAGATGAAAAGGTTTTAGAAACACATTTTTTTTTTATTTTGGGTTTTTGTAGCTTTCACTGGGGTTTTACAAAAAAAAAAAAAGAAATCTCATTAGACCAGATTCGGCTTGTGATATCAAAACGGATTAAATGTTTTAACGTAAAAGGGGATCTTTTTCCCGGTATCTTGTTCTCCACATCTGGCAAAATTAGCTATCCGAGAATAAAAGAGTTTAAGAAAATGGAAGGGAACTCCGCTAAAGACCAGAGGTTACACTTGCTGTTTCAAGACCTGCCCTGAACCTCCAGAGAGAGAGAGGGCTTATTTTCAGTCTGCGCATACCCAGAGTAAAACCGGTCACCGTCTGCCTATTTTCTAAAAAATGCAGCCTTTTTTTTTTTTATTGTTATTCCCAACCTCTTTCTTTTATAAAATGGAAGCTACTAAGCATGCAGAAGTGGATACAGTGCAAGCAGGAAAGCATATCCTGATTCAAATGCCCAGTGGAGGAGCTAAAATTATCAACTTGAAGGCCAACAGGTAACACTCAGAAAGAAGTTCCTATTACAAAAACTGACATTGTACAGTAATGTTGGCTTAGGAAAGTTTGGTACCTTCAACTCTGACAAACTTATTGGAAAGCCCTTTGGATTATCCTATGAAATTTTGGGTAAAGACGACGACCTTCGCCCTGTCGGCCACGTCTCCAAAAACACCATTGTTGGTAAGAGTAAATATAGAGATAGAAAACGACGTGATAAATTAAACATTTGAAAATATCTTAGAGGAAACAACCGCCAACAATAGAGAGATTATTGACGATGCTGCCGTTCAAAAGTTGTCGTATGAGGAAGTCATTCGATTGAAAGAGCAAGGCGAACAAGGAAAGCTCGGAACTGAAGAAATCATTAAATTAATGGTTGATTCACATTCTGAATTTTCTAAAAAGACTGAATACTCCAAAGCAAAATATATTGAACGTAAAAAGAAAAAGTAAGTGGCTTCACTCTCTCCCAACTATCCACAAACCATAATATTAAACCTTGTTTACGCTTTAGGTTTATGAAAGTTTTTACTCCTGTTCGCCCCACCATCAGCACCATGGTCGATTATTTCTTTAGCAAAAATCCCGATAAAATTAAGCATCTCCGTATCGATACACTCTCTCAACTTTTATGTTTAGCCAATGTGCATGCCAACAACAAAATGTTGGTAGTAGACGATACACAAGGTTTAATTGTGGCTTCCATGCTTGAACGTATGGGTGGTCACGGTCAAGTTGTGGCTATTCATGAAGGTGATAATCATAATTACGATGTGTTACGTTATATGAATTTCTCCAAGGAGATTCAAAATACTTTATATACCGTCCCTTTTGCTTTGGTGGATCCCGAAACCCACGATGGTAAAGTACATACTTAGTAAGGCGATTTGTGTATATATATATACAGGCAACTAATCGATTCTCGCAGAGCCCTTCGAAGTTTTAACAGACGAACAATTCGCAACTTTGGAAGACGATCCCCGCAGAACTTATTTGAGACGCAAGGCAGCCTACGATTATAAAGTGAAATCACGACGTCTTTTACACGAAGGCGATTTCGATGGATTAATCATTTCTTCGTCACTGACTCCTGAATCCGTGATTAAAGTCTTGATGAAATACATGTGTGGATCCCGTCCTGTTGTGGTCTACAGTTTCAACAAGGAAGTGTTATTACAAGCAGCTTATTGGATGCGTCGATCTACCGATTTCTTAAATGCTGAATTAACAGAAAGTAGTTTACGTGAATACCAAGTCTTACCAGGTCGTATGCATCCTAATATGATGATGAGTTGTGGCGGTGGTTATCTTTTGACCGCTCTTCGTATCATTGATTGCCCCTTTGATCCTTCGCTGGCAAAGAGAGATGGTAACGATAGACGTTTTAAGAAGAAGAAGACAGAAACACCCTCTGCAGATTCTCCTGCTGTGGATTCTCCTGTTGTAGATTCCCCTGTTGTGGATTCTCCTGCTATCGACTCTCCCGCAATTGATTCGCCTGCCGTGGATTCTCCCGCTATGGAAGAATAAACAATGATACTTAGAATAATAAATAAAAAACACCTAAAAATTATGTATAAAAGGCATGTATTTTATTTCGCAGATTTAAGCCAAAGGGTCATATTAGGATAAGGCCTGAGCGTAATCTGCTGCCTTTTGGAGATTACAAAATGGGGTTTTTCAAAATATTGAATATCTCGAATAAGAATAGCTAATAAGAGCTTTAACTCGATCAATGCGAATTTATAACCAATACAGTGTCGAATCCCCGCCAAGAAAGGCATGTATTGATATGCGTTTCCTAATTTGTCAGGGTTATCCCAGCGTTTTGGGTTGAATTCTTCTGCATCAGATCCCCAGATCTCGGTAGAATGATGGGAGAGGATAGCTGGAATAAATACGTGCGTGCCCATCGGTAACACATACGAGCCCAAGACTGTAGGCACACGTGTCACTCGAAATGTCATTGACACAGCAGGAATCAATCGCAAGGTTTCTCGTATCACATTATTTAAAAGTGGTAGCGCATTTATGTCCTCGTAAGAAGGAACTGTATCATCTTTAAACAAAGTACGAACTTCAGAACGTAGTTCATCTTGAATAGCTTGGTCTTTTGCTAATAACCAAAGTGCCCAACTCAAGGTGACACTAGTGGTTTCATGCCTATTTTTTTGGTGTGAGTATAAAAATCTGACGGTTCTGTAACTTTTTTTCTTTCTTTACCCGGCAGCCAAAAAAGTAAGACACTGATTCTTCAACTCTTCGGCGGTAAAACCTTGACCAGTTTCCTCGTCAATGAGATCCACCATGATAGCTAAGAGATCTTTTGGTTGATTTCCAATCACACCCGACTCCTTTGCTTTAGCAGCTCTTTCAATTCCGGCTTGAACTAAAGCTCTGCTCTCTTCATTCAACCATTTCATATCTCTTTGGTTCAACCTATTTCTAGTTGTTGGTAAATATCTTAAAATAGGAAACAGAAAAGTTAGTAAGCGCACTAAAGAGACATCACTGGAGAAGAGATGAAGGTAAGCCTGACTCAATTTACTTTGATGAGGCGTTCCAGCAAACTCTAGTGCTTTAAAGTCTTGACCAAACGCCCAGCCAATCACATCCAAAGTAGCCAACGAGAGACCACTGGAAACTTGAACTTCTGTACAACCCTTCCCCACCTTGTTTTCGTCGGACTGAATAGCTGTTAACCATGTATCGCGTAAGTGATGTCCTGGTTTTGCCATCAGACGCACAGCAGATCGAATTGCATTGACGGAAAAGGCCGGGTTTAACATCTTGCGTTGGTAACGATGCACATCCCCTTCCGCTATCAGTAAACCATCACCTAGCATACGACGCAAAAAATCAGAGACCTCGGGAGACTTGATATAATCGGATTCGTTTGATGTCAATACTTGTTTGACTAACACATGATCGGTAACAACAACACGGGGTACGTTCCAATGCGCGTGGTAAGTAAAAATACCACCGTACTGTTTTCCCCAACGTTTATAAGTGGCACCGTAATCTTCCTTCATGATTTCAAAAAAGTTACCCATCAGTGGAATCCAACCGACTTTGGGTCCGGGAATACTGTTTGCAGGATGAAGATAGAGTCGATACAGGATGAGTTTGTAGAAATAAAATATGATAATCGCTGACACACCTAATTGAATGGATAATCTTTTGGCAGCGGGTTCTTCAAGTCCTGTATGAAAAAGTATGTGTTTTTCCAAATAGCGCTGGATGGTATCGTGTATGAGTTGATAGTTTATCATGATAAGATAAGAAAGGGAGAAGAAAAGGAACGCGGTGGTTTCAACAATTTTGTATTTATACTTTTAGGCAAACCCCTTTCCCCTTTCTTGAGGTTGTCCTTTTACTAAAGCGGATTCGTTAAGGCCTTATTTACATAGAACTTTGGCTGAGTGATATGTATGTTTGGAACTGTTGCAAAAAGAATATTTTCATTATTTTTACTCTAAGCACCAAGCTGCCTGTTTTTAAAATCAGATTTACGGAAACCTAAGGGAGGCTATAAACAATATTTATCTATTCGAAGTATACTGTCATTTTATTCTACCTTATCATCCGTTATCCGCTGGTATATATGCGTAATATTGTGATATTTACCCCTCTCTCACTATTTTAATGTACCTACCGGCATAAAAAAGTACAAAACACTCAGCAAAGAGGAGGTCAAAGGTATTTACATGGTCTTGGAAACGGACAGTATGTTTGTTTAATCTTGATAAAGGGAATCAAAGTGATGTGTTGATTGCTTCCATCTTATTGGTATATAGAATTATACGTCGTTTTATGTTAGGCAAAGTATCATTGAATACTAGCATAAATCGATATCGATAGTTGATTTTAAGGTTAAATTTACCGCAAGAAGTCGCGAAAACACTGCTTAAAGTGAACCTCTTTGGAGTTGGGAGAAGCACATATATAAAAAAAAAAGAGTCTTTTTCTGCCTTCTCTCTCTTATGATTGTTCCGTACAGAACCCAGAATATGACCGGTTGGAACTTAACCTTACCAAACATGACTTATCACTTATTAAATCAGTGAGGCGTAGTGTTTCATTTTGACGCGACCAATTTTAACCACAACCGCCCCAAAGACGATTTGCTTACAAATAGAATATATGCTCTTCATTTATAAAATAAAGTAATTGACATAGCTTATTCATGTCTTCCTACTCACTACAGAAATGCGAGAGCCCAACAATAATATAGCGGAATATACAAGCACAACTAACTCTGGCTTCATTTGTGTCTAAATCATCAATAATAATACTTGGGAGAAAGACATAAGAGGGAATATGCAGTTGCAATTGTAGCTTGGTTTGTTTGTATTGAATACGTAAGTGAGAAGTGGCGTAGTTAGATGATAGATATTGAATGTTGACATTAAAATAGATGTATGTGCCAGTAAAAGAGAATGACTTATCTTGACATGGCCCACAATTTCTTAAAAAAAAATTATATAAACAAGTAGAGATATACATTTTATTTAATTAATAACAGGCTTGAGCCAAAGTGTCATATTAGGAGAAGGTCTGAGTGTAAGTTGCTGCTTCTTGGAGACTTTAAAATCGGGTTTTTCAAAGTATTGAATATCTCGTACGAGAATCGCCAACAACACTTTGAATTCCACCAAAGCAAACTTATATCCAATGCATTGTCGACCACCCGCTAAGAAGGGCATGTATTCATACGCATTTCCTAATCTTTCTGAGTTTTCCCAACGCTTTGGGTTAAATTCTTCTGCATCATCACCCCAAATCTCGGTAGAATGATGCGAAGTGATTGCCGAGATAATGATTTGGGTTCCCATCGGCAGCACGTGTGATCCCAGCACCGTAGTTACTCGCGTCACTCGGCTCGTTACTGGTACGGGAGGAATCAATCGTAAGGTCTCACGTACTACGTTATTTAATAAGGGTAAAGCATTGATAGCTTCATAAGAAGGAACTTCATCATTTTTGAACAACGTAAGTACTTCCTTTCGTAATTCATCCTGAACAACTTGGTCTTTTGCTAACAACCAAAGTGCCCAACTCAAGCTTACACTGGTCGTTTCGTGTCTATTTTCAGAATGAGTACAAAAAAAAATATATATTTGTTTATTATTATTATTCCTTACCCGGCAGCCAAAAAGGTGAGACACTGGTTCTTTAACTCATCCGCAGTAAAACCTTGACCAGTTTCTTCATCAATGAGATCAACCATGGTAGCTAAAAGGTCTTTTGGTTTATTTTCATTTACACCGGACTCCTTTGCTTTAGCTGCTCTTTCAATACCCACCTGAACCAATGCTCTACTTTCTTCATCCAACCATTTTAAATCCCTGCGGACCAACCTATTTCTGGACGTGGGTAAATGTCTGAAAAGGGGGAACAAAAAGGTCAACAGCCGCATAAACGAGACATCGTTAGAGAACAAATGGAGATACGCCTGACTGAGTTTACTTTGATAAGGAGTTCCCGCAAATTCTAACGATTTGAAGTCTTGACCAAATGCCCAACCAATCACATCCAATGTAGCCAAAGAAAGTCCAGTCGAGACTTCTACCTCCGTACAGTCATTATCCACCTTGTTTTCTTCAGACTGGATGGCACTTAACCAGTTATCTCGTAAGCGATGACCTGGTTTTGCCATTAGAGGTAGAACGGATCGAATCGCATTGACAGAAAAAGCGGGGTTTAACATCTTACGTTGATGGCGATGTGTGTCACCTTCCGCTACCAGCAAACCATTGCCCAATGTGCGACGTAAGAAATCAACTGTCTCCGGTGATTTGATGTAATCATATTCGTCTGTTGTCAATAATTGCTTTAACAAGAGAGGATCGGTGACAACAACGCGAGGTTGGTTCCATTGACCGTGATAAGAGACAATGCCACCGTACTGTTTCGTCCAGCGTTTATGAGAGACACCGGCCTCTTCCTTCATAATTTCAAAAAAATTACCCATGAAGGGAATCCAGCTGACTTTAGGACCAGGAATTCGATTGGCAGGGTGGATGTAAAGTCGATAAAGGATAAGTTTGTAAAAGTAATAGATGATGACGGTAGATACACCCAATTGCACAGAGAGTTTTTTTGCCGTGGGTGCATCAAGTCCAGTGGGCGTTAACACGTATTTCTCCACGTATTGCTGAATTTTATTGTAGACCAATTGATAATTCATGATTGATTAATCAAAAAAAAAAAAAGAGAGAGAGAGAAATAAGTGTGTGAGATAAAACAGTGCAGCAAAATAAAAAATTGACTCAAAAGTTTTATATCGGGTCGCCTAATCAATTTTTATTTGTACATTTATAGTAATACGCATCATCAGTCATCACTCGCCTTTAAACATCCGTAGGAGCGCGCACGCTAATAGTCCTTTTTACGTAAACATTTGTGCTGTTATCCGCAGTTTTCTCTTTTCTTTTGGAGCTTGTAATTATTGTGAATAATGTCCGTCTGTCTTTTAATAAAAGCAAATTGTCATGATTTTTCATCTACGATGAATTAAAATGATTAATTGTTATCTTGCAACTGACCAGCAAAACAAAAAAGATGGTGTTTTTATATGAGAACCCCATTAAAATAAAGAGGAAGAAAGGAGTTGTGATGATCCGTTAATTAGCAAGAAAATTCTAGACACCAACATTATGTACACTAAATTTATGGAAAGCCGTGTCGCTTATAATATCATTTACCCGAGCTGAAAGTTTTTAATTCTATTTAGAGACTATAAATAGACATGGATTCAGCTGAATCCTATGAAATAATACCGACACGGACTTACTATGATTATGATGCATATCGCTAGCAGGAATCAACAACGTTAAGATGAAATAACCTACTGTAGCTCTTTTAAGTAGTGAAGTCTACCGGTTGCATTAAATGTAATACTTAGAAATAACTATAAGTTTATTGAGGGATGATACATGTATTTAATTTACAACAGGCTTAAGCCAAAGTGTCATGTTAGGAAAAGGTTTCAGTGTAACTTCCTGTTTCTTGGAAATTTTGAAATCAGGCTTTTCAAAATATTGAATATCTCGTACAAGAATTGCCAATAACATTTTGAATTCCACCAAAGCAAACTTATATCCAATGCATTGTCTCCCACCGGCCAAAAAGGGCATGTATTGATATGCATTACCAATCTTTTCAGATCTATCCCAACGCTTTGGTTTGAATTCTTCTGCATCAGAACCCCAAATTTCGGTAGAATGGTGTAAGGCCATAATCGAGATATCAATTTGCGTTCCCATTGGTAAAACATAGGATCCCAGTGTTGTAGTTACTCGGCTTACTCGGCTTACCATGGGTACAGAAGGAATCAATCGCAAGGTCTCACGGACGACATTATTTAACAATGGTAAAGAGTTGATTGCATCATAAGAAGGGACATCATCACCCTTGAATAACGCAAGTACTTCTGAACGTAATTCATCTTGAATAGTCTGGTCTTTTGCTAGCAGCCAAAGAGCCCAACTCAAGCTAACACTGGTAGTTTCATGTCTGTAATTGTATATAAAAAAAAATGAGTATTTAGATAAAAAATTACACTTGTTTGTCTTTGTGTCTCTTATTACCCGGCAGCCAAGAAGGTGAGACACTGGTTCTTCAGCTCATCAGCCGTAAAACCTTGACCAGTTTCTTCATCAATAAGATCCACCATGGTATCTAAAAGATCTTTTGGTTTATCTGAAACAACACCGAAGGCCTTTGCTGCGTTTGCTGCGTTTGCTCTTTCAATGCCGACCTGAACCAATGCTTCGCTTTCTTTATCCAACAATTTTAAATCTTTCATAACCAATATGTTTCTTGGAATAGGGACATAGATAAACTTGGGGAACAGAAAAGTAAGTAAACGCACTAATGAGGCATCATTGGAAAAGAGTTGAAGATAGGCTTGACTCAGTTTACTTTGATTGGGAGTGCCAGCAAACTCTAACGATTTGAAGTCTTGACCAAAAGCCCAACCAATCACATCCAATGCAGCAAAGGAAAGCCCCGTTGAGATTTCCATTTCTGTGTATTCCTTGTTACCCTTTTTGTTCTCATCAGATTGAATGGCAGCTAACCAATGATCTCGTAAGCGATGACCAGGCATTGCCATCAAGGGCAAAATAGATCGAATGGCATTGACAGAGAAAGCAGGGTTTAACATTTTCCGTTGATGACGATGTGTTTCTCCCTCTGCCAACAGTACACCATTGCCCAACACACGACGCAAGAATGCCGAAGTCCTGGGTGGTTTGACATAATCATATTCATTGGTAGTTAAAACTTGTTTTAATAAGATAGGATCCGTGACGACGATGCGTGGTCTGTTCCATTCACCATGGTAAGTAACAATTCCACCATATTGCTTTGTCCAGCGTTTGTGAGGAATACCAGCACCTTCTTTGACAACCTCAAAAAAATTTCCCATAAATGGAATCCAACTCACCTTGGGTCCGGGAATTCGGTTAGCGGGGTGAAAATAAAGTCGATAGAGGATCAGTTTGTAAAAATAATAGACAATGACGGTAGATACACCCAATTGCACAGAGAGTTTTTTTGCAGTGGGTGCATCAAGTCCAGTGGGTGTTAACACGTACTTTTCCACGTATTGTTGAATTGTATCGTAAGCCAATTGATAGCTTATCATGACGAAAGAAAAGGAACAAATGTAAGTGGTGTTAGAAACTGAAAAAAAAAATGGCTGAGAGAGGGGAGTGTAGAATTTATATGTATCTCTAAATAGCCTAAATTACCAAATGTTTATTCGTACATTTATGGTAATTATAATTATCAGTGTAACAACTATAAAACCTCCCAAACCCTCAAGGCATTTTCTGACCTAAATGAGCCTATTTCGCTATTACACTTTTTTTACTTCTATTTGGTTTTTTTTTTTTTTCTGAATTATGTTAGTTTTAGATTATGTCATAAGATACATTTACATATTTAAACAGGCCCTGTTAGGTAGCCAAGGTGCGCTTGGTCATATCGTCAGATCCTATACTACATCTACGTGCACCTCAGTTCTCCGCGTCTGTACCTAAGAACAGTGGCTATCCAAAAAAAACAATGATGCTTTATCCAAAAGACAAACGGCAGTTGCCATCAAATAACGCGTATCGGAAATTATTTAATCTTTTACACCGCCGAGGTAAAGAGTAAAAACCATGGAAGGTAAAAAAAAAAAAAAAAAAAAACCAGCTAAATTGCTATCACTGGATATAAAACGGGAGCACAATCCGCACCTTTTTCTCTTTTTTATGGAACAGCCTAAAAGTCTTGTATATATACGGTCTTCTTATAAAAATGTTGACATGAAAAACAAAAAGGAAAGACATAAAAAGAAAAAGTTTTTTATTTATTTTTTTATATTTATAGTGAAAAAAAACAGTGATCAACAACTTGCTTACGCCAAGTTGTTGATCATAAATTGTTTATATAATCATCATTTTAGATAATCAAGCATTATTGGTTTAAACATAAAAATGTGTTTCATTCGAGTAAATATTAAACTTTAATATAACTTCTCTTATGACAGTCAAGCTTTCGATCAATACGATATTTATCAATCATCAACAAAGCTTACATCTTTTAAAAAAAAAAGACTCAATAATCGATCTCAGCTGTTAATAATTAGTGTTTGTTTAATTATAAGACGAGTAGCTTTATTAAATAGGGGAGGGGTGTTATACATAGGTAAGTAGTGAAGGATATACAGATAATTTTAATTTACAACAGGTTTAAGCCAAAGTGTCATATTAGGAAAAGGTTTCAATGTAATTTGCTGCTTCTTGGAAATTTTATAATCGGGTTTTTCAAAGTATTGAATATCTCGTACAAGAATTGCAAGCAACAATTTAAACTCGACCAAAGCAAATTTATACCCAATACATTGTCTTCCACCCGCTAAAAAGGGCATGTATTGATACGCATTGCCAATCTTTTCTGAATTGTCCCAACGTTTCGGGTTAAATTCTTCTGCATCAGAACCCCAGATCTCGGTAGAATGATGCGAGGTCACAACAGAAATAAATACATGTGTGCCCATTGGCAAGACGTGTGAGCCCAAGACTGTAGGTACGCGTGTTACTCGATTGGTGACTGGTACAGCAGGAATTAATCGTAAAGTCTCGCGTACAACGTTATTTAAGAGTGGTAAAGCATTGATGGCTTCATAAGAAGGAACTTCATGGTCGTCTTTAAACAATGTGAGGACTTCAGAACGTAATTCATCTTGGATGACCTGATCTCTTGCTAACAACCAAAGAGCCCAACTCAAGCTGACACTAGTTGTTTCGTGTCTAATTTCAAAATAAGTATGTGTTATTGTTTTATATACATTCTTATAATTCCTTACCCGGCAGCCAAGAAGGTAAGACACTGGTTCTTCAACTCGTCTGCAGTAAAACCTTGACCGGTTTCTTCATCAATGAGATCTACCATGGTAGCTAAAAGATCTTTAGGTTTATCAGAAACAACACCGGAGGCCTTTGCTGCCTTTGCTCTTTCGATGCCAACCTGAACCAATGCTTTACTTTCTTCGTCCAACCATTTCAAGTCTCTGCGAATCAATCGATTTCTTGCTGTGGGTAAATAACGCAAGGCAGGAAAGATAAAGGACAAGAAGCGCATGAAAGAGACATCACTCGAGAACAAGTGTAAATAGGCCTGACTGAGTTTACTTTGATGAGGTGTGCCTGCAAACTCTAAGGCTTTAAAATCTTGACCAAAGGCCCAACCAATGACATCCAATGTAGCCAAAGAGAGACCACTCGAGACTTGAACTTCTGTGCAATCATTTGCTACTTTATTCTGATCAGATTGAATAGCGGCTAACCAAGTATCTCTTAATCGATGACCTGGTTTTGCCATCAAGGGCAAGATAGACCGAATAGCATTAACAGAGAAAGCAGGGTTTAACATTTTGCGTTGATGACGATGAGTATCACCCTCTGCCACTAATAAACCATTACCAATCATGCGTCTTAAGAAATTTGAAGTCTCTGGAGATTTGATGTAATCATATTCATTTGATGTCAATACTTGTTTTAATAAGAGAGGATCTGTGACAACGACACGAGGTATATTCCACATGGCATGATAAGTAACAATACCACCATAAAGCTTTGTCCATCTTTTATGTGGTACACCCGATTCTTCTTTAATAATTTCGAAAAAATTGCCCATGAAGGGAATCCAACTGACTTTGGGGCCAGGAATACGATTAGCGGGGTGAAGGTAAAGTCGATAAAGAATGAGTTTGTAAAAGTAATAGATGATGATGGTGGATATACCCAATTGCAGAGAGAGGGTTTTTGCAGTGGAAGCATCAAGACCTGTAGGTGACAAAATGTACTTTTCTACATGTTGTTGAAGGGTTGTGTAGGCCAATTGGTAATTCATCATTTCTATTTAAAAGGTGAGAGAGAGAGGAGATTGAGATGAAAGATTTACACTTTTATACCACAATTAATTAATTAAAAAAAAAAAGGTCCCGCTTGAGCAATTTTTTTTTATACATTTATGGTAATAAACATCATCAGTCGTCAGTTGTTGGAATTCAAATATATTTTATCTGCATATCAGCATTTCTTTTTTTTTTTTTTTTCATTCCACCTTTTTTAACAACTTATTTTGGCTACTCAGAGAGAGATATATAAAATAAGTAACCCTTTTGTATATGAGATTCTTTGGAAGGTTTTTAGTACCAGTAAAGAGTGAGGGGAGTACAATTCTGGATACTAAACATTTTGCGAAACCTGGGATTTGATGACTTTTGGGTCCCAGAGTGGACTTTTAAAAAAAAAAAAAAGACCCAGGGCCTTACAAAAAAAAAAAAAAAAAAGGCTTCTGCTTTTCTGATCCTCCTAAGAGGAAGACTCATATGAATAAATAATTAACAATAATAACACTGATACAAGTATTAGAGAGAAAAAGAAGAAGAAAAAGAGTTACAAACCCTCTAGCAATCCCACTTTTTCTTGGTAGTGAAGCAGAAAAAAAAAAAAAAAAAAAAAAAAACTAGTCCCGAAAAAAGGCCCAAGCCATCGCGCCAGCAGAAAAGTGTGACTGCTCTAAGTGGATCCAATGGAAAAAAAGAAAAAAAAGAAAAAATAGCAGAGAAGAGTGGGTGTAGGGACGACGTAGATAGAAAAATTTTCAAGGAATACTATAAAATGGGGAGGACTCGTCGCGTGGCTTTTTTGCTTTTTTTCTTTTTTTTTTCCACCTCAACTTTATATCTTTCAAGTAAGTTTTATTGAATAATATGTATATGTGCCTATATATTAAAATGTTTCTTTTTTAGTATGGCCGAAAACCACGACGACCACACTTTCGAGACTGCCGATGCTGGAGCTTCTTTGACTTTCCCCATGCAATGTTCCGCTTTGAGAAAGAACGGTCATGTCTGCATCAAGGGTAGACCTTGTAAGATTATTGAAATGACCACCTCCAAGACCGGTAAGCATGGTCACGCCAAGGTCCATTTGATCGGTACTGATATCTTCACCAGCAGGTAATAATCATGAAGAGTTTATATAAAGAGAGAGAGAGAGAGAGAGAGAGATAATATGAGAGTGTGTGTGTGTGTGCTTATGTGTGTGTTTGTGTGTTTATATAGGATGTTTAAATGTGTATTTACTAACTAACTCTCCATATTATAGAAAGTACGAAGAACTCTGTCCTTCCACTCACAACATGGATGTCCCTAACGTCATCCGTATGGAATACGCTCTTCTTGACATTGATGATGGTTTCCTCTCCTTGATGTTGCCCGATGGTAGCACTAAGGATGATGTCAAGCTCCCTGATGGTGAGCTCGGTGAAAAGTTGGAGGAAGATTTCAACGAGGGTAAGGAAATCTTGATCTCTGTTGTCTCTTCCATGGGTGAGGAACACTGTTTGTCTTACAAGGATGCTCCTAAATAAACATCTTTCATCTTTTTTTTTGATTGAAAATTTTTTTCCCTTTTTTCCACAAAAAAAATAATAATAATATCGGTCTCTCTTTAAAAAAAAATTTTTTTTTTTTTTTTCTTTTTTTTTTTTGTGTTTGTACACACTTATTTATTATTATTATTATTATTCATATTGGTAGGCCTTCTAACAATGGGAGGAACACCACCCATAGTAAAAGGCAAGCTTAAAACACTAGATGAAGGAGAATCAAATGGATTCTTTTGTTGCTGTTGACCAACCGTTGTCTTGGAAAAGATAGATTCGTGTTGTTGGATCAGGTCTTGTAATACAATATCCGAATACCATTCACCAGCATTCTCTACTTGATTGTGATCATGAAATAAGGCGGGTGTGAAAATTACCGACAAATTCTTGATCGTCATCTTGTTGGCCTGTGAACACTCTTGAACCCTATTATATGTTATTATTAAGCATAATAAGATAAAAACACCTTGTAACTTACTTTGCCAAATGTTTGATAATAGCTTCCAAAGTGTCTCGTTGTGGTTTAGAGGCTTCGGACAATTTAGTGACAAGTAGATTGGTACGTTCCACATCATTTGTAATTTCTATTTATAACCCACAAAAAAAAAAATTAGTTTTTAGTACCCAATAAAGACAAGGACAAGGTCTATTTACAAATTTACTTGAATATTGAATACGATCTTGCATGCTTAAATTAAATAATGGCTGCTTTAATTCACGTAAATAAATTTTAAGAACAGAGGCAATCGTAAATACATCATATCGATTATTCTCCAAATTAGCTGCCTCTTCATCTTTTTCAAATTCATTCTTCAGTGCATCTACATTCGTCTGTCGTCCAGATATACGGTAAATACCTTCCTTTTCTAATCCTCCTTGCATCTCCACTCCTTCAATACATTTCCTCACCAACAATGGCACACTGCGCTCATGTTCAGCAAAGTAATCATTCAGGTTAGATCCAAAAAGTATCTCCTTGCACTTGCCATAATAGTAGTTCTCATAGTACATACGTCTTGGCTTAATAAATCCAATCTTTTCATACTCAAACAAAAATTTATCCGTGTCGCGTTGTCCATCCATGCTGTATATCGTACCCAGTGAATGTTTAATAAGCTGCTTTATAAAGTTAATAATCTATTCATCATGTCATCCTCTCATACAACTTACGTCTACTTGTGTCAATAACGTGTCTTCTTCTTGCTTTGATAGTGTCACCATCACTGCTTTAACTGCATCCGATTTTCCCAGCAAGATGGCTTCGACGTGCTACATTTATATAATAATAAAAAAAAGAGTGTTGGCATGGAAACACACACACACACACACACACACACACACACACATACACACACAACTTACCCTCATGGCATGCAAAGCAGTCTCTACTTGCTTTTTGCGAAGGAATTCCAATAATCGAACCCCTTGTCTGTATTCCCCATCTATTTACATAAATATATAAGAAATACATTTACGAGGTAGGGTAACAAAATGTTTACCTGCATCATGAATCTCCTTCTTTAATTTAGCAAGTCGAGCAGTTTGCTTAGAAGGATCCGTGGTGGCAGCAGCAGCACTAGCAAGTTGAGAACGCATTTGTGTGATGAAACCAGCCATACTGTTCTTTTTATTATTGACGGCGATTGTATCTTGAGATAGGATGGACTGATCATCTCTACCACTGTCATTGGATACTCTGGGTTCTTCAGAAGAGGCTCTGGCCATCATGACGGGACTCAAGTGATGATCAGTAGAATCTTCATGATTGGCTATCAAGATTTGTTGCTGAATATTAGCATATTCATTACACTTGTTTACATAGCTCTTTTGAAGCTTGACAATATCACGTGTACGAAAAGTAATGTAGTTTGCATTCTTTTCGCCCAATACTGCCTTAACTTTCTTTCTTCGTTGATCGTGCGAGTCCTGTTCTATGTAAGATAAATCAAATATATACACACAAATATAGGTTATATCTAACTAAATCACCTTGACTTTCTGCAAGAGCTCTATTTGAGACTTTAAACAGCTAATAAACTCTCGTCTAGAATCCACGGTCTTTTCGATGGAGTTTTCATAGGTACTGGCAGTTTGGGTAAAACTGGTTGTATAGTCTCCAAAATAACTTGTGTCTGACGATCCATTATTATTGTTGTGCGTGGGTGCACTGTCGATCGTGTTATGTCGGGTGATTTTAGTCAAGGCAGCCACATACGCTTCCTCAGCAACCAGTCTATTTTTATATGTTATAATTTTACTGCTTTCTTTTTCTTTGCTTTTTTTTTTTACCTTGCTTTTAAAGAAAAGGTAAACTTCTCCAAGTCCAGTATGCTCCATTTCAATACTCTATTCACATGATCAAGTTGCGCATCGATACTTGTAAACTATTATTAAAAAGTGTAAGAAGTACTACTTCTTTCTCTTTCTCTTTTCTATTTAATACCTCGTCTTCGGGACTTGGGTTCAAACTCTTTGACGTTTTACTCATGTTTAAACAATGTCCACAAAAAAAAAAAAAAAAAAAAAAAAAAAAAGGTTCCAAAAAAAAAAAAAAAAAAGAAAAAGGTTCCAAAATTAAAAAAAAAAAAGATAATTTTACAGGATTTTTTTTTTAGTCTTATTTTGGTACGACTTGTAAATTTTGGCACATTAAAGCCGACCACATACATCTAAAGTTTACGTTTGTTTGTTACATTTGCCTGGGTGAAGAAGGGGGGGAGGCTTCATGTTGCATGATATTTTACTATTGAACACGTTTATTTCTATCATTCATTAGTCAACTACATGTATAGAGGATGATTGAAATTGTTTGAAAGGTTGATCTAATTTTGCCAGCTATCCTTTTTAATAATTAAAAAAAAAGGTCTCAAATTTAATTAAATTACAATCTCGTTTTATCATAAATTTAATAAACCCCGTCCTTCTTTGTAAGAACGCTGGTTCTTGAAAGATGAAAGCTTATTAGTACGTAATGCTAAGCAAGGTTTTTTTTTTTTTAATCAAAACGCGCTCTGATTTTCGCAGGGACTGTGGCTAGTTACTACCTCCCCTAGCTTTGGGCTTAGATTATAGTCAGTGACCCACCACTTGATACTATAACCCATCATCAAGTGTAGGCGTATACTTAACAATAATCTTGTTGATTGACAGGAAATACAAGTGTTCATCAATGTCCACTCCTTTCCCAATATATATATATTTATATATATATATATATATCTGTGGATAAGGACTTGGGGAAGCCTGCTAAAAACAATGGCTTCCCCTCCTTACAATAAACTCAAGTCCGCTTATCATACAATACAGAAATCCCGACAGGTCTGTAGTTGGCCAATAGTTTTTTTTTTTTTTTGATACAATAAAAATAGCTTTCTTTTTTCTTAAAAAAAAAAAAAAAAAATGACGTCAAATGAAGGAGGATGCTGTGTGATATTAAATATCTTCTTCCATCTTGCTTTGAGGCTTGGTTTTACCGTGTCCAAAACCAAAGGCGGATGTTAAATCCTCAGGATCCATTCTATAGTTTACACATGATTAGTTTTTAGGGTTTTGATAAACCAGTTCTATTCAAAACTTACTCTCTAAATTCATAATGGCCTTCTCCATCAAAACGCAAAAGATATTCGTGGTGACGAATCAATGAAGTTCTACTCCTTTTTTGTTAGTCACTTTCTTTTCTTTTTTTTGCATTAATCTTTTTTACCTGTGTGACACTGTGAACAATGTAATGCCTACTTTACGAGCATGCTCATACATGATGGCTTCAATATCTACACTCACTGCGCTTGTACATTCATCCAGAATAGCCTAAATTAGTTTATCAAGTTAGCAACAAATGCAGAGATAAAAAAGATAAAAAAAAAAAAAACTCACAAATTGGGGTTTGTGATAAAATAATCTAGCCATCGCTACACGTTGTTTTTCTCCTCCCGATAATACATCGGCCCAATCTTGTACTGTATCCCAACCTCCTTCACGCTCTACGAGATACCCAAGATGAACTGTATCTAATAAAGCCATCAAGCCATCATCATTCAACCCCTTAGCTTCCGCTTCTTGTCGCGTATCGGGATAAATCACCTGATCTCTAAAGGTACCCAAAGGAAGGTAAGGCTTTTGAGGCACATAAAATAATTTGGTTGCTGCAGGTTTTGTCACTGTTCCGCCAAATAATGGCCATAAATCACCCAAAATACGGAACAAGGAACTTTTACCACATCCATTGGGTCCTGAAATTAAACAATTCATTCCCGTACTGACTTTAAAAGAGAGATCCTTGAGCTAAAAAGATATGTATGTCAGAGAGACACTTTAGAATGATTAACCACATTGTCTTACCAAAACATCACTGTTGGGTGTGACAATAGGCACCTTGTCAAAGACAATCACACCATCACGAATCAAAACTTTGCCTTTAGTGTTATTTGTATCCACAAGCTTATTTTTGCCTGCTCCTGATTCTTCTGTAGACATCATTGTGCGCTTGTATTTACCATTACGCACATCACTCAGCACATCAAATAAATCGGCCACACGAGACTAAATAACACTATATTAGCTTCTTATTTTACAGGAGAGAGAAAAAACTTACTGTGTAACCAGCAAATCGAGTTAAATCACGACCTGTGAGAATCAGTCTACCCACCGCTTGCGATAAATTAATTAAATAACTGGCTATAGGTATCATGGTTAAAATTAATATATGTTTTGGTATCCTCTCTCCTAATTCATTTCACACTTTACAATTTCTAGAATAATCTTCCATCAATTTCGTAGGATCATGATCAATTCCCATATGTTTCGTAGCTACAAAAGAAAAAAGAAAAAAAAAAGTTTTCACTCTCCCTTTAGTCCTCCAAAGGGTAAATCCTATGAATTGAAAACTTACCGTAACGAGGATCAAACACAGGTCTTGCTAATAGACTATAAACACATTGAGCTTTTCACATTTTTCCTCCTTATATTATTTTTGTAAACGGCATATATATCAAAAAGAACTTACTAGTATGCAGTCATGGTTGCACAGTACTTGACAAGGACAGAATCAAAAATACCATTCAAGAAACGTAAAGTGTACACTTTACGGACATGATTGGAAATCTTTTCAAATGTATTGTTAACAACTTCCTTTTCACGATCTCCACCACGATAAAATGCAATTTCCTCGGAGTGCGTGATGATACGAGACTAATGTATATGGTTTTAATAAATAAATAAAAGGAGGAATATACATCTAAGAGGGAGGTGGGGGAAAAAAGGACCACTTACATGTGTGAAACGGAAATCACCTTCAAGCTTTTGTTCAATTGCAGTGTCTATTAAGGAGAAGGGTTTAGTAATAAAAATCATATCCTCTTTCTTGTAAAAAAAAAAAAAACTTCACTAACATCGGCCAAAGGGAGGAGAAAATGCACGAAGCAAGACACCTGACATGACAAAATAAGCAATCATAAAGAATGGTGCTTCGTTACCACTAATATTTTTCATCATAGATATGAGACCTTCTAATTCATGTTTTATATACGTGCATAATCTAAACTTACATGGCTTCTCCCAATTTGTATGCAAATAAAAAGATATCCACTACAGGCTTGGCAATATCCGAGTATAAATGAGACAAATTATCTGAAAATTTGTCAATATCTTGTGTTAACAATTGATCCGCATTTTGAAGTCGATTATCCAAATTAGACACTTTATAAAATGTAATTCCATCCAAATATTGATTGTGTGCATGCTATTTATGCAGCAAAATATAAGGTTAAAATAAATTCACGTGCGATGAAACTTTTTTTTTTCCGTACCTTGGTTAATCGTTGACGGAAACAAAGGGCAAGAGCATTGATGGTTAACTTTAATGAATTATTTACAATACTCATAGGCCACTATATCTGTGTCAGTCGTTTTAATTTCTATTCTATCCACTGATATTTATTACCATCATTAATCCAAATTCAACAATGGCTTTTGCGATGAATTGCTTTCTATCTCTGGAAACAATGGCCTTGACTACGGAGCTTTTTTTTAATTTATGAAGTGTTAGATCCTCATGATAACCAAAAATAACCCTCTTTTGGTTTTTGTTACCCGTTGAATCCAGAAAACCAAATATCCAACCAGGTACGTGCAATGAGTACAGTTGCAAGTATAACTAAGAGTCCTGATTCCTTTGAAAAAACACCTGCTCCCCCCCCCCATAATGTCATTAATACATTAATTTCTCTGTTGTCGTTTACTTAATTGTACCTGGAACACAAATGGGTAATAACTTTTTCATTTGTTCAAAGAATTCAGCATTGACACCCACTTTCTTGTACTTTTTCTTAATGCCTGTTTGTGGTAAAGGCATGTTGTTTTTAAATTGTTGTCTTGCTTTATGAACCGCATAGATTAAAGATAACACTAATACACCCGTCAAAGGCTTTTTTCCTTGTGCTAATGTAGAGAATACATTAGCCATGTTTAACAAGCAAAAAAAAAAAAAAAGGTGTTATAAAAAACAAGGGGTAGGGGGAAAAAGGGACCCAAATAAAAAAAAATGCGTTTATGTAATGCGAATTGTCATTCAATTGCTTTGATTGGGTGCCCCCACCTGTGTGTCGGGGGTTTATTGTTGTGTAACAGTTGGGCAATTTCATTTTAAATAGATTACTGTGGTTGATAAATATATGGATACACATAGTCAGACTTCAAATGATATGGGATTCTCTATAAATATATCTATCTCGCAAATTATAAATATAACATAATCCAGCCATTGGAAGGACATGTATTGTACCGATTATTTTTATTTTATTCTCACAAGCGGCCTTATTATCCTAAAAGTGACAGGGTAAATGGTTTTATTTTTTATTGTTATTAGTAATCCTCAATTGGACGGGGGGAAAAGAAACAAATGGTTTACTTTTGATCGCATCAAGAATAGAATCAATCCTTTTGTCATTGTTCATAACAAAATGAGAAAAACAAGGGTAATGCCTCCTAATCTTGTTTGGCACAACATCATTTATTCATGACATTTCAAAGACAGTTGAGTACCTTTATCATCTTTAACCTCTCATTTTCTTGTTGGCTGAATACTTTTTTGACTTTACAAGTGCATATAAGATCTAAATATTGTTTTTTTTTTCAAATATTCAGAAACCCTTATTCTTCCCAAAGGCCAATATTCAGAAAAAAAAAAGGTTGGGTTTATTAGAAAGAACAGCCTCTAACTTATGCATCCTACTGTTATGAAGGTTATCTATAAACAATAGTTTGGTATTTGCAAGCATGTCACAGCTATTTTCAATAGAATTAGAAAGTAGTCATCATACAAAAAGAGATTGATACATTGAGCAATACCGTTTTGAGGTAGTATCAGGTAATCCCTCGCTCGAGTTTCTTTAAAAACTTGTTTGAGTTATTAATGGGTTTATAGATTATTTATGCAAATAATTAATTCAAGGTACCTAGGTACACAATGGATGACATCTACTACCTCGACGTTTATACTCCAGCTGTCATTATGCTGCATTTTTATGGGACTCTTAAAGTTAAACAGATTGCTCAACCCATAGATCAATCGCACACTGGAGTATAAGGCTAGCCTTTTCAAAAAAAAATTATGCAATCAGTAGTAATTATCCAAAAGTGTGTTGTTATATCGCACAAATTATTTATGAGCTATTATACCAAATCACATAATCAAATGAAGTGCTCTAAAATTACAAGAAGGCTAATTCTGATTCCAAAGCTTCTGCGAACAACAAAAGCTAACAAACAATTTTCCCATAAGCTACCGCAAAAAAATGTTTTTAGGATGGGTTTCTCTGAAATATAATCTTAACGTTTAATCAGAATGCCCGGTTCAAAATAAATGGAGACTGTTTAAATGTGTAACTTGTTGGCGTGAATTGACTACAACATATACTGAAAAAAGGGATGTATGTGTTAATGACTCTTTATATAATATTACCAAGTTTATATTATTATAAAACCTGTCATATGTGTACTGCTACTTTTGGTATCCAAGGGCTTATTTCTACTAAATCATGCAAATAGTCTTATCTAAATTTATTAAGCTATAATGCTAAGAATTAATGACATTTGCACATACAACATTCTACTTACTTAAATTTTTAGGCTAACATAAATGTTGCCTCCTTATTGTATCAAAGTAAAGAAACAAGCAGCGAAGAAATGATGAAGGTCAAGTGGGAAAAGTTATTCCTCGTCAAAAAATTAATGATAACTACTCGTAAAAATGATCTTCCTGTTTGTTTAGACGTGTGCAGATGAAGTTTATACCGCAAAAAAAAATTGAGAGAAGTATTATTAATGAAGTTTTAAAATAAAAGGCTTGATCTATTGTTGAGCTCGTAACTAAGTTTAATTAAGTTGACTCGCGTGTATGTTATAACCAATACGGATTTCTCCAACCATCTGTCTCATTCAACTCTTACTTTAAATTGATCCGAATTGTGGCATCATTCTACCAACTAAAAAGAATGGTGCGCTTTATCGTATACCTTAGTTATGCTGGTAACCTGACAAAAGATGACATTTCTTTTGAACTTTAACCAGCAGGTTTAAATGTATCTCTACGGAATACATCATAATAACTAACGATATAGATAAAATACCTCTAAGTGCTATATTACACGTAAATCTATATGTACATTATAGTTTATCTGAAAGAGTTTGACATAATAACAGGTGGTAACGTATGTTAACTCCCCCCCCCCTCCTCCTATCATAATCAATTTGAATGAGATAAAGCAATCTCAACACATCTCTTATATAATATACTACTTGGAAGGCCGTTTGCTCACTGAAAGGGTAACTACTTAATAACAACAAATTTGAATATAGTTACTCATGTATCCTAACTATGCATTACAAGCAACTCTAAAAAAAAACTTTTTTTTTTCTTAGTTGAAGGTGTTTAGGAAAAATTGGTAGTGATCTTTCTTTCCAAAAAAACACGATCACTTTATTAAATAGAAGGCTGAATTATATTCCAATTAACAGCGTATAGAAGCTTCATAACTTATTAATGGGTTACTCTTTTTTTTTGGTTTTTCTTTTTGTGGTATGCAACAAGATAAAATTGCGGGTTAATGTTAAGAGCCTTCATTCGTTACTCAAGTTTTATGAGTTAAATCTTAATTTCCAAAAAAAGTACCCCTTCCCCCATATAGTGATCTTTTTTGATCCCTATCTTTTTGCAAATCCCATGTATCATAACCCTTTCTTTTTACTGACTGATAAAGGTTATTTTGTTTTGAATTAATAATGTGAGAAAGTATTGAGATTACATGTTTCAACCACAAGCCAAGTTGAACATATTAAAATAAATGCCATCATATGGTTTTATATGACGAGTCACAATAAATTATGTGTATAAAAAATAATGGAAGAAATATAAAACATGCACTTGATGAAACAGATATGCAACAACAATAAAGGGGGGCAAGGGTAGAGAAAGAGACAACAGGGATGATTTGCAATTAATTTACTTAAAAATTATAATGATCGAGACTTATTTAATAAAAAAAAAAGAAGTTTCTATGGCCATATACAACAGTGGGACGCTATGATGGTAATTCATTGGTACAGGACGCAAATAAAACACTAATTTAGGTTTGTTTGTTTGTTTTTTCTTCCACTCGTCGATTGTAAACGACACATTGATAGTCAGTGCATTACAATGCATATTTATGATTTTAAATATTTCCTTTTTATTTAATTTTTGGTGAGGAAGCACAATATTGATATCAACACCCAAGTCCATTACATGTACAATTTAAATCAATTGGCATTTTTATAGCACCAACAAATTTGTAAAATTGAGAATGGGGCGTGGTGCATAATGATAAAAATAAAAACCAATTGGTATAATACTCCTTTATCCTATTATTATCGGACTGTCATTGAATTCATGCAATGCTTTTATTTTATTTTTTGTACAATTATACTTAAGCTTTATGATTTTAAACTATGTTATTACACCTCCGCCCCCAAAAAAAGTCCAACTATTAGGCTTACCTTAAAAAACCACTATCGACACCAAATTTCATATTAAAAAAAGATCTAAACCTATTTGATTGAACTACCCAAAAGAAAAATGGGTCCAAGACGTAAACAAAATGATCTTCACAAGAAATTATGCAGACCAGATTTTTGTTATTGTAAACAAATAAATGAGAAGATGGTGTTACATTATCTATAATTGACACATAAATCGTACACTGATATGCCAGTCTGAATATATTTTATAAACAAGGGTGGGTTTTTTTTTAATGAAAAAGGGTTTTTGTAATAAAGATTACTGTGCACAAATGTTGTCTGTAGACTTACATTATGAAAGCAAATGTATTGATTAAGCAGACTCTATGTGACAAAACTGCATGATTATATATTAATATGTCTCTAAAATGAATCAAGCGTGGAATGGTGTAATAGAAGAGAGAGGGGTTACTGTTTTCAAAATGCAAACTGTTTATCAGTCATCTAAGAATATCTACACATTGATGGTCTATGCAAGCCATCAAGGGTTTTCACATAGAGTGAAGTGTGTTTTTTTTTTGGTCTCACTCACACCCCTTGATTCTTGCCCGCATATAGAAATTCTGATGCCACTTTTTGATGTAAAGAAAAAAAAATGATATGTGTAAACATAGATTTTACAATTTTATATAAAAGAGAATGCTTTTCATCGTAATTTTTTTTTTCTTATCATCAAACAATTTAGCTACATTTGTTCTCTCAACTAAGATGCGTTTTAATCATATTTCTCTCGGTTTTGTTGCCACCATGATGATGTCAACTTTTGTTCATGCTGGTACTATAAACTATTCAACAACAGATGGAGGGCTCGGTCAATTAGCTGATGGTACTAGATCTCTATCCGGTTTTGGTAGCACTTTGGGATCTGGACAGAACACTGCTAGCGTAGGTACCAATCAAGCTTCAGGTGCTTCTCAAGGTAGCTTTTCATCCGAAACCAATACCTTTGGTACTGAAACATCCGGAAACGTCTCTGGAGAGTCCGCAAATGGTCAAACCACTACTACTACCACTAAAACTGTGAAGACTGCCAATAGCAGTACAGGTTCTTCTGGCTCCAATGCTGGATCAAATGGTGCTACGTCTGGTTCTACTGTTGTCAATGGAGCAACTGGAAGTGTTGATAATATTTCAGGTGAATCTATCACTAATGCCGGAAGCAACAACTCTGGATTTACTTCTACCACGACTAAAACTGTGAAAACTACCACAGGTAGCAATGCTAGTGGTGCTGGCAATGTAGTAAACGGTGCTTCTGATGCTAATTCTATTGCTTCTGAAACTGTTCAAACTACTACTACTAATACTGAAAGTGTTCTTAATAATGGTTCTGGTGTCGGTAGCGCTGCATCCGGTGCTGGTAGTGGCGTATCTAATGTTGATGGTACAACTGATATTGTTACGGAGACTATTGAAACTGTAACCGGTAGTGCTGGTGGTGTCGGTGGAGCTGGTAATACATTAGGTGGTGTTGGCAGTGCTGGAGGCGCAACTGATATTGCTACTGAGACTATTGAAACTGTAACTGGTAGTGCTGGTGGTGTCGGTGGAGCTGGTAATACTTTAGGTGGTGTTGGAAGTGCTGGAGGCGCAACTGATATTGCTACTGAGACTATTGAAACTGTAACTGGTAGTGCTGGTGGTGTCGGTGGAGCTGGTAATACTTTAGGTGGTGTTGGAAGTGCTGGAGGCGCAACTGATATTGCTACTGAGACTATTGAAACTGTAACTGGTAGTGCTGGTGGTGTCGGTGGAGCTGGTAATACTTTAGGTGGTGTTGGCAGTGCTGGAGGCGCAACTGATATTGCTACTGAGACTATTGAAACTGTAACCGGTAGTGCTGGTGGTGTCGGTGGAGCTGGTAATACTTTAGGTGGTGTTGGAAGTGCTGGAGGCGCAACTGATATTGCTACTGAGACTATTGAAACTGTAACCGGTAGTGCTGGTGGTGTCGGTGGAGCTGGTAATACTTTAGGTGGTGTTGGCAGTGCTGGAGGCGCAACTGATATTGCTACTGAGACTATTGAAACTGTAACCGGTAGTGCTGGTGGTGTCGGTGGAGCTGGTAATACTTTAGGTGGTGTTGGAAGTGCTGGAGGCGCAACTGATATTGCTACTGAGACTATTGAAACTGTAACCGGTAGTGCTGGTGGTGTCGGTGGAGCTGGTAATACTTTAGGTGGTGTTGGAAGTGCTGGAGGCGCAACTGATATTGCTACTGAGACTATTGAAACTGTAACTGGTAGTGCTGGTGGTGTCGGTGGAGCTGGTAATACTTTAGGTGGTGTTGGCAGTGCTGGAGGCGCAACTGATATTGCTACTGAGACTATTGAAACTGTAACTGGTAGTGCTGGTGGTGTCGGTGGAGCTGGTAATACTTTAGGTGGTGTTGGCAGTGCTGGAGGCGCAACTGATATTGCTACTGAGACTATTGAAACTGTGACCGATAGTACTGGTGGTCTCGGTGGAGCTGGTAATACTTTAGGTGGTGTATCTGGTGCAACCGGTGCAACCGGTGCCACTGGCTCTGAATCTACTACAACAAAAACTACCAAAACTGTTACAAGCGGTGGCATTGGTAGCTTTGTAAGCGGTTCTAACACGGATAATGCCTCCAGTGGTACTGAGGCCTCATCCAGCTCTAGTCAACATTTTGGAACCGTTAGTGGTGAAAGCAGTGGCTCCGGTTATAATGGTGGAAGCTTAAATGGAGTTTCAAACACTGCAACCAGAAATGGCGACAGTCGTTCTCAAACCAGCACTTCTGGATCTTCTAATATCGGTAATTTTGCTCAAGCTTTGGCCGATCATGCTGCTAGAAGTGGCTCCTCTCGTTCCGCAACTGACCTCCTTCGTCGTGATGCCAAAGATCATGTCTCTCAAAGAATGGTCTTATCCCGTAGAAAGTTGGCCTATGCTTTGAACAAGCGTGATTCTCTTATCAATAGCCCTATCTAAAGTGACTTCTCGTGATTCACTTATATAATTTAGTACTGTTAATTTATTTTTTCAGTCTAGCAGTTCTCTTAGTTTATTTCTATAATAATATCTCATAACTAGTCATTTCGCATCTTTATAATCAATCTTCTCTTTTTTATCTATTCATGTTATAATAAATAAATGTTAAATGACCCTCAATTAGCCACTTCACTGTTCCTTAGTTCTTATAATAGAATAAACTGACAGTTTTATACAGGTATTGTGCAAATATTTTATTTGATTACGTGAGATGAGGTCATGACTGGGTACTCCTTTTTTTCAGATTCTCTTGTTGAAATCAGAGATCTATTGCATGTATGTAATTAACGCCCCTTTCCTCTGTTTCTTTTTTACCTGTGACGGAAAAGGACAACTTGGTATTTGAAAATAGAACGTACCAGTCAAAACAATATATAGCTTAATAAAATGTATTTTTATATAATAAAACGTTTCAATCTTATCTAGTATTATCTTAAAAATGTATATGCATGATGTATACAAAAAGCATTTCTATCTCCAAAACTAATAACATAATCGAGGAAAGGTGATGTCTCGATTTATATCACGTGAACAATAATACAAAAGATACAGCTGTCGCAAATGTTCAATGAGCCTTGTTTTTAGCTGTGTTTAAGGAGCGAGCGCTTTTGATGTACAGAGTTGGATTCAAATCCCCTGATAATGTTTTTATATTTTATTTTACAACCAATTTGAAAAAGGGGGTATATAATAATACCACATAATATATTAAAATCTAGTGACCAAGCATCATTTGTCGTGATAACAGGCGCATGTAAAGCTGGCCTATATACCAAATATATACTTGTTAAAATGGAGCTCTTTTCTCCTATAAGGTCTTTTTTTATTAAAAAAAGAAAGAAGAGAATAGGGATTATTAGGAGCATAAAAATAATAAGGAAAGAAAAAATCAAAATAGTATTGATACCTAGGTTAGATCGATGAGCACTCATAACTTTTTCACCGTTTTATGCAATTTAACTTCGTAATTTTAACGTATTCACCAACAGATGTGGCATTAGTGGTTGCCAGTTACAATGAAGAAAAGCATATTTCCTTGAAAAAACATTTGTTGTGTATAGCTGTTTGTTTTTTGTTTTTTAATATACACCGCAATGGTCTTCTTCTCTCCTTGATGTCTACTTATATGATTCAATTATGTTACTTCCCCTATTTTGATTTAGTATTGTCAATATATATAAAGTGATAACAGCCCCACTCTCTTTTTTTTTTTTTTTTTTTTGTTATATTCAAATTACTTTCTTCCTTCTTTTTTTATATATTATCATCACATATAGATAAAAATTACTATGCGTTTTAACATTCTTTCTCTTGGCTTGGTTGCATCCATGATTATGTCATATACCATTAATGCCGAAGTGGTTGATCACAGGGTCCAACGTAAAGCTTTTTTGTCTCGTAGAAGATTAGGTCATGCGGTTCATTCTCGTCGATACGATGAAGCCGTTGAAGCCGTTGAAGAAACAAACTGGGATGATCAAGCAGGAGATGAGGCTGCTCCCTGGGACAATCCAGAACAATGGGATACACAAATTGAAGATTTATATACCAAATATGATGATGAGGACGAAGAAGATGAAGATGAAGAAGATGAAGATGAAGAGGACGAGGATGAAGACGAAGAGGATGAAGATGAAGAGGACGAGGACGAAGAAGATGAAGACGAGGATGAAGAAGACGAGGATGAAGAAGATGAAGATGAAGATGAAGACGACGAAGATGAAGATGATGACGATGATGACGATGATGACTTTGACTTTGAAGTTTCCAATGAGTATGAAGATAGTTTTGACTTTATAAATGACTACGACGATACTGTTGATGTTTCTGCTGATAACGACAATACTTATGAAATTGAAAACGAGTTTGATAATACGTTGGAGACTTCTAACAATGTTATTTATGACACTGATGGCGACAATGGTTACTTTGATGATAGTGAATATGCCCTTGGTGATCAGTCTTTCCAAAATTATCAGTTTGAGGGACAAGCTGATCAATATTATGATCCAGACAACCAAGCTGGCGACAATGTAAAGTCAAACGATAACGATAAATACGAAGATGTTGAGGAAGATAACCAAGTAAAAGAATCATCAAGCTCTTCTGTTCAACGTCGACAAGAAGCTGCTCCCGTAGATATTACAGATAATACACAAGTTGAGCAATCTCCTGAACTGTCCCCTGAACAGCCTGCTGATGTGTCTGCTGAACAGACTACTGAACAAGTTGATGCCTCCACTGTAGGAGAGGAAGATGATGATGAGGAAGAAGAGGAGGAGGAGGAAGAAGAAGATGAGGAAGAAGAAGATGAGGAGGAGGAAGATGAAGATGAAGAAGAGGAAGAGGAGGAAGAGGAGGACGAGGAAGAAGAGGAAGAGGAAGAAGAGGAGGAAGAAGAAGAGGAGGAAGGTGGTGAGGAAGGTGGCGAGGAAGCCGTAGAACAACCTGCTGTAGAACAGCCTATTATTGACTCTACTGCTGCACCAATTGTTCGTCGTCGCCGTTAAACTTACATTCCCTTTATTACATGGACCAACAATTTTGGTATGTAATATTTTAGATTATTATAGTCTATTAGTTTGATCATAGAGATCGAGTATTTCCTTTTTCCTTTTATTTTTCTCGCCATTTTCATTATTTATTTTTTCACTATCTAATTCAAAACAACCAAAAATAAAAATTCATCAATTTTTCTTGATACATTCGATTAAAGATTTATTTAGCACTACAACCAGACAGTAGAAAAAAATTATTTTGGGTACGCCCAGATATTTATGCTTGCGTCTAGCTAACATGGTAGTATGGATCGAATTTTATTCTACGGCCAAAAAAAAAAAAGAAAAAAAAAAACAATTGCTACATACACGACTTTTTACCAGAAACGAAAAAAATATGTCGTCGCCTGCAGGATTTGAACCTGCGCACGCAGAGCGTATATGATTTCTAGTCATACTCCTTAACCACTCGGACAAAGCGACTTTTGATGAAATACGTGACCAATTAAAAATACAAGTACCTAAAAGTGTAAATTGTGGCTTAGATCACGTGAAAATCACGTTTCAGATTGATGATTGGCTCAAAAGTGGCGGGCATTTAAAAAATCTCCAACCTAATCTGTTTACATGAACGTCTTAAAAAGTCGCTGCGCCAGGATTTACTTCATGGTTCGCATTAGCACCCAGGAGTAAACGGAGTCTGAGCCTGGCAAATTGGTTTTGAAGTTACTTTAAAAAAAGAATCGGCACTGGGATTGGGAGGCTCCTTGGCACAGCTCAAATGACCTATCACAATTGATTTTCGCCAGCCACGTATAGTTAAATGTGTCAACAGCAAGATCTTGTTTAAATATGTTCTATCTTCTTATGTTGAATATTGTAAATATGTGGTTATTTTAAGAACCAAAGGGAAGCGTTATTTATATTTTTTATTTTTTATTTACTGCGATAGATTAAAATTATTATTTGGGAGTCTTGGCAAGAAATTATTCCTTATTAATGCTTCAAGCAAACTGATATCAAGCCGGTTCGTGTAACCTTTGAAGTCATATTGGAAAGTTTAGCTCTTTAAACCTAATTTTCTTAAGCCAGTTAAATGAATCCGTCACCTGTGCGGCTGAGGATTAAGTTATTTAAAGGCCATAATTTATCTAAAATACCCTCTTTCTCATAAAAAATAATATGAGCGAGCAACCCAGAGCTACTCCCGACCACAACCCTTTTCGAGAGAATGACGGAGGGCTGACAAGCCCGAATCTCAATGTCGATTCTCCTCATGTGGGCTTCGCAGACAGGTCACCTTCTATTATACCAACACCTGTGTATGACGATACGTCCTCCTTCATATCATCACCTATGCATTCCCCAGCCATTTCATCAGCAGCGACAGCTACAGCTATCTCGCCTTCACCCCTTAGCAATCAAATCGATCACACTCCAGCCTACGAGTCTAAGATCGAAGTAGGAAATGATAATGTATATGGTCCTACTTTTCAAGACGATGATACAAGCAAAATACCTTCTGGATTAAATAGGGGTGACTTTGTGCCACTAAAAGAGAATGATGATGAATTCCAGCTATATGAAACGAGCGATCAAAACAAACTTTTATTTCAGCCCCATCACCCCCCACCGGAGCAAACTAGAGTAGATATTTTTATGAACAAACTAAAAGGGTACCAAAAACCAACAGATATGGAGCAAGGAAATACTAGTGCTATTCCAAGCAATGCTAATAGAGGGTTTAAAAGAAATGACGAGGATATTGTACGACACATGCCAAAGCAAAGAGGTCTTCTTTACAAGCAATTTTTCGGATCTACGAAATATCCAATTTTTACATGGGTTACATCATTTATAATGCTGGGTGTCTTTATATATGAATTAATCAGAAACCACCAGTTATCAGGCAGCTGGATCCAGACATCTCCATTTAATCCTATGGTTGGACCCAATTATATGGTAAATATAGATATAATTAATTTAAAAAAGGCTTTTAATTAACATATTTTAATAGGCACTTGTAAATATGGGTAGTAAATTTGTGCCATGTATGAGAGAAACTACTCAGTATCCCTCCACAACTTTGTTTGGAAACTGTTATCAGTCTGCTGAATCGACTTGTACAGCCGAAGAAGCATGTGGATTTGGTGGCTTTGGAACCACACCAAATCAATCTTTCCGATTTTTTATCTCAATCTTTTTGCATGCTGGTGTTGTTCATATCTTGATCAATCTACTTACACACCTCCAACTAGGTGGTGAAATAGAGCGTAAACTAGGGTTGATTCGTTACATGATTCTCTATTTTGTGTCAGGCATCTGGGGCTCCATATTAAGCGGCGTACTTTCTGGAATTACGACTTGTATGTGTATATAATTTAATTTACACTAAAAAAAAAAAAAAACTAAAACCCTTAATTTTTAGCTTCCATGGGATGCTCAGGATCATTGTTTGGTCTTGTGGGATTCCAAGTGACAGATCTTCTAATTCATTGGAAAGAAATTCGAAGACCTGGACGCGAGTTGGTAGTCTTATTGTTCTCAGCCTTATTCGCATTAGTTCTTGGGCTGTTCCCGGGAATCGATAATTTTGCTCATATCGGAGGACTGGTGATGGGGTTATTATTCGGGGTTATTCTTACATCTTCACCGTCTAATGCATCTCGTAAAGCTATTATAGTGGGATGGGTCGCTAGAATCGTATGCCTTGTCTTGTTTCTCGTCCTGTATATTGTATTCTTACGGATTTTCTATACATCCAGTGATTTGTCGGCAGTTTGTCCTGGTTGTAAATACCTTTCTTGTTTGCCCATCAAGGATTGGTGTGATGTGTAATAAAATGCAGATAAAAAATAAAAATAAAAATCTTTATATATTGTGATGGTATAATGCCCCTAATTAGACTCAAGCTTTTTCAAATGGTTATACTTGGGTAAAACCTCACGAAGATAATCCAGATGTCTCGCATGCAGTGTTGCCTGGGTCTAAAAATAATATGGTTGGTCCGATGATACTTCTTTTTCATAATTTAGCATTAACTTACGGAGAGAGGTTCATTCTGTATTCTCCTTTTAGATTGTGCTCCATAAATTACAGTAAGGTCAGCAATGGTCTCATTGTTTTCTGTTGAGCAGGCAGATCCAATAACACAGTAATTTCCAACAGCGGTGCTTCCCAAGATACGACCTCTAGCTTCAACTATGTTGTTATTTCCAATTCGTGAACCTTCAACGTCTATCTATAGCGTTAGAACTGCAATATCGCAAACAAATCTGCTACTTACAGCATCCTACTTCAAACTCGTTCTCATCACCAATGACAAGTGGCGTGGAATTTCTAGAAGAAAAATAAGATTAGTGCGTATACAGACAATACAAATCGACATACTTGTTAAAAATGATGACGTTCTCTTCAATGATATTATTCTTTCCAATGTAAATGGGACCATTTTCTGCAATGACCCGGCACTGTGGATGAAGAACAGTTCCTTCAAACCATGTTATTTTATGCTACATTCGTTTTTTTTTTCTGTAAATTATTTACCAGAACCTGTTTGGGACGATTAGTAAAATCTCATTGCCTTACAGGTTTCTCTTACCAATTGAGATTTCACCCCTAAGTTCAGTTTCCTGGCACACGACTGACTTCGGTCCTGCTGTAATGCGGTTTCTACTGGCTTTAAGTGGTAAATAAAAAGTAAGGCTTTTAGTTAAGGCACATTTACCTTGTCATGGCGTCAAGAGAAAGAACACACCAAAAACAACCCTTTCTTTAAACTCAGGAGTAGTGAGTGAAAGACTAAGTCACGTTCAACATCAATTTATATCTGGGACTCTCCATTCATTTTTTTTCCTTTTGAAATGAACCGAATACTGTCGCTTAATACGAAAAGAGCCATCTTGTTCAACAATGTGGCTAGCAACCGATATATTGCAACTTCAAGAGTTAATGTCAAACCTCGACAACCTTTACTGAACTTAAAGTCGGCACCACCACCACCTCCTCCAGCACCCCTGGGTTGGAGAAACGCCCCTTCTTTTCCTCATGTCAGATATGCAGGTCCTGTCATGTATGGATTAACACTTTCAGCTGCCACTTTTATCGCAGCAGGTGTTGTGTTTGATCGTAATCAACAGACACTATGGGATCGTCTTCGACAACATTCACGTCAATGGTCTTTGTTTGGACCTGCGCAAGATGAGGAATCTATTCTAGCCGAGCTCTGGAGAGAAAAACGAGATATGGTAATCGAAAAAAGGCAGTTAATGCTGCAGAAATTCGGGCAAGCACTTGACGAACTCAGTTTGCCCCAAGATATTAAGCGTGCTTTCTGGATGATTGGAGAAAAATTTGCAACCATGTCCGAATCAGAAAAGACCCTGGCGGGAATCATTGCTATTAACACTGTTGTATTTGCCTGTTGGCAAATTCCTCGCTTAACTCCCTTTATGAGTAAATGGTTCTTACATTTACCCGGGAGTAGACAAAACATCACCCTATTAACTAGTTGCTTTTCTCATCAAGAGATCTTCCATTTTGGTTTAAATATGGTTGGTCTGTGGTCATTTGGCAAGGTTATCCATGATACATTGGGCCGCGAACAATTCCTGGCAATGTATCTATCTGCTGGCATTGGTGCAAATGTTGTTAGCCATGTGTGCAGCTTGGCATTACGTAATTCAAGACCTTTGATACCTAGTTTGGGTGCAAGCGGTGCAATTTATGGTCTAGTTGCCTCCACTGCTGTTTTACATCCTAATTCAAGTATTAGCCTCATTTTCTTACCAATGATCCCCATCAAATTGGGGTAAGTACAAGGTGATCAGTATTATGGGACGTTTACTAAATTTTCATAGATATGCGCTTCCTGCAATTATGGGTTTCGACTTAGCCGGTATTGTATTTAAGTGGAGAATGTTCGACCATTTTGTAAGCGCCCCCATTAACATAACCATAACAATGTATAGCTAATATAATTGGATATATATAGGCACATTTGGCTGGTGCAAGTTTAGGCATGGGATATATATATTACGGAGAGCAACATGTTTGGGAGCCGTTGATTCGTAAGATACATGCGATCCGAGAAAATAGTAGGGGCAATAATGGGAAAGGAGATGGCGGCAATTTCATGTGGACTGAACCTCGACAATTGAAATCAGAGCAATCCAGCAAATGGACAGGATGGTTTAACAAATAGATGTATCAAATAAATAAATAATTTCTTAGACAGATTTTTTTTTTCTTTTTCGTTTTCAATTAAGTAATAAATATAAAAAAAATATCGATTGCATTTTAGTACCGGTGCTCCCTGGTAATCACGTATTCGAATAAATTCAAAAGTGGGAGCCACAGTGTGGATAGCAAACATGAGATGTCTTTGAAGGTGTTGTTGTGAAGCGTGCAATTGGGCCGACAGAGCCAGTTCCACACACGCCCTAAGCATTAAAACCCCAGTAGAGATTGTATTACCGCTGCGGCATCCTTCGGATATGAAAAGCAAATAGTAGTCTACCTAATTGTGGGTCTATTTTATTTCAAAAATAAAATAAAATAAAATTTGACACTGTTTTGTTTATTTTTTAGTCAAGTAAACAAAGCAGCAGTGTGTATTTAATTATATTTTTAAAAGATTCCCGAACACTGTTTTTGGCAGGGTTACAAACCTTGAAAGAAAACACTGCTCTTACGTACACCACAAGATTACAGTCCAGCTGGCAAAATTTTTAGTTTCGGACTGTTTCAGTAACAATTGAATTTAGCTTAAATCGAATGGAGTAAAAAGTCCTTCGTCTTCGATTGTTGTTTAGTAAGTCAATAAGACACCCATTAATTTGACTTCGCCTCATTCGTTTATAGTATGATCTCACATTAAGCTATATTCTCTTTTACTGGCTTCGGCAACATGGGTATTCATACCATTGATTTTTTCTTTTAAAAAAACATATAAAAACATCATGACTATTCTTTCAGACCCGATGATATCTATATTATATCAATTGGTAATTGTATCTTTAATCCTCAGTTACCATTGACCTATTGACAAGATGTCAGATCTGACAATAAAATCGTTTCCTGGTATACATAAAGCACCTCAATCTTGCAAAAAAATAGACATTTTATCACTTGCATAACTATTCTAACACTACAGAAAATTATCCCTGACTGAAGGTTGCATGATTCAAGATATAGACAATTTACATAGCATGTTGCGCCAGTTACAGCACAGAGAGACATTCGTAGATTTTTGACTTTTTCCTGCGTCATACCTAGTAAATCTTCGACAAGCTTGTTAAAATGTATATTTGAGGATGATACAGCCTTCGGGAGATCTTTGTAATATTCTCTTTGATTTATTTCTAGGCTAACTTGGCCTTATCAATGTCAAGTTCCTTTTAAGACTATCATTCGAGAGTTTAATTGATCGAAAGTCCATTTAGACAAGATATGATTCTATTTTCAACTTTGAGATGGCGTGGCAAACAATTTTACCAGCTGTTGGGCCTAATCAATGCATAGAGTAAGATGATCGATTGTGTTTGCGTTGACAACAATTACTTTAGTTATAAGTTCATATTTAGAGGATCAAGCTTCGGAATTGACATTTTACCAAAAAAAAATTGCAATACTGCTTGACTTCATTTTCAGGAATATTGACATGACTTTGGATGATGAGGAAATAGTTCCTGAAGCAACAAAATGTCATATCTCTCTTTGCATAATTGCTCTTCTTGATGTTGATATAAAATAAATGAAATACTCATGTTGTATTCTCTGAAAAGGTAGGCAATCTATTAAAGGAAACTATTAATCTTATTTTTCTTTTATTTTTCTTTTATTTTTGATTTGTTTGGAGAGGGGTTTCTTTTATCCAAATAAGATATAATAACTAGACAGTAATAACTTTTTATAACCAACTGAGCCAATCATGCCATCTTTTACTCATATTGGTTTATACTCGTAGTATGAGAAATTTTGCAACATTTACGTGCATATGGCATTACATAAAATCATTAACGTTTTAGTTTATAATTTGTCCCTTGAATAATTTTATTTTTATATTTCTTATGGTCGCTAATACGGCATATTCTACCCATAGAACGTATTGTTACAAGTTTTACTATGATCCCAGTTTGACAGAATCGATCAGGTAAAAAAAGAAAGAAAATTGCGTGTTCTGCTTTAGCGTTTGTTTCCATCATGTAAGCGGTATCTATTTTATTTATTTTTTAAGAGCATATTTTATTTACAAGTATACAGTATGTGTGTTCGGGGAATTATTTAGAAACGAGGCGATTCGAAAAAGACAGTAATGGAACCGTCTCCCAATGTTGAGCTTGATGACGCCGGTGTATGTTCTTGCTCATTATGTGGTGGAGGGCAGAGATACAGAAAGTCAGTTGCTTTACTTGAAGACGAGTCGTTGGGTGTTTTTATTGATGTTTCTCTGTTTAAATCGCAATCGTCTTTTTTTATAATGGTGTCTATCCTTACAAGAGTTGGTTTTGTACATTGAAACGAAGGTGAGCTGTCGATATGGGTTATGGATGGTATATTGTATATCGAGGCTGATCTATTCATCAATGGACCGGGTGTGTCGTCCAGACGAGGTATTTGTAGCGATTGAGCACCGATAATAAACGGGTCACACTATGATGTTAATATATATCCAATTAGGCACACATTTAAATGTATACACACCCCCTTATCATATACCTGATGTGTCCAAATTGGTGGCAAAATCGCTGGTTGAATAGGAGTTAATGGTTCAATTGAAAAATATTTCTCATCAGCGTCATGATAGCTTGATGGTTTTGGTAGTCGTCGTCGCTTATATAATACAAATGCACCAATAGTACAAGCTACTATACAAGCAAGTCCTGTTGCTAATACAGCTATTAAGATAGTTCTTTTGCCATTATCGCCCGTATGGAATTCGGTTGCTGCTTGTAATTGGGCACGATTTTCAAAACATTTCCATACTAAACAATTGTCACACCCCCAAATAGATACACATGTTTGTCTACTTTGGCAACTGGGATAGCATCTGTCTGCACTATTATCTTGAGCCGAAGCTGTCAAATTTGCATTTGCTTTTTCAATTTTCTGTTCCTCTTTACTCATTGTAAATGCAGTAATGTCATTAAAAAAGAAAAGCACAAAAAACGAAAAAAAAGAGTAAAAAAGGAAAAGGAAGCAAGATAGAAAACAGGAGTTACTGAAAGCGTCACGGAAAAAAAAAGTGGGTCCTCTGGTCTGTCACACACAACGAGGGCCTTTGTTTTTTTCATATCACATCATACAGTAGCCTGAGTGAGGTGGATGAAAATTGGAGAATTCTTTGTGACACAAAAAATATATTTTTAATTTTTAAAGCGCTTAAAACGAAATAGCAGGTATTATGTGATGAACAACAGCTTTTCTTTCTCAAAATACCAGTCATTATGTGGTCACGCTTGATACATTTTTTTTTCTATCTTTAATGACGTAGAGGTTATTACCATTCTTATTCCCCCATTTTGTTCAAAAATAATTTTATTGCTTTCATACTTTATAAAAGTAGCGAAGATTAATATTTAATCAAGAGACCGATGCTGTTAACAAACCTCTTACATGGTGTCCTCCTGAGGGAAAGAGACCTCGTAGAATGTCTGTCGAAGACGATGCTGTAGAGAGTAGTCTGCAAAAAGGACTACACAGGAATAAGAAGACAATCTTATGGAAGCCTTAAACAACGAGATGAAAATACGTCTTACCAAAAAAATTCACGCGTTGTTATAAATTGACAAGCTTAAACCCACGGCTTAAATCTTTCTCGTTGGGAAAGAGGTCTTGTAACAAAAGCAGAAAAGAGGGCTAACTTGCAAGCAACGACTATTGAAATGTTTTTAAAGCGTCAAAAAAAGCAAATTTTTCTTTACTGAACGGGATTTGTTGCCAATAACTTTGATACTATATTAGCTAACACTAAACGCCAGTTAAAAAGCAAAGGAAAAGAAACAGTAGTTGATAGATCTTCGGCTAGAATTCCGGATGATAAATTACCTGATGTACCTCCAAGCGATGATGATTTAGTTTCATCATCGCCGAGAAAGGCATAAGATTATACGCGAGTTTGTTCCGTTTCATTCAAACATGAGGTATATATATTGCTCTTGACAATCAACAACACATAATTGATACTCAAACAAACAATAGAAGAAGTATCCAACTTTACTACAAGTTATGGAATATAGCTATACAATCTTTTCTTAATTTTAAATGACCACATTTCACTATTCAAATAGTACTGATTGAATCAGAAGGTGCTGAATTATCAACTATCTTATATATCATGTTCAAGTCTGAAACCAATATTGATAGAGTTGCGGCGCCATCATTGAAAGTTGTCTAGACTCTGATTTTTTTTAAACCACTTACTTTGGTCAAAAGGGTACACTGGAACTGACATTAAATCGAAAGCCAATACACAAGACTTTTATTGATATTTTGGGTTGTCAAAAAGAAAACGTGCCTCTCTTGGACGTGTATGCAATAAGAATTGCTTTATCAAGCTTTTCGACAAACTTCATAAATATATGGGACAACAAAAACCGTTTTAACAAGCTATTGACAAACCTCTTGAAAACTTCACTTACTGTTCACTTGAATCCACAAAGAGATGGAAGACTCAAAAAGCATAAATCAAAACCTTAAGTAGCAAAATGTGTATGTGTGAACTATCCTTCTACAAAGGATCATCATCATTTACAATAATAGAAATATGAAAAGAGCTTTATTCAAAAATGAATGTAGAAGAAGAGACAAATATTTTGAAAAGACGCGACTTGATACTGGCAACTACGACAATTGGAAAAGGCGTACTGACAGGTGTCAAATTCGGATCGATACATATGAAATAAAACTTTAACAATAAGTATGTAAAATGCATAGATGATTATTTTTTCACTATTATGAATACAGAACTCATTCTAATCATTTTGGAATTTTTAGAGAAATGAGGCTGCCGCTAATATTACCAAAAGAAAAGTCTTCGAGCAGACTGAGAAGGAGTAACAATAAAGACTTGAGGTGAATGCGGGAAATAACTTGAATGTCGAACAGCAGCTGCTAGAGATGGAAGACGAATCCCTTGACGCATCTAAAAGACGAATAAAAAACCAGTTTCAGTGATGAGAAACGTTATTTTTTAAAATCATGGAAAGGTAATAGCCGAAAGACAAGTAAAAAATGCATTTATCCATATAAAGTCACTAGAGCTTCAGACGTGTATTACTTGCAGCTTTTCGATGTCTTATTTTCCCCAAAAAAGAATTCATGGCCATTGATGACTTACCAAATTCTATTTGTTTTGATAGCAAACCAAAGTTTGCGTGCTTGTGGATACTCAAGGTTTACAGTAAAAGTCACTCCTCTTACTATGCCTGGTAAGCTAAATGATTTGAAGATCGATGCTACCTCTTGTTTTACTCATTCTTTTCCCCCAAAAGATACAGAAATCTAGATATTTATGGGTTTGATGATCAAGTGTTGGTCAAGACAACTAGCCACAGAAAATAGGAATGCCGTCTTAAGCTTATTTTTTGAATATTAGCAATACAAAGGCTTTCCTCGTCTTATGGTCTTGATTTTGCGCACTATATGGTGTTTTTGCCAGGTTCAAAAACTGTTCGTCTGGTTAGGAATTTGAGCACGTATGCACCATTTTTTACATGTGAACCTGTTAATGCACCTAAAAAAGCCTACCCTCAATATCGCAAACGAGGGATGGCTGATGACAAATATAAATCTAAAGGCTATGCAACTGAAAAAGCCCGAATTTTGGAAACCGAGGCGAGGGCATTCTGAAGGTCAAACATCTACAAATAGAATCAAAAATACTCGGGAAAATTATTTGGGTCACGAAAAAAGTCGAAACATTGATCCTGATGGCAGGCTTACTTAGGATGATTTAACTTTCTCTGGAATTAACAATGACAGAAACATCACGAATCAAATTGATTGTTTTTCAAGTTTCATCTGGACCTACAAAATTGATATTCTTTATTGAACGATTTAAAAGATGGTATGTTTACTAATTCATCGAATAAAATGATTTTTCTAACACTAAACTTTTAATATGCAGATCTTGATATTGATTCATTGGACCAAAGTTCACTACAGTATTTAAATATCCCTAAAATCTTGAAGCACAATTGACTATAAAGGTGGTACTCGAAAAATCCGTGATAACTTACAGCAAGCAAAAAAATTATTCCATGGTACTATTGTGCAGGAGGGCGAAGCATGGTTGAATCAGCGTCTATTTACACATGCAAATAACCTGCAAGAAGTTGGCTTTATTCATCAACTTTATTCGAACAATAGGAGAAAGTCGCAAAATTTTTACTATTCAAATTCCAGGAACAAAAAAGAAAACGGACCTGTAAATTACAATACCGAAAATATGTGTTCCTTGAAACGAAAATATGCAGCCGAAGGAACGAGAAAAATCCTATTATGTTTGTTGGTGATCATAGTTGCGGCACTGGTGGACAGTGAAAACCTAAAATAAGCAGTAGATATACCTCAGTATATGTCGCCAACGAGTATAATACATCGCAAACTTATGTATTCTGATTATCTTTAAAACAAGCCATCCGTACTGCATAATTAAAAAAAAAACAAAAATTCTGTTATTCAAACAATCAATAGAACAAGTATATGCTACAATCTAGAATGTATTTCAGTACTGGATGGTCATTCTCAGAAAGGAAGAGACACGGTGCCAGCTCTTGCCATTAGACTTACAGGTTTAGCAAATTTACTATTCGATACGGCTTTTCCATCTTTCCATCCTAACATCAGTCACTCCAACACTGATTTCAAAAATATTGGTTGAAATTTCTTAAAAAGAAACGTTGGCGGGTCTACTATCGATGATAGCGATATTCTTTGGTGGTCAGTTGAATACTGCGCGCGCTAGGAGTTTAAAATTATTGAATACCATCTCAGTAAATCAGTACAATAAGTGCACTGATTGAAAATCATACGCTTAAGTATTTCAAATCTTCTGGTAGATTTGCTAGAGCGATCTACGTCACTAAGCGGTTCTGAAGAAGACAAACAGCACGGGAAACACCAAACAAGAAATCGTGGTTTGGGGGACAGATTTATCGATTTTATGAATCAAGAAGGCAAAAAAAAAAAGGATATTCGCCCTTTTAGCCCACTTGCTCATTTCATCATTCGTTGTAGAAACGGAGTTTCTGGTCGCCCTGATGTGCCTAAGAACATATATACTGAGCATTTGGACTGGCACAATCAAGAGCCATCCAAAGTATATCCTTTTTCTGGTAATCAAAACGATTACATAGACAGCGTGGTTGATGCTGCTTCGGTCGAGGAATTCAAAGGCCTCATAAACAAAAGAAACGACAGCTCTGATGAATACAATTTCATCCATGCCATTTTTTCGCGAATGAAAAAAGTTTACACGGCCAAAGTACCAATGACAACATCCAAGTCAACTTTTAATTACTACTTGGTACACCCTTTGTTGAAGCTGGTGTCTGAATTTCTCTCCGAAAAAACACCATGTGGATTCTTTCCAGAAGAAATTGCACTTCATGCCATGAGAAAAGTCCAGAAAGAGGAAGGCAAAAGGGACTACCTGGCTGACGCCCTTTATAAGTTGCTTGACTATAAGCAACTTGAAGTCTTGCTCCTGGAAACATCAGGCCCATACAAGAACAACAACGCCACCAAAATTGACTTTGACAACCACAAAGGAGTGTGTGACTTGTTAGTCTTGCTGAAAATAATTTCCACTACAAATAAATATGCAAAGATCGAATGTTTTACAAGCTCAAGATATATTTTGTACCGGCTGGGAACAAGTCGATCTGCGTATGGTCTTTACAATACTGGGAGGGTGGCCTATATAGAGATGTCGAGGGAGGAAAAAGTCGAAGTCAAGGACGCCTTTAACAATAAGGATTCTGTTGTTCCAATAATACAATTTACCCTGGAATTTGAAAGGGAACACGAAAGAGAATATGGAAGGGATTTGAAAGGGGGATTGGAAGACATGATGGAGAATACACTTTCAACTTGAAAAAACTTTCAATTCTTGCGTATTGGTGTGTGGTGGCAATTTCCTTAAGCATGGCCAACAAGTCATACATTCCTTTGTGGTTGTCAAAGTCGATTTTGGTGGCGTTGTTGTTCTTGTATGGGCCTGATGTTTCCAGGAGCAAGGCTTCAAGTTGCTTATAGTCAAGCAACTTATAAAGGGCGTCAGCCAGGTAGTCCCTTTTGCCTTCCTCTTTCTGGACTTTTCTCATGGCATGAAGTGCAATTTCTTCTGGAAAGAATCCACATGGTGTTTTTTCGGAGAGAAATTCAGACACCAGCTTCAACAAAGGGTGTACCAAGTAGTAATTAAAAGTTGACTTGGATGTTGTCATTGGTACTTTGGCCGTGTAAACTTTTTTCATTCGCGAAAAAATGGCATGGATGAAATTGTATTCATCAGAGCTGTCGTTTCTTTTGTTTATGAGGCCTTTGAATTCCTCGACCGAAGCAGCATCAACCACGCTGTCTATGTAATCGTTTTGATTACCAGAAAAAGGATATACTTTGGATGGCTCTTGATTGTGCCAGTCCAAATGCTCAGTATATATGTTCTTAGGCACATCAGGGCGACCAGAAACTCCGTTTCTACAACGAATGATGAAATGAGCAAGTGGGCTAAAAGGGCGAATATCCTTTTTTTTTTTGCCTTCTTGATTCATAAAATCGATAAATCTGTCCCCCAAACCACGATTTCTTGTTTGGTGTTTCCCGTGCTGTTTGTCTTCTTCAGAACCGCTTAGTGACGTAGATCGCTCTAGCAAATCTACCAGAAGATTTGAAATACTTAAGCGTATGATTTTCAATCAGTGCACTTATTGTACTGATTTACACTATTTCCCGAAATTATTGGCGCACTTTTCGAAAAAAATTAGGCTCATTGAGAGAAAAAAAATTGCTTCAAAGTCCGAAATAAAATAGGTTCATTGACAAATCAAAATTTGACCCATAAATAAAAATGCTTAGGCTCAAAAAAATAGAAAAAATTAGCCCAAAAAAATATTAAATGTTAGCGCAAAATTAGATCTTTCTTTTTATTAAAATGAACACCTTTTTGCATGACGGTGGTACAGGACGATTACACGATGACACTGGAAATGAAGTAGCAGTTCTTGACATGGAGGTCGACGACGACCTTTTTCCTTTGGGCGAGATAACTGAATATAGACAATATCTCGATCTGAAGCCAACCGAGAAAGCTCCCAAACAACGCAAGGCACCTAAACGAGAGATAATTGAGGCAAGTCCTTCTCAAATAGCTACCGATAAAGGGGGTAATGCGGTAACTTATAGATCTTACAAGGATGAGGACAAGGAAGCTCTTTTTTTTTTAATTTATGAAAAAGGATGTAGCGTTCGTAGTGCCGCATCAAAATTAAATATACCTCCCACGACTGCTCGCAACTGGCTTAAAAAAGAAGAAGAGAACAACAATGTCGAAGTAACAGGAAGAAAACCTGGCAGCGGTAGACCAGCAGGAAGACCAACTGTTTTCAATGATGAACATAAAGGATATTTGACTGAGCTGATTGACAACAAGCCTGATATTGTGCTGGACGAAATGATGGAAAGCTTGACGACTCAGTTTATTGATCTTGACATTTCTAAGTCTGGTTTGCATAGATTTGTGACCGAAAAGTGCAACATCAGTTTGAAAAGAGCACATTTTCATTCAGTGGAACGAAATAGCCCAGCAAAACTTGAGGAAAGATATGAATGGGTCAAGAAATGGCAGGACACTGACATGGATTATATGAGCAATTGTGTATTTGTGGATGAAGCAGCATTTCATATCAACATGAAACGCTCTTTTGCTTGGTCAAAAAAAGGTACTAGAGCAGTTGTCCAGGTTCCAAAAACAAGAGCTAGAATGACAACTATACTTGGTGCTGTATCTAGTCTCGGCGTTGTAAATATGCGAGTTAAGCGTCCAAAAGCGGTAGCTCCTCAAAAGAAAAGGAAAGCAAATGGGGGTGTAGTGAATTCTGCCAATGTGAAAGGGAGAGGTGGTACTGTTACAGGCCACTACTTTAACTTTATTGCCAGTACATTGGATGTTATGGACCAGCATGACGAGTTTAAGGGGCATTACATCATTATGGATAATGCACCCATTCATACAAATAAGGATATACAGCTGTATATTGAGGGCAGGGGTTACGGTTGCATTTATCTTCCGCCCTATTCACCTGAGCTCAATCCCATTGAACAATTTTGGTCAGTGTGTAAGAGTAAGCTCAAAAGAGAGACGCTTTTAAGTGAAGAAACCTTGACCTCCAGAATCCAAGATGCCTGCAACAGAGTTCTCTTGAGTGATTTGAAAGGATTCTGTAGGTATTCTGTCTCCAAGTTCAGCGATTGTATCGAGCGTAAACCTTTATAATGCATTCACAATTTGGTGCACTTGGCTCACCCTCAATCTGTTCCATTTTATTAAGAATTTTTAAGCCTTTTTTTTTATATATCTGAACCAATTTTATTTTTGTAAATAAACCTATTTTATTTCGGACTTTGAAGCAATTTTTTTTCTCTCAATGAGCCTAATTTTTTTCGAAAAGTGCGCCAATAATTTCGGGAAATAGTGTACTGAGATGGTATTCAATAATTTTAAACTCCTAGCGCGCGCAGTATTCAACTAACCACCAAAGAATATCGCTATCATCGATAGTAGACCCGCCAAGAAATTTCAACCAATATTTTTGAAATCAGTGTTGGAGTGACTGATGTTAGGATGGAAAGATGGAAAAGCCGTATCAAATTCCTCCACCGAAGCAGCATCAACCACGCTGTTTACATAATGGTTTTGATTACCAGAAAAAGGATATACCTTAGATGACTCTTGGCTGTGCCATCCAAATGCTTAGCATATGTATTCCTTGGTATGAAACTCCGCGCAAAAAATTAAGGGGATCTTTTTATGCTAAAATGTCAAAAGGGAATTCGTAAATGTATACGCTTCATAATAATAAAACTTCCAAACAGCTTTATATATGTATTACATAGGCATAATTAAAAAAATAACTTTATTATATGTGGGTTTTAAATATTTTGTATGTTATTCACAGGTTTTCTTTTTACAGCCATACACCGATCGGGCATATTAGCTATAAGCCTTTCGAGGACATTCAAGTCAATTTTTTGCCATTCTTTATAAATTACAACCTCCAACCGCTTCAAATTATTGCAAAGATGTCTTCTCTTACTAACTTTCTTTCCTAGGATATACCAGAGGGTCCAGATTAGGTCTTTGAGCAGGCCAGTACTCAAATCTCTTGATACCGACCTTCCGTTTCTAGTAGTGTGACAGGAAGCGCCATCTTCTTGGAATACAAAGTCATGGTTATGTTCATGTAAAAGTTTTTCGAGCCAAGGAAGAAAGTTACCCGATAAACACTGGAAATATTTATCCTGATTAACATCACCATGCATTGTTACCTAAGGACCCAATCCTCCCGCCCAGAAATATCCCAAACCATGATCGAACCTTTGCCAAATTTAAATGTTAGTAGAACGAACTTTACGGTAAGTCCTTTCCTTTTCTTCCAAATTACTCTGGCACCTCCATCTTATGACACAAAGTAGACCGTAACTCATCTGACCAAACTACCCTCCTCCAGTCCATATTCGTTCATTTTAGCTTGTTATGAACTCAACGCTTTCGCTTAAGTTTGCTTCGAGTTGCCAAAAAGGGCTTCTAAGCAAATTTACGTGAATAAACCTCTCAAGGCAAGTGATTTTCTGATTGTTCACGCACTGAATTATACCACACATCACTGATAAATGGTTGACAGGTTTGAATGGCCTACGACGAACAGAGGTTTCAAGGAGGCATTTTTCTCTTTCTGGCATAATTTTTGGTCGTCCTGAGCGTGGTTTGAAAGTTCGATGACCCTCTCTTTTCGAAACCGGTTTTATAGAATCACGTGAAGGTCTAAGATTTTTTTTTTTACGTCTATTGATGATCGATGTTTGTTTTCATTGTTATCACAAGCTACTACTGAAACGCTGATAGACAACAAAGTTCGACTTGGCTGGGGTTTTTGTAAGTGTTTCTATTTTAAGTAAAGACCCAAACACTTCGGATGATCAAATAAGCAATTAAATCATTCTGACATAAGCTCTTGTTTATCAGTTTTACATAAGACTCGTTTACACACTTTTTTTTTCCTTTTTCTTTTCCCTTAAAATTCTTCTATCTTTTCGTTTTCCTTTTTTTAATGAAAGTAATTGATGTGGTAAAAGGGTGAGTTTTAATGACTTTTGTTTTTTCAGGAAACACTAAATTATATGTTCTTTTTTTTTAACAGGATACATTGCAATTATTGCTACGGCTAGTCTTTGCTATAAGACAGTGCTCTCCTAGATTGAGTTCTTGGGGTTTGGACACTCAGTCGATGGGTGGACTGTAAATAGCTGGGATTACACTGTACATTGGTGTGATCAGGTCGGCTGACTGGCTGGTCATGGCCAAAGTTGCTGTAAGTCATATAATTTCTAAAAGAGACGTGGAAAAATTAACAAGGACGCACAAAAGTTTATAGAATAAAAGTTCCCATGAAAGCATCCGAATCCTTCTGTGGGAAAACGCCACGCGGATTCTCTCCTGGGGAAATTGCGCTTTTCGCTGTTACAAATCAATTACTTCTGATTTGATAAAAAAATATAAAGTATATAAAAAAAACAATGGTACGATAGGTACGATTATAAGTCCTTGTTACTTTATTTGACTGAAGTTTTAACTATGAAATAATGGGGTCTATTTATACTCTTTTGAAAGCTGACTGTTATTAGAATTGCTAGTCCATAAATTTATCTTGACTGTTGAATTCTACATGAATTCAAGGGTACGCTTGTCGCCGACAGATTGCTTCAATGATTTCTAATAATATTTTCTATCGGCTCTTCCATTGTATTCAATGTGTCAGAGTTCCAAATTTGGACAATTTATATAATTTTGGATTACCGATGATTTTTATTGTATGTGCGTTTAGCACATGTCCTCCCTCTAGATTCAACGTTAGTTGATCGATGATAGGTATGCTTCCTATTTCAGCATTTTTCATAGTATGTCCTCATCCTAGCTACATGATTTTTTTTTTTTTTTTTTTTTTTTTTTGTATGCATATTTTTGTGACTTGTTCCTGTGGGTATATCTATTTACATATTTTTTTTTTTTTTTTAAAAATTTATCTATCTCGATTGCTACGTCTTTTCTTAGCGGGAAGTTCTTTATGTATTGTCTCCTTATTAGATCTTGTATTTCTTTTGTTATCAGTTATAATCTTTGTATGCTTTTCTTGTCGTTTGCTAACTTTCTCTGAGCGTTGAACTAACTCATTCTTTCTTTCTTGTTCTAGTCTTTCAAGCTCACGTACTTTTACCCAATATTTGCGGATCGTGTCTGGCGATGAGAATGCTGATGCTTGTAACCATGAGTTCTCTCGCTCTCCGTAACCTTTCCACTTTACTAAATATTCGCGATTGCCTTCTTTGTCTTCTCTGTGATCACGAATCTCGTCAACTTCGAATAACTCGTCTTCTATTCCTGACTCGTCAATATTTACAATTTTCAACTCTGACGGAACATAATCACGATGTAACAACTCGTTCATTTCATCCTTCAATACATAAGTGCCACCCATTGTCTTTCGTACAACTGTAAATGGTCCCTCGTATAGCGGTGATAACTTGGTTGCTCTATTTGGTAACTTTACCATAACGGTTGTGTCGTTAGGAATGTCAATGAGGTAATGCTTTTTGTTAAACTTCTTACTTTGTTCCTCAACTATTTTTCGTGTTCTTTCTTCAATAGCGGGAAATACAACCGATGCCATTATTTCAGCTCGTTTGATCAAATCCTCTTCTGTCGCCAATTTTCTTGGGATTGTTCTGGACGGATCAGTGTAATCTTTGGGAGTTGTCAACTGTCTCGCATACATCAATGAAAATGGGCTACTAGCGGTTCGATTACGTATTTTATAATTGCAGCATAATTGTGCGATGGGTAACATTTCATCCCATTTATTCGTGTCATTGCCTAATAATTTGCGGAGTGTGGAAACGATCACCTTTACGGCATTTTCTGCTGCACCATTTCCCCTTGGATGATATGGTGTCGAAAAACGATGTTCAATACCTAATGCATTTGTGATCGAGTTCATCAAAGCATTCGAGAAATCGCGGCCGTTGTCTGTTACCCACATAAGATTTATTGGTATGCCATAGTCTCCTAGTACATTCATTATCGCCTTTGCCACTGTGTTACTTTGTTTATTTTTCAGTGGTCTTGCAATTATGTACTTGGTGCATAAGTCGACCATTACCAGGATATATATGTTATTATTCTCTGTAACGGAAAATGGACCTGCTAAATCAAGAGCTAAGAATGTAAATGGATCTGCACTGACCACAGGTCTCAATGGATGATAACCTTTCTTTGCAATGTTGTTTCGTGCACAATCGATGCATGTTTGTACGTATTCTTTACTGTCTTTAAATATACCATTCCAGTGTATACCTTGAGCATGTAATTGTTGTACCATACTTTCTGATCCAAAGTGTCCCATTGCATGAGTTTCACTTAATAATTTACTTCTTTCATTTATGGGTGGAGCTATGTATTCAGTTGTTGTTTCTTTGTATTCTTTACTGTTTAGTCTTACAGCTAATACGTTCAAATTTTCATCTTTACTGTATATTTCTTTTTTATGAATGAATTGATCTTTTGCAATCTTTTGATTGATCTTATCAGTCGGTAGTCTTCTTTGTAAGATCATACGTTCTAACTTCATAATTTTCTTCTCTTCATCCTCCCTCAAAATTTGATCCTCGACTTCTGGGGGGTATAAGCGACTTAATATATCAGGAAATGTGTTGGAAAATCCTGGGATATACTCGACTCGATATTTGAATTCACTGAGAATGTCCATGTAATTTTGCAGCGTTCGGCACAAGTGCGTAGCTGTGTTCATGAATACCAGGCTTCTGTGATCAGTTAATACAACGATGTCAGGGTGTCCCCAAAGAATGGACCTGTATTTCTGAAAGGCATATACAATTGCATATGTTTCCTTTCGATTTACGGACCATGCCATTTCATGTTTGCCAAACGTTTTACTGGCAAATGTAATGTATAGAGATCTGCCGAGCTCATCGCGTTGCGAGATTAATACTCCATACGCATAATGTGATGCATCAGTTTCTATATATATACGCTTGGTCATGTCGATGGTGTGCAAAATCGTACTGGATGTAAGCCATGTTTTCAGCGATTTCAATGCCTCGTCTTGTTGTGTAGTCCATATAAATGGCTTATTCTTTTCACTACAGTTCCGGAGTGCGTTGATTGAATAGGATATTCTTCCCATTAAGGGAACGAACTCTCTCAGATGTGATACAATGCCCATAATATGTCTAACGTCACGACTATTTCTGGGTGTTTTCCAGTCGTCAATATTGCACAATCGCCTCGTATCAATTTTTTTGATTCCGGGGCCAACAATAAATCCTAGCAAATATATCGAAGTTTGAAGAAACGAGCACTTGTCAAAGTTGATGCGAAGATTAACCGAGGTTAATTTCTCAATTACAGCCTTAACAATTTCCGCGTGATCTTCTGGCGCCGAATATATGCACAGATCATCGATGTAATTTCGTACGCCTTCCATCCCTTGGAAAAGTTGCGCAATTACTCGTGAGTATTGTTGTGATATGAATGATAATCCAAAGCAGCATCCTTTCCATCTGTAAGTCTTATTTTTGAATGTAAAGCTTAAGATTTCTTGTGATTCACTGTCAACTGGAAATGAAAAATACGCATTCTTTAAATCAATTTTCGTGTAGACTCTTCCCGGTGCACTTACTTCGGCAAACATTTGTTCCATATCCGGGATCACATATTTGTCCGTTTTAGAGTCATCAATATTGGAATTGATTCTTCGAAGGTCCATACACACTCTTATTTTGGTTAATTGCCCAGTTTGGTCATCCTTTTTTCCTACAGCTAATAATGGTGTGTTATACTTCGAGCTGGGCATGCTTTCGTATACTATCCCCTCATTTACCCATTCATTAATCTGTCTTTGTATTTCTGGTATTTGATGGTACACTAATGGATACTGCTTGATATACATGTTATCTGTTTGTGTTTTTAGAGGGATGCGAATGAGTGCCTCAGGCATCGTGCAAAACGATCCTTTCGGTATATTTTTATTTGCCTCGGTGGCCCCATGTATTTCTTCTAAAAATATCTTTCGCTCCTTGTCCGTACCATAATTAGCATTTTCCGGATCATATTTGTTCTGCGTGTCAAAGTTTACATTCCGAAATTGTGCTTCTGTTCTTTCCTCATCGGGGTAACAATAGGCAACTCCCGACAATGATATCCGTAATTTACTCAAGATATCGAGACCTAATAATACATCAAATTGGGATTCCATTACACTGCTGAACTCTACTACTTCAAAAGCAAAATCGAAATTTAAATCATTAATATAACGAACTCTTAAAGGTTCTGTTATTCCAATTCGTTTTACTTTAATATTTTTCTTATTATTGTCAAGTGAAAGATAATTAAGAGACCCATTTATTTTGGAAATTTTTATTTCTTTATTGAATTTACTGTCTAAAATTGATTTATTTATGCATGAGATATCCGATCCCGTGTCTATTCTTGCTATTACTTTTTGCTCTCTAATAATGATAGGAGTCAATGTCAATTTTAATGGATTTCTTTCTTTCCTTTGCATATTATACTTACATTCATACGCATCTATTTCCATAGCCTCTTTGATATTTGAGGTCTTTGGCCCTTGATCATCTTCATCGTCCTCCCGACGAAGAGCCAAAACAGTACGGTTATTCTTGTGTTCATAATATTCTTTACAGGTGTGACCATGGTTCCATTCCTTTTTACAGTACCGGCAGGGTTGTCCCTTCATGTTGTTACCCGTGGCCTTGAATGGAATGTTCTTATTGCCCAAAAATCTATTCTTCTTTACGTCTTGACTTCGACATTCTTCGACAGTGTGGTTAGCCTTTTCACCCCCATGTTTTGGACATCCTTTAGTTTTCTTCACCCCATACTGTTGCCATTCTACTGATGCATCATCACGTCGACGTTTTACCGGTGAATTTACCTTATTTGTCACCAAACGAGCACTTTCCCCAACTGGTTCATCCCCAAAGATCTCCCGGCCGATGTCACATATCTTGTCAATAGTGAACTCATACTCCTCGTCCACCAGACGCTTACCCTCCATGGACGAAAATATCAATGGTTTACATGGCTCATACAAGTGTGATCTAAATAGGAGCACTATCATCTTGTCATCTTTCTGGATGTCAGCGGCAGCAGCAAGGTTGATGAATTCATTGGTGTACTGTACGATGGATTGGTGCGGCTTCATGTGTAAGTCAAATAAGCGTAAGCTGTTCATATCCTTGGACTGGAAGTCCCCAAACTTCTTCATAATAACTTCTCTAGCTTTCTCCCAAGATTCGCATGTTAATACTGATTCCTTGAGCCACGTCTTATATAGGAATGGTACTGCTACTTGAATTGAATCTTTCCACATTTCTTCTATCTTCGCGTAAATTCCGATGGTTGTTTCAAACTCGTGGATAAAGTGGTCGATTGAGTTGTACTTCTCTTTTGTAGGATATGGATGCTCATTTAATGTTGTTAATTGTAATTTTGGGATTTCGCTGGATCTGATGCGTTGTTTGTCCTGTCTGGCCCACTTAGATTCACTTGTTCCTTTTGGTGTTTCTACTAGGTTCATACTCCTCTCCAAAGTTAAAATCCGATTTGTCACCTCCTCAAGTTTTAACCGATGTTCGTTGATTTCCTTTTCGATTAAAGAAGATGCTGGCTGGATGTCCATTAAGTTCATCATACGATCACGAATCTTTACTTGGTACTCCTTGTAGCTCTGCATACGTTGTTTAATTGTTACCTCCTTTCCCTTTGTTGTTTTAGGTGGAGTGTTGTAAATTTGTACTTCCTTGACAGCAGACGTGATTTCATTGACTACTTCAATCCCTTCCATGGGATCTCCCGTGTTCATTTCGGCCGACTTGTCTGTCCCCTCTGCTCTGGATTTTCCTTTTTCTTCAAGAGTCATCTTCAAAAAAATTCAGGATAATCGTAAAAAATGTTACAAATCAATTACTTCTGATTTGATAAAAAAATATAAAGTATATAAAAAAAACAATGGTACGATAGGTACGATTATAAGTCCTTGTTACTTTATTTGACTGAAGTTTTAACTATGAAATAATGGGGTCTATTTATACTCTTTTGAAAGCTGACTGTTATTAGAATTGCTAGTCCATAAATTTATCTTGACTGTTGAATTCTACATGAATTCAAGGGTACGCTTGTCGCCGACAGATTGCTTCAATGATTTCTAATAATATTTTCTATCGGCTCTTCCATTGTATTCAATGTGTCAGAGTTCCAAATTTGGACAATTTATATAATTTTGGATTACCGATGATTTTTATTGTATGTGCGTTTAGCACATTCGCAATGAGAAAAGTCCAGAAAGACGAAGGCGAAAGGGACTACCTTGCTGACGCCCTTTTCAAGTTGTTTGACTATGAGCAGCTTGAAGTCTTACTTCTTGAAACATCTGGCCCATACAAGAACACCAACACCACCAAAATCGACTATGACAATCACAAAGGAATGTACGGCTTGTTAGCCATGCTTAAGGAAATTGCCAGTACATACAAGTTTGCAAATATCCAATCTTTTTACGATGTCAAGGTTTTTTTCGTGCAGGCTGCCAACAAGTACATTTAACTATGGTCTTTACGCTTTTTAGAAGGTGGTATTTATGAGTTGTGGAGGGAGGAGAAAATCGAGGTCGACGATAACTTTTCCAAAAAAGATTCCATTGTCCCTTTGATACAATTCCTTTGGAATTTGAAAGGAAAATTAGAAGATTTAGTCGAAAACCTGAACAAGGTCAAGGAAGAGCATCAAATAATCAAAAAAGAGTGGGTAATCCTGCCTGACTTCAGATCAAATTTATAAAAATTATTTCACTGGCTTCCTGTAATCTTGACAGATTATGTCAACCCTCAACCTGTAAAGTTGACTGAAAGAAAACATTCGGCTGGAATGTCTTTATACGGCCCGTTCAGCTCACCTGAGCATTATTGATTTTTTTTTATAAATAAAGCACTATGAATATCCCAAGAACAATCTGATTTTCAACATGTAAACATTTTATTTATAAGAATTTGACCCAAAGAGTCTGAGTTTTTTTCGATCAATATTTTAAGAAAAATAACAGCTAAATGTAGCTCCCAAATGAGCCAGACCATAAGATTCTGTAGCGATTTGTAACTTTTCCAATAAAAGAAGAGATTTTTATGGTATCCAATCTCTGTTATTCAATCATATCAATCAAACATAAGATAATCCTTTATTAAATGCTTAATTTGCTTTTGTATATATATATATATATGTTATGTTCGTTAAGTCGGTGATTATTATGTGTTCCGTATTTACAATAAAGTAGTGAGACAGTCTTGTGATACACCAATATAATTATCCCAAATTTTGAATGCTTGGGTTTTATTGATAGGAGAGCCATACAGGAGTATAACTTAAACAAAATATAAATTAATACACTATTGTATTGTGCAATATGCAATAATACTTATCTTTTAAAAGATAAGGGAAAGAAAGGATTTGATGGGAAGCGAAAGGATATCTTTTGCAAGGCCATCCGCCTGGTTGTTAAATTAAACAATCGAGCCTCAGGCCAGGGGGGTCACGACAGTTGGGTTGCAATCAAGCTAGGATAATTCCTCTATGACTAACGTCCTTTATTCTTCCAAAGCCCAGCGAATAGAGGTCATATTTGTCACCTCACGATCAAGTCATAGCTTTCCTGCCTTTCTTTCCCTTTTACTTCTTCACTATATCTTTTTCTTACGCAAGGCCATCCGCCTGGTTGTTAAATGAAACAATCGAGCCTCAGGCCAGGGGGGTCACGACAGTTGGGTTGCAATCAAGCTCCAAAAAAGATATCATGACTAACGTCCTCTATTCTTCCAAAGCCCAGCGAATAGTAGTCGTATTTGTCACCTCACGATCAAGTCATCATCTTGTGAAGAAGAATTAATTTTGTTTTGTTTTGCGTATTTGATCTAAAATTAGAGAGCGTTGATAGAGATGTCTAGTGTTTTAATTGTTGGTGTAGTACTTACAATGTTTCAAGTTCCAAGAGCAGAGAATCTTGACTACTACTAATCGTTTCAGACAAGTCAGGCTAACAAAACGATCAATTAATATGCATTTTTAACAGAACAGTTTACTTTAAAGGAAGCTTTTTTACCTACTCTCTTTTTCTAAATCATAGTATTATCGCTTGAGTTAGAAGCTACCTGTTGTTTTGATTGCCTTGCTTTTTGAGTGGCCAGTGAAGGTAAAGCGTTCCCTTAGTCAGCGCATAGTTTTCAAAGCATCCTTAGACAAGTTTTCAACAGCCTTGGCATTATGATTGTTTTGGCTTGAATTAGGGAGTGATCCAATGAGCCTGGAGTAAAGAAACGTTAGCAAACCAGATTTTATAAGACTCTTCAGAATCAAACTAAAGGCTTACTAAAGGCTGGCTTTTGAGATAGTCAAGGTGAAATAAAAGCAAAAACCATTAGGGCGTGACTGTTGCCATGTTATTCAAAGAAGCACATTCGGACATTGAATCCTCATTACGTATTCCCTTGATATTTGTCACTTCTTAATCTTTCTTCTTTTCTATAAATTTAAAAACTATAATGGCCACCTTAGAAGATAAGTCACTTTGGGACAACCAACCAGAAGAAGAGGATGATGTAGGACAAGACATTCTTCGTTTAGCTCCTGAAGAAGTAAATAACAGAACCAGATTATTAGAAAACGACATCAAGGTAACATAAATTTGTAATAAACTGTCTGTCTACAAGCGATACTTATTAGCTTGAAAAGGTAATGAAATCCGAAATCGTTCGAATTCAACACGAGCAAAATGCCATGAAAGAAAGAATTAAGGACAACAAAGAAAAGATTAAAATGAATAAACAATTACCTTATCTTGTTGGTAACGTCGTGGAGGTAAAGTGGCGATGGGCTATGAAAAAAACGTGTTGATTCTAAAAAACTTTCTATTTACAACCTTTAGTTACTTGATGTTGATCCAGAGGAGGATGAAGAGGATGGTGCCAATGTTGATTTAAATTCCCAAAGAAAGGGAAAGTGTGCAGTCATCAAAACCTCTACGCGTCAGGTAAGCACCTTGTCAAGTCGTTTTACGTGTTTCAATTGGGCTAATTAGCATACATATTTAGACAATCTTCTTACCCCTGATCGGTTTAGTTGATGCTGATGCTTTAAAACCTGGAGATCTAATTGGTGTCAACAAGGATAGTTTCTTAATTCTCGATACCTTACCTGCAGAGTATGTTATTATAAACATGTTTTTTTTAGAAAAAAACGAAAGGAATAGAAATAACACTCTTCTTTAACAGATACGATTCTCGAGTAAAGGCTATGGAAGTCGACGAGAAACCCACAGAAGATTATAACGATATTGGTGGTTTGGATAAGCAAATTGAAGAATTAGTTGAAGCTGTAGTTTTACCAATGACACATGCGGATAGATTCAAGAATCTTGGTATTAAACCTCCTAAGGGTGTCTTGATGTACGGGCCTCCTGGTACCGGTAAGACATTATTAGCAAGAGCCTGTGCCGCACAAACCAATTCTACATACTTGAAATTGGCTGGTCCTCAATTAGTGCAAATGTTTATTGGTGATGGTGCTAAATTGGTTCGTGATGCTTTTGAATTGGCTAAAGAGAAATCACCCACAATTATTTTTATTGATGAGTTGGATGCCATTGGTACTAAGCGTTTTGATTCTGAGAAATCTGGTGATCGTGAAGTTCAACGTACCATGTTGGAATTATTAAATCAATTGGATGGTTTCTCTTCAGATGACCGTATTAAAGTTATTGCCGCTACAAATCGTATTGATATTTTGGATCCTGCATTGTTGCGTTCGGGTCGTTTGGATCGTAAAATCGAATTCCCATTACCCAATGAAGAAGCAAGAGCTCGTATTATCCAAATTCATTCCAGAAAAATGAATGTCAGCAAAGATGTCAATTTTGAAGAATTATCCAGATGTTGTGATGAATTTAACGGTGCTCAGTGTAAGGCTATTTGTGTAGAAAGTGGTATGCTTGCTTTACGTCGTGGGGCCTTAGAGATCCTTCATGAAGATTTCATGGAGGCTATCCAAGAGGTTCAGGCCAAGAAGAAGATGACATTACAATACTACGCTTAAATAAATCTCGGTACATATACATATATAAAAAAAAAAATCGACACCGTACGTCTACTCTCAAATGGAATAATTTTCAAAATTAATTTTGAACACACTGTGAAGTTAATGGACAAATAGGGACTTTGTTTAAGTAGTTTTTGCAATGGTGAGATTGGGGGACATTATAACAGGTTTTCGTTACCCTTTGAGGGACTGTTTTAAACTCCATAAGCTGACTACGCTTTACTTTATGCTTAACTGTAGCACAGATCTGCTTAATGCAACCCGATTCTACAGAGGAAGATATGCGCGTTTATATCTTTTGTTTATATTTTCGACCATCTGGCTTACTTCGCCTGTTGAACAGTTTGCAGCAGTATCCATAATAAGATAAAAGTCTTCCAATTCCGAGTATCTGTCCACCATGACCGGTGTCTTTCTTATACAATTAAGGTAATGCTGACCGTTACTTTGAAATGTTTTGGGTGGGGCGGCTTTTATTTTTTAAACACCTTCTCAGTATCCATTCTACTCATACTACTTACAGCCTATGTACTATAGTTCTCAGACATTGCGGCATCCAAAGGTTTGTTATTCTGGTACTCCTCAAAATCTGTCCGTTTATAATAGGAAGTTGCCTTCAAACTCGAAATCCAAAGCCCTGGTTCTATCTTCATAGTAAAATTACCGTGACCCCATTTTAAATAAAAAGGTAAGTCAGTTTGTTTTCGATTTAAGTTGTACTTGAGAATGAACGCACTGTAAACTGTAAAAACACTATTCAATAGATCCGGAATGGCAAGCCTTCCGGAACTTCTCATTACTCACCGGAGAGTCAAATAAACGACTTCGTGTAACGTATTTGTAAGGTATTTAAAAGCACAGCATGATAAGGATCCACTTATCTCTTTGATCTGCTTTGTTTGGTAATGGATATCAACAATTTAATGCTTCAGAACTTACCTACAACAGTAGAGGGAAGAGAAGGGTAACCCGTCGGTACAATGTTCAATATTCAGTATGCTGATCTTATCCTCAATTAGCTTCTTCGATATGTCCGTTGACGATAGTGCAGATCTCATTTCACCAAACTCAAACAACCCCATTGAGTTCGTCACCGATAAAACCACTTCTAGCAGTGGGAGCGATGAGTGCAAGGTGGAGACTGATGTAACCGACAACAATCACTACTTCGCTATTCCTTTAAAACACATGCCGACAAACCGACCTGACAAAAACTGTATTAACTTTACCACACGTGTCGAAAAGGGACCTAAAACAAGAACGGAGATTTTGATAGATCGTATTGAAAAAAGAGCGCCTCGTCGGGTTATTCGTCGTATACTAAAATGCAGTATCGCGTATTTTATATCTACATTATTCAGTACTATTCATCCAATAGCCGATGCTTTGGGGAAATCGCCGTTTCTTGTTTGTTCGGGTTGCCTATTTAGTCATCCAGGAAGAACAATGGGTGCACAATTTGACGCAACCCTTACATCAGCACTTGGGGCCGCCGTAGCTATAGTTTATGGATTAGCAGGTGTTGCTGCCGCCACGACTTATAACGTGAAGTATCCTGAATCAAATGCAGGAGCTGGTATCAACTGTCTGTTTTTATTGATTGGTGTTTTTGGTGCTCAAATAACAAGACAGCGATTCCCAAAGCTTCACTTTTTTTCATTGCAGTTTATGGTTGTTCAGTTATTTACATTAACACTTGGTGTGGGTCATACAGAAATTCCTCTGCAGCTGTCGAGTCAATATGGTCTTACATTTTTAATAGGTAATTTTGTTTCACTATTTGTCAACCTTCTGTTTTGGCCAGAAACAGCGGTGGATGGCTTAGGTCGCGCATTAAGCCAAAATCTATTTGACACTCGGCAAATGCTGGATACAATTACAAAACAGTTTTTTTTGGACCCTCAATCAGAAAAGGTGCCTGCCGAAACTGTGGATAATCTTGCAGAAAAAATGCGGTTAGGTATGATCAAAATTAATTCTGCTTACAAGGAAGCCAAGTATGAAATGTCATACGCTTACTCATGCTCTTCGGACTTGAACCCAATCAGACAGGCCTTGGATAGAATCACAAAACATCTCAGCATTTTGGGTGGAAGTCTCAGAACTGAACAAGTTTTGTTTAAGACAGCCGATGAAACAGTAGTTACGACGGATGAAGAGGACTCAGATGATTATTTGGAATTGAAAAGAAAGGACCATAGCCATACCGAATCATACAGCAGCGCTGAAAACGCCGAATATCAAGGACGACAGTCATCGTGGTTACATCCCAATGACACTCTGACCAGAGAATTGAGCTTAAGAAAGTCTGCTATGAAAGCTGCTAAGAGTTATATGAAAGATGGTACCTACACAAGGCCTTATGAAACAGATTCAAATTGTCAGCAAGATGACAACAGTAAACCATCTACTAGCAGATCACCCAACTCTGTTCCTAACAATATGGATACCATGATGGCCGAACATGCAATGCGAGAAAAGAGTATACGGTTTGAATACCCATCTGTTTTTTTAGGAAAACTACCAGGACCTCGCAGCTCACGAACAATTGCTACGGTTGTGTCAAAACATGAATCCGAGGAAGAGGATATTGCTGCAGACAAAAGGAAAAGTTTCCCTCAGTCAATAAAATCCATCTTCTCTTCATCAGCTGGGAATGAGCACTCCGGGAAAGAAGAAGAATATTCAGATTCTAATCAAAATACAGCCACTTCGATCAGATCGTTTCTTAACCTTGCCCGCTTATCTACTCCCAAACAGAAACCTCCCCGTCGATCAGAAAAAAAAATTGGGTCAAAGGAGAGAAATTTAATGATAGCGTATCTTGAAAAATTACGCGATCCGTTGCTTTTACTTGCTGTTGAATGTGCTACTGTTTTAGACTGTGTTCGTGATAGTCTGCACGATCAACTAGATTTGTCTTATGAGGATGAAGCGGATTATAGAAGCTTCTGGAGATACATATTACGTACGTTCAAAATAAGAAAGTTCAAGAGCAAGGAGTATTTAGACAAGAAAAGACCTGTCGATTTTCTTTGTACCTGTGCCGACGCTATGCAACAACAAATTGTACAATTTGATAAATGCGAGAAGGAAAGAATGCGTGCCCTCTACAAAATCAATCTTTCTCAAAGACATGGTGAGCCTCTTGATGTTGGTATTCGCGAGGAATTATTCCTAGTCTTTTTCTTTATTTTCTCTTTACGTGAAGTAGCGATTGAATTAGAGCGTATGGCAAACGATGTTAGAAGTATACAATTAAAGACACAGAAAGAAACCGAGGAACATCCTAATAAAAAGAAAAAAAAGCGTCTGTACATGCCGCAAGTGACAACGCAGTCATGGAAAAAATGGTTTTATACGAGCACCTATCAGAATGTTCAAGATCGTGGAGGATACTCTTTCGGCGATCTTCAACAACATACGCCTGATGAGGTAAATCAAAGGCGGATGGAAGAAGAATACCGATTAGCTAAACTAGCAACCAATAAAAACAATGCAAGTAAAAGAAAAGGCAGCTTGAAATACAAGAGTCGAATCAGTCACCCCATTAACAATAATTTGACATTAAACAAACTAGAGGATGGGCCGTCGCCTGAAGAAAGTAATGATACAATACAGCCACCACCTGTCATAAAATTTCGTTACCAAGTATGGGCTTTTTTTCGATACATTCAAAATTATGAGTTTAGATTTGCTCTTAAGTTATCCATTGCGGTTGGAGTATTAACATTGCCAGCTTGGATACCTGCCTATAGAATGTGGTTCGATACGATTCGTGGACAATGGGCGGCATTAACAGTAAGTTTTACACTAGGTAAATTACATATATATATATCATAAATACTAACCAAACCGACCTACTTAGGTTATTGCTGTTATGAGTCCTACCAGGTAAAATATCAAATAGTGATAATTTTAATTCTTAACAACTAAATTTTATACCAGCGGTGGTACTTTGTCAAGCGGATTATGGAGACTAGCCGGAACGCTAATTGGGACTTTTATTGCTTGGGCTGTTTTGGCAATCGATGCGACAAGTGGATACTTACTTTCTGGGTTTGCATTCGTTTTGGGTAACATTACCAAGCCTACCATTAACTTATTACATCTGTTTTAAAGACCTTTTTTTAGCTGTACCATTGTTTTACATACATTTCTCCACGTCGTACAGTAAGGTGTCAATAGTTACTCTTATATCTTATATGGTTATCAGTTTGAGTCAGTATGTAACACCAATTACTGGTCAAGACATATCTAGGCTAGTATGGTAAGTAAAAATACATCAATATAAGTAGCAGGTTTTAATGCTATAGCTTTGGTAATAGGCTGAGAGCAACTACATTGGTTGTTGGTCTTATAGTTGCTCTTATCCTTAATTGGATGGTATGGCCATTTATCGCACGTAAAGCTGTACGAAAGACATTAGCAAACACAATTGCAGATCTCGGCGACTATTACTCCTATATCATGGGAACATTTCTCTATCATGATGAAGGATTATATCCAACTGATGATGAATTTAAAGAAGCGGAGAAAATGGAACGGAAATTAGAAAAGATGCTAAATACTTGTAACGAACTGTTGGAACTCACCGATCATGAACCTAGATTAAAGGGGCCGTTTCCCAAAGACTTTTACAAAGAGATGTTGGTCTCGGTGCATAATTTATTAGACCGTATGGTGAGTTTAAGAGTGTGTTTAATGAAGATGACTCCAGAAGTAAAAGACACTGTTAGAAAAATGGACAAATATCTTTATAGGCGAGATATGGTAATCGAAACAATATTAGAGGAAAACACAATATTTCTATATATTAACAAAACACAACTTTAGGTTGCCTCCATACTACTACATTTTTATACACTTACTGCATCGTTGAGAGCAAAGATACCTTTACCTTCATTCATGCCTTCTTCACGTATGGCAAGAAAAAGACTGCTACACCATAGACGAATTGATGATAGACCAGAGAAGCTACTTAGGTATCGCAACTTAACATGGTTTGCAATGGCCTGTACCACTGAGGAGATTATAGAAGAGCTTGAACATTTGACAGATCTTGTCAGGTTTATTGTGGGCGAATCGAAATTTACATTGAAAGCAAGGCGCATTGAAAAAAAAAGAAAATATTACAAAAGATAGATAGCAAGTCTGGTGTGTACAAATCACTACCTTATGATTACAACGATCATAATATCACCTACTCCTGTTTTCTATTTTTTGGTTTTATCGTTTGTTAAAAAATAATTTATAAAGATACAAACAATTTAAGGGTCTCTTTTAATAAAATGTTCCGTCGAATTCTATTTTTTTTTTTAATATTTTTGATTTTTTGTTACGATGGAGGAAAATCATGTGAGAAACGACGGTGAAGTTAGTAACGAAGACGATCTTATATACACTTATGCTTCATCCAACAGCATCCCAGACAGCCGAAACAATATCGTTGAATCTGATAGTTTTGGTGAGGAAGAAGCCAATCAAGTAAATATAGAAGGTGAGAGTGAAATTAAATATGGGTATCCTTAATAAAGTTATTGAATTCAAAATGGATTTCTCGTTCAATAAGGCGCCAAGGAAGAATACGAGTCACTGAAAAGGGAGCTCACCGTATTGAATCATCAAGGCAATCCATCTCAAGCAGAAGAAGGTCAGGCCGACGCTCAAAATTTTAACTTAGATGAATATTTACACGGTATCAAACATCAAATTGATGAAAATGGGCATAAGGGTAAAAACCTTGGTGTTTCCTGGGAGAATCTTCATGTCGAGGTAAGCAAGATTTTTAGTTACCGCGTAAATTAGTTTTCTCAATAACCAACTTCATTAGGGGCTTGGAGCTGATGCGTATACTATTCCCACAGTTTTTAGTCAAGTGTTGAGTATAGTATCTTTCTGGAAATTATTTCGAAAATCGAGTGGCAGTAAAAGAGTTATTATTCAAAATATTACGGGTTGTTGCAAAGATGGAGAAATGTTGTTGGTTCTTGGACGTCCGGGTGCTGGATGTTCATCTTTTCTAAAGGTAATTGCCAATATGAGAGGATCCTACACAAGTGTAGAAGGAGATGTAAATTACGGTGGCATCGAACCTGAAAAGTTTGATAAAATGTACCGAGGCCAAGTGTGTTACAACTCAGAAGAAGATCAACATTACCCTACACTCACTACAAAGCAAACACTACAGTTTGCCCTCCGTACAAAGACCCCCGGTAAGCGTTTACCCGAACAGTCTAAGAATGAATTTGTTGATCGAGTGCTTTATATGCTTGGTAATATGCTGGGCTTAACAAAGCAAATGGATACAATGGTAGGCAATGCCTTTGTTCGAGGTCTCTCCGGTGGTGAACGTAAAAGACTTTCAATTGCCGAACAAATGACCACTCGATGTACAATTAATTGTTGGGATTGCTCAACCCGTGGTCTTGATGCGGCTTCTGCTCTTGACTATGTTCGCTCTCTTCGTATCGGCACCGATGTTTTCAATGTCACTACAATAGCAACACTTTATCAGGCGTCAAATAGTATTTTTGAGCTCTTCGATAAAGTTCTTCTGCTCGATGAAGGTTACTGTATATACTTTGGGCCATCAGTGGGAGCTAAAAAGTATTTTGAAGATCTTGGATTTTTTTGTCCACCAAGAAAGTCCATTCCAGATTTCTTGACTGGTCTTTGCAATCCTATTGAGCGTGAGGTTAAACCTGGATTTGAAGATGTTGCACCAAAACATGCTTCTGAATTTCAAGCGAGGTACGAACAATCCGAGATCAAAAAATACATGCTGGACGATCTTGAATCATACAAAAATAATTGTCGAGAAAAGAATAAAGCTACCAAATTTGAAGAAGCTCTCAATGATGAACATCAGAAACGTGCAGGGAAAAAAGCGCCGTATATAGCATCGTTTTATCAACAAGTAAAGGCTCTTACGATTCGGCAGCATCATCTTCTCATAAAGGACAGGCAGAATATTATATCCAGATATGGCACTATTCTTATACAATCCTTAATCACGGCGTCCTGTTTCTTCAATCTCCCAAGAACTGGTGCTGGTGCACAATCTCGTGGCGGTGCTCTCTTTTTTAGTGTTCTCTTTAATGCTTTTATTTCACAGGCAGAACTTGTGAGGTTTCTAAACGGCCGACCCATCCTGGAAAAACACAAACAGTATGCACTTTATCGACCCTCTGCATTTTATATTGCACAAGTCATTATGGATATTCCATATGCAGTTGTTCAAGTAGTATTATTTGGGGTTTGTGCATACTTTATGATGGGATTAAATTTAACAGCAGGTCGATTTTTTACGTTCTTGGTGACCTTGTTTTTTACCAACATGTGCATGAATGGCTTCTTTCGCTTGTTTGGTGCACTTACTTCCAGTTTCTTTTTGGCCACTCAGATTACAGGTGTTTTGCTTGTATGTATGCAATCTTACACTGGCTATACCATTACCTATAATGAAATGCATCCTTGGTTATTTTGGATATATTATATCAGTCCAATGACATATGCTTATAAGACAATCTTGATAAATGAAATGAGTGGGCAAGTTTACTCATGTGATGGTCCAGGAAGCTCAGTTCCATACGGACCTGGATACACTGATTGGAGATATAAAGTGTGTACTATGGTTGGTGGTGTTCCTGGCGAGAACTATGTCATGGGTGACAGCTACCTTCAAAATGCATTGACATTTACCCCTTGGCAAATGTGGGCTCCTGATTTTGTGGTGGTAGTTGCATTCTTTGTTTTCTTTACATTTCTTACAGCACTGGCAATGGAGGTTGTTGGGTTAAGCAAAGCCGCTTCTCTTACGAAACTTTATCTTCCTGGAAAAGCCCCCAAACCTCGCACTGCCGCTGAAGAAGACGCGCGCATTCTTAGACAATCAAAAATTACCGAGAATATGGAGACAATATCAACCGGCACTACGTTCTCATGGCAGCATGTTAACTACACTGTTCCCATAAAAGGTGGTACGCTTCAATTATTAAACGATATAGGTGGCATTGTTAGACCTGGTAATCTAACGGCACTTATGGGATCTTCTGGTGCTGGCAAAACAACACTTTTGGACGTGCTGGCTAAACGAAAGACAATAGGTGTTGTTGAAGGGAACATTTACCTGAATAATGAAATCATAATGAACGACTTTGAGCGAATCACGGGTTACTGTGAGCAGATGGATGTTCATCAGCCTGCTGTTACCGTCAGAGAAGCACTTCGGTTTTCGGCTTACTTGCGTCAGCCCAATAATGTATCTGTCAAAGAGAAAAATGAATACGTCGAACAAATTATTCAACTTCTTGAAATGGATGATATAGGGGACGCCCAAATTGGTCAGGTTGAAAGCGGGTTTGGTATTTCTGTGGAAGAACGCAAGCGGTTGACTATAGGCATTGAATTAGTCGGTAAACCTCAACTGCTTTTCTTGGATGAACCCACCTCTGGTCTTGACTCGCAAAGTTCATTCAACATTATTCGGTTTATTCGTAAACTTGCCGATGCTGGTTGGCCAGTATTGTGCACGATTCATCAACCTTCTGCGATTTTATTCGAACATTTTGACCATTTACTTCTACTTGTTCGGGGTGGTAAAACAGCCTATCATGGTGAGATTGGTGCCGACTCCCGTATAATGATTGATTATTTCGAATCGAAAGGTGGACCTAAATGCTCCCCTGATGCTAATCCTGCGGAGTATATCCTCCAAGTGGTCGGTGCTGGTACAGCTGGAAAATCCTCGGTTGATTGGGCCGAGGTATGGAAAGGGTCAGCTGAATCCCAGGCCCTGGACGCTGAACTTGAGGAGATCCATCAAACAGCCGATAAAAACCCAACTCGAACAGCTCTCACTTATGCTACACCTCTTCCTACTCAATTTCGTCTAGTTATGCGTCGCATGTGGATTGCTTATTGGCGTTCTCCCCAATATAACATTGGGAGATTTCTCAATATTTTGTTTACTGCACTTGTCAGTGGTTTCACCTTTTGGAAGCTTGGGAATTCTTCATCTGAAATGTTGAGAAAGGTGTTCGCTCTTTTTAGTACTTTTATTATGGCAATGATTATTATTATTATGGCTCAACCCAAATTTATGACTGAGCGTATGTTTTTCCGTCGAGAGTATGCTTCGCGTTATTACAGTTGGATCCCGTTTGGCATATCGGCTGTGTTAGTTGAAATACCTTATATTCTTTTCTTTGCTGCTATATTTATGGCTGGTTTTTATTGGACAGCCGGTATGGTAAATACATCTGAAGCATGTGGGTACTTTTACGTCACATTTGTAATGATTGTATGTTGGGCGGTTACATTAGGATTTGATATCGCAGCAGTGGCCGAACTTCCAACTATGGCATCTGTCATTAATCCTCTCTTTATATCCGTTCTTATTCTCTTTTGTGGTTTGATGCAACCCCCAAGCCAGATGCCAAGGTTTTGGAGTTCATGGATGTATTGGCTTGACCCGTTTCATTATTATATTGAAGGGCTCACAGTAAATGAGTTGGAGCATATCAAAGTCGTCTGTTCTGAGCGTGATCTTTTACGTTTTTCTCCTCCTCCTGATCAAACATGTGGTGAATATATGAAGAATTTCTTTGCTTTCCCTGGGGTGACTGGCTACCTGGATAATCCTGAGGCTGTTCAACCTGAAAAATGTGGTTATTGCACATACAGCTCAGGGCCTGATTTTTATCAGACAATGATGGGTTGGAATGCATCCAACAAATGGCGAAACTTTGGCATCCTAGTTGCCTTCTTTTTTTTTAACTATATTTTATTTGTTATTCTTGTATTTTTTAGACGAAGACCTAATCGTTAGAAACAAATTTTTTTTAAATAGATAAATGTTAGCTTTACAATCACTATCTATTTGACTATATCCTAATTAATTTGTTTGTAGATGACTGTAGAATAAATTTTTACCCTGTCTTAATTAAAGTAGTATATCTTTTGGATGGGAATCACGTTTATGAAACACTTACTGGTTTTTACCAAGTAATTAACCTTAAACGGATTATGCCAATCCCTATTTTTAAGCGATAGTTCCGCAGCTGTGCCATTTCTGGTTACATCAAATCATTTCTTTTTTGGTTTGCAAAAGAGCAAAGCCTTTTCTTGTTACATCAAATCATTTCCTTTTCTGTTTGCCAAAGAGCAAAGCCTTGACCGTATTTGAAAAATTAAGAACGTAAGCTGTTTCCTATTAAAGGAAAAAAATTAATCCAAAAATAACGTGAGTACATTTAAAAAAGTTATATATAAACAGTAAACCCAGACCGTATACTCAAATCAAGAAACAAATTATAAAATCAACCATGTCTACTTCTAACGATAACTTTACCGCGTGGGCTGGTGTTCAGGGAGGAAAACCTTTTACAAAAATGGAGTTGAAACTAAAGGAATGGGATGCAGATTCAATAGAATTGAATATCACTCACTGTGGTTTGTGTGCGTCTGATGTTCATGCTTTAGATGAGGATTGGTTCCCTTCTGATTTTCCTTGTGTGTTTGGTCACGAAATTGTTGGAATTGTAACCAGAATTGGTGAAAATGTTAAGCATCTCAAGGTGGGAGACCGTGCTGGTGTAGGAGCTCAATCAGGTTCTTGCCATCAATGCGAGGCGTGTCTTGATGGACAACCAAATCTCTGTCTAAGGGATTTCCTTTATACTTTTGGTTCAAGATGGCCTAATGGTGATAAAACCTATGGAGGATTTGCTGATAAATGGAGAGGCGATCATCGTTTCACATTTAAAGTGCCTGACGATATGACAAGTGAGATCGCCGCTACTTTTTTCTGTGCTGGTATCACGACATTTGCTCCTTTGAGGCGCGCAAACATTATTCCCGGAAAATCGGTAGTGGGAATAATGGGAATTGGAGGTCTTGGTCATTTTGCAGTTCAATTTGCAAAGGCGTTAGGTGCTAAAGTAATTGGAATATCTCATAACAAAACCAAGCGTGATATTGCATTAGAACTTGGTTGTGATGATTACATCAGTGTCAACGACAAAGAGTCCTTTGATAAATACAATAACGGTTTGACTCATATTCTTTGCACAGGAACCAGCTCTGATTTTGCATGTAAGTTTTAAAGTTTTAGGGTCTCATAATTATGTAAACTAATCTGGTTTTCTTCAAAAAGGGCACACTTATTTTGCTCTCTTGAAAATAAATGGACACTTTATCAACGTCTTTTCTCCTACATGGGACCTTCCAGGCATGAACTCATTCACACTGTTTAATAAGCAAATCAAAGTATATGCTTCTAAAATTGGAACGCCCAAGGAAATGGAAGACATGCTTGCGTTTGCTGCCGAGAATAAGATCAAGCCTTGGATCACAACGTATAAAATGGATGATGTAAACAAGGCTATTGAAGACTTTAGAGCTGGAAAAGCTCGATTCCGGTTCGTCTTGGAAAACTAAACTGGAATTTCTGTATCATAGCAGCACAAAATACAATAATGCAATATGATGCATTGTATATAAAACTTCAAACAGGATGGACAGTTATAGGTGCAGTAACTGCTTACTGGATTCTCCCAACAATGGAAAATAAATAGTTTTTTTTAAGCACAGCTTTATTTTGCCCGCCTTTTTTCCTTTTTTCTACTTTTTTTTCCATAATGAGTGACAATCAACGTCTACAGAATCTTTACATTGCTCGCCTGACTTCACAAGAGAGGCCTTGCTTTGTATGCAGTAAGTTTACGAATGTGGTTTTGACATTGGCCGACAATAGTAATGCAGATTGGTTTTACACCTGTAAAAGTCATCTTGGGGATTTTAATTTCTGTTCGAAAGTGGGTGGTACAAAGACAAAAAGTCCAGAGCTGAAAAAGGAAGTGCTTGTGAATCGACCTGTGGAAAGTGATAGTGTATCTGATCTTGTTTCGAGTATCGGGACAGCATGGAAATCATGGCGAGGAAAAGACGAGAAAAAGCCAGAGGATGCAGATAAAAAAGAGAAAAAGGAAGAAAAAAAAGAAAAAAAAGAAGAAAAGGCAGAGAAAGAACAAGCCGACGTAAAGAAACAAGATACATCTTCTCCTCCTGCTATTAGTTCCCCTGTCTCTCCCCAACAACCAGTTCGATTTATCCTTCAAAAAGATTATTTCTATTTACGTCAGAGAGAATACATGAAAAAGCTCCAGAGCAAGCAAGCTTCTGAGAAACTGAAGACCTTACAATTCCCTGAAGTTCCTAAAAACAAGCCAATATATACTACACCACCTACCAAATAAATCTTAATTCTCCCACAGTGGGCTCCCATCCTGTCTTTGATAATATTATTAAAAATTCGGAAGCTTTTTCTAATAGAAAGAAACCCGTTCTTCGATAGGACCGGCCAATTATAAGGACTAAATCTGCTCTAAATTATCTGAACATTGCGCAAGCTCTTGATAAATGAAATCCAGATACTGTGATCAACGTCCTCGTTTAATATGTGTGCTTAAAGAGCCCATCAGAAACACCATGCTTTGTTACATTTTGTTAAAGGGCGTAGCAAAAAAAAAAAAGTTAATATAATAGTAGAGTCTGTGAAGGATAAAGTACTGTCAGTGGAATTAATTACACATGTTACAAAATCATCTGGTAAGTCAACGGAAGATCTCAATCATGAACCCTTTTACAATGCCAAATGTTATGAAGGAACTTTATCTTTTGAATAAGACACAATCCTACCTAAAGTTACGAGTTGCTTAGAAGGTTTCCTATCGAAGTACAAAAGAAGATACCACCTACATCATAGTTGAAATTTCTTTGATCGACAACTCAGCATTGGCTTACCCCATTGTGCTCACCAATGATACTAAAAAACTTGTATTTACACCCCTATCTGCCGTATCAGCTTCTCATCAAACCCAATGAAGGAATGGTGCTTTGAAAAATATTTTTTTTCAACATGTTATAAAAATAAATTGAAAAACTATAATCATATAGTTTATGAGTATTCTGACAATCTTCAGAGGATCATCAAGTTGAAAGAGATACCAAAAAAAGTCAAACAACATTGTTCTTTTTTGTTGAATGAGATTGTAAGTCAACTTTATTTTTGAAAAAATTTCTTACTGATTCATTTTTTTATTTTTTTCAAACGTATTTTTTTCAAATAAACGTATTTTTTTAGAATCACGCGATGGTCTACACGTCGATTGACTTGCCATATCATCTAAACTTCATGGGATGATCGATTTCTGTTTTCCATAAAATCTGCTTCACTGTCATTATAAGTTAATACTGAAACACATATAGACAATTACCAAGCTCTGACTTGCTTGGGGGGTTTTTGCAAGTGTTTCTATTTTAAGTAAAGGCTCAAACATTATGGATGATAAAATAGACAAATGAAATCATCCTGACATAAGCTTGTTTATCTATAAATAAAGCTGGTTCACACACTTTATTATTCTCCTTTTCTTTTCCCTTAACATACTTCTTTTATCGTATGAAAGTAACCGATCACGTAAAAAGGTTTGTTTAGTAGTAACTCTTGTTTCTTTGAAAAGAAGCTAAATTGAAAAAGATATATATTGTGATATTGCGGCTGCGGCTAGTCTTTGCTATAGGAGGGCGATCTCCTAGGCAGAGTTCTTGAGTTTTTGGAACTCACGAACTGTGAATAGCAGGGATGCATTCATTTTTTAGAAAGTATATTTCGAGCAATGTAAGTACCTCTTTATTAATCATATGCTAGTTTATACTATTATTTAAATTTAATATGTATACTGATCTATATATATATATAGCTAAATAACTTCCACACTACAACTGTAGATGTCAAGGATGGAGAGGCAACATTTAATTGTCTATTTATATAACCCTTTCTTGAAACAGTGACTACTTGGTTAAAAGAAAGTCAGGATTGGTGTAAGGCAGGATTCCGGCCTGGGGAAACACAATTGATATCTATGGGTAAACAGCCCAAAAACATACCGTTATATAAAGAAGATAACCACAGCTATCCGGCTGATGGGATCATTAAGCTGTATGGTCTGAAAAATATCGAGATCGTGTTGCTTGAAACATCGGGTTGCTTTGGTTCTATCGATAAATTAAAAATTGCATTTGATCATCATAAAGGTCTTTTTGGTGCTCTTGCAATGTTGAAAAGTATTGCTGATGAGTTTCCTATGGCAACTGTGGAGGCATTCCAAAAATGCAAGGTCTTTTTCGTACATGGTACAGGCAAGATACAATGTCCCTTCGTCTATTGCTCTGTCTCTTACTTCATCTAATAATTTTAGGAGAAAATATCTGTCTTTGGAGCTTACGATTCGAGCCAAAAGGCCCGATCTTTGAATTGTGGCTCGAAGATACGCTGTATATTAAGCCTGATATTGATGATAAACTGGACGCTCTTCCTCGTTTCTTGAAGTTCTTCTGGCGCATGAAGGTATTTGTCTAATTTTATTGACCATTTGAATTACACTTGTCTAACGTTTGTTTTTATGGTAGTGCCTCTTGACTGAGAGCATCTTAGGTTTTGCCCAGCTCAAAAAGGAGCATATATGAGTAATTTAGGATAAACAACATTTTCAGTAGTGTTTTGTTTATTCTCCCCCAAACCCCCTCTGTAAACGTACCAATAACCCATCATCATTCTCCACATTTTATGTCAGTTTAAATTTTTACTACCAAAGCCAATGAAAATAATTCACTCAATGCTTATGCAACGTTCTATGTTCCTGGGGGGTGGGGCTTGCCCCACCCCCCAGACCCCCTTTAGAAATATTTTTTAGTGGAGTGTAAATTCCGCTGGATTTTTTTATATGAATTGTAGTATATTATAAGATTTGGTAACTTTAGTTATAAATGTTCCGTTATTTCAGTTGAAACACTAGCATAATGACTGGACATATATGACAAATGATTAGTTATTTTGAAAAAAGGAACCACTTCGTCCGATTGATGTTGCAAAAAACTATAATAGCTATCGACATCTATCACCATAAATTAGGTCACTGATAGCCATACCGTGAGACAAAATTCTCATTTAAGCCTTTTTAGCCTCCATAAGTCTTTACACGAGAAGCTCGTTCAACACATAAGCATTAATCTGCATTTTTAATTGTTTTGAATTACGTTCAAAGAATTCAGACAGTGCATCGTTTAGGTATTACATAACAACTGCTACCCCGTGTCTGATTTTTAAACGCAAGTAAGTGGTAGATTTTCTTGTGTAAAAACATCTGAAATATGTAATCAATTCGTTTGAGAAAGGCGGAGATTGAAGTGACTTTTTGTGTCAAACCATTCGTCGGAATAGGTAAACAATCCGGGCCGGATTGTCAATAATTGTAGTGTGCGATGGTTTTGATTGAGGTGTGCTATAGGGTATTGGCTCAGCAAAGAACTACTGTGGGAGAGGGGGCAAAGGATGAAATCTTCCTTTCATTCTATTGCTGCTTTTGGGAGGTATGGATGAAGCTCTTTTTTTTTTTAATGCTGTTACGATATTGAAGCATTTACATGGATGGATACGAGAATGGATTACTAAATTGGACTTTTTTTTTTTTTATCTTTCGCAACCAAATCATCATTCGACAATTTCACTTTTATAAAAATCATCACCATTAGATAATTATCAGCAATGGCTCAGAGACTTACATATAGACGTCGTTGTTCTTACAACACCCGTTCCAACCGTGTTCGCGCTGTCAAGACTCCCGGTAAATTCAGACAAACAAGAAATAATGTCAGACTTAGAAATTAAACTTTTTTTCAATTAGGTGGAAAGCTTGTCTACCAATACGAGAAGAAGCCCGTAAAGGCTCCTCGTTGTGGTGACTGTGGTGAAGCTCTCGCCGGTGTAAGTTAATTATGAATTTGGGGGGTTTTTGTTTGAGAATGGAAGGCTAAAGATTATAATTATTTAGATCAAGGCTCTCCGTCCTCGTGAGTTCGCTACCGTCTCCAAGACCAACAAGCATGTCTCTCGTGCTTATGGTGGCTCTCGTTGTGCCCACTGTGTCAGAAACCGTATTGTCCGTGCCTTCTTAATTGAAGAGCAAAAGATTGTCAAGAAGGTTCTCAAGGCCCAAAAATAAATTAATTCGCAATGCTATTCTTTTAATAAATAAGAATCATATTTCTCGATTAAAATATAACAGCTGGAAAAATATAGGGGCAATTGGTGGGTGGGGGTTGGGGGATAAAGTTATAGTAGTTCCGGATGATGCTTTCATGCAGCACAAGATATGATATAAAAGTTGTGTAATTTCTGATTTTTTTTTTTTTTTTTTGGATTTCCCTTTATCTCTTTTATTTTTTTTTTAGATGGAGAATAAAAAGATTTTAATTCTATCGTTTGTTACTGCATTAGCTGTAGCAAATGTATCTGGACCACAGTACATATATCCAACATATGGTACTTCATTGACAAATAAATTTCATTGGAATGGTATTGAAAATAGTATGGTCAGTACCGCTACATTTGTTGGTGTGTCCTTTTCTGGACCACTATGTGCTTGGCTGGTAGAGAATTTAGGAATTAAAAAGTAATTGAAAATTCATCATAATTCCCATTTATTGCATCGTATCTTAACTTAAAATCAGTACCTTGAGAGTAGCTTCCCTTTCTGCTTTAACTGGGCTGTTTTTATTAGCCCAGACTTATGCAGGATACCTTTCAAGCCATTATGTTTTATGTTCCATTTATTTGGCATGCACCGGTGCTGCTGGTGCTGCTTCATACATATGCGCCCTTGATTCACAGGTACAATATTATTTCCCTTGTCCAGTCTTCCAGGGATAATCCCATACTAATTGGACTGTATACATAGGCACATAATTTCAAGTCTCATAGAGGAATGAGTATGGGGCTCACAAGTGCATCTCTAGGCATCAGCGGGCTTGTATTCTCTCAAATTAATGACCGATACTTTAAATCCAAGGCAGATGACTCGAGCACTTTCCATTTCTTACTCTTTGTCGGGGTTGTCGTTTCCATCATTGTCTTTCTTGGTTCGTTTGTATTAGGTCCAATTCATTCAGAAGAAGCCGTTGATTTGTCAGTTGATCTTGTTCACAGAAAAGATGATCTTATCTCCCAGAATTTAAATCACCATAGCTATACTCAAAGCATCAGCAGCTTTAGTACTTCGTCCACCCAATTCGAAGAAGATGAAGAAGATAGACCGCTTTTATCGAAAAACGCAATTGTCGTCTCTGCTGATAATCTTACTCATATGAAAAAGCAAATGAATATACAAGAGGAAACTGCTATCTCTGGTATTGCCTTCTTTTCAGACCCAGTTGGATTTGCATTAGCACTTTCATTATTAGTCATTCTGGGTCTTGGTTACGTCTATCTAGCAAACATTGGTCAATTGCTCGTTTCTTTATCCCCTTCAGACTTGTCTATTGGTGAAGCTCAGCATCTACGTAATTTTCATGTTTCTGTCTTTAGTATTGCAAACTGTGGGTCTAGAGCGGTTTTCGGTACTCTCAGTGATGTACTCAGAAGGGCCGGCGTGCACCGCTTGTGGTTCTTTTGGGCTGCAGCTGTCGGTCTTGTGATCTCTATGAGTGTCCTCATCACTTTTGTGTCCACTGCAGACGATTTAATTTTATGCACTATCATGACCGCCATTGTTTACGGTATTGCGTTTGGTGTTGCGCCTGCTACCATCAGTGAGTTTGGTCAAAAGGTATACATATTATCACTTCTTTTTTTTTTTTTTTTTTTTTTCTTGATTATGCTAACATGACTAAAAATAACCCAGGCCTTTGCTCGTAACTGGGGATTGTTACTATGCGCTCCGGCTATAGGCAGTCAATTGTTCAATGTATTGTTTGGTACATATTATGAACTTGAGTCCAAGAAACAAGGAGCCGTTTCAGGTGCTTGTTATGGTCCAGCCTGTTATGAAATGACCTTTTTCATTGGCATTCTCGCTGCTTTCGGCTCTTTATTCATTTTATCGCTGGCGATCTATAAAAAGGGTTTATACAAGTTTACGAGTTCTGTGTGAATTCTATACCTGCTTCCCCTCAAACTGATTTTGATAAAATAAATAAAAAATACTGCATTTTTGCACGTGGAATTAATTTCAGGGTCTTGTATGCACAGATTGTTGACATCTCTTTTGCAGATGACCCCACCACAGAAGATATTAATATTCCCAGTTTTAGTGTAACATAAATTCAGTAATCGGGAGTCAACTTGAGTTACCTAATGGCGAGATATTTGGTCAATCGTGACAAGAAAACATATTGTTTCGGCCATATTCTATTTAAACCTTTTACTCATATCTACGTATACGACCACTTCATTTGAATTCATATAAGAGGCTGTAAGTCCAACCTGATGCTAGTAACATTTCTTTCAGTAGCATCACGAGGGTTTTATTAAGAGTATTATGCTATATATTTTAAATGATAAATATTATTTTGTATGCACAACGAGTACAGTCTTTGGTTGCAGAATGATATTGTTCGAAAAGTCTTAAGCAGACATACGTTGATTCTATTGCTTAAAATATATTTACCATCAATAAAAACTGGACTGATATTTAAAAGCTGTAGGAGTTAAATACTTTTTTAATAATATGTTATTATCCGCCAAGTATTACATCAGTGTAGATAAGCAAACTCTGAAATGGATACATGGTAATCACTTTTCCAATTTCTGTTATGTAGGCGTCACTTATTTGATAAAACAGGCCCGACGATAACGACATTTGCACTGAGAAATATATGCCATTGGTACATACTAAGAGAAAGATCTACGGATCTGTTTTAATATACTTGTCAAAAGCAAGGAGAAAATTAATGTAGCCATATTATTTTGTAGATATCAAGAGGAGTCTCTTAGACTTAATATAAACTATGACAACTTGTTTCCATTAGGTTAGGTGTTCGATTAAAAAAAAAAAGTGTCCTGCTCGATAAACTTTTTCCACAGAAGCGAAACGAGGAGAATACGTTATTGCATGATAAATTTTACAAACTGGAGTAGATTGTATATCATTTGGAGAAAATAGGAAGTCATCTTTTTGTGCATTATTTTAGTAAAAAGATATTTTTAATTTTTGTATATAAGAGGGGGAATATGAGAACCATCAAAGGTAGTTGAATACTATATACGTACAAAAAAAAAGAGAAAGATATTATAAAGGAGATGGGGGATGTGAAAATATATATAGAAAGGGCATGTTGAATACAATTACAGTAGATAATAAAAAAAAGGGGGGAGGTGAGAGGGGTAATGTCAGCTTATTAACGAGCAACATTGTTTAACAATTTACGAGAGATTTCACCATCGATTTCTAAATCAAAAAGTCTCCAGATACCATTTTCATCTTGGAAATCGTTGTGAACAATATTGATTAAGTACCAACTCTTGGTAACGTCCAAAATTAATTCAGCAGATTCACTTTCGCGGTCATAGATACGTGCCCATTTACTCCAGAGCTCAAAGGCTTCGTCCTTCCAGGCCAAGAAAGCAACTGATTCAACAATGGTAGGTTGAACAATTTCTTTACCAGGGAATACACCCCAAGTAACGGCATTGGGCTCATCGCTTTGGGTATTTGTACGAAGATCGCCTTGCTTGTTGACAGCGTAGTAAGTCACTTGGTGATCTTTACCGACCTTTTCAATCAATTCATCCAACTTCTCAGGTGAAACAAAGAATTCGAGATAAGCCTTTTGGAAGACATAGCCGTTCTTGGGGCCCCAACCGTAAACCTTGTGAGAAGATTTGACACCATTGACAGCAGGTTGAGAGTTGATGGAGAGGTAACCCAACATGTTGATGGCAGCCAAACGTTGACGAATAATATCAGTTTCAGCATCCAATTGTTGAGCACTCCAAGGAATACCGGCAATTTGACCCTTACAGTAACGAGCAAAAGTTTGAGCAATGTCGTCAACAGTGGTAGGTGTGCCCCACATTTCAATACATTGTTCTACGGGGTACTTGAGATTAATTCCCCAACCATCGAGCTCACCAAAAGCAGGAGAACGAGAATCACCCCAGCGACCGTTAGGGAATTCATCCCAAGTCTCAGTACGTTGAATATAACTCTTTGCACGGTTCTTCCAGAAGATGGGACGAACGTTTTCTTTGGCACGCTTTGTAGTGAGAGAAGGGTTCCAAGGTAAAGGCTTGACACTTTCGACGGGAGCCATCAAATTCAAACGCTCCAAGAGAATACGAGAAGAACGTTCTAAATTGAATGTATAGATATGGAAACCATTGATACCGACTTCACGGAACTTCTTGACGAAGTCAACAGTCAAGTTGATTCCGTACTCCTTTACAGCTGTGTCGTCATCCTTGATGGGTTCAAGAGCATCCCAAATAGATTGGGGCACGAAGTTGTTGTTGAAGGAAATGACACGCTTAAGTCCAGTGTAATTTTGAATGGGGAAGACACCAGGCAAGATAGGGACAGTAATTCCAATGGCACGGGCCTTTTTGTAAAATGTCAAGAATGAATCAATGTCGAAGAAAAGTTGAGTGACAATCAAGTCGGCACCTGCATCAACCTTATTCTTCAATTGTAACAAATCATCCTCTTTATCAGGATTATCAATGTGGCCTTCAGGGTGACCTGCAACAGCAATACAGAAATAATCATTGTACTTTTGACGAATGTAACGTACAAGATCATCAGCGTGCTCAAATCCACCTTCACAAGACTCCCAGTTTTCTTGTCCCTTGGGAGGATCACCACGCAAAGCAAGAATATTTTGACAACCACAGTTCTTTGCGGCCTATTTATGTGTTACATTTACATTAGTTTTCATGTCTCCACGCACCATTTTTTTTTTCTTTTTTTTTTTTTTTTTTTTTTTTTTACCTCTAAAGCATCATCAATTTGCTTGATAGGCATGTTGGTACAGGTTAAATGCATCATGGTTTCCAAACCATAGACAGACTGAGCAGTAGCGACAATTTCGGTAGTCAAATCAGCAGAGGTGCCACCAGCACCCCAAGTTACATCAATGAATTCAGGGCCGTAACGTTGCATTCTTTCCATACGGTCATACAAGTTTTGAACACCCTATTGTTTGAAAAAAAAAAGAGAAAATCAATTTAAAACCTGTAAGATGCGGGTTTATTTTTATTCTAATGGGATGGATTTCGTACCTGAGGGGTCTTGGGAGGAAAGTATTCAAAGGACCAGAAAGGACGTCCTTCTTGTTCGGCTTTAGTGATCTTATCAGTAACTTTCATATTTAATTGGAGTTAAAAGAGAAAAGAAAAGAGAAAAGAAAAAAGGAAAGAGAGTAGGACATCATCCTGTCTATATAACCCATTTTTAAATTGTACAACTTGGCTTTACACTTTCGTGCCTAACGATGTGACTTCCAATCTGTTTTTGATCATCTTGATCTTTTTTTTTAAAATTATTTTTATTTAGTAAAAGGTATAAATAAATAGGCAGTATTGCAAGTAAATTCAGTAGTCTTTATATTCAATTATTTCTTGTTGCCTAATACATAAAAACACAGAATTTTATAGTGTAGATCAAGGATAAACAGCACGTAGTTCTTTCTACCAAATACTTCCTGCACTAGGATTGGTCCAAACAGAATTTGCAACATTCTTTTAGCCAATCCAATTGTTTAAAAAGTCATCCCCGATCTTTCCCTCTAGTTCATGCCTGTCAAAAAAAATAATCTCGGATTATGCAACAATGAGTGAATGTCATTTTTTTTTAAAATAACAAGAACAAGAAGAGGGACTTATGCAAGAAGAATTAGTATGGCTTTAATTTTTCTTTTTTTTGATCCAGTAGTAGGTAGTTTGCTGTGTAACTTGGGTTTCGTCTTAGTAGATGGGTATGTAGCCAATGATGCCTTCAGTGATGCCGCCAATAATAATAGATCTTTTAACTTTCGTCATAAGATCAAACTTTATTTGGCTAGGTAGTATAAATGGGAGCGCGGGGGGAGGAGGAAAGTTGTACAGTTACAGCTTATTTCATGCACCTTTCAAAATGAAATACGTGGCAGAAATCCAATGGAAAGACAATCATGCCATTTAATTTTTTTTTTTTTTATGATTTATTTATTGTATTGTAAAATATCCATGGATACTCCCTTTTGTTGAATTAAGGAATAGAAGAAGACTCTCCTGGTAGAAGTATCGTTATTAAATAGATTTCTATAAGCATGATCTCCTTAAAAGATCACTCTCTTTTCATGCTAAGAATAAATATTTTCTGTCAATATATGGATTATTACAAGGGGTTTAGAGGGGAAAATTACCATGATGACAATAGGTGACTCCTGAGTATTGGGACGAGATATTTCTGCCAATTCTTTACCAGCCTATGATTTATGTTTGTTACTTATAAGGGGTCGCAAAACAGGGAGAATATTATAAGACTTACACTGGTTGTTCCACCTTCGATTAATTGAGTCAATGATAATGTTTTCTTATTTAATTTCATCACCGAGCGCACGCGCTCAGCGACAAGATCCAAGTAAGCTGTAGTTAGGGCACGCCATTCTACAACTACTGGATCGGACATTTCAAACATAGGAGCCACTTCAACTTTGGGCTGTCCAGGTAAAAGAGAGTTTAAATGGTAGTTTTGAATACCACGATCATAGTCTGATTTTCTTAAAGTGATAAATCCAGTATCAATGAGTAAACCGCCTATATTAACATGTGAGTTAATAGAAGAAAGGGAGACATATAAGAAAAAAAAAGGGGGGAAGGACTTACCATTGGAATAATCAGGAAGGGGTGTCAATTGTTCTGTTCCTTCAATTATAGCTCCCAGTAATTTTTCCATGGGCTCAATCAATGAATACACTAACCATTGAGATAATTTATGAAAAGCTACAAACTGATCTCCTCCTCCAGCTAAAGCAGGACACTCCCAAACATCACCCAAGCCCACCGTGCCACCTTTGCTTTTTTCTTGTTGAATAGTCCACATTTCTCCAATTTCAAGTACAACAGGCCACAGGGTTTCTAAATGAATTAAGGGTCCTTTCTTAGTTTTAATTGTTGTGGGATGAGATAGTAAATAATCTAAAAATACAAATAAGTAAACAAACAACAAACCCCCCTTCTTTTTCATATATATTTTATTTACCCATCATATTTCCTGGGCGAGGGACATGCCCTTCTTCTCCACCAAAATAGTCAGGTCGATCCCGTAAAACGCATGCGAGATTTTTTAATAACTCAAGTCTATCTTGCAATCCAACCAACACTTTTGTTTGAAACCCGGTCAATAATATGTCCATAGTCAAGTTTGATAGCGCCTCTGCTATTTGAACGCAAAGTTAATTTTAATAAACTTTAAATGAAGCAGGGTAACTTACAGTCTACTCGATGCGGCTGATTAGGATTCATTGAAAAGACACCTGCCATATACATGTCCAGAACGGCTACAGCAATACCTTCTCTTCTCTTGTAAGTTCGATTTGTGGTCTTTTCTTGATAGACCCAACCACGAGGATCGATATCTAATAATACAGCCACCACAAACAAGTCCAGAACCCGTCTAGTCTGTTCGAGAGCGTCAACTCCGAGATTTGCCCAGCTCTGAATCAATGTTTGAATGCGAGGTCTACCTTCAACATCAAAATGTCTCCAGCGACCATGACAAGGTATTTTGGACGTATCGTCTTGATAATCCCGCTTGATTAATGAAACTACAAATTGCACCATATCTTGTAATTTACTCGGGTCAATATCAAAATGATTTAGTTTGTTCCTGACAGCTGCTTCTTGAACCCGGAAACACCTTTCACGTACTGCACGCAGACTTAAAAGATATTCATAATCAGCACTGCCGGACACCATATATTTAAAGTTTTACTTTTTTGTTTATTTTGGAATATAAAAAGAAAAGGAAAAGAAAGGAAAAGAAAACTGATAGATTTTTATATAAGGAGAACCAAGTTCTGGATCTACCTTTCACGCATGTAATACATATAAGGGAGTTTTTTTACATCATACGCCCTAATAGGGCAGAGTTGCTTAGACTTAGCCAATTGCATACTCCCTTTTCCCGCATGGTTTTTGTAGATTTAGTCCGCCCTTATAAGGTTGTGCGAGAGAATATTCCCACCAAAAAAATAATAATATTAAAACCTTCTTTTACTCTTAAATGTCTATTAAAAAGATTACTAAACTTGTTCCCCAAACCAGTGCCTTATTCGTTTGCGATGTGCAAGAACGTTTTAAGGGTCTTATCTGGCAATACCCTTCTGTTATCTCGGTTGCTGGGAAAATGGTAAGCACGCGAATAGTAAATAAAACCTTATATTCATGTGTTTCCTTATTAGATTAAAGCAAGTAAGCTTTTGGACATTCCTGTAGTTGTCACAGAACAATACCCCAAAGGTAAAAACCAAGTTTTTTCTGCATGCAGAAAGAGAAAGGGACTGATGGTTTGACTTGAATGTATATTAGCATTTGGACCAACTGTAGCTGAATTGGATGTTTCTGATGCCGCTGTTGTCATTCCCAAGACCAAGTTCAGCATGTATTTGCCTGAAGTTGTCTCTGTTTTGGAAAAAAACAAGACGAAATCAGTTCTTTTGTTGGGCATTGAGGTGAAAACGGAACAAATAACATAACTAGGTCGTGTGAAAGCTGACAAACCTTATTATTAGAGTCACGTCTGTGTTCTTCAAACAGCACTTGAGTTACTTGAAAACGACTATGATGTTCATGTTATTGCTGATGGTGTATCATCACAAAACTATCCTGAAATTGATATTGCGGTGGCAGTAAGTCCTATTTTTCTAGGGGAATGATAAAAAGTGATTAATCGTATATTGTTGTAGCGCATGAAAGCTGCTGGTGCAATTATCACCACTTCAGAATCCGTTCTTTTCCAATTGGTCCAAGATGCCAAACATGAGAAATTTAAGGGCATCAGTAATTTGGTCAAGGAATACATGGAAGCTACCAAAGTGAACAAGATTTTGCAAAGAGGATCCAACTTGTAAATAAAAAACATTGTTTATTTCTTCTATATAAAAAAATTCTCTTATGATTCGAAGCTCTTTTCCCAGAATCCATTGCCTTTGACCTGAGCAGAAAGTGTGGTGTCGTTCTTGGACTTTAAAGAGCGGATAGCGGCTTTAAATCCAGGGTATAATTGAGCAACATTCATTTTCCACCAAGTACGGTTGTATTCCATTTGTCGATCGTAGGCCTTATTTAAAAAGTCTTTATAAAACACTGACAATGCTTCGGCTGTCACTTCTTGTCCATTTGCTTTTACTATATTTATCATTAGCCTATTATAACGTCTTTGCAATTTCTACGCTTACAATTATCTTCATAATCTGCCTTTGCTTGGACAAACATTGTATTATTATGATGCCAGAAATCCTCATTAAATTTATCCACTCTCATACAAGACTCTCTCCATTCTTTTTCGTCGGCTGTTTCATTCTCAGGTATATAATATTTTACAGGTCGAAGGTTTGAAATTGGATCAGGCGTACCAATCATATCAGCAGCCACTGGTTTTGTTAAATTCTCGCACCACTTTCCTTGTTCTATTTTGTGAATAATTGTAAGTCGAGATAAAAATTAAACGATAAAAAGCTATTTTACTTTTGAGTGGCGAGGTAGCCATGCTACGTTTATGCAAAGCTAAACACTTTTGAGAACTCTAAAAGATAGGCATAAGATACTTGGAGCTATTAAGTTCTCTTCAATGAACTTACACGGAGAATGCTCGTCATTACACAATTGTCAATGAAAGACAAAAAAAAAAAAAAAAAAAATTAAACAGGGATACTTGGGGAGTATTTATATCAAGTCACTTTTTTTTATTTCTGTAAACAAAATACAGCTTTTAACACTCCGTCTCAATAGTTATTTAACCCATCTTGGTAGCGATTATTTTCGTTCCTTTTTTTCTTTTTTTATCCAACCATTTTTTTTAAAAAAAACATGAGCGATAACAATCTTGGGAAACACGTAACGGACTATATGATATCTGAAAACGAGTCATCTAGCAATGCTAAAAAATCAGCTGAAAGTGTTATGGAGCGTAGGTGTTAAATTTGCCATAATTCTCCACTCACACCCACTTACATCTATTACTTTATCAGTTGTTAATACCGGAGATGTGAAGACAAATTTAATCAACCTGATTCAATCTATGGGGGAATACCTTGTTCATAACGATAGCAACATACGATCGAAATGTAATCTCTGTCCTCCTTTTTTTTACCTGTCAGATAGAAAAACTAAATATTCCTTATTACAAACCCTTTAGCGACATGTTTGTTATCCTATGCTATTGAGCATTGTCATCAAGAAGAATTGACGGAACCAACAGGTCAGTGCATAAATAAGCACAAGAAGGAAAACAACCTATTGACTGAATACCCCTTTTAATTAGTGAATGTGCTTGTTAAATTTTATACTAGTCGCTTATCAGATCAATTTAGCGTACCTAATTTAATGACAGGTTTCATTGCATTAACTGGTAAATTCGACCATTTCAATACTGTTTGTACAAAGACCGCCATCGAAGGGTAAAATATCACCGTCAGAAGAAAGAAAATTACTGACACCATCTTTTAAACAGAATTATGAATCAAGTATACCTTCAATCTTTTCCTCATATTACCAGAAATGCCACATATCAGGTGTTCGAGAACATTTTAGATTATCACTGTGAAGGTAAACAAAAACCCCGATCTAAATATAGCTGAGACCAATTTTTTTTTTTTTTTTTTTACTGCACAGATGTCAAACTGGTCAATGATACATTCATTAGCGGGTTTGCTAGATCCATGACTGGCGAAAAAGATCCTCGTAATTTAATGATTGTTTATGCCATTGTTCAAAAGATGGCAAAGTTGTTGGATATCTCCAACCATGTTCAAGAATTATTCGATGCCACATTTTGTTATTTCCCAATCACATTTCGTCCTCCTCCAGACAATCCATTTGGTATCACTGCCAAAGACCTCAAATCCAATCTCAGAAAATGTATGGCTTCCACTCCTTTATTTTCAAAATTAGCTTTGCCACTCATCTTATTGAAAATGTCTACAACTTCTGGAAGCGCAAAGGTAATTTTCTCTTCCTTTCTTAATTTTTTTAAAATTTCCCCTTATATAACGTGCTTGTTAGAAAGATTCATTAGAGACAATTACAGCTTGTGCACCCGTCTATGGTGCCACAGAACTTTTACCGCTAGGCCGCAAATTATTCGATGCCGTCAAAGTAGAAATCGTCAACGGAAGTCCCGATCCTGCTTTACGTGACCCTTCATTGGACGCTATACATGCCTTAACAAAGGCAATCACATTAAACGCTACCACCGAAGATGTTCAAGTCACCGATGTATTAAAGCCATTAATTGACGACTGTATCGGTTTACTTGATGAATTGGACGAAGATACTGTCAAACCTGCTAGTCTGGTGCTACGTGCTGCCGCTTCTGCATCCCGTAAAGTATCTATACACATGAGAAAAGAAGTATTATTTTTTTTAATATTTATGCGTTTAAATAGCTTTCGCATATGCCTTGATTGAAGCCTCTATCATCCCAATGTTATTTCGTCAATACAGAGACAACGAGGAGATGAAGCAACGTTATTTAATCTTGTGTACAATGGTAGCCATCATTCAAGCGAGAAAAATCGTATTTGGCTCTGCCTCAGGAAATGATCAAGATGGTATAATGGAAAAATGGTTTCAGAGAGAAAGATAATAATAGTTTTTTCTTTTTTAGTGGACGTAAGCCAAGATTCAGTGCTGGTTTCTTATAAAGATCGTTTGACAGAAATATTCAGTGCGGCCATTAAATCTTCAAGTGATCATCCCGAGGTTCGTTTGATGGGTATACTCGGTCTTGGATTACTTTGTGTACTAAAGGGTTATATGACTCGAATCGAGGTATGTTGCTTTTTAAAAAGTCAAATAATAACTAGTTACCTTCTTACTAAACAAACGTAAAGAGAGGTACGTGCATTCAGACATTGAATAGCGTGCTTGAAACAGAACAAGAGGAAAAATTAAGAATGTCGGTCGAAATGTCACTATTTGAAATATCTACAATGGACCCCGAACTTGTTACACACATCACAGTTCCAGTACTGATGAATCTCTTGCCTGATTTCTCTTCATCCGGTAGTGCAGGCCGTGTACCATATAAACTCACATTAAAAACCATTCAAAAATTATGCACACCTCCTGCTATCTACAAGGTCGTTGAGCAGCAATTACTACAAAAGTTTTTAATCATTTGTGGACATAGTAAGTAGACTTTCTTTTTTCATGATTTGCATCAACTAAAAGGTTTTTTTTTTTTTTTTTTTTTTTTTTTTTTTGTATAATAAGATGAAGATAAAAAATATGCTGCCGAAATGATAACTACATTGTCAAATCTTATAAAGTCAAAGGATGCCGAAAAACACAGCGATCTGAAAAATTGTACAGAAACACTTTTACCAAGGCTTATTCATGCCATTATCGCCGCCTCATTAGATTCCGATAAGAAAAATACGATTATTTTAAGTGATGATATTATGCAGATTGTATACTTGATCATCGTTTCTGTATTAAAAAATTTGACAGCAAGGTACCTTCCAAAAACAAAAAAGTAGAACGATGGAGAGTAAGTTTTTAACACATCTTGTTTAGTGAACAACATGACTATATTTCAACAATGTTCAAGTTGTTCAAGGAGGGCAACCTCCAGATCCTGGACATTCATTCTGGCGCAACATTCTGTCCACTTTTAGCAAACGCTCCTGAATCTCAGATACCATGCACACAGATATTCGGTACAATGATTTGTGCACTGCGAAAAGATGTGGTTTTACCCACTGAATCAACAGAGTCGTTTTTGGATGAGCTTGTAGGCGAGGCATTAAAAAGTCAAAACGAAACTCAAGTCATCTCTTTATCGAGAATGATTGCTTCCATTATCAACAAATGGAAAGATGGTAAAATATGTAAATAATTCCTAAATGTTCTGGCTAACATTTTATATTATTTTTGGTAGAAGAGACATTTAAATCTTATTTAGAGACTTTGGTGGCAAGGTTGCAAGATCTTGTCCAAGTAAAGTCACTCGCTGCATTAACAGTTTATGTTTGGGTACGTGGTGAATTTGATAATTGTATATTTCTGTTTTTGAACGGTGGTTTATTAGGTCGCCAAAGCCCTTATCACTCGATCACATAAAAAAGGGTTTGAAATGACAGATTCAATCATTCAATGGATCCCCAACCCAGTGATTGGAAAGCAATCTTCTAGTGGATTTGACGTTTTAATTGGTGACGACCCGTTATGTTTAAACAAACAATGCTTTGCAACTGTCTCGGTAAAGAAAACGAAACATCATCCTTTTTAAAAAAACATTCCCGCCCTGATTCAATTGTTTTCTGTAGTTTTTACATAAACAAAAATTCATGGCATACTCTTTGCCCAAATTGCTTCACAGTTTTCATGCTGTGAACGCAGAAGGTAATCTTTACACAACATCTAAGCGAGGGGACAGATACTTATGACCTTTTTGTAGATGAAAAATTGAACTATCTTATTGCCGTCGCATACTTGTTGAAAAATGTCCCTAAATCCATTCTAATTGACGAATTGCCTCCCGTAAGTAAACTTTCTATTTGTTGTTATTAGTATGTTTTTGGTATTAAATTCTTATCTTAGCTCGTACCACTCTTAATTCGATCTTCATCGTTTCCCGATACCGTCTTAAAATTGTCCACACTTGACTTGTTCGAGTTTGCTCTTGGTCAGGCAACCGATGTAATGACTGAACATATCTCCACGCTTCTGCCTGCTTTTATCGCCCTGATTGGGCCCAATGAAAAGTCCATGCATGTGCGTATTGCAGCCTTAAAATGTATAGATCTTGTATGTAGAAACATGTCTCGTGATCTGGTTTTGCCTCACGTCAAGGATACTTTAAAATCAATCTCGATATCTTTAGATGATAAGAAACGTCTTGTCAGGAAACAAGCTGTAGAATGCAGAGAAAGCTGGTTTCTTATCGGACAGCAGAAAAAATAAACAATAATTCATTTGTATTCTTTTCTAATTTCCTCAAGTAAGAATGTTACTCTTGCTTAAAAAATCAGTCTTCCACACTGTCACATACTGTAGAAACGCACTTACGCCAACGCTGTCTGTCAGAGGTTGTAAGGTCGATCCGATCAACATTTCTTTAGTTTCTCATAAAACGCCACATTGGTCAAAGAGATTTTGTATGCTGTTACAATAGGACGATCCATAAAACAAAAAGGTTTAAGCGATAGACAGAATCAAATATGGAATATCTGTAATGCGCAGGATGGTTATCATCCTTAAATGTACGAAATCTATGCAACTTTAAAAAAAAAGTTTTTTATTTCCCAGCCTTGAATATGTTTCGGGACAACAATGTGCACGCAGTTTCAAACATCTATTTTTGACATCTATAGACTGGATACGTTTTTAATTATTTATCGGTCGCATACAATTGCTTGATATGTTAAGGCATTTGTCTGCTCGTATCATGAACCTATTTAGACGATTGGTGAAATCATAGAAGGAAAAAAAAATGACCAGGTTTATCTTCTGCATGAAAGCCCAAGATATAAAAAAATTGCGTATTTGATCTGAGCCAATAATATCCTCGCTTAAAATGACGCGACGTGATGTAAGGCTTTTGGTCAATAAAATACTTGGTACGGGTAGTATTTAACAAACAATAACGAAATCATTAAAATCCATTGAGGTATATTCTATGGGATAGTTCTCATTGTAAAGTAAGGTAAAATACCCACATTTCTAAGTTTTTTTCAATGGATACCCATGGAATGCTGATTAATTGATGGCTTAACAATCGATCCTCATCTTACAAATGCAGTGAAAGAATGGCTGATTAATCGAGATGAGCTCATAAATAAATAAAATAAAAAAAAACCGGACTGTGAAATTAGCTGATGGGAGAGAGGGAGAGGCAAATCATGCCATGACATTTTGATGAACTGGACATTTTTGCTCAACAAATCTAAGCAATACGTAATTTATAATGCGACTACGAATCACGGTCGCACATTAAGAGCGATTGCGACTCAGACCTGTTAATGGGATTCGAGAAAGCTCGTTGACGAGAGTATTTCATAATTTTCGCCATTTCAATTGGATATTATTGGCTGGAATATCATCTCTACATAATACTTTAGTTCCAAATTGGGGGCCAAGCTCTACAAGTCTCCGTTCCGCCCAAGCATATAAATACCAAGAAGAAAACTATTTTAAATGTCTCTTTTATTGAAAAAAACCATATAATTCCTCATCTAATAAAAATGCCTTCTACAACCATGAATGCTAGAATCCAATCAGGTGCTGATTTGAGCCCAGAGACTTTAAAGCAATTAAATGAATACCTCGCAAAATTGGAGCCTACAGAAGTGCTTGAATGGGCTATTAACTGTTTGCCTAACTTGTATCAAACTACTGCTTTTGGCTTAACCGGTCTTGCTACTCTTGATATCATTAACAAGATCAGCGTCGATCGCAACCAAAGCCATATCGTCCCATTGATTTTCTTGGATACACTTTACCATTTCAAAGAGACATTGGAACTCGCCGAACGATGCAAGGAAACTTACAACGTTCCCCTCAAGGTTTTCAAGCCCATGCAATGCACAACCACCGCTGATTTTGAAACCGAATATGGCCAAAAATTATGGGAGACCGATGAAGATTCCTACGATTATTTGATTAAAGTCGAACCTGCCCGTCGTGCTTATGAAGAACTCAATGTCAAGTCTGTGATCACGGGTCGTCGTCGTAGTCAAAAGGGCGATCGTGAAGCTATTCCTATCTTGGAAGTAGATGGTACCGGACTCATCAAATTAAACCCTCTCGCTTACTGGGACTTCCAACAAGTTTGGACTTACATTCGTGCAAACGAGGTCCCTTACAACGCCTTAATTGACCAAGGTTATAAATCTATTGGTGATTGGCATTCTACTCATGCTCCTAATGGTGGTGACGAACGTTCTGGTCGTTGGTCTGGTCAACAAAAGACCGAATGTGGTCTCCACAAGGACTACTTCAAGATGCGTGCTGCATTTATGGCTTCCAAAAAGAAGAGAGAGACTCAACAACCTCAACAAATTACAGCCTAAATTATACCATAATCTCCTAAACAGCATTACAACATCATTTCATTCCTTTTTCCCTTTTATATATATTATACGTAGTTTACTCAAATTATATACAAAGCAATTAGTGCCTGTACATACATCAATAAATGACAATTTTCTTTAAAAAAAAATCTAGACAATATTATTATGCTCCCGATTTTCTCCATCTAGATTTAACTTAGATCTTCAAAGTTGCGTTATATGGTTGGTATGGGCCAATGACCGGGTTTTATTTCATGCGAAATATATCTGTTATCTGACTATCTTTCAAGTAACGACATGTTTCATATTCCCCACAATCAAAAAACATGTTTGACTAAAGGTACTCATTACGCAACAGTCTGTTTCAGTCACCTTCAAGCGAGTTAATGGCGAGTGTGCGTTTGATCAAATTCTTATATCAGTTCTCTGTTGTTCAATAAGGATTCACAAGACTAGCTAATGCGCTCTAAAGATCTTGCTTGTTGTCTTTGTGTAAATATTTTATATTAGCATACATATCTGCTTGTTCCTTTTAATACATTACATATACAGTATAATGTGCTTCTTAACATACATTTGATTCTACAACTAGGAGAGCGTAACAGTAACTTAACAGTGACCTATTACAATACTGTTCCAACTCAGAATGGTATAAGGATGTGCAAAAAGTCTAGATGTATGTAATAATGAAGATAAAATAGAAAAGAAATCTTTATTTAATCAATAAACTCACAGGTTGAGCTAAAAACAGAGATAGAATATTTTATTTTAAAGATTATTAAAAGTCATTGAATTGACATTTCCCTTTAATGGCCCTTTTTATTTCCTGATGATTTCGGTTTGGGCTTTGACTTTTGAGTTGGCTTTGGCTTTTGAGTTGGCTTTGGCTTTTGAGTTGGCTTTGGCTTTGGCTTTGATTTTGGTTTTGATTTTGGTTTTGGTGTTGGTTTTGGCTTTGGCTTCGGGTTTGGAGTTGGTTTCGGTTTCGACTTGGTTTTTGGTTTCTGTGCTGACTTATGTGATATATCTGGTACGGGTGTTGTTTGTGCCCTTTCCTCTTGGTCATTGACTGGGGTTGAGGTTTGGGCTGGTGCTTCTGAATTTACTGGCCAAGTGGTTGAATCTTGACAGGAAACAAGATTAAGCAACAAGACAGCTGAGACAATATAGATGGTTAAGAGTGAACGCATAATTAACGAATCTAATATTTTAAATTGTATTGAGCTTATTTATATGTCTTTTGGTGACCATCATATCAACATTCCTTCGGATAGCTTACTTTAGCTGTATATTTATGCCCTGAATATTGTCATTTCTTTGAATAAATTTGTATTGCTGCAGGAGAGATTTTTTTTTTCGAGCATAGCTACACAATCCGAATTATAATTCACAATATAAATATGTACTAAGGGGTGAACCGGAATACCGACAGTTTACACACCAATAAATTATCAGTTTTGGTCTTTGTCACTACAAGTAAATCTTCAACCATAATGAGGACTTACGATTTATGTGCCCATAACAATCATCCCTATAAATATAGTCAAACAATTTTTATCTTTTTCATAAAACCTGACTATCCTTGCGAAATTTTAAGGGATTATGTAATCTTAAAAGTAATATGTATTAAATTGAAATATGATGGTTATTCAGAAGTACTGAAGTACGGAGAAAATTAAAAATAGCACACGATATGGAGGACATATCTTAAGCCATTTGGCTGGGGATATATCCGGATAGTGCACCAAAATTGCATCCCCACCGGAAATATACATATTCAACATCATTTTGATTTGATTGGCCTAAAAGTTTATTTTATTTAATTTCGTGTACCTATAAATAAAAAAACTTGTTTTATGTTTTTCTGTCTTTAATTACTTTATTATAAACAATACAAAATGAACATTAATGACTTCGATTTGACACCTAGCTACCCCCAAAGCGGTAGCTCTGAAATGAATTTCCGTATGCATCAAGTCCAACAAAGAACTGCACAACTGGCCAAAGAATCTAGATTTGAAGCTACGAATAAATGTTATGCCAGATTGATAAAAGAATTCAGATCTTGGTGTGAGGCCAACTTTGCCGAGACTGATCCAACAAGATATTTAGTTTTTGGAACTAAATTAAATTTGTTTATGGTGGAGAAGGTAAGCCTCGAGATTGAATCTGTCAAAAAAAAAAAAGAAAAAAAAATATAAAAAAAAACTCATATTTTTATTATACCACAGGTTGTTTCACGCAAAACTAAGACCACACGTAAGGGTAAAGAGCCAGAAAGCTTAAAGTATACTGCCATTGAACAATACGTATCAGCTATTATGTCACTGTACCGAGAGCAAGTAAAGCGTGGTGCAAACTCCAACAAGAACCCCCGTCCCTTCGTAACCGATCTTTTGCAAGCTCATAAATGTATGGAAAACAAAAAGAAAAGAGAGCAGAACGTCGACCGTGCTTCCAACACATATAGCGACGGGTATAGTACCATGGAAGAACTCTTCAAGTTCTCAGATTACTATTTTGAGTTGAGAACATCTGAGAATTTGCGCAATTGCCTGGCGTTCTTCTTATCGCATTACTTGCTTCTTCGTGGCCAAAATGCCAGAGCTGGCGAACTTGCTGATATACAGATAATTCATCTCCAAAATGAAGGTCCCACAAAATGCCCCGCTCTTATTATGGTAAGGCACAATGGAAAAACCAACAAGCATGGCAAGACTGAACTCTCAGGTTGCATACGTAACAAGATTGTAGAGCTTTGTCCAATCATGATGTTTAGCAGTTACATGTTTCAAAAGTTCCATAACGAAGGTGAGCCACTTTTGACATTCACAACGTCAAATGAATGGTTTGGTGTTAAGGTTCTTAAGACAGGTAACAACCCCACCACCGAATGGAAATGCAGCTCCCTCTACGATGCAGTTAAGAAGGCAATTGTGGCCGTTGATGTCATCAACACCACCAAGGTAACGCACATTGGAAGAGGGTCAGGTGCAAGAATGGCTGACTTGGCTGGTGTTAACGAGGAGCAAATTAGAAGACAAGGTCGATGGAATAACAGTTCTATGAATGGTGCCTACTTGACCGGTCTCCCAAGAGAGACTATGAGAACCTCGGCTGGTTTCCCTATAACCCAGGGACATTTTTATTTGCCCCGTACAATTTTGGAACCTCCTGTCGAATTACAACAGAAGGTCTTTCCTTGGGCTGATGAATGGTTGGGAAAAATCCGTACAGGTGTTGCAGAAACCTCTAATTTTGCTATATCATTCTCGAAAATGCTTGTGACCTTTAGAGTTACGTTTCTTCAAGATGCAGTCTTCATGAGAGAGAAGTACCCCGGACACCCCATTTTTATCAATCCCCTTTTTGATGATGAGTTGTTTAGACAATTTAGCAGGTAATATAATTCTTCTGAATCATGTTTCAATCTTCTAATATTAAATTTATGGCCTATTTAGTGATCTCCAAGCTGCTGTCATTGAAAATGAGGGGAACGATCCTGTAAATATGCAGTTGAGAACAGCCGTTCCTCTCATCAAACAAAGACTCGAAATGATGGAAAAGAAGTTCGATACCGAAAACAGGCTCAGGAACGAACAAATGAAAACTGTTTTGCAACACTTGTCTGACATTTCGACAGGTAGAGCACCTCTTAATATCAATGTGCACATACCAGGTGATGTCAGATAGCCACCAGTTGTAACCACCGATTTTGTAGCTGGTCCATCAACCGTGCTTTCGGACGAACCATTGCCTGTCGTACCCTCTTCGGCCTTGGTTCGATCAAGATCAAACACCGCTGTGGGTTACAGGTTTGCTAAGGCCTTGAACTTGCCCATCCTTTGGCGTGAGTGGTTCCACGGGTTGGGTGGAAATTATTCCATTGTGGAGATGAACAGGATAGAACCTGACTGGTACAAGAAAAATCAGAGGCCCTACTATGACAGAAGATGTAGAATCATCAAAAAATTCAAGCATATGCGATTGCCAAAGACATCCCGGATGAGGCCGCATTACACAAGGCAGAGCAGCGTAGACAGGATAAGAACCTTAGCTTAGACCAATTGGGAAAAAACATACGTCTTTTGTATGGCGATTTTTAAAAAAATAAATAAACTATCTTTTTTTTCTTTTACATAATTTCAAGGATAAATATATTTATAAATGTGTACGTCAATCGTATGCCACTTGTTTATTAAATTTGAAAATGATATTGACGGAAACAAAACTCTCAACTGACTTAGCTATGTGTTTTGAGTATCTTTAATGATTACATTGATGTTTTCAGTAAACTTAAATATTTTTAATACACCGAACATCCTTGACCAAAGATATGTCGTATTTTCTCAGGCGATGCAATTAACATTATGTCGCAACAACAACCAAAATGCGTCAAGGATATATGCTTGCCTTGTCCAAGGATTTTTAAAGATGCATCCTAAATTTCAAAGATAGTCAGCTTAAAAAAAAATATGCCCACATATTTCAATTTCATCAACATATTACGCAACGTACAGTTAATCGTATTGTCTGAGAAAATACGACATATGTGTAACGCAGCATCGGAGAACATGGGGTAAAATGCGGCATTTTGTAGATCGCTTTATTCGGTAAACGAAATAATGCATGTGTCGCAGTTTAAGTAGATGCGATATGGATTAAATCGCACAACAAATGTTTTGGTAAGGCATAAGTTATGTGGCTTTAGGAGTAGCACCATTAAATAGAATGTTAAAAGTTGTATATTTATGTTATTTTGTATAAGTTTTTACATCTGTGCTAATGGCTATACAACCATGTCGAGAAACATTAACTGAATTTGTCATAAAACTTAATTTTTGAGCCTGAAAGAATACAATTTTATAATTCTTTTACATGAATTATACCCCATTCGAAAGCTCTTATTTTACTTATTTAAGAACAAGTTTATTGGTGTGAATTCACATACAAATATATATATATATATATATATGGTAAGTGCAACAAATGGATGCGACAAGACCTATATCACTATTTGATTAAATGCGAGATAGTTTGTGTAGCAACCCGTACATAAATAATGGGATTCTTTATAAGACTATATCAACTTATGCGAGGTTCAAAAGTCGCCTTTTTTTTTTATTTAACTTTGTAAAAGGTGTAATGTAAATAAATATTTAATTGCTTTTTCTTTTTAAAAACGACGTGGAGTCATCTTGCATCATCTTATTGAATTCAACACACTAAATAATTAATATAAATACCATAATCGATCTTATCTACCCTCCTTCTAGCTTTTGTGGAGGCCAGAACACAGTTGTTTGTATGCGATGACTGCACCAATATGAACCACAAAAAAGATTGACTCACAAACAAAAATGACCATGCACATAATTATACAGTAATCTAGTAAAAGATTATGCAAGAGTTGCTACCTTAAGCGTTACTGCTTATGGTTTGCTCCATCAGGGCTTGCTATACTAATGTAGTGCTTATTATAGGAACAGAATTGGCTTTTTATATGCTATACTTATACATGCACACTTTATATCCAGCCTATGATCTACTTGATACTCAATAGCAACCCAGCACTGAAACATAGATCATTAACTGATCAATACATTAATGTCTAGTTCTAATCTACGCTCCCATCTGATCCTTCCAGATAACAATCTATTTTAATCCTCTCATATAAAGAGGAACCCCTTTTCCATTTAATAGAAATATATCTAAACAAACCTTTTTACGTGATCGGTTACTTTCATACGATAAAAGAAGTATGTTAAGGGAAAAGAATAAAGTGTGTGAACTAGCTTCATTTATAGATAAACAAGCTTATGTCAGGATGATTTCATTTGTCTATTTTATCATCCATAATGTTTGAGCCTTTACTTAAAATAGAAGCACTTGCAAAAATCTCCCAAGCAAGTCAGAGCTAGTTGGTAATTGTCTATCTGCGTTCCAGTAGTAGCTTGTAATGACAGTGAAGCAGATTTTATGGAAAACAGAAATCGATCATCCCATGAAGTTTAGATGATATGGCAAGTCAATCGACGTGTAGACCATCGCGTGATTCTAAAAAAAATACGTTTATTTGAAAAAAATACGTTTAAAAAAATACGGAGTTCTGGACATTTTCGCCAAAACAGAAGAAGAAGAAGTAATTGAACTTGCTCGACGTTTACATAACTTATATAATATAATTTTTAGAGAAAATTATTGCAGTATTTAAACTTCGACACTAACCTTTTTTTGAACTACTTTTTCAAGTAATTCATTACATTTGTCAAGCACGGTTACCTCGGGACTAGATGAATTTATAATTAGTATTTAGGCTATATCCAACAAAAATTGTACCTACATCTCGATGCCCAAGATTTGAATGACTTTGGCCAATAAAGTTGACTAATTACTGCAAACATAGTCAAATTTTTGTTGCAACTCTAAAAACGCATCACCCAAAAGTGGTGCATTGATAGTGTATAACGACAATAAGTCAAGATTGGTGTTATTGTTTTTGAAACAGGCACCGGCTAATGAATTATTAATATGTCTTATTTTTAAGGGACTTCTTACCTATTTCGACTGCGAAGAAAATTTTAGATTCAGTCATAGTTTAACAAGAAGCTATGTCACGAGTCTTCTTAGGAGGCAAGTACAAAGAATTTTTATCAGTTTTAAAATCTGTTGACGTGCGAGACTTTTAGGGGGCAAGTACAAACCTATAATAAAAACAGAGTTGTTAAGGTTATTAGCAAATGAGGCTACATGTATGTTTTTAATCTTATACCGGAATCGGCCTTTCTCTTCCCAAATCTTTCAAAGCTCTATGCCCACTTTCGACTCTCTGGGTGCATACACATCCAAAATGCTAGTAATTTCTTGTGAAATGTTCAGCCCACTTCTTGGTAATCTCACCAAGCCAATTGCTGGTAAAGTAACTCCAACCAGACCCTTCTTTGCCTTCCAAACAGAGAGCTTTGTTCTTGGTTGTTTGTTCGAACATTTTTAAGATTTGGTTGAACTCTCCAACTGAGGTAGACCTTTGCATTTTTACAACCAAATCAACGCACTTTTTTTGTCTCACTAGACCGGAAGGTGTTGGACAAGGCTTTGTCTACACTCTGGTACATATGCCATACACAAAGCATATGCTTGTTTTCCGGGAATACTTTATCTAAACCAACTAGTATACCTGTTCCTTTGTCGGTAAGGAACGTAGTGGCCATAGATTGTTTTCCAAGTACTTCTTTCAATGTGCTGAAAAACCACTGGTACGTTTTTTCGGTTTCATTAGAAACAAACGCCATTGCAACAGGAAAGTTCTTCAAGCTCTCCCCCCCCCCCTACGCTACTGACACCTTGTACACAGATCAGAGGCATTTTCAAGTTGTCCATGCTATAGGTAGTTTTAGAAGAGAATGCGAGTAGAATAATAGAGATAAAAGAGATTCTTTAAATAAAATAGAGGTTTAGTAAAGAAAGGTCTTTAGAGTTGCGAGTTAAGTGAGCACCACAGCTAGTTTAATCAGAAGCTGAACTGAAAATAAATGAGAATAAGTATAGCCTTATATGCTTATAAAATAAAAGATACAATGATAATATATAACCAAGGGATCAATCAGAATGATAATAGAGCTGAATAATATATAAAACTAATAGGTCAAAGTATTGAAATATGAGTAAGATAATAGATAAGGATTTTTATTGAAAGAGAGGTCTTATGGATGCCTATTTATAGTGATGGATATATAATCCAGTCACTGAAATTAAAGAAATTAAATAAATTTATGAAGGAGAATGGGATAACTGCGCCTAGTAAGAGGTCACAGATCTATGGATAAGAAAAAGATGGAAAGAGGTAGTTTTGACAGGTGCAAGCCCGAAAAGGCGTTATGCACTTTGGTAGGTGATTAAAAGAGAAGATAAATTGAAAGTACGCTCGATTTGTCGCGTAACAGTAGCATCGACAATAAAAACGTCGCTGCAGATATTAGCTCTATCTAACATGCCATTTTTTTTTGGTGAAGAATACCGAGCTAAGTCTGTTTGTTCCTACGTCAAATTCATATCTGGTAACATTTACAGCACTTTCAATTTTTTTGATCAAATCATAGCCGGCATTGTCTACATTCAAATTAATTGGCTTTGTCTTGCCGGACCAATTACTCGCATCTTGATACATGAGTTTAGGGATATTGCTCCCTTCAAAAATAACCGTCTTTCTGATCTGCTTCATAGGGATGTCAGCATTCACCATAGTATTTACTACCACTAAGCCATTTTCAGTTATCAATGTCTTCTTAAACTCTGGGGTGATTTTCATTGATTGGAAGTCTAATGGGTGGTTATGCACCGAATTTCCAGGAACATCAGCGTTCATGATCTTGTATCCCCCAACTTTCTTGGTAACTGATATTTTGACAATATAAGGGCAGTTTGTCTTAAACGTGGAATGCAATCTTTTGGAGTTCGCCCCGAGAGTTCGTTTATCCGGCAACCCAGAGTACTTACAAGCAACATGAAGTCTTTTATGAGTTTCATTAAACCTATTTCTCAAAATAGAAATAGAGAATTTGTTACGAATTCCACACTCCTTTAAAACATTCATCATTTCTTCTGCAGTCTTGTATCCGTTAGTGGGAGATACGGGAAGAGGCTCATGAATAGCATAAGCAGTGTCATTTAAATCAGACACGTGCTCATCTTTATTCATTCTTAATACTAGTAATTTATCAAAATAGATATTGCTTTTGTTATAAGGAGACCTCAATCAATATCATTTATGTACAACTTACAATTAAGTTTTGTCAATGTGGAAAAAAGGCAACAAATGGATTACTGGGGATTGAATTTTTGGTGCGCAGTCCGTTTGCAGTGCCCGTATATTTCATAGTCCGCTGACAGAGTCGGGTTACGGGCGTGGAGATCCCAAAAAGGAAAAATTACGGGCGTGGAATAAGCTTTTTGATTGAGCATTAATACACTGACTGAATTTAACACATACCAAGGCTTATCTAACGTGTGATATTGTAATATTTACAGCTAAGTCTATATTAAATGTTTAGGACAATGCGTGGCTTAATACAGCTAAGCCAAAGATATTTGAAAATATGTGTTTAATATTATTAAAAAATTGCTATGCAATGTAATTTATCTAAATGAGAAATTATTCTGGAACATCGTATGTAATGCTTCACTAACACTAAGATATTATTTTACTTGCCCGAGTTGTACACATAAGTTATAACACCGAGTATACAATAAAAATTCATCCTGAAGTTTTTAAAGGCATATGCATAAATGTTGCGACCGTTGTTTATTACGAAACCCAAAATACTGTAAGACATTACAATGGACCTTTTTTTATTTTATTTTCTTCATAACAATGAACAGATATATAAACTGAGTATAATCCGCTTGAGTAGTTGAATAGATGAAATAAGTTTAAAATGCTGGGTTTACACGACACAGATCATAACTAGTACATTTTCAAAACAGCAAATCTTTGATCTAACTTTCAATTTATAGTTTTTTATAATTTAGTTATATTTTTAGGCAGCCTAAGGTAGGTAAAGCTAATGCTTGTCCGTGTATTTTCACGTTAGAGCCCAATTTATGGCAGACTTGTAATACGTAAAATGAAATTTTGCGACAAGGTCGTCAAAGGCTGATTTTGGAACATATGAAACATTTTCAAATTAAATACATTGATAATTATAACAATCAGAAAAAGAATGACAAGATATAACTCTTACTGTAAAATATCATAGAAGACGAACAAACTCAAAGGCTACCAAATTTATGGAACGAACTGGTGTGACTGCATTTGTGTGGGTGACGTAAGGAAATTCGTGTTGTGTGATAGAGAGAGTGCGTAACTTAGAAAAGGTATACGCGTAAAAACTCAAAGGCAAGTTTTTCTTTTTGCTTTTTCACCCCTTTTTATTATCTACCAGTAAAAAAATATATATAATACAAAATGGTTATGGAAGCTTCAATGATTGTGTAATTATAGAACTTTTAAAATTGCAGCTCCAGAGTTATACTAACATGGTTTTTTGTTAGCGTCGACAATTCCGAATGGATGCGTAATGGTGACTATTCCCCCACACGATTAGTTGCACAAAACGAAGCCGTCAACCTCATCTTTTCATCTAAAACACAATCGAATCCCGAAAATACTGTTGGCCTTATGACGACAGCAGGAAAAGGACCGGAAGTTTTAGTCACATTAACAACCGATGTTGGTAAAATCCTTACAGCTTTGCATGCTGTTAAAGCGGGCGGTAAGCCTAATTTTTTGACCAGTGTTCAAATTGCCCAGGTAAGAAATGATTGATTAAAAAAGTAGAAGGAGAAAAGAGTCGTGAATTAAAATCGTTATATAGCTTGCATTGAAACATAGACAAAACAGAAATCAACGTCAAAGAATCATTGTATTTGTCGCCAGTCCCGTTGAGAGTGATGAAAAGGCACTTGTTAAACTTGCTAAGAAGCTTAAAAAGAATAATGTAGCAGTCGATATTATCAATTTTGGTGAAGAGGCTGAGAACACCTCCAGATTAGAAGCCTTCATTAATAACGTGAACAACAGCGATAACAGCCATCTTGTCACCATCCCTCCTGGACCCCATCTTTTAAGTGATATGCTTATTTCCACCCCTATCGTTGCTGGTGAGGATGGTGCTTCGGGTAACTTTGGTGCTAGCAGTGGTGGTGACTTTGAATTCGGTATTGATCCCAGTCTTGACCCTGAGCTTGCCTTGGTAAACATAACATACATATATAGAAGGGGTGGTTTGTTTTTAACATTATCTTGTAGGCTTTACGTATTTCGCTTGAAGAGGAAAAGGCACGTCAAGAGGCAGAAGCAGCAAAGAATGGAGGTGGAAGTAGTTCAAAGGAAGGAGAATCCTCTTCCGCTATGGCAATAGATTCACAACCCGAACATAACGACGAGGATGCTGAGCTTCAAGCTGCTTTAGCAATGTCAATGAATGATGGTCCCGTTCAAGACGAAGACGAGACTATGGAAGATTTAAATGAAGAAGATGCTCTTCAAAGAGCACTGGAAATGTCCATGAACGAAGGTGAAGAAAATAACGAAGACGAAGAAATGATGTCGGCAGTATTAGGTTCTTTACCTGGTGTTGATAAGAACGATGAACGTATCCAAAAGGCATTGGAGGATATGGATAAAAAGAAGGACGAAAAGAAATAAACTAAAAAAATATAAATAAAGCCGATTAAATAAACGCTCACAATTAAATAATATATTTCCCTTTTCTTTGTTTTTAAACATAAAAAAAAACCCCTTGTCTTATGTTTAAACGCGCCATTCATTCATCCGTTACACGTCAAAAAAAATATTACGATATTCTACAACTAAAAGAAAGTGCCGACAAAAGGACAATTAAGTCTCATTATTACAGACTTTCCAAGAAATATCATCCGGATCTTAACCCAAACAATAAGCAGGCACACCAAAGGTTTCTCGAAATTAATGAAGCTTATGGTGTACTTGGTAATGAGGCAAGTAAAAGGAAATACGACAACGAAAGTCATGGACATAGCAGCAGCCATCAAGGCCATGGACATGGGCACGTGCATTCAGCAGCTAAATACTCGCGTTCTGGTGGTGGCGGCGGAAATAAACAAGCTTGGCATTTTAGAAATAGAAAGGCGACTAAAGGGACTGGTTCAACCAGCGCACAAGAACAAGCAGAAAGAATGAGGAATCCTTATACAGACAATACAGGCTTCACTCAAAGCAATCCTTATAATCAACGGTACGAAGCCGAAGAACAGCGAAGAAGGGAAAGAGTGGAAAATGCTACTGAAAGAAGAAGAGCGGCAGGTGACAGCTCAATTCCTGGCAAAGTGGCACCAGGCATGGAAAATCTATGGGGGCGCTTGTGGCGATTGAGCGTAGTTTTGACAGGTATTGCTTATGTGGCTCAAAAGCTTCAATAATACAAACATCATAGACACATATATATTATGGACGCAAATAATAGAATTCGCTTTTATTTTAATTTCCCTTTTTTCAATTGAATAAATAAAAAAGAAGGAAAAGTTTAAAAAAAGTAACGTTTGTTGAGATAATTTATGATCTAGGCTTCTCCTTCTTCTCCTTGTATAAAGCGAGGAGAGAGACACCGGCGACCTTGACGACCTTGAAACGGACACCAGGAATATCACCAATAGCGCGACCCTTACGACCGAAACCGGCAATCAAAACTTCGTCGTTCTCATCGACATAGTTTAAACAACCATCATTGGGAACGAAAGCAGTAACCTTCTTACCGTTCTTGATAAGTTGAACACGGACACACTTACGAATGGCAGAGTTAGGTTGCTTGGCTTCGACACCAATCTTTTCAAGGACGATACCCTTGGCGTGAGAAGAACCACCGAAGGGAGAAGAACGGAAAGCAGTTCCGAGAGCTCTCTTCTTATATTGCTTATCAGCCCAACGTTGGTCACGACGGTGAATACGGAGCTTACGAGCTGCGTTCAAACCTCTAGGTTGTCCCTTACCTAATAGTATGAATTAGTTTTTCAGTCGTTCACTCAATTTTGACAGTGCATTAGAGCACTCTGAATGGACTACACCACTCCCCTTTTTTAAAAAAAAATTTAAAAACATCCCCCATCCATCCCATCCATCCATCCATTCATCTGCCATATTTCTTCTCATCCATTTCGTATCCTATTTAACCCATTCTCTCCCTACACCATTACAAAATTCAATAATTTCTTACCCATGATGAAATCTGATAAAAAAGGAAGGTCTATCCACTTGCCAACTTGATTGTCTCTTTTGGTCTCGGGATTCCGCAGTGCTCGCTTGAGCTGAAAATCCCGCAAGCCAATATGTGACGTCGCTTATTTTTCAAACGCAGTCACGATATCAATTAGACCTTCATTTATTCACTGTTGTTAACTAGATACTATGCTCATAGGAGAACCCTATGGCACGTATGAAATGTCTATTGAAGGCAGAAGTAGAAAAATATTTGTTTTGAAAAATATATGTTTATGGGTTGTCATTTAAAAGTCGGACTAAATATTGATAGCTGATACGGGCTGTCCGTTCATCAGTTTTGCTTTTGCTGCCATTATTGTACCAAATCTATGTGTAAAACTGTCTGTGCCCGTTGAACCAGCAAGCTAATAAAAAGTTACTATTGTAGACTTATTTACTACACTCATTTTCATTTCAAGGTCACCATCGCCCAATAAAACATTTCCCACAAGAAATTAAAGTATGTGTATGGGTTTTTTATAACATTCATCATATACATTTTATTCTGGATTTTAAGGGAGCCACAAAAACTTGCGTTTTTTGTAATTAAAAGTTATATCGTATGTTCAATCAGCCTAAAAAGATTTCAGTAATAATAATTGGGTGATATTGCACAACCTACAGTAATGCTTCGATCATGTTAGTTCATAACAATTTACATATTTAATACCTATGGTGTTCTGAATAAATATATAGAAGTGAGAGTGTCTAGGATAAGGAGAATATATCTAATGCCTTTCGTGGCTGTAATATTTTGTGCAATGCAACTATCAATTTCCTAAGTAATAAGTGTTACTACGTTCATTATTTGTCAATACAAGTTCTCTCTCTCTGTTATATCCTTTAGCCAGTGCTGGGAAGAAGAATATTGCAAAGTTTAACACCTAGTTTGGGGTGCACTGCATGAATTATTATTTTTAATAAGGACACTGTGGAGTAATTACATACCTCAATAAGACGTATCCTTAAAATGTCAAAACCATCAAAAGTTAAATCAATTTTCATTAAAAATCTGCAATAGAAAGTATCTCAAGTAAGTACATTATTAATATCCACTACATATCATTACTCGATGTCTGGGTTCAGTAAAAATATTACAGTATATATAGCTAAATGGTTTCATTGTTGATGCTGAAAAGTACTTATTGATGTAATAATATATTTGACTTAATTGTTGCTAACTCATTATTTTTTGACCCATTGTGATAAATTTTAGAAATTCACTGTGATAAAAATAATATGTTAAATTCAAGAGTACTCAGACTGGACGTTACCATCAACAACCACATTGAAGTATAATCTTGTTTATCCCGAAAAGCAACTTTTCCAAAAGAAAAAAAGACCCACAGGACGTGTTCATTTTTAACAATGATACTCATACAGATTCTAATTATGGCATTCCTTAGCACGCATGCTGGTATCTTACTAATAATAGAATAGCCTAATCAATATGGAATTGCTATTTACTAAGAAAAATATACAGATATTCAATTATGTTTGTTATAGTGATTCTTCTTTGTCGATATGTTATCAAAAAAGACACGCTTTACTCAAAATCGATATGATAATAGCGGATGCATATTGTTGGCACTAATATTTGTGATCTCTGCTTCTCTTAATTTGCATACAAAAGGATGCATAGTCCTTCACTAAAAATATATCATCCTACAAATACTGTTACGGCTCCTAATATGGAGCAAGAGACAATAGATTAGAATCTAATTATCAAGTGCAGCATATGATGCATGTCCGGGAAACAGAAAGTTACTGGGGCTTCAAATGCCAGATTGAAATTGAGAACATAGAAACTGCCATTCCAGCCTTTAAGAGTTTTGGACTATAAATTTTCCCAAGAAAATGTTTGTTTCATTGAAAGGCGATGTTTGGGTTTACAAAAGGGAAGTCTACAAATGTTATTTGTTTTAAACAGGCACCAAAGGCTGTAATTGTTGTACAACTAGTAATTTTGAATTTCATGCAAGTGAACATTTATGTAACAACGTGGTATTGTTATGTACAAAAAAATAAAATACAGCTATCCGAAGTCAGTTGATCTTACTGAAACTACATTTACCTGATATTCAGTGTGAAAATTACAACATTCAGGTCCAAAATGTCAGTGGTTTTCAAATTCGAGCAACTTTGAACCTCGTTTTGGACGCAGCGAATACTCAATTTTCTGTCAAAAATAAATTTGTACACATACCTTAGAACTGCTAGAGGAATAGTATAAAGCTTGTTAATCTAGATCATTTTTCCAACATTACCTTTGACTTGAAGAAAAGAAATGTAACTTCTATTCGTTTTAAAAAAGCGCTTGAAATTAGCAAAGGAGGCGACGTCACTTGAGAGTGCGTGTAGGTCCAAAATCCCCTGCTCTGTTTTTTGGAGCCCCCCCACTTTTTTTTTGGGCTAATAGATTTATTTTTATTTTCAAAAAAGTAACTTCTTTTTCTCCACACTCTATAAATTTTTTTAAAAATGTTCGGTATGCGCAAGTGGAATACTCCTGTCCTTCGTCCTACTGCCCCTTTCATCATTGGTGGTATTGCCGTCTTCTACTTGGTTGCCAAGGCTCAAGATGCCATGATCAACAGTACGTCTGCTTTTAAACATGCTCTCAATTCAAAAATTATTTTCTAATTTTTTCTTCAATTAGGTGAGGAATACAAGAACGATCCCAGAAACCCTGCTAGTAAGTGACATAGTGTTGCGGAACTCAATGTGTGGAAAGAGAAGCTAATTCAATCCTTTTTTTTATTTTTTATTTAATAGTCGCTTCCGGAAAGAAGGCTCATTAAATTCTCTTCACCCCGATAAAAACAAAACAACACTCGAAATAACTAAAACGTCATTCGCTTTTTTATTACCCGTTGTAAAATTAATAAAACAATCCAATATTAGTTACAGTTTGGCACAAAATCATAAAAGCGATGGATTTTCTTTTGCGTACAAACCAATATATATATATCATAAAGGTACCGGGGTAAAAATGTAAGGTATATGTAAGGGAAAGGTAAAAGGAAAAGGATACCTTTTTGCATAATAATGGGGAAAAAGGTGTTTTATTTGCGAATGTTTGCATTATGGCGGTTAAACATGGCAATCAAATGATGAATAATGCCTTCATCTGCCATAGTAGACGTATCTCCTATTTGATCATGCTCATTATTCACAATCTTTCGCAACACTCGACGAAGAATCTTGCCAGACCGTGTTTTTGGTAAATCCATCACAACATAAATGGCTTTAGGCTTAGCAAAGGGCCCAATCGTCTTTCTCACCTGCAATACAAGCTCCTTCATCAGTTGCTCAGGATCGCTCGTCACGCTTGGCTTTAACGTACAGAACGCATGGATGCATTGTCCTGTCAAATCATCAAACCCAGCAATTACAGCTGCTTCAGACACATCGCTGTTAAGAATTAGAGCAGACTCAATTTCCGCCGTAGATAAACGATGACCGGATACATTGATAACATCGTCGACACGACCGTTAATAAATATGTAACCATCATTATCGCGCGTAGCTCCATCACCTACTTTAACATTAGATTCAACTTCTTTATATATATATATATCTTCTTCCTTACCTGTAAAATAGTATCCAGGGTACGGCTTCAAGTATGTATCCATGTACCTGTAATGATTATTGTAAACAGTACGAGCCATTGATGGCCAAGGTTTTGAAATGGCCAGGACACCTGTCACACCATTACCCTGCAAAACCTCACCTGTTGTTGGCTCCAAGATAACCGGCTGGATGCCAAAGAAAGGAAATGTAGCGGAGCCAGGCTTTGTAGGCGTAGCACCTGGCAGTGGACTAATCACAATAGAACCAGTTTCGGTCTGCCAATAGGTATCTACCACTGCGCATTGTGAGTGACCGACTTTTTCATAGTACCATTTCCATGCCTCGGGATTGATAGGTTCGCCCACGGATCCAATCACTCGTAAACTGGATAAGTCACATTTCTCTACCCATTCATCGCCCAAACGTTGAAGTGCTCGGATAGCAGTAGGTGCTGTATAGAACTGGGTCACCTTATGCTTATCAACCATATTCCAAAATCGGGATGGATCGGGATATGTAGGCGTGGATTCGAATAATACTGTGGTTGCGCCTAAACACAATGGACCGTAAAGAATATATGTATGGCCTAAATGGAAAGAAATGAAAGTTCTTATTTAGTGACTATTAGATAAGCATCACAGGTGTCTTTACTTGCCTGTAATCCAGCCTAAATCCGCTGTACATGCATAAATATCTTCCGGATGGTAATCAAATATATATTTCACAGTCATTGCTGCCTCAAGTAAATAGCCACCTGTTGTATGTAGCACACCCTTTGGGGTACCTGTGGATCCTGACGTATAGAGCAAAAACAGAGGATCTTCGGCATTAACGGGCACGGTAGGACAAAAAGGTCTTGCATTTTCAGATTGTTCGTGCCACCACAGATCACGGTTCAAGGTCATGGCGACATCTGTGCCAGTATGTTTACATACAATGACGCGGTCCACAGCATGTATACCCTTTGAAAGAGCCTCGTCTACAATTCGTTTTGTAGCGACAAACTTGCCTCCACGTTTTCCTTCATCAGCTGTAATGACTACACGAGCTTCACAATCCACAATACGGTCATAAAGAGAATCTGCAGAGAAGCCAGCAAAGACAACAGAGTGTACAGCACCAATTCTTGTACAAGCCAGCATGGCAACCATGGCCTCAGGTATCATGGGCATGTAGATGATGACGTTATCACCTTTGCGAACATCCAAGCTTTTTAATACGTTGGCTATACGACATACTTGTTGTAAAAGATCATTGTATGTTATCTTACGAACGTCTTTTGGATCATCACCCTCATGAATAATAGCGACCTGTTTATATATATTGTTTTAAAAAAATATTACAACATTAATAACACCAAACCAAATTTTGGTTCGAACCTTATCAGGAGTGGCAAAAGCATGTCTGTCAACACAATTATAAGAGGCGTTTAATTCTCCCTCAAGAAACCAGGCAATATTGCCACTAAGGAAATCACCCGCCATAGTGGTTTGAAAAGGTTTATCCCAATGCAAGTACTCTTTGGCTGCCTTCAAATCAAAAAATTAATTTTTATTCTGACATGTGCTTTTTTTAAAAATGTTACCTTCGCAAAGAATTCCGCAGGCTTATCAACACTTTCTTGCCAAAGTTTTTTGTATTCATCAAATGTAGCGATGTAAGGTTTAGGGTCCTTTAAAAGTCTTTCTGGTACAGGATATAATTCTGACATTTTTTTTATTATTTCTTTGTAAAGAAGAAAGAAGAGTTGAAAATGTTGGGTCGAAAGCATGGAGATTTAAATGAAATCTCGGTGTTAGCTCTGATTCAAATTATCCCAATCCAATTTTCCTGTGCACCACACTTTTCATTCGTTTCCATTTATTTTTGTATTTATCAACTATGGCTTTCAAGGTATGCTAATGTTCATTATAAATGCGAAATACTCAATGAGGACAATATGTAGTGTGTATCACAAAAAGTCGCGCAAGCAATCGACGTTGAGCTCATGTCCAGTTCGGGAGGGTTTTCCATTGACCAACTCATGGAATTAGGTAACATGCATATATTTTTAATTTTTTATCATATGCTAAAATCAAACATTTGTATCCCGGAAATTTTTTTTTTATCTAGCTGGCCTTAGTGTTGCTCAAGCCGTTCAGAAATCTTTTGATACAAAGAAGAATCCTAATGTTCTTATCTGTGTAGGACCAGGTAAGAAACATAATTATCAGCGAATCACAAAATCACTGACAAACAAACAAATTCAAGGTAATAATGGAGGTGACGGGCTGGTTGCTGCAAGACATCTGTATCATTTTGGATTTAAGCCTAGTCTTTATTATCCAAAGCAACCCGAGAAAGATCTTTATCAGGTAAGAAAACAAAGCAAAGCTTAGCATAGCCTGATCTAATAAACTTCAACCCAACAATAACAACAACAAAAAGCGTCTGGTAGTTCAGTGTAAAAACCTTAATGTGCCTATTTATAAAGAACTAGAACAAGCAGGTGATAATCTTGTAGATAAATCCGATATTATTTTAGACGCCTTGTTTGGGTTTAGTTTCCAGGGAGAAGTACGCGATCCTTATAAGGAGATCGTTGGTATCTTTGAAAAGACTAGCAAACCAATTGTCTCGGTGGATATTCCTTCGGGTTGGAACGTAGAATCTGGTCCTACTGAACATGTTAAATTTCAACCCCAAGTTTTGGTTTCCTTGACTGTCCCCAAGCAATGCGTATCTCACTTTAAAGGAAAACATCATTTTGTGGGCGGTCGTTTTGTGCCTCCGTCATTGGCTGAAAAGTTTAAGTTTGATGTTCCTGTCTATCCCGGTGCCGATCAAGTTGTTGAAATGAATTTGTGAGAATTTTTATTTTTGATAAATAAAAAAAAAAATTTACATATGAAAAAATGACATAAAAATATATACATAATAATGATTGGTTTAGGGGGTATGGAAACAATTACTTTTGAGTAGTAATACGAAGTTTTTTGAATGGACTGATCATTGAGGCATAGTTATTTTCAATTAAAGCAGTGTGCTTGTTATGTGAAAATGAGATTTCTTGCTTCAATACGTTTCTTACTTGGGACATCTGTTGAGGGTGTTTCAAAAGTGTGCCAGCCACTCGACAGTAAGTATTCAGCATTGCAAATTTCGATTGTGGTTTAGCTTCTTTAGTTTTAACCTGTTTGGCCTTCTTCTCATCTTTGTTCACTCTCTTCATTTGACATTTGGCGTTATTATCCGTACATTTTCTAAAGGATGCGATAATCTCATCATGTGATTTTCCCCGTGCACGAGCCAAAAGATAGGAAGGAAAGTAATTCACGAGAATACTTTCAAGAAACTCTTCATCCGTCAATCTCTCATTAGAGTCTGCTTTGACATGTTCCTTGAGTTCCACTCTAGCCTGTTCCTTTGACACCTTTGTACCCTGTTCCTTTGACACTTCTGTGCCCTGTTCCAACTCCAACATCTTCTTCTTCTTGGTTGTTTCTGTAGTTAAACTAGCACCGGTTGCGTCTGAAAATTCTTTGGCGAGAGAGGCAACGTATTCCAAGGTCAAAGTATGTCTGATAACAATCGACATGAGAGCAGGAGCGAGCAATGGATAATCAGTAATGAGGTCCCGAGAAATTTGGCGCTGCATTTCTTCAGACGAATTAGGACGGCCCTTTCCACCAAGCACCTGGTGAATATCCCAATCTGGCATAACAGCGTGATTTAAATAAAACAAATTACTGGTATCAATCATGTTTTGAGATTGCTGTTGTTGATCAAACAAACTAAAATCATACAAGTCATCCATCTGGAATTGGAACATGGCTGGAACAGGCCCAGATTCTGGAGATTGGTGGCCTTCTGAACCAGAGGAAGACGAAAATAAATCATCTGAAGCAGGTGGTGTAACCGGTTGACTAAGTACTTGTTGGAGTAACTCCTCATTGGCTGTACGAAGTTTGGAATTCTCTTGCTTTAGATTTTCTATTGTCTTTTCATGCTCCTCAACCTTCTCTTCTAACTGAGTAATATATTCTAGAAAGTAGAAACAAAAAAAGGTTAGTATAAAGGACTACTGCCAAACCAAAAGCCAACTTACCCTTTCTACGAACTCTAAAATTACGTGCAGAAATCCTATTGCGAACTTGACGTCGTTCCTTTGAACTCAGTTTCTTTGAATTGGGAGACGCATTTACCATATCATCTAACAACATATCATCATCCGAGTTTTCTTCACCACTACTATGGTTTGATGGAGATGCAGTGGGTTTCTTTTTCTTGTAAGCATTTTGTGGCAATTCAGTAACGAAGATGGGCTCTTTAAATTTGGGTTTTTTGACTCCCGCTGATTTCTTACTGGAATCCTTCAGGGGCGTAAATGTAACAAAATTATCTTTGCTGGGAACAATTGAAAGTTTGGACCTGAACCCGCTCGAATTGTTATTTGGCACAGCGGGTTTTTCAGTCACCTGTTGTGATTGAGGCTGTGGCTGAATTGGGAGCATGAAATTACCCGCTGTGTTCAAGGGTGGAGAGCTGTTATCTTGCAAAAGATATTGTAGAATTTCGTTTGTTGCATCAGTGGTGCCTTCAGTGGTAGGCAAATTCAAAGTATCAATGATGGTGTTCTCATTATTGAGCCAGTCAAAATTCATTGGGTCCATAGTGAATAAAAAGTTGGGGAAAAGCGGTTTGATGGAGAGAAAAGAGAGGAGAAAGTAGAAAACTTAATTTAAAATAATTGTGAGATTTATGCTGTGACTTTGTTCCTAGGGTGGATCTACACCAATTGACCATTACCTTTTTAAGAGGAAACGTAATCGCATCCATATTAGGCAATTCGGCAAAAAAGTCACAGCGTTACCAGGGGTTTTTCCAAATAAAAAAAAAAAACTAGAGCGCTTTTGCGGTTACTTCACAAACATCACAGGACACATGTAAAACGTGGGACTCATCGGAGGCATGGATTATATTTGTAAGAATACTTTCTCTTTCATTTAAATATGGATTATTCTGTAAATGCTTGTGTTTTTTTTCTCAACTATCCGTGAATGATTATCTTTCTCAACATCTGCACGTTTATTTGAAAATACGATGTCGTTGTTAGTTCAGTTTACAGGATCAATTCATTAAGCGAATTATTGTTTGTGTAGTGGCTTTAAATAGAAACAAAGTTTTTCCGAATAATCTCGTCAATAAGTTACGATAGATTGCTATGGTATATGACGTTTGATTAAGAATTTCGCGCATTATGGCTGCACATATTTCGATTGTTTGTAAGACGTTTCTCAGTTTCCGGATTTCAAATCCTTCAAATCCACTGATTGTGTAGCAACTTCTCTTATTTACAAAACTGAAAAGGTCCTTGTTGCTGTTTTTTATTATATTTTTAATTTTCAAATTACATGACTTTTTGACCTGTATCCTTGATCTTATACTTGCCATACTAGTAAAGATATTATGTCAGTTCTCTATCTAATAATCCTACGAAATATCACTTACAGATTTAGCAGGATCAAAGACTTCCCACCGACTAGCGGGAAAGATATGCTTGTTTCTTTCGTACCACGATCTTTCGACTACCTTACCAGCATGAGACTACATAATAAAGTTAGATTTATGGAACAGCGAATATAGAATAAGGTCATCGCTTACCTCGTCTTTCTCAATCGTAGCATCGTTCACTAACCGAACATCATCATGCACATCGAAACTGAATAAGGGACCTGATTTACCTCTGGCTTTGTTGATGATGAAATCATAAAAAGTAAAATGCTATATTCATGTCAATTCTTATTCCCATATAGATATATAAAAAGAAAAAAGAAAAGCCTTACATGGGGAATAATAAGATCTTCCTTGATGTACAATAAGTTATCTACATTGACACCTCGCAATTGAGGAAATTGTTGACGACAAGCTTCTAAAAATTGCTGAATAGAGTCGCCCTTCTTGCACTACTCATACCGAAAGAAATTATGAGTTAAATCCTAACATAGCAGTTGCCAAATATCTTACCTTGACTACTTTACGATGTCCACTTCCATCCCAAAATGAATACGTAATATTGATTTGCTCATCTGTAGGAGAAGATCAGTATATTATTTAAAACAGAGATATTATAACTATTACTTTTTATCTCCTCTTGCTTCAAAATCCATTCCTTTCGTAACTCCTCACGTTCGATACGTTCCTTATCTTCTCTTTCTCTATCTGGCAAGAAGCTGGTATCGATTGTAGGATCTTTTAACATCTTTCTTTTCTTAAATACCACTTGCTCCTCTTCTGCTTCTAACTCTGCTTCATCATCGTCACCAGCAAATGACAACTTTAAAGGCTGCTTCTTCTTCTTTTTCTTTCTCTTATCATCACTGCATATGATTTATAAATATACGCTCATAAATTTCGTTAACGATATTGCTTACCCGATAGGTGCGGTTAAAGCAGCTTCTCTTTTTTGTTGTTCCTCTAAATTCTCTCGAATCTTTCTGTAATCTTTCAGTTCTGTCAGACCAATCGTACTGCTCTTCAATTGGGATTCGATGTCGGTCTTTGTCTTTACAAACTTGTCCGATCCAACGCGAACTTCGCTCATCTACATGTATTTTGTTTCTTCAATAATTGGGGAAAGGGGACAGTGTACTGTAAAGCTCTAACCTTGGCATTCTTTTGACGTTCTTTTTCAGACTCCTCATAAATTTTTTGTCGCTGCTTCTCAAGCATCGACTGGCGATGACCTTCACCTTTAGAATTCATGGTGATTATAAAGCAAGGGAAAAGACAACAGGAATAAAAAATTTAAATTTTCTCTGGGCTTAAATGAAACTGCGAACAAAAAACAAAAAAAAAGATCTCTAAAACGGTTTATTCAAAAATGTCTATTTACTTTGGGTATCAGTCTTGCAAGAAGCTTGGAACGTAAAGTTTTAAACAAGCTGCATTATGAATACCTATTTTTACTCACAATAAGCATTTAAATGTTTAAACACTTTCTCCAGGCAAATTGAAATTTAAATTCGGATGAAACAAGTTATCTGTAGCAATTTAAAGCTTGAAGAAAAAATGTGCTTACTATGCCGATATTAAAGCAAATATCTGATGTCCGGAATAAGCATCAGGTCTGTCCATATGCTCTTTAAACTTCAGGGGCATTGAAATTGCACTGCCATATCGCATAATAACATTTTCTATTGAATGCCCTATACCCTCCAAAGTAACCCGTCAATTAAAACCCCAGCGAGATTTTTCCTCCTTTAAGTAGCTCCACATATACCAACTGTAGTGCAATATTCACACATCCCTACAAATTATCTTACAATATTTAAAAAACAAGCTACTTAAATTAACTAGATTGTCGCCCATACGAAGCATCAAATTAAAAAAAGCTATAGCCTTTGATACTTACAAGTAAATTGTCGCAATGCTATCACTCCTACACATGCAAAGTAGCCATAAATCTCTCTTTTATTGGTAACATATTCATAGAAGGCCTTTTTGTTTTGTTTATGTTGATGTAATTAACTTTATCTGCCCCCTAATTTAGTTCACTTTTCCTTTTTATGAAAAATAAAACCCTCAACACTTTAGTTTACTTTGAATACTATCAAAGTATTTTCAACAGTTCCTTACTTAGTTACCGTTTAACGTCTGAAAAAAGTTGCTGCTACGTGTCAGGGTTTGTGTACACGGATTGATTAAAAGAGCAAGATTTTGTATGTTTTAGCATATAGTTCTCAAGATAGTACAAAACTTTAATTTGGGCGAGTTGATTATGTCATAACGGAAACATCCATGGCAAATTTTCTCACAGTTTTTGTATTAATAGGTGATAATACAGAATGTGACCCACCTCTCTTTTACCACTTAGGTTTTTTTTAACAACAAAATATTCAACAAGGGTATCACAGCATGGAATGCCGCTAAATGGTCAACTTTTGAAAGAGTCACGGTGTCTACTGGGTGGTGGTTTATTCCGTTGGAAATCCTTGAGGAGTATGCTTAGGTATGGTATGATGTGCGTGTATACTGATCTTCAGTACTTCCTAGACTTAGGCCGTCTAAAATGTGTGATTTTCAAAATTTGTGGGCGTATTATATCTTAATTCAATTCAGAAGTTTAAACGCGTTTTTCGTTGTAAGTCCTTTTATTTTCCTCAGTCTCTATGGATCTCTTTTTTGCCTACTTGGTAAAAATTAAAAACAAGGGATCCCGTCTGCCTTCTTAAAGAACAAACGCTACACTAAAACAAGTGTTCTGGTGACAGACCTGTTATTTATACGAATATAGTACCAATATGGCAAGCTAGTTGCTGTTTTTAAAAAATATGTTCATCACTGATAATTTTTGTTGTGGAAAAGATAAGACACAAAAAAGTATGTAGTTAATCTAACGTACCGTATATTCCTTTCTTGTTAGGTACAAATTTAACCTTTGAAGACCAAAAGCTTAATCTTTAGTTTTCTTTTTTTCCGGGAATGAGAATTATCCTAGTTTAATTCCTTTGAAATTTCCACTTCTTACAGCAGAATACAGATCTCGTTCATGAATAGGATGTATTCAAGGCCGTTTATATGCCTATTTTAGAAGTGGGCACTAAAAAAAATTAAGCGACTTTGAGTAATGGGTATTTTAGGGGATAGTTCTTCAGGGCCGGCCGAAAGTGTTGATCGATTTAGGGACATACAGAGAAGAGATCCGCCCATCAGCAGAAAAACCTGACACGACTTCTACTCTCACAAGTAGACAGTAGTTGTCACCTCACCTCTGCTCATATAAGACACAAAGTTTAGCAGGTAAAAACTGAGAGCAATCCAAGGAGAAAAACACGTTTAACCCAAACATTCTACTTGAGATCATCACTGGACAAAAGAGTTGTGATTTAAAATACTTATTTGGATGCATGCATAATTTTGTAGATCCGTCGTCTTATGAGATGTATGAATTCCTGCGTCATACTTTTTATTTATTATCCCTCCGCCACGACGCCGCTTCCGCCGCCGCTTTTCTTCTTCATTCTTTTTTGTTAATGTCAGTGTCTTGTTGCTTTTGGGCTTTGCTTTCACTAGAAAAGTTCAAATTTATTTATTTGCCTGACTTTATAACGGACACTCAAATAGGATTAGGCAAAACAGCTGGTGACATCTTGCTCTCGCAATCTCTACTCCAGTTTATTCATCCCGATGAACGGTCGATGGCACAAACTGATCTTTATAATTTCGTTAAAATCAAGACACTCGCTGGTGCTGTAACCAGGTATACACTCCCTTATGTTTCTTTCTTTCTTTATTTAATTTTATATGTCTAGGTGTCGCTTAAAAAGCATCCAATCCATTATTTATCAACAGGCAGCAAGTACTCACTTTTTGTTTCGTTAAACATGATATGTATTTAACACGTGATGCTTTTTTTTAATTCCACAGGCAGATGCGGTAGATTGGGATATCACTGATGTTGTAATGTATACAGCCACCAACAACACTATCTTGACCTTTTTCCATTGCCCTAACACAGGTAAAAAAAAAAAAAGCTCCCCTTTGTTTTGGATCTTGCTAAAAGACCGATTTAGATGATGTGAATAAGGTTTGTCATGGCAGCAGTCACCTAGTCGATGTAAGTTTCTGTGTTGTATCAAATAAATCAAGACTAACCACTACGTGTAGAATTGCAGTAAACTAGAGAAAAGTCTTGGTTTACCGGAAGGGATTGATTTCTTTCGTATATTTCAATTATATGATACAGAGACGGGCCAAGGGATTATGTCGTGGCCCTTGAGCAAAGAGATGCAGGAAGTAAATGAGTTAGCCACGGTGTTGAGTAAACAAGAGATGGAAAAACGAGTGGACGATGCCAACAAGACGGGGTGTACGCAACATTCCCATTTGAGTTCAACCCATCACATACCGACGTATGGAATATGTCAATTCGAAAGAATTATCATCCGGTATGAACGTTTAACTTTTAGTTCGTTTCAGATCACACCCATTAAGCATACCGTCGCTCCAGGTCAGGCTACACAAGTTGAGCCCAAAGCATGGCGAGGTCGATTTGGCGCCTACGAGAAAAAATGTGAAAATTGTCAGACCAATAAAAGTCCTGAATGGCGTCGAGGTCCCTCTGGGCATAAAACGTAAGTGTATAAATTTTTTTTTCATGCAATTTTTTTATAAAACCAATTTTTGTTGTTGTAAAAAAAAACAAAAAAATATATAAAAAAAGCTTATGTAATGCTTGTGGTCTACGATATGCTAGACTTGTCGCCAAACACGAGAAATTACAAGGAAAGCAAGATCAACCATTAAAAAAACCCAAACAACAATAAACAAAAAAAAAGTCAAAAATTCCCCTTCTTTTTTTTTCTCGTAATTTATTTCTTTTTGTTGGAAGCACGCTTGCCTTGACCTAGTTAATGGATATTTGTTAATACGAGCATTCACCCATCTCCATTGCAACTTACCCTTCTTTGGTGCACCCTTTCCTCTTCTCTTTCTTCTGGCAATCTCATCAAGTCGTTCTTTTTCGTCCAAATCAACAAGTCCAAGTTGAGGATACAAAGCTTGAATGTCTCTGAAATGCACAAGCTTTTGAGGATTATAACTGGTCAAAGAAGACCCGATCAAACGTTGACGAAGCACCTTGTTACCAGTACGTGCACAGCTAGGGTTATACACATTCGAAAATACCTTGCACGATAATTGTGTCAATTGCCCTAATCTTGTAGTTGCTTGACTCATTTTGTATCAAAAAAAAAGGGGGGTCTTTCAAAGAGCCCCCGGTATCATTATTTTTTTATGTTGCTGTCTGTGTGACCCGTTTGTGACTAGCTTTTCACCTGTCAAAAACTCTCGTATTTTACCATGACAACGCTATGTAGTATAGGAGTATGACTAGCTTGTTTTTATAAAGATAGTTTATGAAGTAGTGTTTGAATATAAAGGATACAAAAAACAGGTAACTATTTGTTTGACAAAGAGAATAAAGCCCTATTTGAAATTACCCCAAGACCAGGGGGATGGGCACGTTGTAATTAAATGCAATTGTATTTAATACAAGCATGCATACTGTCTCAAGCAGAGACATGGAAAGCCATATTCAGCTTGTAAAAAGGTAAAAAAAAAAAAAAAAAAAAAAAAAAAAAAAAAAAAAAAAAAAATGCACCGAGTACAATTCACTTGAATAAAACCCCTCATTTATCAATTTGTCTCCCCGCACAGCTGCTAAAGGATGGAACTATAAATGATGGCACAAATAATTAAGATTTAATTACAGTAGGGGGTCCCAAAACATTAATCAAATATAGTTTATCACTTTGGGGTCCCAATCATCGATCAAATATAGTTTGTAACTCTATGAGGAATAAAGTATTCTACCAATTATACTTCAGATAAGAGAGGAAATCCAAGATGGATGACGATAACTCTTCTAGTTATGCAAAGAATCTGAATTGATAGTTTTATCAATGAATATCTAATGCAACAAAGAAGACAAGTGTATATTTTATCATGCAAACTACTCTCCAAAAATTACAATTCATTGTATGTATGCAATTATTTGTCAAATTTTCGGGCTTTGGCTGCAATACTTATGATGAGTATTACAAGTAGTTTTAGTCTTTGACCGTAATCATTTCATCCTATAAATTTTTGTAAGATTATGCTAAAAAATAGAGATAAAAGTGAGCGACCGGGTTGTATTTATAATGAAAATGATAAACAAACCTGGTTTGTGTCAGGATGAGATAATTATTTATTCAAAATAGCTTCATTTGGCCTTTACAAATATTGATTGTGATCTAAAATGTAAACCATCCTTAGAATACATGTAGATAGTACTACACTTGGAAATTGTTTATTATAGATTTAGGAATATATGAAGTTTATGACAGGGCCATTATATTAATATAAAGCATACATCATGTAGACAGGAAAGGATAGATAATAGATGTGAAACGAATTATCATGTGCATAGGCGTAAAATTTGGACGTATCCGTATCCGTAGCTTTTGCCAATTATAGATGGTGGTAGGACAATATATTCATACACTTCTGAATTGATTTCTTCTAAAGTTTACGGAGACTTTCCTTTAAGTCCATTATAAGAGGGTTTGTCAAAGATCTTTTATCAATGAACTAGATGATTTTCAGACGTCCTTTTCAGACATCCGAATCTGTTTTTGAAAAGGTCCGAAAACCCCAAGAGATAAAATAAGACAAGGTGGTGTCGATCTTTAAGTATTTGATACTCAGCTGACTAGGCGTTTCCGAGAGTTTTAATTGCCAGTTGAGTGATATCTAGTTAAAGAGCAGTTGCCATTGACATAAATGAGGGGATAAAATGTCTCAGTCTCCTCTCAGTCTGTCCCAAAGCCGAGACAAAAGAAAAAAAAGCTCTGAACCCAAACTTTTATTAAAATGTTCTATTTTTATGTAATCTTAGTTTTTGTGTGACCAGTGTAATAAAAATATATTATCCCGACGATAATAATAATACTTGGCAAATGAAAGAGAGACATACACTTGCCTAGTCTCCCTTTTTTATTCTTTTCTTTTTCTTATCCCTTTTTACAGCCTACTCCTCTTCCTTCCCTCCTCTTCCTTCCTCCGCTCCAGACTTTTTTCTCTCCTTTCCCTTTCTCTTTTTTTTTACATAGAACAAGATGAGCAATGCACAAGACAATGACACTCTCTTTGCCAAAGACAACCACCCACTTACAGCTGAATTATTAGCAGAGCAGAATGAACTCTATTCCAGCAAATTAGAACTCAAACCTAATGCAATTCGGGCCTGGGCAGCAGATTTACCCCAAGTGCCAGACAGCGTTCAACCCATATTGACCACCTCTCGTGTATTTGAAATGGAGCCTATCCAACTCGACGATGATGACACAACCGCATTTGATAACGACGAGCCTCGTATTCAAGAAACTAAGGATGTATTCTCGGAAACTCAAAAGATCGCTTATGTCAGTCTATGTTATCTCACTAGTTTAGAAGTTGTATATGATTTTCAGGGTAAAGACTTCACCTATGCCAGAATGAGTGCTGATAATTGGCAGAGAAAATTAATGCGAATGATATTCTCCCACATGGACATCTCGAGCGATGGTAGATAATAAATTAATTCACGCTTTTTCCTTTTGTGTACTCAATTTTTTTTTACCTTTTATAAACACAGAAATCAAAATGGTCGAATCGTTATCCAAGCATGAAATTCTACCCACAGATTTAGTGCACCAATTCACTTCTCAAGGTGACACGGCCGAAGTTCAATTAAAATCCTCCAGCGATAAAATCACCATCGACCTTTGTTGGACCGTCATGTGCGACTTATTTCTCATCTGTCTCAGCACAGAGAATTATGACGCTCGTTCCAGAGTCTTTGTGGCACGCATTGCTTCTTATCTTTCGTTGGATTGGTTCCAAGTCATTGGTTTCGAAAAGAGAATCGCTCAACATTTGTTACAGGACAGCGCCTGGGAGACAGAAACTGTAACTAGTGTTGCCACCACCATGACTACCATGACCATGACCAATGTCGACGCACAAGGATTTGTCAAGAACGATTCAGAACGTCACAGTCGCAATAAACAACGTAAAAAGAAACGTTATGTCATGATTGGCTTGGCAACCATCGGTGGCGGCTTGATTCTGGGTTTAAGTGCCGGTTTAATGGCGCCTGTGATCGCCGGTGGAATTGGTGCCATCTTAACTACGGTGGGTGTAACAGGTACCGGAGGCTTTTTGGGGGGTACCGCCGGTATTGCTTTAATTACGGGTGGTGCCACCGTGGCAGGCGGAAGTAAGTTAACAACAATTAAAAAAGCTTAAATGTCGGTTCACTTATTGACTAGTAATTTTTTTTTCTTGCAGGAATTGGAGGTTTGTTATAGTTAATCCAAAATTCGTTTGTATATTAAATTTGTATGTATACCGCAGGAAAAAGTATGAATCGACGAATGAAGACCATCAATACATTTGAATTTCTCCCAGTTCATGTAGATGAAAATGTTAACTGCATAATCAGTATCACTGGGTATTTACAATATAAAGTAATATTTTTGCCCCCTTTTTATTTACTAATCATGAAATATGAAATAGATGGTTACCAAATACTGAAAAAGATGAAGCATCATTACCATTCAGTACACTCGATCATTTAATGGGAGATCATTATACGCTTTACTGGGAACCCGAGATGCTGGAAGAATTAGGCAGCGCGTTTCGAATCTTTGCCACAGAGGCCGTGACATTCTCGATCCAACAAGCGTTAGCGCACACGATTATGGGCGCCCTTTTAGCAGGACTGGCCTTCCCACTGGCCTTAACAAAATTAGGTTACATGGTGGATAATCCTTGGGCCAATGCCTTGGACCGATCTCGATTAGCAGGACTGATCTTAGCCGACGCCCTGATGAACCGAAACTTGGGAGCGCGACCTATCACACTAGTAGGGTACTCTTTAGGAGCACGCGTGATTTTCTTTTGCTTGTTAGAGTTGGCTCGAATGAAGGCATTTGGGCTGGTTGAAAACGTGGCATTGTTTGGTACACCCGTCAGTGGATCTAAGGCTGAATGGAATGAATGTACCACGATTGTCTCGGGTCGATTTGTCAATGGTTATGCTACCAATGATTGGCTTTTGGGTTTCTTGTTCAGAACTTCCACAGCGGGACTGGGAAACATTGCGGGACTTAGACCATTGTCGCACATTGAAGGAAATCGCGTGCAGAATTTAGATTGTACGGATTTGGTGACGGGTCATTTGAGTTACAGATCGACCATGCCCAAGTTATTAAAACGTGCTGGATTTGTTGTAACATCAGAAGAGTTACCCGTCAAGGAAAAAGAAGAGGTAACCCATAGTCTTATATAAGGCATAATCCCAATAGAGAACTCATTTTTTTGTGTATTGTGTTCTAGGAAACCGTGATAGATACAGGCATCATTGCAGGAGACATCAAGAATAAACATTTGGATGCAGCATCACTAAGGAAAAGAAATTCACAATCTTCACTTTCCTCAGGAAAGGCATCTATCCAACTTTCAAAATCACCCGTTCAGGAGGATCCAGGTTTGGGAGAAACCACACCCGAACGCACCTTGTCTTCCTCCACGGGTGGACCCAATACACCGGGCAATGATACACCGCGTTCTTCCGACGACGACAGCAATAAAAAACATAATATACCCACATCGTCTGATTTTGATATGATTGCAGATATTATTGCTAACGCAACGGCTGCAGCATCATCAAAATCGGCCTATAGTTCACTGTCTTTAGGAAGAGCATCTATTGCATCCACAGGGATAGACTCCACTGCTTCTACACCCACATTGTCCAATCGACGCTCCACACTCAATAGTTTTTTTAGTAGCGGTAGTGTTACCGCCAGTCGATCCAAATCAGAAACGACCGCAATGATGCAACAACAGGAGACGAGACCTCGTTCCATGTTTCATTCTTCCTCCATCTTTGGTAAAAAGAGGTCTCAGACAGAAGAAGAAAAGGAGTTGAAGGAGGCGGGCGTGAGCGTCAAAGAGATTAAGAGCACCTTGGGCAAATTAGTTGTACCAAGAGAAATTGCAAATCCCATGCCGCTTGTTAAATTAGAAGCACCTCAGCATGCTAAGTTGAATAGATAGTTTCAAATAGAGGATCTGAGCCACGAAATAAACATATACCTTTTTTAATATTTTATCAGTAGCTCGAATGTCAATTTAACCTTCAAGTCACTAAAATACTTGGTCGCAAGTATAGCTGTGCAGCATATTTTAGTATCATGTCATGTTTATTCAGCAAAGGTGAAGTTACAGTTGTTATATGTTTACCCTTTTTGTGTTCCCAGGATCGTTTTTATGGGTTGGATCCAGACAATGAGTCTCTTTTAGGCGAGAGTGTGGATTACTGCATTGATAATCAAAGACCTTGTCAACAATGAGGGTACGCTAGTAGTGGTGTGACAATAATAAGAAACGACATTTTCTTGCTGCACACGCACATATTATATCTTTTTCATAAAGTATATATATTATTCTCTAATGAGTATCTCAAGTAATTGGATATATCAGTGGTTGGGACACTGTCTACGTACTTTGACCTGTTCTTTCCAAGAAAGGTGTAAAGTCCGGGTGGGAAAAGACGGAAAACTTTTTTAGTTTTTGAGGTATTTTACTTGTAGAAAGTACATCATGTGAGAGGTAAAATGCCTAGACTTTTACAATCAAACATACTAATTTATAGTTTAAAGGCCAAATACAAAATCGGATTACCCGGGTAAGGGTAACTGGCGTGATTTCTCACCAGCTTTCATGTAGGAAACATGAGTGAGCTTGAATGAGTCAAAACGAAGTCACGTTTTTTTTTTTTTTTTTTTTTTTTTCTGTTGTTGTTAAAGAGCGGGTTAGGGGTGAGTCCTTCCACAAAGTTCTTTATACTTTTTTTTATCTACGATAATGAGTGCTTTGAAACTTGTTGTTGCTTCTAAAGCATCACCTTTCAGTTACGGTAGGGTTTTTTTTACGATATATCTTTTTTTGACGTGGACGCGACTAAAAATAAAATAAAATGAAATGTGTAGGGGTTCTCGCTGTTGCTGCTCAGGTTAATGCTGTCAAGAAGGGATCTGTCGAGATCGAACTTCGCGAAGGAAAGAGCTTAGAAGGTGCTTCTAAGCCCTCTGCCTCCGTTACATACAATGGGTAACTTTTTTTTATTGTCGTTGTGTGTATATGCAAGGACTAACATAAAGTTTGTACAGTGAGACCTACGAAACCACCAATGCCATTGCTAGACTTTTGGCCAGACTCAACCCCGAAGCCGGTCTTTATAACCCTGAGGAACCTATTAGCTCCACTTTGATCGATCAATGGTTAGACTTTGCCGAAACCAAGTTATCCAGCACCGATTTCAAGGCATTGGATGCTACCTACAAGGAACTCAACAAGTACTTGACCCTTCGTTCTTACATTGTTGGATATCAACCCACCATTGCTGATTTCGTGATCTGGGGTACCTTGAGAGCTTCTCCTGTCTTTGCCCGTATTGTCAAGACCAAGCCCGAAACTCTCGGTGCTTATCTTGTCCGTTGGTTCGAATACATTACTTCTCTCGAATCTGCCGAATATGCCTTAACCGCTGTCCAAAAGGCCGAAAAGGCCAACAAGGTAAGAAAATATATATGTGGATATGGTAAATAGACGAAGAGTTTTAACTGACATTTGTGATAGGGTTCCAAGGCTGCTGATCAAGGTAAGTTTGAGATTGGTTTGACCAACGCCATGATGGGTAAGGTCTGTACTCGTTTCCCCCCTGAGCCTTCTGGTTATCTTCACATTGGTCATGCCAAGGCTGCTCTCATGAACCAATACTTTGCTGATACCTATAAGGGTAAATTGATCATTCGTTTCGATGATACTAACCCCAGTAAGGAGAAGGCTGAATATGAGGAATCCATCAAGGAGGATCTTGCTTTAATCGGTGTTGATTCTTCCATTGTTTCTCACACCTCTGATTTCTTTGACCAAATGTACGAGCTTGCTCTTAAGATGATTAAGGAAGGTAAGGCTTTCTGTGACGATACCGAACAAATGCAAATGCGTGAAGAACGTACTGCTCGTATTGCTTCCAAGTGTCGTGATAACTCTATTGAGGAGAACTTGCGTCGCTTTGAGGAGATGGCCAAGGGTACTGAAGAAGGTTTAAAGAACTGTTTGCGTGCCAAGATCGATTACAACAGTCCTAACGGTACCATGCGTGATCCCGTCATTTATCGTTGTAACTTGACTCCTCATCATTACACTGGTGATAAGTATAAGGTCTACCCTACCTACGATTTTGCCTGTCCTATTGTTGATTCTCTTGAGGGTGTTACCCATGCTTTAAGAACCAACGAATACCGTGATCGTAACGTTCAATACGACTGGATGATCCAAGCCCTCGGTCTCCGTAAGGTCACTATTTGGGATTTCAGTAGAATCAACTTTGTATATACTCTTCTCTCTAAGAGAAAGCTTCAATGGTTTGTTGACCAAGGTCTTGTCACTGGTTGGGATGATCCTCGTTTCCCTACTGTCCGTGGTATCCGTCGTCGTGGTTTGACCATCGAAGCCTTGAAGCAATATATTTTGATGCAAGGTGCTTCTCAAAACACCATGCTTTTGGAATGGGACAAGATTTGGGCTTTGAACAGAAAGATCATTGATCCTATTGCTCCCAGATACGTTGCTGTTCTTAAGGAAGGTGCCGTTGTCTGTAACGTACAAGGTGCCACTGCTGAGATCAAGGAACATCCTCTTCACAAGAAGAATGCCGAACTTGGTAACAAGAAGACACATTACGGTCCCAAGGTCTACTTGGATCAAGAAGATGCCAAGTCTCTTGAGGAAGGTGAGGAAGTCACCTTGATGGATTGGGGAAATGTCTTTGTGCGTAAGATTGTCAAGGATGCTCAAGGTGAGGTTACCAGCATTGATTTAGAACTTCATCTTGCTGGTGATTTCAAGAAGACCAAGAAGAAGTTGACTTGGTTGACCGACGATAGTGATGTCTCTGAGATCCTCTTGCTTGATTATGATTACTTGATCACCAAGAAGAAGGTTGAGGATGGTGATGAGGTTAAGGATTTGGTGACTCCCGTGAGTGAGTTCAAGATTGCTGCTCTTGCTGATGGTAACGTCAGAAGCTTGAAGAAGGGTGATATCATGCAATTCGAGCGTAAGGGTTACTTTATCTTGGATGCTCCTGCTACTGCTACTGAGCCTGCTCACTTTATTCGTATCCCCGATGGTAAGGCTGCTACCATGGCTTCCAAGGCTGATGTTTCCACTCCCAAGAAATAAGTTTTCTTACATGTATAAAATTCATTTTTGTTATTTAAAAAGTTCATACACCTCTCAATAAAACTACATTTTTTTTTTTTAATAAATAAATGCATCACTCTATGTGAGTAGCAAGAGATTTTTTTTATCTCTGTCACTCGGAAACTTTATAAACTTCTCGTAAGTTGAAGCACCTTATTGGGGAATACAATTATGACGAGTGTGCACAAAGTATCACTAAATAAATCTTAAACACTCCGATTTAAATCATGATGTAATAAAGAAAACAAAAGATTGTTAGGGAACATCAAATTTTTTTTTTAAAAAAAAAAAGATAAGTGTATTATTTATATACATTGATTGTGAAGAGGGTAGGAGGGGAAGGGGGATTATGAGATATCTAGATGGAAAAAAAAGAGATATGTGTGCGTGTGTATGTACTTTTTTTATGAGCAAAAAAAAAAAAAAAAAAAAAAAATACCAGCTTAAAAATACAAAATGAGGTGATAGATTTTTTTTTTAACCGAGAATTTTCTTAATGCCTTCTTTTTGTTCATCCGTCAAAGTTGTGGGGAACTTCACATCGTAGGTGATTATTAAGTCACCTTTTCTACCAGTTTTAGAATTGGGCATACCCTCATTAGCAACACGCGATTCTTGTCCAGAATGAATAACAGACTTGGTATTATTAACGCTTAAAGTACGATCATCCAAAGTTTTGATAGTTTTGCGGAATCCAGTAAGAGCTTCGACAAGCGTCAATTGAAGGGTTATACGTAAATTATCACCTTCTCGCTTATATTGGTGATGAGGTTTCTCTTCAACAATAAATTCAATGTCTTGCACTTGACCATTATCGAGTTCATCACCTTCGCCTTCAAACTTGATCTTTGTACCAGCTTTCCATCCTGGCTTGACATTAATCGTCAAGATTTTATCGGCTGACACCGGACGGCCTGTAGCACCATCACGTAATTTACGAGTCACCTTCAATCGCTTAACAACACCTTTGTAGAGATCTTCGAGAGAAATGGGAAGTGGACGTTTAATAGCAGGTGGTTTTGCTGGTTGAGCATATTGTTGTTGTTGTTGTTGACCAAAGCCACGACCTCCTCTAGCACCACGAGGCATACCGCCTCCACCACCACCGGTAGAGAATGAGAAGCCGGGGATACCACCGTCGTCCATTCCACCCATACCGCCCATACCGCCCATGCCGCCCATACCGCCCATACCACCACCTCCGCCACCACCAAAGGAAGCAAAGAAGTGCTTAAAGATATCTTCGGCATCAGAAGGATGGAAACTAGCACCACCTGGACCACCAGCTGTAGAAAAGTGGAAATTTCCGCCGCCTGGGAAGCCACCGGCTCCACCAGCATCTGGAGGAGGAGCACGTCCTTTCAGACCTTCTTCACCATATTGGTCGAAAATGGCACGTTTATCTTTATCGCTTAAAACTTCAAAGGCTTCACCGATCTCTTGAAACTTGGCATTGGCAACATCAGCTTTATCCTTATTTCTATCAGGATGCCATTTTAAAGCTATATATTTTGTATTAGTATCATGTTTATTTCATTATTCGAATAAATTTACTTTACCTAATTTACGGTAGGCCTTCTTGATTTGATCGTCGTCTGCGTTCTTGGGAACACCGAGAATAGCATAGTAATCTTTACCCATATTTGTTTAATATAATTTATTTTTTTCACAAAGGAAATATATAAGAAATAAAAAGAAAAAAATATAGCAAGGGATTTTTTCTTTTTTTTTATATGCAAAAAATGAAGTTCCACCATATTCCATTACGCTTGACCAATCAAATTACAGCGGTTTAAAACATGACTTTCTCTTGGTTTTATGTGTATGTAAAGTGTAAAATCGTAGACATGATTTAGAGTTTTTGATTTTTTAAAGATTTTTATTACTTTCAAATACATTTAAGGATTGAATTTGAAATAGAGTAAAAAAAAAAAGAAAAAGGAAGCATTTGTTGTTGTAGATAAAGATAATTTATGATCTGGGCTTCTCCTTCTTTTCCTTGTACAAGGCAAGAAGAGAGACACCGGCGACCTTGACGACCTTGAAACGGACACCAGGAATATCACCAATAGCGCGACCCTTACGACCGAAACCGGCAATCAAAACTTCGTCGTTCTCATCGACATAGTTTAAACAACCATCATTGGGAACGAAAGCAGTAACCTTCTTACCGTTCTTGATAAGTTGAACACGGACACACTTACGAATGGCAGAGTTAGGTTGCTTGGCTTCGACACCAATCTTTTCAAGGACGATACCCTTGGCGTGAGAAGAACCACCGAAGGGAGAAGAACGGAAAGCAGTTCCGAGAGCTCTCTTCTTGTATTGCTTATCAGCCCAACGTTGATCACGACGATGAATACGGAGCTTACGAGCTGCGTTCAAACCTCTAGGTTGTCCCTTACCTATAAAAAATCAAAATGGTTTAATTTTCCAATGTCATTTAGCATTACAGTCAGGAAAATAGTCAAGAGATGTCGGTTGTCATGGTTATTGTTGACTTTCTTTTCGTTCGTTCGCCATTCATTACATGGTAAATAGCAAACAAGCAAAAAAAAAAATATTTTCGTAGCTTCTTTCGCAAAAAAAAATCATCCATCCATTTGTGTATCCATCATTGCCGTTTGTTCATCCATGGTTGTATTTTCATTCCATCTCTTGACTATTTGTTCCGTGATTTTGTAAATTGGTATATGCTCTTACCCATTATTGCTAGATATTTTTAGAAGAAGGTTATTATCAATCTTGCTGAGCGTTTGACATATATCGAAACCAGTTCCCAGTCGCCCAGCCTAGACTTGAAAATATCCGGCCCGGACAGCAGTCACTCTTTGGAACACCCTGTTTGTTTTTCGGAATCCCAATAATGTTCACTCACAACAAAGCTTACAACACGTGTTTTTAGCATTCTGAACTGTCAATACACATAGAAGTATTTCTAACTTGATCTCATTCAGTTATATTTAGCCTATAGAAAATTAGAGAACATCATTCAAATATCGGTTTTGGACTAGTCGTAAACTAAAACAGACGTGATGTCCTCTAGAGATAAAATAGTCTTACTTAATCGATTGATTATAATTTGATGTAACACCTATACTATTCTGTTATGATTTGCATTACAGCAAGTATTGAAGAAGCGTCATCGTACGAAACAAAAAAATACGGTTGTAGTTGATCTATGTACCATATCACAAAACTCAAAACTTTATCCTGTTTGGCAAGTGATTAATTAAATATCACCGTAACTTTTTGTGGCATAGCATATAAAAAAAACCTGCAGTCTTATATGTATACGTGCGCGAATACATCACTGTTTAAATATGTGTTGGTAGCTTTGAATAGGACCATTTCAATTTAACCATCTTGCTAGTGTAATTAAATTGAAAGTCCTTAATTTATAAGAAAGTCTGGATGCTTATTCTATCAGAGAATGTATCATATAACCGTTTATGAAAGGGGAATATAAAAAGCTCGAATTATTTAAAATAACAGCTGTTCTGGAAGACACGGCTCATTGCATCGAGCTGTAAAGTAAATCGAACGGGTTTCAAACATATTACAGTAAACAATATCCTGTCTTAACCGAAATGGAGAACTTTGGAAATTATGTATGTGATTTGGTAAATAGCAATACGAATGTAGTGTATGTTATAATGCATGTTTAATAAAAGTTTAATGATATGGTAATTTTGTTTAAATTTATTGTTTTTCAGCAAACATGTCATCGAAGATGGTCTTGACACTTTGATACACCTCCTCAATAGGTTGATCACATGAAATCTAATTCGTAGTTAGTGCACTGTAAGGAAAAAGTTCAGATATACAATACTAACCTTCTTGACCTTGTTTTGCTTCTCGAAAGCATCAATGACGGGCATACTAGTTTCGGTAAAGACGTTGAAACGCTTTCTGATAGACTCAATGTTATCATCCACACGTCCGGAGCTCTCACCTCTCTTTAACAATCTCTTCAACATGACTTCCTCGGGACATTCAAAGAAGAGGACCAATTTGGAGGGCACAACAACCTCTTCAAATTTGACAGCTTGATCCATCTTACGTGGGAAACCGTCAATCAAAAATCTTTTGGCTTTACCTTCGGCCATAGCCTCTTTCATAGCTTGTTCCAAAAGCGCAATAGTCACTTCCATAGGCACAATCAAACCTTCACGAATATAATGGTTGATCAACTCACCGTATTTAGATCCTTCGCGCTTTTGTTCAGCACGCAACAAATCGCCAGCTAAGTGTGAACGATGTCAGCTATAAAAAAAATCTCTCTTATTCATATCCATCATCCATGAGCATACCTGACAAGTGAACAAATCCATAATCCTTAGTCAAGTTTTCACATTGAGTACCTTTACCGGCACCGGGACCACCTAATAGATCATGAATACGGTTAATATTTTTTTTTCTTCTTCTAGTAAGGAAATAATAATTTACCCAAAACAAAGACAACGGTGACTTCTTCGGGTGAGAAGGCAGGAATAGGCTTTAATTCTTGCTCCTTCTTTGCTTTTCTTTCGGCAATTCTCTTTTGCTTCAAGGCCTCTTCTTCGGCATAAGTGGTTGTTTCCTTTCTTCTAGGCATGGCTTTAGAAGCAGTTAGAAACAATAAATGTACAGATTGTCAATGATGACTTACTGTTTCCTTCTCTGGATTTGACAATGGTGTAATATGCAGCGAAACCCATGGAGGCAACAGCCAACATGGCAGGGAAAGTAGGTCCACTGGATTGCTTAGGAGGAGGCACAGTAGAATACAAGCGTTGTTGTCTGGCAACAGCTAAACGGTTACCACTACGAAGAAGATTACGAAACATGTCAAAGTTTTATTGAGAAGGAAGAAACAAAAACATCAAAATTCATTGCCCCGGCGTTTTGAATTTCTGAGATTTAAAAAAGGAAAGAGTATTTAATTTTTATTTTAGCAAAAGGGAAAATGATAGATTAGTATTACGACTACATTAGTCCAGCTTATTTATTTGGAGCTACTCCTGTTTGATTGAAACCTTAGAATATCCACTAGTTTCTTCGTCATGATGATCAATGGTTACTTCATCTGATTTCTTGGTGGTTTTATCTGATAATTCTGACTCAAGATCCACACTCTTCTGAATATCTTCAACAATGTCTTTGGTTTTATCTTTTGCCTCATCGATTACATCTGAATCTGTCTTATCGGAATCACTTTTTTTAACGCTGACAGTTGCCATATGATCAACTTGGGTCTGGACCTTGGCAGTAGATGGACCTGATTCAACTTGAGTACGCGTATCTTCTTTGTCATCTTTTTTCATTTCTTTGACACTCTGATCAGAGTCGTCCTTCTTACTACTCTCTTTACTAGATTTACCTGGCTTCTGAGAATCTTGGTTAAGATCCTGTGGTTGATTGATTTCCACCGGAAGTTCAGCCCATGAAGGACCGAAGGTCTCGCCATCAAAAGGAACCAAACCTCTTCTTCCTTCCCAGGGAAGAGGGAGCTTTCTTACACTGTCTTTGGATTCTTGATCATCTTCCTCCCATTCTGGTGCAGTAGATTCTTCACTCCAAACCGTGCGTGCTTTATTTGAGTCTTCCCAGGAGACGGGAAATAATTGAGCTTGTTCTAAATCATCAGGCCGCTTGACAGTGGTACCGACTTGTTCAATGTCACTCAAATCAACAGGACTTCTGATCGGATCTTCCCAAGTTGCTGGGTGTAAATCATCTTGAGGCACAGCTTCTTGCTCGGGAGCGATATTAGCAGTAGAAACAGGATCAGTAGTAGCAGCTTCCCTTCTTCTATCAATTATAGGTTCATCGAAATTACCAGGACTTGCACAACAGAGTAATTTGCGAAGTTTTTCAGCAAAAGAAACCATATTATCAAAATAAAATATAGAAACAGAAAGATAAACGAAAAAGGAATCTCAGGTCTATATAACTGTCTTTTTTTGGGCGATTAATCCTTGCCAATTTATTGAAAATCAATCAGTTTACTAGTGATTAAGAGAATATACGTTGTAGAGGGTAATTATGTTTCAGTTTCAACAAGAGTCATAAGTTCATGAAGTATATCGTAGCACTCATTAAGTAAAGCGATACAAATTGCTTGACCTTCTGGTATGTTTCCTTCTTCATCAGAGAACGAGCCATTGACTCTCATGTTATCAATACTTGCAAGCTTCATTTGATAAGGATAGAGATCACGGACTATAAGAAGGATGATTAAGGAACAATCCATAAAAAGTATGTTTCTGTCTTACTTGAATCGGGCTTCCCCCATTTAGACACTTCTAAAAGACATCGTTTGACAGTGCTCAACTGGTTATAGACGGGCATAAGAGCTTCAGAAACGGGAACGCTCTCACTTGACATTCTGTCCATGATACGGTGACAACTGCGTAGTAAAAAATTGATGAGTGCTTGGCCTTCGGGAATTGTGTCAGAGGCAGGATCTTTAAATATGCCATCCTGTTTCAAATTCTCAATTTCTTCTAATTGTAACTAAATTGAAATGTTCTGTAAGAATAATAGCAGGAGCTTTATTGCTCTTATTGCTTACATGATAGGCACGCAAGTCCGTTTCTTTCAATGTCCATTTATGAGTCAATGCTAAACGTCCTAATTGTCCCTTGATTTGTTTCAACCTTTCTACAATGGGTATTAACGATTCGGAAACTATATCGGTTAAAGCCTTCAAATCCTCAGCTTCGTCAGAAACTTGTTCGAATAACTCGTCAATTACGGGTATTCCTTTAGGTTTTGATTCATATAATGTCGCTTTTGAATTTTCCAATGCTTGAAGCTGAAAAGAATATTGAGTAACACGATCAAGACTTTTTATATTTTTTTTTTATTTTACCTTTTCTTGTAGCTCGCTTACTTCGTCTGCTGTATACCCACCGGGTTTTTGAGTTAAAAGAGTTAATTCTCGCTTGATGCCGTTTAACTCGTCTTGCAATGGTTTTAACACTGGCGAAATTTCTTGTTCGTTTTCTCTAAATAGAGCGGAAGGATATCAATATTTGTTTGGATAAATATATAATTTATTTTATGATTCGCTTACTGCATAGATTTAATTTATGCCTTTATGTATTGACAGAGCATGAAAAGAGCGGAAAGGATGACTTCTTTTTATTTTTATTTAGTTTACGATCTTGCATAAATGGTGACTTGTTTTAATGATGTAACAAAATGACCTGATTAAAATTGGCCCCATTACAGCATGTCGGTCACAAAGGGATTATATCATTTGTGTGTTCAAGAAAGTCTACTTCCATCTTTAAGGTTTCAAATACATTTATTTACAAGATTCATCAATTATAAGTAATAATCGGCTCAATCGCTCTACTAGCACAACGTAAAAAGGTATACAACTATGACTTGAAGGGATGGGATCTACAAAAGACAAAGCATAAAAATGCTTGATAATTTCCTGCAATGTATTATAGGCTGAATGTTGAGTATGATTGTAAATCAGATGAACCTATTGTAAAAACAAGAGAAATCAATAATCAATAATTTAAAATAAAATACTCCCAATGTACTTTACTTCTGCCACAAATGGTTCGTTATTAAACTGTTCCATACACGGATTGACGTTCTTATTGGGTAAAGCATGATGTATCATGTATCCTGTAGCTAATGGTGTCATCCAGTTTTCTTTCTCTGTAACAGCTTCTGTTCTTAATATTCCTTTGTATGCCCGCTCCCTCTTTTGAGAATAAGAAATCCGATGATTCAATAATAGAATTTGTGCTTCGTCTACTTTATCAGTGTTTCTAGCTTGCGTAGCATTCTTTTCTTGTGGCGGATAGCCACCAATAGTATGGCTTTTACCAAAAGAATCCAGTAAAGTAGGTGCTTGTTGATTCCTCTCAACATGGAAAGGTGTATCAGGGAAGCCCATGTTGAAATGAAGATTTAATTCGGACTCCAGATCTAATGCAACAATGTTCACCCCATAGTCTGTGTTGGATATAAATTTCAACCAGTGTAGCAGCTCTTCATTAAACATTAAACCCACCTTGGTGATTTGAACCGTCCAAGGAAAAGCCGTTCTTTTTGCGATATCTAACGTGCGTTCCCAAGCCTCCTTGTATGCTGACTTTCTCGGAAACAAGGCGTATTCTAAAAGCTCACCGCTACCATCCGTCCATACAATAGACATCCATGCACGGTTGTAGCTGAAACAATACGCCATATGAAGCTTAGCTTCTTTCTCTAGCAGAACAGGAAAGGCCCGAATATCATTCAATTTAAAATCAATTGATCTTGGGATAGGTTTTTTGAGAACAAAGGCAGGTGCGTATATTTCGGCTGTTAAATTAGGATTTCTCTGATAAAAGTTTTAAAAAGGGCATTAGGCTACATGAGATGGTCATTTTTGTTTTATATACCTTGTTGGAAACAATACTGGGACATTTAGCATAAATAGAAAATGCAATATCTTTTAATCCAAGCATTTGGTACCCGCCAAATGCAGAAGGACGTAATACGTGATCAATAGGCATTAGCTGTAGCACGATCTTACTGTCATCGTTTTTTCCAGATATTTGCATATAAGATTCCTTCAATTTATAAAAACAGCGACACATATCCAGATAGGACGATATGTGCAGACCGGGATTGACCATGTAGATGACATGATAAACAAGTTTTGTATCGTTTTTGTTCGCCAGGTATCGCCCTAAATTTTCGCACGTATCTTCATAATTTTTCAATATATTTTTGGCACCATTGGTCGCATTATCTTCTATAATATGAGTGTGTAAGTATGCAAATATAACGCTTACAATATATATATTAAACCTAAAACCGGAACTAATCCATATCGATAAGGACCCGAGTGATCACCACTGTGTTTTCCAAGTCGACATGTGTCATATACTGTGCTTAAATTCCGAAAAAACTTTCCCACAGTCGTCTCTATGTCTCTATTGTTAGGGTAGACTACTAGATAGTTGATTTGCTTTTTAGTGGAGTAAGGCTCTAATCCGAGCTTTTCCCAGAATGGAATCATCTTGGATGAACCTTCTAAGGCATCTTCGTTACGCGTAATAACAACATTGGGTTTATTTAAGGTATCAAGGTTGGGTTGACTAGGTCTTTTCTTTTTGACTTGGTATTTTCCATATTTTGAATGAGATTGATTAGGTGTGTCTTTTTTAAATACGTAAACAATACGGTTATTAAGTCACACGTTTTTTTTTTATTGCTGATAAGCTTACCACATAAACTATAATACTGCTGTATAGTTAAAGGGCCTTTGATGTCAATAGATCCCAGCAACGGGCTATTCAAATAAGACATTGGATGATGCACCATGTCCTCCTCTTTGGATTGCATTGCCTCGTCTGTAGTCATTGAAGCACTATCATCAAGAAATATTTTCTTTAATACGCTTTTGAATTCCATAGTCAAGGTATCGGTTTGAAGTGAAGGTACATGAGTTATTACACCACGTGTCATCTGCATAATATTTGTTCGACGTGCCACCAGTACTTTGGCTGTCTCTGCTTCAATCTCTCCGCCATTGGCTGACACTTCTGCAAGTCCACTAGAAAAAGGATAGCCACCAAAGATAGCTTGCTTACACAAGTAATCCATGGATTTCTCCATGGCTTTACTTTGTCTCCATTTGATTGGCTTTATAGAGTCTGCCAGTATGGGCGTAAAAGGAGAATCATAGTCCATGTTTTGAAAACGGTCCATTGGCAAAGGAGCTGGTGTTGCTCGTAATAAACTGTAGATGACGCTCCTTTGAAATTTTTTGAAAGAACGTAAACGTTTATCGACGATTTGGTCCAGACTGATTGAATCTGTATCACTATCATTGTCGGTGCAACTACTGGATTCTCCACTTGTGTCACTATTGCTATCACTACTACTGCTACTACAATTACTATTCCGTGCATCCGTCATTTCAACATCTTGCAATGAGCACTCGGGTTTCTCAGGAGAATCTTTGGTGGCTTTTTTCTTCACAGTAGGTACATAATCAGGACTATACAACTCTCGTTTTGTTCTCTCCTTGGATGGATCATACATAAATTTTCCACCAGGCACATACTTTGCGTCAATATCCCTTGTGTTGATGGGGACCGGTAAGAAGTTTTGAGGCACAATAGTGGGATGTTCCGGTGTGACTTTTTGGACCGGTGGATTTTGTGTCTTGGTCTGCAAGTAATCCATCGCTTCCATGGGCTCCACAATACTGTCTTCCATACTCGCGTCTTCTGAATTCGTATTACTAGCAACAAATGGTGTAAACAGACTGTCATTGTTGGGAGTCAGATCACGGGGTTTCAAGATGTTGTCGGGCGAGGCAACAGTATGATCTGTTACTGCGGGTTCTACATCCATCGGCAAAATATGCAAAACATTATCGGGTGTAACCACAGGCGCTGGTGTTTCAAAGAAATCGAAATCCGCTTCCGTCACATCCAAATCCAGTTCACCAAAATCCTCATTCGTGTCATTCCAAACAGCATCCAGGTTGTATAAATTTAGATCGTCGGTTGGAGCAGATAGTGTAGGTTCTGTAGTAGGATTCCCTCCAGGTAGAGCAATTGGATCAATGGTGAGATTGTTATCTGACATGGTTGATAAATGAGGCTTATTGAGGTTTTTGTCAACAATGGCAATATTGGGATCATTTAACGGATTTAATCCATCGAGTAAATCCTCAGGATTTTCCGTTTGAAATCGTGAGGTTGCAAATTCCGTTAAATTCATATTTGAACTTAATGAAGATTTGGGAGGTGTCTGTTGAGAATAGTCGCCGAATATTTTACAACCTAAAAGGGGTGTGGTGTTGATAGGTATCACGCTTTTTGAGTTCATGATTGGGCTAGAAAGAACAGGTTCTATCAGAGCTCTATGTAAAAGGAGTTGGTCGTGCTGATAACTCGTGTCAGCCATCGAGAGTGCGCTTATCACGGCATTACTTGCAAATAAAATCGGATCACGGTAAGACCAATAATCAATACTGGAATGCATTGATTTCAAACTTTGATGATATGTTGAACGAGACGCCTTTGCACCCAAATCTTCCGTCAATCCACGATTTAATCCCATCGTACCATTTAAACCAGAAATAGCAGAAGGAGAAAGTTTTGTATCGGTCGGTACAAAAATCAGCATGGTTGGGTATGTGATGATATCGCCAGAGGATGTTCTTATCGTGACTAGAGAAGGTAGATGCGTTTGTGTTGAATGTAATTGGGATGGATTTAAACGATAAAACTCGGCCCACTGTTCCAACATTTTCTGTTGTAATTCTTGAGTAGGTAAACTTTGGAATGATGTCAAGCTAGCATGCTCTCCAGTTGGACATAATAAAACTAAAAAGTTCCTTTTTTTTCAGTTTTATTTAATTTAGTATTTATTCTGGAGACATGTGTCTATTGTAGAACGTTAAGAGAAAAAAAAATGAAGAAAACTGACCTTTTTTATTCTTTATGTAAACATCCTCGCTAACCAAGGGTCTGATCCTCATACGTCTTGTGTTGGGTTGAAATACAAGGTTCGATGATGTAAGATAGATGTTATACATGCAAGCAAGCATAGTATTCTTAGCATTGGATTCATTATCCTGGTCAGCAAGAGTATCAATGATGTCTGTTTCGTCGAGATAAGTATCAGGGAATACAAAGAATTCACCAAGGGCAAAGGCTCCCCTTTTAATGAGTTCATGGTGAATAAGATTTCGAGTGGACTTTATAAATAATTTGTAATCATTTCCTGGCGAAATTAGTGTGGCGTGTTCTACAGCTGTCTTATTAAGCTGGGGCGGGGTAGTGGGTGACTGTGCAGTCAAGTGGTCCCAGTTAAAAGAACCAATTCTTAGCTCTGTTTTTATTTTAGATAGTTTCACGGATATATACTTATACATTTTTTCTTTTACCTTTCAAGGCCTTTAAATGAGAGCTTGAATCAATAATTCCGGTATGTTTATCATCAAACCAGAAGACGTGTAACTCCAGAGAGATCAATTCTTTATCTTGGCTAGGAGTGATCTGCCACACACATGGAATGTTTATAGAGATCAACTGATGAAATGCCGCCATCAATGCATTTTGTGGCCTCTCTACTTTTATATAGGAAGGGCTTTTTGCGTTTATATCTTGACAAGTAAAAAATGATAATAATGCGGATTTTTGATACGATTGTGTGTAGACACGATATCGAATGTTGGATATCCCAGACTAATAACATGTCAGCATTTATCTCCTTAAGGAGGGTCATTTGTTTTTGTTTTTGTTTTGTTTTTGTAGCAAAGTAATTACCAAAGTAAGTATATTTGTGAGAGTACTATCTGTCAACATAGCTATAGTGGTTTACTAAAAGAGAGAGAGAGAAAGAGGAATGCAGTGCTTAAAAACGAAGTTGATATTTAAACAGATTTATATTCCGCTTAAAAATATACTTATTAGCAACGATGGGTTTGCAGATGATTGATAGTTTTCTCCCAGCCTTTCTGCTCCCCACCACCATGAGACATTTTAAAACCCGCGAATTTTCCTATTTCAAGGGATTTTGATGCAGATGTTATTTTTTCCTTTTTCTCTTTATTATCTTTATTTTTCTCTTAAAATGAGCTTTTTGTGAGTATCAAGGTTATAAACATATGTTATCTTACTAAACAGTTTCAATTCCTCTAGGTCAGGATTTAAAAAGAATTTGAATAGAGCTGGTCAAAGCGTAAAATAAAGACATTCTCATACTATTGTCATACATAATACTGACGTATTTATATACCAATATAGATTAAACAAAGAACCGGTGGTAGTGATAGAACCATGGATAGCGAGTTTGAAGAAGAATACGACCGATTCAAAAGGTAATTGTTTTTTTTTTTTTTGCGTGTCAATGTTCATTGCCATTAAAGCAACCATGTTGAAAAAAAGTTTAGAAAAGAAGTCCGAAAAGCTTGCTAAAGAGTCCAAAGGGTATCTTGATTCAATGAGAGGTAAAATAAAGGAGTAATTATAAGTAAATAACTGCTAACAATTATTATGATAATAGCCATGACTACAGCTCAAGTACGTATCGCCCAAACGATGGAGGGATTTTATGACGAGTCAGCACCAATGGGTCCCGCAGGAGCAGAATATAGACGTGTGATTGAAAAACTAGACGAAGAAGCGAGATCAAGCTTGGTACAGTTTTTTTTTTTTATATATTAAGAACAATAATATGGGGTATTAAGATTTATATTGTTTACATTAGGATGCTGCATATCGTGCTACCGTGCTCGAACCATTAGCCAGATATTGTTCATACTTTCCAGAGGTAAATGAAGCCATTAAGCGTCGTCAAAAGAAATTAGCGGATTACGACTCTGCACGATCCAAAGTGAGAAAATTGGTAGACAAACCAAGTGAGGATCCTCAAAGATTACCTAGAGTAAGTCTTCTTCTTGTCTCTTTATTCATTCATTATTCTAACATACTCCCCCCAGGCTGAACAAGAAGCAAACCTGGCTCGCGAAATGTATGAGAACATAAACACTATTATTGTAAATGATTTGCCAAAGATAATTGAGCTACGTGTGCCATATATAGACCCATCATTTGAAGCGTTAGTCAAGTGCCAACTGAGGTTTAGTCAAACAAGTTATGAACAATTAGAAGGTTTAAGGCACCATTTCCCCCCTAATAATGAAACGGCCGATAATCGTGTAGACGATGTATTACAGCAAATGCGGGAATTAACCATTTGTGGTAATTTCTAAAAACGTTTTTTCTCCCGTATAATATAGTCTTATAGAATAATTAATAAACATGACATCTGTCAAAATAATAAAGCTGTTTGTGTTTTTTTTTTTCATGCCATCAGTCGTCGGAGCATAAACAAGTGTCTCTATAGTCTATCACCGCCTTCTGTTGATTCCACATTATGAAATATGTCATACTTATTACCCTATTCTGGACAAGTGTGACTTCTACAATATTCATGTGGTCCAGTGTTATAAAAAGAGCTGCCTTTTTTTTCATGTTTATGAATGTAAACCCAACATGTGCATCTTATTTTGGACAGTTGACAATCACCCCAAATACCGCTTGTAAGTCCACATTGAAACCGTTTTAACATTACTAAAACCAACAGCCAGTATATTTGCAGCAAACCGAGACGAATTCTTAAGGAGACCTACAGCAAGAGCTCATTTCTGGAAAGAACCTCATGACAATGTCTTGGCCGGCATTGACCTAGAAGCGAAGCTTTTAGGTACTTGGTTAGGCATAACTAAACAAGGCCGGTTTGCAGCACTGACAAACTTTCGAGAACCCAACTTTCGAGGCCAAGTATCTCGTGGGGTCTTGGTCAGGGACTTTCTTTGTGGAAACGAATCCGTTCACGCTGCTATTGACAATGTGGTCAACCATAAAATCGAATTCGGCGGTTTTAACTTGGTGTATTTTGATTTGAGTAAAAGTCCAACAGATATGGCATATTGCACAAATAGGGAAGACCAACAGGTGAGAGAGTTGAAGCCTGGCGTCATCTATGGTATATACTAGAGAGAGAGAGAGAGAGAGAGAAACAATCATATTGTAAGTCTGGAAACTGACTATAAATAGGTCTTTCCAATTCTATCTTGACAAATCCATGGCCAAAGGTAAAAAAGGGAGAAGCGCTACTAGCCGACATCCTGAAGAAAAACCCAGAAAGTGATGAGGACACAATGGTTGAATTACTTTTTGATTTATTAAGGTATGCATTAGAAAAATGATCAGCGCACACTCACAAACTCAACGACTTGTTAGAACAAGCGAGCCAATGAATGATACAACAGATATTACACAGGTTTTCAGTGATCTTTCAGAACGTATCTGTATCCCAAAATTCGATTTTCCTGCTGACTTGGCTGAGCCTACCTATGCAACAAAAACCAGCACTGTGGTGTTAGTTGACCATGAAAATCGTGTAACCTTTGTCGAGCGTGATTGGCATGATGAAAATTTGTCACCATTTTCTCCTGGTGCATATGAAGACATATCCTATCGCTTTACATTAGAAAAATAAAGAGAGCCCTTTTTTTTTCTTGTTACAAATAGAGTATGGTAACTTGTTTTAGACATGTCTTTTTATTGGGTAACCATAATCCAGGTCTCCAAAATCACTTCAGAATAACAATCTCTCTGGTAAACTTTAACACTGACAAAAATTCTATCTTTTGTTTTGTGAAGTTATCCATGTACAGGCATAAGGTTGCTACAAAGTATATTTTTCTATCACTTTATCATGGAAATTTTGTCCCCGTCTATGATTAATGGATCCTATTCTAAAGCATTCACGGCAAATTGGTTACGTGGTTAAGATTTGCGCTGACTACTTTAAATTGGTGTGATAACCCATACTCTTCATAGTCTTTCATCACCTTTAATTTTTTACCAGTATAAATATAGCCATCTTATAATTATCTCAATAACAAGCCAGTTTTTTCTTTCCTCATGCTTTCGACGAGAAATTAATTAAGTAGGAAATTCATTTTTATAATATTGAAAATAAGAGATGAATAGCAAAAAAGACAGATTTTAAAATTTAAAGGCGAAGAAAAGCAGTTATGGTGGGAACTTTATTTAAAACCTCCGCCGTGAAAAATATTTTTTTTATTTAAAAATGAAACGATTCTAAATTTACAATTAAAATAACTTTTTTTTTAATAATATGATGCCGATTTTTGAAAAATGGATGAGGTCTGCGCAACTTATTTGTAAGAAATCCAAGTTTCCCCGCTTAAATTGAGAGATTTTACAAAAGTTCGAGTCGGACTTCATCCATTTTTTTAAAAAATGGATGAGATTTTTAATAATTTAACATTTTTTTAAAAGTATCCCCAACGGTTGATTAAAAAAAAGCTAAATTTTTTTTTATAACCAAGGGTGTTCTCAAGCAAATTATTTAAAATTTTAAAATAAATCCTTTAATTAAAATCAAAAGTCACAAAAAAACACAACTCCAATTTGGGAAAATGCTAAACTGTCATTTGTACATGGCACAGAGGCCAATGTTATTTTATATCTTTCTTGTATTCTTATCAAAATAAACATACTTTACCTTTGCCTCTACCTATTTTAAAAATGAACAACCAAAATAATGCTTCTTACCCTATTGATGGTCAGCCTGAGAGCAGCCAGAATGGAATCGTTGGACGTGGACGTGGACGTGGACGTGGACGTGGACGTGGACGTGGACGTGGACGTGGAAGTGGAAGTGGAAGTGGACGTGGAAGTGAACGTGATTTTAGTACTTTTTCGAGTTAAAATGATATTTTAATGTCAGAAAACATTTTTTAAAAATTTGACCCCTCCATAGTGGTGGGGTCAAATATTTTTAATTAAAATCAAGATTTTAAAATTTTAAATAATTTGCTTGAGAACACCCCAAAAAGTTTTTTTTTTACAACCCAATTTTTTTTTTTTTTAAAATTGAAGTCAAAAAAAAAAAAAAAAAAAAAAAAAAGGAGCAAATTTGTGAGAAACGCATAGTTGACCAACCGATCAGGATACTCTACCGACATATAAATATGATATAATATTTTGTATACATCTTATGTATAAAATATTGTAGCTGTAGCCTTGTATTTATAACAACAGATGGTAGCAAGTTGAACCTTGGAATTTTTATTTCCTTTTTTGCAAGGATGTTTCCGTTGTAACTAACGACCTGATTTTGGAGTGATACAAAAATCAACCGTCAACCTTATTCCAATGTACATTTTATATTCTTTTACTGTAAATAATTATCTAATCATGAATAAATAGGAAGAAGAAAAAGGACCGTGCCCCACTCCCCACAAAATAAAAAGCCTAAAAGAGGAAAGATTGTTAATGCACATACAACGCGGGACAACTAATAAGCGGAATGAATGAAGATTCCAAAAAATAATAATTAAGAAGTGGAGGTAGCAGGTATTATATTATTCGAAGTGGAGTGAGAAATTTGATACGCAAAGCATAATGAATTAAGAATGAAATAATAAACTTAACGAAATGAAATTATCAAAATACAATAATAAACTAAAGTCTTTATAATTCAAAAAAATTTTGATTCTTTTATATACATATTTCGGGCTGTGTTGGTATCAAGCATTGAAGTGAAACATGTTTATTATGCAATAGGCATATCACCAATTGAAATTTTAGTACGTTGATGGGACATTCAAGAATCTAGTTGTTGACGAGCGAGCACAACATTTGATATTTTTATAATTGTTGATCACTCTGACTAATATTTATATACTCAGTATAAAAGGGCTAAATTAAAAGAGATATTTATTTTTTATTATCATCAGGTTATTACATCATGGTCCCATAATGCGCTGAATATTTTCCCTAGAACTGTTCCGTTCTTCATATAAATATCCATGGTTTTCTTTCATAGACCATCAGAACGTTGTTCAATTTTATTATTTATCCAAAATTAAGTGGTATCACTTTTTATTTTACTTTAAACTTTGTCCTTTATGCAAAACAATATCAGAATATAATCTCAATCACAAAATGGAATCAGGCAGCTGCATGGTCGGCTTGAAAGGGAACCTGACCTAATAAATACAGGTCTTAGTCAGCTATATAATAATAAGATGTTAGCACATGAATATTTACGTTCACCAAATTTATTTTACGTTCGTTTTCAGATAATGTTTCCAAGTCTAATACCTGACAGCATACAGGTTAGATAAATGCTTACTTTTGACAGTTCATTAAAATAACTTACCACCAGTTTGAGACACCTTGTCAATAAAGCTTGTAAGTGCAGTTTCGAAACCTGGACGTGAATAAATGTCAGTGACGAATTCTTCGGTTGGGATTACACTTGAAACATTATGACGGAAGTCTTGTTAAACCATCATAGCTCTACACGCATCACGGTTTATGTTGTGCTTTGAGTTCCTTGTTCAAAAATAGTTGCTCGTAAGAGGGTTTATTCATTTGATGGGCATTCAACTTAGCTATATCATCTAACAGACTTGGATACCATTTGTATATATACAAAGTGAGTTCAGATGAATTTATATAAAAGTATCGTTTAAATTATTTGGTTATCAGTTTTATAAAATTGATACCAGCTGGTGTCATCAAATAAGGGATATTTTGTGCATAGTCTCTACGATACGTAATAATTACTTCCCGTGACACAAAAAATTCAATATTGGCTTAAGTCTTTAACCGGCATTGTGGTCACTTGTAACCCAACAATATCACCTACTGCAATATAAATGAATTGTTGCTAATGATGCTGAACAAAAGTTTTGTAGCTCAGCTCGGACATTGAATTAATTAATTTGTGTGGGATGTTCTGTCCCTTTCTTTGACAGTTCAACAGATCCAAGTTTATGCAAATAAAGAGAAGACTCTTTCATTGTATAGAGATCTACAACAGCTTTTTTTTGTGTTAGGTAACGACAGTACAGTAATTACTTTGTACGATGATCCCGATAAGGAAAATTAGAGTCAAAAAAAAAAAAAATTACAAAAATGTTTCCAAGTCTAATAAGAAGGTTAAATAAGAGGAGAACTAAACAGAATTGTATCATGTCATGTAGACACAAGCAATCAATACACTTTACCCTTTTGTTACCTTGTTCATAATTAAAGCAGTGCCCGAAAATAGTCACATTTTTTTTTTTTTTTTTTATATCTCCTCCCTTATTTTTTTAAATTTTTCGTGTTTTACATACACCTCTCTCTTTGTATTCTTACGTTCTCCTTCCCAATTAAGTGACGATTGCCGACATTAGTAGAATTCTTTACCATGCCTACAAACCCAACCAAAGTAGTATTCTTGATAGATGAACAGTCTTTAATGAGAGAAGACGGGATAACATTAGAGCAACTCAAGTTGGCCATTATGCGTACACTCATATTTTACCATTCACAGCCAGAGTCACAAGAAATCTTATGGGGTTATCGTTTCTTCAGTACGCAAACCAGATACGCCTCCGGATCGATTCGACATTTCTACGGCCTGACGAAGGACTCGTTTCAGGCTATCGATGTGGAATATCAAAAGCGAGAGAATGACAGACAAAAGACATGTACACTGGGAACACCCATGATGCGTTTGAAGCAAGTCTTGAAGGAAGCCATCGGAGACTTCCAATGGGAGAATACGGATTTAGGCACAGGCTCATCTGTCAAGCAATACATGTATCTTTTGACAGATTGCCCTTCTAATACAAAGGAACTACATCGTTTTTTTGTATCCTCTACCGAGCAAGAACCTCCCGCACCCAGTCCATTCCCCACCATTTATAGACCTTATTTTCAACAGACAAGGGAGGATTTAGCCAGCACATTATCACAAAGTTATACCCAGCGTCAAATATCTCTTAGCATCGTCAATACTCGTTTTCAATTTGCTCCCAATCATCCCATGGAGCAACTTGTTGAACAAACCATTCGTCAGGGGTTTACATCGTGCGCTCAACAATTTGGTGGTAATTACATTATATTCAAATTACTCATTCGAAACTATCATGTTTATGGTCATTCGTTTGTATCCGAATTCGCAAACATCCTGCCTCATCCCCACTACACCGATCAAGCACGCTGTCAGATTCCTGTTTGGAAGGGCCCCTTCAAAACAAAACTAGGTAAATCCTTGGGCAACTTTGCTCTTTTCCCCTGTAAAAAAATTGGTAACTATCAAGCCAATACCTTGTCTTTTATATCCGAGATTCGAACACATCGTATTCTTCACGCCAGTCAATTCTCGGCTTCCTGGCTACTCAATGATAATCCCGTAGAACCCGATCATGACTATAAACTGACGTACGAGCCTGGTGAATCACCTCATCTGATCAATGCTGTCTTGGACGAACTGTATGCGACCCAGTCTGTGCTGATTGCAGAACTAGTGCCAATGGCAGGTTATGAAGAGGTGTCGAGAAAGGTGTGTATCGAACCCTTTTCGAGGTCCTCAGCGTCATTGCGATTTTTGAATATTCAGAGTTTACCCAATACTATCCGGTTAAATCAAGTGGTGGTGGATGAAGAGTATCCAGTGGGTAGTTATATTGAGGGCACACAGCTTGAGATTCAGTTACCAGCAGAGAATGAATCGGCAGGGAAAACAGGCATTAAAGTGAATATGGAAGCACCGAGTTTTATCAAGAAGGCAGTGCAATCCCGGAAATTAGAGGCATTAAAAGAAAAGAGACCGATAAGAAATACGAAACCCAAAAAAGAGGAACATGTCGAAAAGATCATTACGTTACCAACCAATGTCAACATGATGGGAAAAGAATTAAAAAAATTATATCTCGAAATGCTTTACACACAAAACGTAAAAAAAAAAGAAAAAAACGATTCATAGACACACTTACACGCACATAGAAAGACTGACTAGTATAAAAATAGGATACAATAGAGAACACATTAAATATCCTGGATCAATGGATCAATCACCTGTTAAAAATAGATTGTTCCAAACAAGACATTATATCCACCTTGTACGATAAAACCATGCAATATGAAGATTTGGATGAAAAACATCGTCATCAAGTCTCCTTTCCCCATTTAGGCAACAAATTAACATCTCAAATGACGCTAGAACAAACCTATCTGAGAGAATGGTGGCACTATGTAAAGAATCGTGGATCATCCGATGCGAAATTCGAAAAAATGAGTGGCATCATACTGAAACTAAAAGAGTAAAACACGATCAAAACATTTAATCACTTAAATGAATCACTAACAACAACAACGAAAAAAAAATTAGAGCGAGACTTCAGGTGATCCTTTATTGCTTTATCGCTAGGCTTGTTGCAACTTTGTCTGAACACACGCTAAAGAGAGATCCTTTAGAAATGGCCGAGAAATTCTTTAAAAAGACAGTTTTACCCTATGCTCTAAACGACATCACGGATTTCTTGACCGAAATGGATTCAGAGGATGGTGCAGCTGCTGTCAAAAGAAGAGATCCCGCAGATTTAAATGATTATGTATTTATGCAATTATTAGAAAAAAGGTTTTTTGATCTACTCTTTTTTCCTCAAGTCAACTTGATGCTTACCACCATCTAAAAAAAAAAAAAAAATAGCTTTACCGATTTACCTGACCTCACGAGTAAATTTCGAGAGAATGTCGGTATGGATGATATGGCCTCGTCACCTTCACCAATATCATCTTTGGACGATGACGATGATCTTGATGAGCCTGTTGTGCAACTAAAACCCCAAAGACCCAAAGAGGGACTACCACAGCGACCCAAAGAAGTACAACCCCAACGACCTGCCTATCCAAAACGTTCTCAGTCAGACCACTTTCAAACTAGACGAGCCAAATCTGGTAAATAGAAACCCTCATACAAGATTTATGCAAAGTCTTAACCCAAAATTATTTTAGATTTAGGAATTTCTAAACATGACCGTAAACCAAATACAACAACAACACTATCTGCTTTATCGAAATATGCAAAACCATTGATTCCAATTCCAATCCAACGCTCTTCCAGTAGTAATAGTATGTTGGATGGCTTACAAAAGCGTATGATATCTGTATCGAATACCAAAGTAGCGGAATCCCGACAAGCACCATTGAAAAGAACAGGTAGTTTCACAAAAAGTGCGCATTCGCCTAAGCGTACAAAGACGTCCGCATCCATGCTGTCCAATGATAAGACTGGTACGACAGTTATCTTGCGAAGAACAGATTCAGCTGACCCGAAAACTACGCCACGTACTTCACTTAATCGTCATCTTGGAACCAACCTCTTTACCGAATATTCAGAAATCTGCTTGGTAAAAAAAAAAAAAAAAAATAGTTGAAGTAGGGCTTGAAACTTTTTTGATTAATGCTCATCTTTTTTAATTAATTAGTCGCCGTCGTCCAAGACAGGGCTTGAAGATGGAGGGACTTCTTCACAAGAGTTTCTTGCGTCTGAATATCCTGCACAGGGCAAGACGCCTCAAGGTACAGCCAATCGATTCCGAAGGATTATGAACCGTACACCGCACCGAAATGATGGCGATATAGAACTCATGGAAGATGAATTGAGTGTACCACGCGATGAAGAGATGCATACACCGCAACCACCTTATACCCCACGCACAGCTGCCAAACGCGCCAAGGACAGAATTGATCGATCACAAATTGCCGTACATCCTGGTCGTGATTTGACTTCACGATTTCAAAATATCTTTGATGAAGAGAAACAGGACCGACCGATATATAAGCAAAATCATTTCTTGTTTGAAGGAGAGGATGAAAATGTGGATCCGTTCTCTGATAATGATTCTTCTTCTTCTTCGCGTCCTTCGTTAGCAGCAGCAACAACCACGGCGTCTATCATGAATAGAACCTCGTCATTTGGAACGGATACGCGTAAAGTATCAGGATTGAATTTTGTGGAGGACAGTGATAGCGAGAGTGATAATGAGAGCAATATTAGTTTACAGATGGATAATTACGGCAGAAACTATTTGTTTTAAATGGACTAAGCCAATTTAAGGTGCCACGAATAATATTTGTATGAATTTCAAAAAAAAAAAAATATATATATGAATACACAAAAAATTATGTCATTGATGTAAGATCTTTCTGTTTCTCCAAATAAATTAAATGTTTACCAGTTTATTCTTCAAAAGAATGATTAAATGCATACTTGTCTCGTTTATTTTAAACAACAGTTGATGATCCGCACCTGACATTTTTTTTTTTTTTTTTTCATTTATAAAAATAGTCTTCAGCCACACATTGGCTGTAATATTTATTTGCATCATAAAAAAAAAAAAAAAAGGTTTCCCCTTTTTAATTTTTTTGGTTGTTGTCCTAATTTTTATATACCTTTCTTTTTCTCTCTTCTTTTTTTTTTCTTCTTCTTCCTTATTGATATGAGTTCAACCAATGGAACCTCTAATCCATTTGCAACAGATACAACCGGTGCACAAGCAGGACTTTATAAAGGCATTGGTGTCAGTCTAGCCGTAGCCAGTGGTACGCAACCATTTATGTGGACGATATAAAAACCGATCTTTTTCTAAAAATATACATGAATAGGTATTTTCATCGGCAGTAGCTTTGTTTTTAAAAAACGAGGTCTTTTACAATCTATAGAGCAATCTGGTATTTTACATGAAATCACCCAAGAAAAAGAAATGATATATTAAAACCCCACACCTTTTTTTTTTTTTGTATGTAGGCGGTGTTGCTGGTGAAGGTTATACGTATTTAAAATCAGCAATGTGGTGGTCTGGAATGATATTGAGTAAAGAAAACAAGCAATAAAAAATACCCATCCCTTTCTAACTCTCTCTTTTTAATAGTGATTGTAGGTGAACTATGTAATTTTATTGCATATGCCTTTACACAAGCCATTTTGGTAACTCCGTTAGGTGCCCTCAGTGTCGTGATTAGGTAAAAAAAAAAAAAAAAAAAAAAAAAAACTATTCCAGAAAGAAAATAGATTGACGATTTAACTAAAATTAAAAAAAACAAATAGTGCTGTGCTTTCATCCATCTTTTTAAAAGAGCGATTGAGTTTTCAAGGAAAGATTGGTTGTCTTCAATGTATTTTAGGTGCGATCGTTATCGTGCTGCATGCACCTGAGCAAAGCTCTGCCGACACCACAATTGAAACATTTAAAAACCTGGTGCTTTCAGTAGGTAAGCAGCTAAAAAAAAAAAAAAATCAAAGCATTCAGCAACGCACCCCTTTTATATATATATATATATATCACTGACACATTGTAATTAGGCTTTTTAGTGTATGGAGGTCTTGCGATTATAGTCTCACTTGTGTTGGTCTTTTATTGTGGACCAAGATGGGGTAAAGAGAATATGCTAGTCTATATATCCATCTGTTCCTTGATTGGATCCATCTCTGTGGTATTCACGCAAGGTCTAGGTTCAGCCATTGTGCATTCCATCACCTACAAGAACGAAAATCAATTCAACAACTGGTTCATTTATGTCGTGCTGGCCATCGTCATCATTACCTTGATTATCGAAATCGTCTATCTCAACAAAGCACTCAACCTGTTCAATACAGCTCTTGTCACGCCTACTTATTACGTCATCTTTACCACCATGACCATCGTCAGTTCCATTGTCCTTTACCGAGGCTTTGATGCTTCTCCTGTCGATATTGCCACCTGTGTCATTGGATTTCTCAGTATCTGTTCCGGGGTTTCTCTCTTGCACAACTCAAAGAGTGAGCCAGAGTCTCCTGACAAGCAAGACGACGATAATGAAAAATGTCTAGTAGACGGTGGTGACCCTAACTCACCTCCACCTCCTCGTAAAGGCGTATTTTCCATGTTTGAAAGTAAAAATCAACTCATGGTCAAAGATAATAGCAGTGATGGTCATCCTAGTGCTGCAGATTTATTTCCTGCACCCTTTTCAGCCATTAGTCGATATGCTAGTACAACCAAGCGGAGTCAATCCATCCTGACCAGACAGCGTTTAACGCAGTCGTCAGAAGACGGTGCATTAACTACGCCCAAGGGAAGACCTCATTCAAATACTATTTCAATTGGAAACACACTGATTGGTGAAGAAGGCTATAATCGTGAATTAAGGTGGAGAGATTATCCCACACAAGATATCAGTCATACAGGTCAATACCATAGCACTTCACAAGAGAAAGAACAGGAAGATGTTGACTATAAAAGTACAAATACAACCATTACATCTTCTACTTCTTCTTTTGGTCGCAAACATTCCACATCTATATCATCTCCCACAACTCAACAACATCGAGCACAGAATGAATTGGGTCCCATCAGTTCATTTAAACTACAGATTTATGGTGGTGAATCCGATGATAGAAAAGGCTTAGTTGAAGATTGGAACAAGACTACCGATTAAACAAATACATATATATTTTTATACACACACACACACACATATTTTTTTTTTTTTTTTTGTAATTCTATTATCCATCTATTAAAAAAAAAAAAAAAAAAAAAAAAAAAAAAAAAAAAAAAAAAAAAAAAAAAAAAAGGACCCTTTTTTTTTCTTTGCTGTTACTTTAGGAGAAGTATGCATTTCCAACCAACCCCCCCCCCCTTTTTTTTTGCTACTTGTCGATCATTTTAATGTGCTTCACAGTGACACACGCCCATTTCTACAGCATGTTTTTAATTAGGCGTTTCCATGGAGATTGCGGGAAAGCTGTCATTCTCCTCCATACATTCGTAAAAAACGCCGCGCATAGAGGATCCCCTAACAAAAAAAAAATAAGAATGGAACGGGGGGGACTATCATCATGAATTTTTATTAGTATCTGTATATTCTTTTTTTTTTTTTTTTTTTTTTTTCTGTGGGCATAGTTTTATTTTTATTTTTCTCGAGTGAACGATTATGGAGGTGAGGGAGGTGAGAAAGGCACTCCCTTTTACATTGATTACAAAATACATGAATAAATAATTAGATGACGGTTTGAAGAGCGGTTAAAATGGTCTGTAAGTCCTTTTTATCATCGGCAAATAATTGATAGGATCCATCCCCTTGTGTTTCCAATACAAAAGCATTAGGCACAAAAGTCTCGATATCTACATTGGCACTATTTAATCGTGTCACACGGCTCAAATCAAGCATTGAAATGGGTTTCACTTGTAATTCATCACGGTAAAAACACATGCTTTTTCCCTTGATGGTAAAGTATCTACGTCTCCAAAACTTTTTGTTTTCTTTTTTTTAGCTACTCCTCCCACCCTCATTTGATCTTCTTTTTTTATTTTTTTAACTTACTGGACTGGTTTGGGGTTGCACAGAGACAAACCCAGAAAGAATCACATCCTTGTTTTTCTCCGCTTCCATCAAACGTTGTTGTAAAGCCTTCTTTTCTTCTTGTTGACGTTGTGCCTCGGCTTGCTCACGTTGAGATTGCTCTTGCTCAAATCGTCTAGCTGCAGCTTCTTTTTCGGCCGCAATTCTCTTTGCTTCCTGTTGTTGAGCAGCTTGGAGTTGAGCCTGTTGCTGAGCTTGTGCTTGAGCTTGTCTTTGAGCCTGTTGTTGAGCTTGTGCTTGGGCCTGTGCTTGTTGTTGAGCTTGTGCTTGTGCTTGAGCTTGAGCTTGTGCCTGAGCCTGAGCCTGAGCTTGAGCTTGTGCCTGAGCCTGAGCCTGAGCTTGAGCTTGAGCTTGAGCAGCCAATCTTTGTTCCTCTGCAGCTCTCTTTCTGTTATCCTCTTCCTGAGCTGCTACTGCAGCTAATCTCTTTTCCTCTCCATCATCCATTGTAGGTAAATCCTCACTAGCCTCAACAAACTCGTCCTGAGAAGCTGATGGCATGGCAGGAGCATCTGCGTTTGTTGTAGTAGTAGGTGAAGTGGGTAATTGAGATGCGGATTGTCTACGAGACGCTCTTTTTTGAGAGACAGAAGACGATCTTCGAGGAATTTGACTTGCCGTGGTATCACCCAACTTGAGTCTAGTACGAATATTGGTATCTGTTAAATCATTGAGTGTAGAAGCCGTGAGTTGAGCATGATGTAATTTTAAAAGCGCTGCTACTGATCGACTATGCACCAATGCTCTTGCTTTGTTTTATATATATAAAAGTGTGAGTGATGACACCAGACAATGTATACTTTTTTTTTTTTTTTATATACCTCGGCGGACACCACTCACTTGTTCAGAGACCCAAGTGATTAAAATAAATCGATCCTCGACTCGAATAAAACCATACAAAACTTCATCACGTAAATTATTTCGAAACTCACTTTTGAAAAAAAAAAAAGGGGAGTGAATTAATTTCTTGGTAGATAAATGAATTCATGGTGTAATAGTTTTACCTTAAACCTTCTGTGCCTTTGGAATAGAGAGAGATAACGTCTCTGGTATCATTGTACCCGAGAATCAACCTACAGTTGCATCAACATTTTAAAAAAAAAGTGTTCATCATGGTCATGGTGAGTCATGGCTTACCAATTGGTAGTGTCATCTTGTGTGATGGAAGTATAGGCTTCAACAATACGAGGGTCAGACAAGTCGCACATAGTAATTTAAAAAAAGAAAAAAAGAGAGTAGAAAGAGAAAGAGAGAGAGACACAAAAAATAATAAAGATTAAAGTTGGGTGGAGGTTTAATTGGGATTGATTGAAGAAAACCTCCTGCTTTACAACCATAAAAAGGAGAGTGAGAGGGAACTGAGGTTCAAAAATATATATATATATTGTTCCACTCATCCGTATCACTTATAGCATAAGGAGAAAGTGAAATGTTTATTTTACAGGTTGTTTGTAATTTTTTGGATAGTTACACACACACACAAAAAAAAAACTCTATCTTATCATTAAAGGCATCAATTACTGTTTGTTGAGTGCTTTTGCTTTCTTGTGCATTTGTCACAATCACAAATAATTCTTTACCTTTAAATATCAACATAAACTTTACTGCTCAAATACCTAGCATTATCAGGCAATGTTTGAACTGATATTTACGGCATCGAATGAACTCAAGATGGATACTGGTAGCCTTCAAACTTCCCCCCCCCAATTCCATTGCTGCGAAAAAAAAAAAAAAAAAAAAAAAAAAAACTCGCGCCAAATCGACTAAATTCACGCACAGGTTTTTTTTTCGAGCTAGTTTTCAAAGTGATTGGAGGTTCTGTTTCTTGATAAATAATTGAGTGTGGTGTATTGAGTATTTCTTGTTCAAGTCAAGGTCCAAACAAGTTGATTAGTTAAAATTAATTGTCTCAAATCCTGACATAAGCCAGTCCTTGTTTAGACATCTTCTTTTCAATCCTATGTGTCAAGGAGCTTTCGTATGTAATTTGAAAACGTGAGCTACGGCAGAAACGCACAAGTCATCGTTTTCAGCTTGTATTCTGACTTAGGGGGGGGGGAGGAGTGTTAGGCCGTTATCTGGTAGATGGTAGTTTCGGGGCAAAGTCTATTAAAAAAATGTCTGATTCGGGAATAACGAAGAATAGTTAATACGCCTCCCACGTCTCTACTGGTAAAAAGAGCACCTGGCATTATCAAACCACCGCCAAAAATCAAAAAAAAAAAAGCAAAAGACGATGCTAAATGAATCGATGAAGCAGATCTTGTTGGAATCGCCAAAAGTCACAAATGAAGCTGAAGACTAAAGGGTATTACACATAACCAAAAAAAAAAAAAAAAAAAAAAAAAAAATCGAGTTAAACGTATTTAAGCCTTGTCGGAACCTGTTGGCATGACAATTTTTGATCTGGAGAACAGTAAACGACAAGAATATGAAACTTGGAGATCTGATAAATCGTGGTTTATATGAAAAAAAATATATATATATCGATGGCTTTAATAAAGTAGGACTTTACGATGTTAATTATAAAGTTTAACATTGTTTATTCTAAATTAAGATTTTTTTTTTTTCTGGGGTCACAATCCCATATTTTAAATTGAATTTGTTTATCTATGTGCTAGTTTGGATGGACATAATAAGTGTTTAGAAATACTACTAGTTTACATTTCAGGATGTGAAACTCATTCTCATCCAATGATTGTTGTTTGAGCACGGCCTACAAAAGGTTTCATTATTGTTTACATCTTTTCTATTAATAACTGGATGTGTGAAGTTTGTGAAATTCTTTTTTATTATTAGATAATCCAATGTTGACAGAAATCTAAATTGGTGTGTGTGCGTGTATATATATATGTGTGTGTGTGTGTGGAGAGAGATGGAGAGATAAAAGGAATGTACAAAAAAAAAAAAAAAAGAGAGAGAGAGAGAGAGTGGTTATTTTTTTCTTTTTAAAATAATAATAAATAATAAAAAAAGGGGGAGGTATCAAATAAATAAATTAATAAGTTTCATTTTGGTTTGGACATTTCTTTGTAAAATGAAGACCGAATTCTTCACAGTTTTCACAATACTTTTTTTTTGTTTTTTTGGGAAATGGGGGTGGAGGGTTGAGTTAAAAAGTAGAGAGGGAATTTCAATAGGTGGGACTTACAGGTCTTTCCAAGTCTCCCTTGGATAGAGACACGGCTTTACAACTGATTAAATCATGACCGACGACTTCACAAATCTCACAATAAGGTTCGTTGGAATGATGTGATTTGACAATAGATGTGGGAGGAGACGCTAAACTGCTCTTATGCTTTTTATCTTCTTTGGCATCTTCAATCATCAATTTCAACTTGCTCACTTGTTTGCGTTCCTTTTCTAACGCTTCCTCTAAATCAGCTTCTTTAAAGATCTTGCTTTCAATCAAACTTTCGAGTTCAGAGATATCACGATTTAACATGGCAATTTGTCTCTTTTGTTCCTTTTCAACAGCCTCACCCTTTTCTTTTGTCTTTCTAAGCTCTGTTGTATGTTCAATGGTTAATTTTTCCAATTTCTTTTGGTTTTGTTGTAACAAGAGCGTCGCTTGATCATTAGGATCCAGCTTAATCATTTCATCTTGACTGATAACTTGACCATGTAATTTCTCGACTTCTTCCATCAATTTCATACATTCGACCTCCATCTTTTTATTGGCTTCTTCCAATTTACCGTGGTCTTTTTGCCATTTTTTATTATCGGATTTGAGGGAAGAAATCAAGTGTTGGTATTGTGTCACATCTTGTTTTTCTTGTTCTGCTTGTTCCTTTTGTTTAAGCAGCATGGCATTTTGTGCTTGTAATTTCTCAATCTCACTACGGAACGTATCGATTTCCAACTGATGTAATTTCTCATCTCCCCCCACAGCGGGTTGCTCTTGTTGTTGCTGTTGCTGTTGCTGTTGCTCTTGTAGCAGATCACGTTCCAGTTTTTCCTTGGTTTCGGTCAAACGACGTAATTCAGCTTGGGTCTTCTTTTGACTTTCGACCGCTGATCTGACTTCATCCAAGTATTTGGTACGTGAAGCCAACTGATCATCGTAATCCGATTGCAAACGAGCCAACTGTTCTTCTAGCTTGGATTTCTCCTTGAGTAATCTTTCGGATTCCTTGGATTGGTCCTTTAGAATTTCAGTTTCTACCTTGAGAGCTTCATGACTGATCTTGTCATGTTCCAAGGCTTCAATTTGATCTGTCAAACGTTTACGTTCGCTCTCCCACACATCCTTTAGAATCGCATGTTTCTCTTCTGTCTCGACATTCATGATGAGTTGATCGATTTCTTGTTTTAATGTCTCGATGGTGGATTGCAAGGTATCACGACGATGTGCATGATCTTCAAACTGAGCGGCACGATCCTTCTTCATTTCTTCAATGGTGGCTTCATACGCTTCAATAGCATCTAAACCAGCCTTTCGCAGGTCCTCACGTTCCAGTTCCAACGAAGCAACACGACGACGTTCGTCTGCTAAACTGGCATTCATGGCTTCACGATCGACTCTGTTCATCTCAACAGAACTCTCGTACAGTTCAAGACTTTCCATACCAGCACGCTTTAATTCATCTACTGAATCCTGTAACTGACTGATACGTTCTCGTGCCTCCTTGGACTCTTGTGCGTATTTCTCTTTGGCTACAGCGAATTCGGATCGAAGCTTATCAAAGGATTCCTTTGAACTGCAGTCACCATGCGCCAACCATTTGGTTTCAACTTCCTTGAGCTCTAAAAGAAGACGATCCTTTTCTCGAGAATGACGTTCTGAATCTGCCTTGATACGACGAATCTCACGTTCCTTTTCTTCTACGCCGTTACGATAGGTTTCGACCTGTTCTGATAAGGTGGTTAAGAACATGTCCTTGGCACGAGCAGCGTCACGTAAAGAGCTCATCTTTTCATGTACTTCCTCCATTTCCATCTCCAGTTGCATTTGACGATCCACCGTGTCTGAATCATGACCGGGTTGAAAGTATTGTTGAGAAGAAGAGGAAGGAGAAGAAGGAGAGGTTGCCATCTGATGTTGTAAAGCTTTCCATTTCTCCAAATGTAAACGTTCTCCAGCCTGTGCAGCCGCTGTGGCAGCTTCAGCTTCAGCCATCTTGCTCTCAAGTTCATGTACACGTTGTTGAGCCAACGATTTTTCCTTTCGAACCATACTCATCTCAAAGAGTGCCTTGTCTCGTTCGGTCTGTAAGGAGACCTGTTCGGCTTCCAATTGCAATACTTTAGTCTCTAAGCGTTGGATCGCTTGTTGTGTTGTCACTTGTTGTTCTGTCCAAGTAGACTGTTCCAACGCATGTGCTTGCTTGATCTCTGCCACAATAGTCTTGTGTCCTTCCAACGTAAATAGTTCGCCTTCCTTGCGGTTAAGGACCATGGATCGTTCCAGGATCTGTTCGGCTGTCTTGTTTTGAGTGTTTTCGAGTTTAAGAAACTTGTTCTCTGCTTCTAGTACTTGAACACGCAACTGGAGTTGCTGTAAACGCATGACAGTTTCATCGGGTGCTTGAGCAATAGCTTCACCCATGACACGCTCTAAACGCTCATGGGGGGACTCAGATGATGAAGAAGAAGAAGTGGATGGCGAGTGCATGTTATTGGCAGTGGTTAATGATTTAGAAAGAGCCAAGTTCTCTGGGATAGGTGTATCTGTAATGAGCATACTATTATCGTCTGATAGTAGATAGTAGTCATCGGTATTATCGGCATGATGGGTAGGCGTCATGGCGGGAGAAGGAATGGATCTGTTGTAGTGGTGTGTGGGAGTCGGAGATTGAACCAAAGGCTGAGAACGACGCAGACTATTTCGGTTTGCGGAAACGGGAGAGGTGAGAGGGGTATTAAGTGAAGAAGTGGATGTGGAACGTACAGAGAGTGGAGTACGAGTCTTCTTTTTAGGTGAAGTAGTTTGAACAAGTTGATTGGCGGTCATGCCGATATAACGAGCCGCTCTTGAACTAGGATTATCCATACTGAGAGACAAGCGAGCAGCGGGCGGAGACAAGGAACGCACGGAATCGGAGTCACCATCCAATGAAGATAACTTGTTGGCCAAAACGAAAAGACCGGTATTTGCAGGACAAGAAAAATATCGCGTGCTAAAAAATAACAGGTTTTGTTTATTATATTATGAATTTTTAATGCCAAAATTTTAAAATAAAAAAGTAAAATACCCTTTAACGGAACCATCATTTTTACCGGAGCCGATAATATCCAACTGAATACCAGCCCAATAACCTTCTTTAAATTCAGCTTCACCCAAGAATTTTAGTGTGCCTACAATGCCCATCGAATCCACTGCCACTCGGTCACCGATATAGGGAGGACCTGATGATGGTAGTGGTGCTGTTGTTGATGATGATGATGGTGGTGGTAGTGAAGTAGGGGAGATCAGTGAACTTCGTGGTGTGTTGAGTGCTGTATAAGTATGCTGCTGATCCCCTATAAAAGAGCGTGAACGGGCTTTAGTTAATGTTGGTACAGGTGGTACATTTTCTGATATGGTCTTTCTCTTTCTTAAATCCAAAGAAGGTTGTCTAGACAGTCTTCTGGGTGTAGTCGCAATCTGGCTAGTCGTGGGTAATCTAGACATTGGCAAAAAGATGAATTAACAAAATATAAAAAAAAAAAAAAAAGTGCTTGAAAAATAAAAAAAAGAGAAAGAGAGAGAGAGAAAAGAGGGAAATTTTTTTTTTATTTTATTTTATTTTTTTTAATTTTACAGTAATTTTTAGTTTGTGATACCTCCCCATCCAGTTTATTTCTGTCTTTCATATTCTCTCTCTCTGTTGTTGCTGCTATTATATCACGCGGAAATCAACCCGTGAATTAACATTTATTTGATTAAAAATACACAACGAAATTTAAAATATATTTGATTGTATTCCCCATTTTTTTTTTTTTTCTTTTTTTTTTTTTTTTGGTCCGTACCTGAATCACTTCTTTTTTTTTTTCTCTTTCCCTTCCCCTCTCCTCTTTCCTTTTTGTTAACAAGCATATTTCCCTCATCCTTTGTAGTGTCCTTAGTCTGGTTACATACTCACAGGGGCAAACCACAAAAAAAAACCTGAGATATTTCGGACTTTCAATTCACTCCAACGTCACCTTTCTCTCTCTCTCTCTCTCTCTCTCTCTTTTTTTACAGGATTTTAGTCTAAATTGGTACACTTGAATTTTTTTTCAAGGGACGTAGCATAACGTTACATTTAGCACCGAAGAGGTAAAGAGAATGTCTTTATTTTTCTACGTACTTTTTTTTTCTACGGCCCTTTAATTTCTGCGTACTTTTTTTATGCGCCTGTTATTTTTAGGACTGTGAATGCGCCTGTTTTCTAGTATGTAAAGGCTCAAACATATGGATGATTAAATATACAATTAAGTCATCCTGACATAAGCCAGTTCTTGTTTATCAGTCTACAAATAAAAACCATTCTAACATTTTTTTTCCTTCCCTTCTTCTCTTCATTCCTTTTCTTTTTTTATTCTGATGCTGTTTAACACCATCTTTTTGAAGAGAAGTATTAAATATAGGGAAAAGGTAAGTTTGTTTTCTACCTTTTTTGTATATATTTCTTAGATTCACGTGATCCATTCTTTTCTTACATATTTTGAAAACCATCAGCGGATATCTAAAGACGGCTTACTACCCTATATTCTGACCCACCGTAGTTGGTAATGTAAGATACAAGCTTACAATGCCTACAACGGGTAATGGGAAAAACTTCATCACGTAAAGAAGTCTAGCCTTAGCCGTGATAATAAAAAATGGGAGTCTATCCTTTCTTTTTTTTTTTTTCACAAAAATACGTAGGTGTAGACATTGTCAAGAGGCAAACGCGCATTTCTGTGCTTTTATTTTGTAATTCTCTTGAATACAACATGGAAATTCAGCGTCTACTTGAAGACGGTAAACAAACATAAATTCGAATCTAAGAACAAAGGTCTTGTTTACTAATACTTTTATTTAGCTGAATATAACGTGTTAAAGAGATGTTTTGGCTTCAAAAGCTTACCACAGTAAAAGAGTGGTCAAACATATTTTTTGTAGAAGAGATCAGCAAAGAGTTTCTGTTTGCCTCACGAAATACTGCTGAGGAAAAAATACGTGATTTGTTGTTTGATTTTTGGAATGAAGATATTCATGATCCTAAGTCGTCAGAAAGTATACGCAAGAAAGCTACTCGATTGAAGGGTACGGTCAAGCTTGTCATCGATTCGAGGCCTATGAGTATGATTATCAATGGAAACATACAAAGGGTATTTTCAATTTTTTTGCTCGATACTATTATTATTACCTATATACTCAACTTTATATCAACAGCAATCAAGACAAATATTACGAGATGATCTGGTGCAGCAGGAATATGATACACTTTCAGGAGTCCATGTAAAGCCAAGCCTCACTGACACTGATCAAGAAGGACAACAAGAGTCCAGTAAAAAGCGAAAGTATTTGAAGAAATCAGATCTAAGAAATCTAAGTTATAAACACAAAGTCGCGAAGCTTAATGACTATTAGTAATTATATCTAAGGGTAGCGCGTATATCATTATATATTCATGGCTTTTTTAAAATAGTGGTACGAAAAATGTTTTGGACTTGACCAAAAATCAAGTAATACCAAAGCGATTCAAGTCAACAGTTCAAGATATTCTTTGTAATTATGATATGTTGCTAACACCAAAGCTGCAAGATAAAGAGTATCAAATGATACAACAGATCAGCCTTTGTCAAAGCAAAGATTTATTATATAGTTTGGTAAATGACATAACTCCTTTCGATAACACGTCTGAATTACCTTTTATCAAACTCGCGACACAAAAACTGTAAGTATATAGTTTGGTTGATTATTTCTTTAAATTCATATTTTAATACCAATTAGATACCATATCCTTTTCAGCGATGTCTTGAAGTCTGAACATCATGAGGATTGGTACAGGATAAATGTGTATGGTGACCTGTTTGATTTCATCTTCTCTGTTGAATCTGGAATGATAAAGGCTACTCTGGTACTTACAATAGCCCCCATCCATTTCATGTCGTGTGCATGCAATTTATCATTTTGACGTATAAGCATGATCATTCGCAAGTACAACCCAAGCAGCATTTTCCTGTTGTTGGGCCTATCTCACAGGAAAAGGTTTTCAAGCACGAGGCTTTACTAGTACGCAACTGGTACAATTTAAAACACAATGGAAGCGAAACGGTCTTTTAGGGAAATGTCTAGAACTCCGTATTTTTTTTCAAATAAACGTATTTTTTCAAACGTGATGGTCTACACGTCGATTGACATGACATATCATCTAAACCTCATGGGATGATCGATTTCTGTTTTCCATAAAAATCTGCTTCACTGTCATTTACAAGCTACTACTGGAACGCAGATAGACAACTACCAAGCTCTGACTTGCTTGGGAGGTTTGTGCAAGTATTTCTATTTTAAGTAAAGGCCCAAACATTATAAAAGATGAAACATGCAATTAAATCATTCTGACATAAGCTCTTGTTTATCAGCCTACAAATAAAAGCTGGTTCACACACTTGATTCTTCCTCCTTTTTCTTTTCTCTTAACATACTTCTTTTATCTTATTATGAAAGTAACCGATCACGTAAAAAGGTTTGTTTAGTAGTGACTCTTGTTTCTTTGAAAAGAAGTTAAATTAGCAAAGATATATATTGTGATATTGCGGCTGCGGCTAGTCTTTGCTATAGGAGGGCGACCTCCTAGGCAGGGTTCTTGAGTTTTTGGAACTCACAGACTGTGAATAACAGGAGTTGCCACTGGTGAATGCCTTTGTTCATACTGGCCTGCTGTTCTTGACCAGAATTGATGAGTAAGTGGCATATAAAAAAATACGTTTGAAAAAAAAAAAAAAAAAAAAAAAAATACGGAGGTCTAAACATTTTCCGTCTTCTAGGAGGTGTGATTCTTGGTGGTGATCGAATGCCCGGAGTTCTGAATGCCATTCCCAAATTATATGGGTGTCTTGCCTTCAGAACAGAAGAATATCAAGCTTTGATTTTGTTTTCAGTCATGTAGCTGGATTGAACGATGTTGGTCTTTTTTTGTGAAGACAAACCGACACCTAAAGAAAGCATCAAGGACAACAAAAAGGCAAAGGACTTAAGGGAGAACACATTGATTTATTGGGCATCTCTCCTCCCATATGAAGAATGCATAAAGTTCATTGCGGCTTTCTCATGCCAGTTCAATAAGCTCAAGTTACGAATAAATTTAACAAAAGTCATCGATGGAGTTATTTTACACAGCAGTCCGAAAGAAGTCAATATACCTAGTGATGAGCAAGACGGAACCTCTCTTGCAGAATATCTCTCAACGGTTATATCTTTGGTCGTAAGTTTTGGTCAATAATTTTTCTCTTTTTTTGTTCCTCATCATTTTTTTTTTTTTTTTTTTTTTTTTTTTTTTTTTTTTTTTTTTAGTGAGAGAATGGTTTTGCTGCTGTAAGCATTATGGTTGATGTTTCAAAAAAGGATGATATCACATGCGTCCCTGTTATTTACAGTGTAGTCACAGCCATTTATATTCATGTCTGCTTCAAAAATCTCCCCCTGGACACTTTAGGAGCGACTCTTCTGGCGAATCAGCTCCTTCAAGTCCTATAAGTGATGATGAGGGATGGCAAAAATTTGAAAGAAAAAGTCGCATCATGGAAGCTATTGAGGGTGCTATGGCAAAGCTCACAAAAGATTCTGAGGAGCAGTATATTGGTCTTACTTGGGAAGACATTTGTTTACAAGAAAAAGTCAACAGCGATGATCTGTAAAGATGAAGATAGGCACTTTTATATGTCTTATATATCCAGTATTAAAGTTTTTATAATTTGAAAGTAAACATTTTTTTTTTTTTATGTAATATATTACGGAGGAATGACAAAAAAAAAACTAAAAAGAGAGAGGCAATAAAATGAAAATGTGTATAAGTGCATTGTGTGGGATGAAACAGGCTTATCATTTACATACTCTCACGAACCCTAATATCCTTGTTGAAACAAATAATACTAAAAATAACCCACAGAGAGAGCTCAGCATGACAATGGAATGTTTTGTGGGCTAATGAATTCCCGCCTAAATGCAGCGGGAAAATCTTCCATTTAGATCACTGGTTTTGTTTATGGTCAAATGGCTATTTAATGTTCCATGAAAAATAAACCAATCACATGCTAGTCCCAAATAAACATGTTCCGTTATTTCTTCATCACGATTTTATTGGCTTGCTGGAACGAGAATGTCTAAATCTACGTCTGACGTCGACGGTACGCTTATAGTCGGGCCAAATCTAGCCAATAAAAGTGCTGGGAATAGTGTAAGGAGCCAATAGTAGTGCTAGAAAGTTTTGTAGTGTAAGAAATCCAGCCAGTAAAACTGGTTGGAATAGTGTAGTGAGCCAATACAAATGCCAGGAATAGTGTAGCGGGTTTCAAACAGGCAGCGCTGTAATCTCCAGCGGGTAATTAAATGTTTTTTTCGTGTGTACCCCTTTTGTTTGTCAATGTTGATTTTATCCTCGCGCAATCTACATCTACATAAATAACTGTCTTTTCTACTTTGACTGTACTTCTTTTATTTTTTATCATTTCTTTATATATATAACCTCATAATATAAGTTTTTGTAAGTAAGAATAGCAGACGCCGTTTGGGACCAAAATTATATATTGATTATGCTTCGTACTGATATACTTTGTTAAAACAAAGCAGGGATAATGTCTACTAATCAAATTAAAAAGAAAGGCCGCCGCTTGGGCTCAAAAAATAAGCTTGGATCCAAAGCACCAGGCCCAAAGCCAGCTCACTTAGTTAATCAGACGTTTTTAGACTTTCCCATTGTTGCAGAAGAAGCTGAAAGCAGTACCACCGGACGAAGTCAACATTCATCATTTTTCAGTACAGCAGTATTACAAGGATTTGAATCTGCGGGCTCTGGTGAAATCAATGTTTACCCAAACGAGGAGGTAATTTTTATTTTAAAGTATTGGTATTATTTTTTTATTTGGATATTTATTTTACTTACCGTAGAACGATCAAGTACTAAATCAAAACCTTGTCAATCAAAATGCTATTGATAATAATGGAGACCCCTCTTCTTCCACGGAAAGTACGCACCATAGCATTGATTTAAATGCCGAAGATGAGGTAACATGATAATATTTTAAATGATCAAATAAAGGCTTGCTGAATCATTTCAAATTTAGGAAAATGTACCTCTTGTTGAAGATGACGCCAATGTCCCAATTGATTCGGAAAGTGAAGATGATAATTCAAATATCGAAGAGTTAACTGAGGAGCAAATCACCTCAATCGAAAATAGGGCAGCGGAGATTCCCGAGAAAGGATGGCTTGACAAATATCTCGGATCAATCCAAGATAAACTTAAAGGTGGAAATACTCCTGATGAATATAATCAGGGCACATTTTGGATTAACCCTCCAAGTATATCTTTCGTTCTGAAAAAAAAAATTGATCCTGAATTACTTTACCGGCCAAGAGTATGCGTATGGCTTCCCCAATATTTGACTCGAACCCCTTTGCGTTGTCCTAAATGTAATAACACTTTGCTCGCGAAGGAATGGGTCCAGAAAACAAAAGCTCGTCGTATTATTGACTTAGAAGAGTAAGCAAAATGTTAATATTGTTCAATATAATTCAGTCGCATTAACATACAATTTCCTTAGTTGCTTCTATTTGCTCAGCGTCCGCTTTAAATGCACTAACAAAACCACAGTTCATACTTTCATGGGTTATGCATCGGAAATTGTCAGGCAGCTACCCGCAAGAATTCAAGCTGATTTTCCTGCCGTATTGACTCACCGTTCTGGGTTTTCAACCAAACTTGTCAAACTATTGCGTCCACAATTTCAGAATGCAACTGGTCCACATAGAATGAATCAAATTCTGAGATCCAACCATACTGAAAAGTACGATACAATCCAGTTCCAATATTATGATGCTATGAAAGACAAGCTTGAGGAACAAAGAAAAGCCAAGCAATTGATTGGAAACTTTTCATCAGCTACAAGTTATCCCGAATTTTCATCATTCAGTGATATAAATGGGTATAATGGATATGTCCCCTCAGCAAACTACCTGAGTTATGTTTACTGTTCTATAATTGCTGAATTTAGGCCGTATATGAATCAGCACACGTCCTTATTAGATGGTGTTATATTAAAAGGAGATCATTCATTTAAGGTACTTTTTTTTTTTTTAAAAAAAAGAGAAAAAAATCTAACTTCTAAAGTAATACGCATAGATCATTAATCATATGGCAAAAATCAATGGTGTATCAACGTTCTCTTGTCTCTACACAGTGCTTAACGAATACGAAGAAATTCGTTTGCAAGTACTTGCTCCCACAAAATCACTAGACCATTTGACACCATCCTTTAATAACATGATGGAAAGTTACAAGAAGTACGGTTTCAAGATGCCACAGTTATTTTATACGGATAACGTTTTAGGTGATAGACTGTTCTTAGAATCCGCGATCCCTTCTCTTTTGGAAAATGTCATTCATGTCAAGCCTACTATTTCAGAACGAATTGATACAAACAATCAGTTCAAAGACTGTCCTCTGGCCACATTGCCTACAGATGTGATTGTTTCTGTATTAACAACGACTCAACAAATAAACCAGTCATGTCAGCAAATTTTGGATGATTGCACTCAGCAAGGAAACGTTCATATTGGATTTGATTGCGAGTGGGCGTTTCGAGGTGGTAATTCAGCCATATCTAGAAGTGAGCAAACAAGATTACGATTCGTACCGGTGGCTTTGGTGCAGATTGCTTTTCGCAACACCGTCTTTTTGTTTAGGATACACTCTCTTCAACCCGAGCAGCTCCCACAAAATCTGGTCAAAGTGCTTACTGACTCTAAAATTGTTAAAATCGGAAAGAATATTAGTGGAGATCTGTTAAGGTTTCGCTATTTTGGTCTCCAAAATTTTCCAGGTCAATTGGAGCTAGGTACATTTTGTAAAGACAAGGATCTGATTGAAAGAAGAAGTTTTTCTCTAGCCGATATCTGTGGTTTTGTATTAAAAGTCCAGCTCCCGAAGAAAAACTTGATTCGTTGTGGCAATTGGGAAGCAGAAAATTTGTCGGAGGAGCAGATTAATTACGCAGCCTTGGATGCCTGGGTTTCCTTGGAAATATACAACAGGTTCAAATCAATGCCCACTGTTCATCAAAAAGTCAATAATAATACTAGAGCTGGCTCTTTTGTTGCTATTCACTTAGACAGTACAGCAAAATCTTCTGCTGCTGCTTATGGTTTTTTGTGTGCCGACAATACACCTGACAACAACGAAATACACAACCCAACCAATATAAATGGTGCTTTGGTGGTGAATGTGGTAAAAGTTCAAGTTCCAGGGTTTCCAGTCGATTGTTACGATGATAATCTTACGTTGAACGACTTCAATGGTCCCAATTTCAAGGTTTACATCAAACGCAAATTTTTATTTACAGCTTCTGAAAGGGTTCATTTCCCTGCCCATGGTGACACCAATAACATTTCCGAGTCAACATCTCCCAACAGAAATGGACCAAATAGCCAAGTATCCGATAACCCCAGCAACCAGACATCTGTAAACTCTCGAGTTCTCAAAGATGGTTTTCACCTTATGGATATGATCAAACTCAACAAATCACATGGCATGCATAAAGACTTCATGAGACGCTTTCGGGATATACTATATGTCTGTGATCAAGATGATAAGGCGATAGTGGAATCATATTTGTCTAGCATCGGAACGGATTGGAATACAAGGATGCTGATTAATCCAGCGTGGATTTTTGAACGAGTTAGGAGATTTGTGCCCCCACCTGATGAACTACACTCGGCCCTCAAGTTTCTTTTCGACAGTTACGGCCCTCTGAGGTGTGAAAATTCCGGACATAAACTTTTTAATGAAGCAGCTGTCGAAATGTCTTTGCATGTTCTTAGCACCGTACAACAAGGACATGTATCAGATGTCGTAGATGGTCCCCCGCTGTACACAGAAAAGGGACCTGACAAGAACAACTTGATGAGGTATAAGTGTTCGCGGGGAACTAGCTCGGTGGAAGGGGCTTGTCACATGAATATTGTTCGCAGGTTTGCTTCCTACAATGCATCTGTAAGACTAACAGATTCCATTTTGGCAGACTATAGATTGTATCACAATATAAATGTAAGTTGCATGTTGATATATCTTTTAAAACAAAAAAGTATCTTGTGGTCTAATTAGATATCCAAACAATTTTTTAGGTTGGATCCTTGAACAGGTATGGCAAAAAACATCAAGGACATTACAGTCCTTGGCTTGTTCTAGCTATTAATGTTTTGAGAAATGATGTTGGTCATGCAACGGTTCAAGATTACATGTGCGAACGATATGGATGCTACCTTAACTTCGACCAAACAAGGGAAACATATGGTGTTGTTGAAATTCCACGTAATCTGGCCAACGAAATTGGGATCATACCAGCTACAACCCAGCAACCCAGACTTCGAACTACATTAAATCGTATAATGGAACTTTCTTCTTTACCCGTAGCTAAATTGTTTGAGGCTGGATACTCAACAAAGCAATTCCGTTACAAGTTCCTCTCCATCTGTCAAGGCACCTTGTATGCTATTACAGCGGTTCACACAAAAGAAGAAACTTCTCTGTTTGAAAATCTCCTGTCAACCCACGGCCAAGAAGACACGTTGATCTTTCAACCATTCGACTCCAAAAAACCGAATTTTAATCTTTTTGCGTATGTTTGGAATTCAACTTACTGCATTTTAAACAGCAATATCTATTACAAAACTCCTGGACACTTACAAGCTTACTACAATGTTTTAGAGGATCGAAAGAAGTACGGTAATACGGTTTTAAAAAATCTTGAAGTTTCAAAGGCAGTGCGGGCACTTGCTGAAGATGCTTCAAGATTTAATAGACCAATTCCTGCTTTGCCTCAGCCAACACATCCCACATTGCAGCATTTACCGGTGAGTACAAACATTCCTGCGTCTCCCCAACTTGCGATTATCAGACCGGTTCATCGTCCCCGACAAACATCTACTTCTCTTTCGCTGCCTCTTCCACGTTTCGCCCATTCAATAATTATTAATTCTGGAAAACGAAAAAGAGTGTGTAATGTATGCAAGATGGATGACTGTTCTGGAAGTTCAAAAGGATCGCTATGCAGCAATAAATGCGGTAAATGTAAACAAGATACCTGCCCTGGAAGACACGTAAAACAACCAAAAACCGGCAGAAGAAATTTCAGTCAGCCTCTGCCTTGTCTTAACATCTAAATGTAACTAAAATGTATGCAGGAATTGCCACCCGTCATTTTTAGTTACATGCTCAAAATCTTTTATTTTTTACATTATCAAAAAAAAAAAAAAATCTTTTGTTATATTTTCCTAACTGCTTAATTCAAGTTTCATCTAATAAAAATCAAGTAAAAATCAGAAAATACTGTAAACTTGCATCCAATTTAATAAGTTAGTGGAAAAGATCTCCAAAAATTTGGGTGCCCAAGGGCACCCAAATTTAGTTGAATTAAATGCAAAATTCGGTCAATTAAATGATCTTTTTTGAACAATGGCCCAACTATGGCTATACGGTCTAATGTCTTTTTTGAATCACGTGACTTTTTTTTATTTTAAATTGACATCAATATCATGCTTCACAATTGATACATACTGTTACTGAAATGCTGTTAGATAATTAACGAGTTTGTTATTTTAAGCTTGGATGGGATATGCAACCTCTCCTTTATTATAAATCTAAAGGCTGAAACATATGGATGTGATTAAATAGGCAATTAAATCATCCTTTATTATCAAGACTTGCGCCCACGGTTTTCTGATCATAAATAAACAATTGAATCATCCTGACGTATACGAACGCTCTTTAATCAGTCTACAAATAAAACCTATTTAAACACTTTTTTTCTTCTTCCCTTCTTCTCTTTATTTGTTTCTTACCCTTCCCCAACATCAATTTAAAGAGGCCTTAAATAATGGTTAAAGAGATCAAAGTATAGGCAACACGCTTAAACGTCAATCATTTTTTTTGTCGTATTAATCAGTTATTCCTTGCGCGAAGGAGTTTATCACTCGAATGCTCGCACTAATGGTGGGCTCCTTGGTTCGTGCTTCAAGACGGATTATTTAGAGTCATGAAGCTCAACAAAAAGGCTTTACAAAAGCAACAGGTCGTCGCAAGTTATTTAAACACGACCTCAAAAGCCTCCTTCAATCTGTATGTCACAAAAAAAAAAAAAGAGAGCAGCATAGAGGCAACTGATGTTGGAGCAACATCTGCTTTACACTTGATGAAGCATTTTTGGATCAGCCTGTACAACAATTTTGACCCATATTCAAAGCACCACTGCAAAGCTTAAGAAGTTTCTCACCAGAGCTTCTGCAAAGTTCCAAAACATGTATAAGAAGATGAAAGCCATGAGACGCGTCAACGCGCAGTTTGAAATAAACTCCATGAACACTCTCGGGTTCAGCCCCAAACAACCTCGAAAAGATACAAACAGCTCGTTTTCAGAAAATGAACAGTAAGAAGAGGATGAGAATGAGGAACATTAGAGTGAGCAATATGTAGACCGTTCATATAACCTGTTACGTATTGCCGCCAAAAAGAGGATCCTTCTTGAGGGTATAATTCCACTTGGCCACCTCATTATCTTGTATCCCCCAGAGGTAAAGGATTGCCATCTGTCTAACTAGTGAATACAGAAAGGTTATTATGCCACTCAAGACTGGACTACGAAGACTTGGAATTCATGAAGCTCTGTCTGTCACGCAGTACCAACTTAATGAATAATGCATACATGATGAAACTATTTTTTTTAAAAAAGGTACGGTGATTGCTCACCAAATTGATTCATTCTATATTCCAAAAGTTGTTATTGGAAATGGATAATCCACTTTAAACCGGCTTCACGCATGGAAAGACAGGAAAATAGAAATCAGCGATGAAATATAAGACTGGGGCGGCTTTTGAAGAGCAGAGACAAATATATGGCAGCGGATGTATCTAAATGAAAACACCCCTTTTTTTTTTCGCCAGCAAGACCTCATAAAAGGAAAAGGCCTTATGATGAATGACACTGGTATAAAATACGAGACAGAGAAAAAAAGATGAACTTTAATATAATAGGATAAAACCTGGATCAAATAAAGAAGTCCCAAGTATATGTGTATTATACTTCAACTACAACAATGAAGACGAAGAGTTTCTATTAAACAAATAAAATTATGGTATTTCTTGTCGGGGTGACACTGAATACCACTTTTACTTCATTATGCATCCAAGTGAACATAAGAATCAACTCTGCTATAGTATACAACATCAACAAAGAAAGAGCTTCCCCATAGAGTACATGGACTGGCACATCAAGTTGATTCTTTATATATTTACCAAAAATTGCTTAGATATGTTATGATAAAACTCGTTTTAAAGATATCAATTTAACTTGTGACATTTATCCAAAATGGACAAATCATATTTGGCTTAGTGCCATTTTTTTTTTTTTTTTTTGGAAAGTGACGGACACTTAATTTTCTTAAAGTAACAAAAACCGTTCTATACAACTGCAAAAGAAAAATATTAAAGACTGTTAACGGACATTTAAACAAATATAGTTGATCCGTAAAAAGAGAAAAAGTGGGTGGCTATAATATTAAATCTGGGCTTTGGGATAGGTAGGAGCGGACCGGGAAAAAACGATCTAAAGTGGGGGCTCATATGTTTCTCCTTCCGTAGAAACACCAATGAAAACCGAGGATTCCATTTATAATACAAATATACTACAAGGGGGGGGGGGGACATAGAGGATGGTATAAATAGAAACGAGAAAAAAAAAAACTCCTTTTCCTTTTTTTCATATCATACACATATAAAAAAAACATATAAAAAAAAAAAAAGAATATCTATTTTATTCCCCCTTTTTTTTTTCCTTTCCTCCCCCATCCACTTTTATCATCCCGTATAAAACAATCAAAAAAAAAAAAAAAAAAAAAAAAAAAAACCAATAAAAAAAAAAAAAAAAATAGCTACAATAAAAAAAAACTATGTCTACTCGTACTGTAAAAACTCATAACAACCACCATAAAGCCAATTTTGTCAAAGGAAATAACAAGGCTAATTTTGTCAATGCTCCTCCTTCTATTTCTGTAAAGAAGCAACAACATACCATCCAGCAACCCAACAAGAAAAAGTTGCAGGCAACTCCCAACAATAACAATAAGCATGGTCGTAAGAAGATAGTAGAAGAAGTTGAAGAAGACTATTACTACCAAACCCGAAAGAGGTAATATAATTTATAAGAGAGATTGGGGGATGTGATGACTAAATTTAAAGTAGCAGTGAACAGGTGTACGCTGGACCTACCTTTAACAATGCTCCTGCCCCAAGTGCACTTCCTATCCCTGCCTTTAACGCCCGTGGTTCTCCTATCAACTACCCTCAACCACTCTATCATGCCACTAACTCTTTCCAACAACAATCCATGGATTTAATGAACTTGATTGCTCCTCAGAAAGTCATTACTGCCTATGAATTGGAAAAGACTAACCTCGCTCTCTCCGAAATTCAACGTGGTCTTCGTTCTATGCTCAAGATCGAATCCTAAAAGAATTTCCTCCCCTCCAAAAACAAACTTTAAAAGAAAAAAAAAAAAAAAACGAAAAAACAAAAACAACAAAAAAAGAAAAACAACAAAAAAAAAAAAAAATCCGAGGAACCAAAGAACAAGAATATTTTAGAAACAACATCTTCATCAAACAACTATTTTATTTTTCTCATTCTGTTTACTTGCTTGTTCAACTACTTTTTAAACTTCATTCTCATCTTCATCTTCAATTCCCCCCATCCCTTTTCTCTCTCTCTCTTTTTTTGTATATTTTCACATCCCATCTCTCTGTTTTGTAAATCTTTCTATTATTTATCTTTTTTGTATATTTTTTTTTTTCTCTCTAATTTTTGTTTACCCCCCCTTTTTCCCTTCTCTCCGCTTACCCAATCTCCCCTTTCCCTCTTTCTCCCTATTATCCAATCGCCTTTTTTTTTTCGCTTTTTTTTTTTTTTTTTTTTTTTTTTTTTTAAATTGTACAATCAGTCGATTATTTGTTTAGACTTGTACAATGAAAAAAACCCAAAAAAAAAAATAACCCAATCAATCAGAAATAAAATAAAAAAAAATCCATTATAAAAAAAATAGAGTTTATTTTTAGATCATAATTGATCTCTCTTTTTTTTTTGCCTTTTGGGAGCACGTCATGGATACCGGACCGGACATGCGCATGATGTTGTCACGGGTAACGAAAAAGAGAAAAAGAGAGAGAGAGCGTTGTTAACCTGAATGCATACAAATTAAGCACACATGACAACTCCTAGGTTTATTATCTCTCTCACCTTTTTTTTTTTTTTATATTTATTTATTAAATCCTCTTTTTTTTTTTCCTCTCTCTTTTTTTCCTCTCTCTCTCTTTATAAATAAAAATGCACGATCAGAAAAAGGAGAATTCTTCCTTGGCAATTGTATCCTCGGTTTTATTTCCTCATCATACTGAAGTGGCTTTACTAGAAAAACGAACCGCTAATGCACATTATCTACCCGGCGCATGGATCGAACAACCCCAAGAATCCACTGATATCGACCTATTAAAACAAACTATCGCCAGTCTACGTAAAGAAACACAGCAACTAGAGGAAACAGACGAACTCGTCAAAAAGAACATACAAATTGTCGCAAGGAAAAGGCGTCTCGTACGTCGAACAGATGAAGATGACGATATTTATATAGTCGTACCCAGTGACTTCATACCCACAAAAGACCAAATGAAGGCAGCTGGATTGGATGGCTGGGAATGGGTATCTTCCTCTTTTACAAATGATGAGGATGATGAATAAAAAAAAAAAAAAAAAAAATTGCATGATTTAGCAGTCACTTGTGTCGTAGTTTTTTTGCTGTGTGTGTGTTTTGTGTGTGTGTTGTGTGTGCGTGTGTGTGTGTCTTATGTGTGTGTCTCTTTTGTTTTTTTCTTCCTTTTACATTAAAAAAAAACCCCAACATGTCTTCACAAAGTCAGAATAGTCTGTTTAGACAACAACAACATTTGTATCGCTCTGCTCATTACCTTGCCAAATCAAAAGCACCTACTCTTTATACACCACCACCTCCCAGCAACGAGGGAACAACAAAGGGTAAACAAGAAAACAGATATATTTCTAACTGTAGCTAACACTAAATAAATAAAAAAAGGACGCAAACGACGTGCTTCATACGAAGACGAGGAAATGACAAATAGCGAAATACTCGAGATGAGACCAGCCATTGGAACAGGCGATGTTTTCCAACCCAAACGTAACCGCATGTCCATCAAGAAGGAGTTTCCCATTAGTAAACTATTAGGTATGTGTTTCCTCTGTATTCCCCTCTACCCCCCAGACTGATGACGCACACTAACAACAACAACAACAAAAAAAAGCTACGCTGGATAAGGATAAACTGATCGAGCTCATCAATGACTTGGTAGACGCCAACCCACATTTAAAGACAGAAGTGGATGCATTTATACCACCGCCCACCACACAGTCCATATCACTCGTCATTGCCAATCTCGAAAAGAAATTACACGACAGTTTTCCCTTTGGAAAGACATCTGTCAGAGACGATTATTCCTATCATCGAGTGAAACCCGCCCTGACCGACATAGTCGTACGTATTTCTTCTTCTTCTTTTTTTATCTGTATGCTAACTACTTCTTTTGGACTCTTAGAACGCATTGTTGGAGTACGCTGAACACTTTACATCATCACAGGATGAATTCCCTTCTACCATATTTTCATATCTTCATTTTGCAACCATCGTAGCACATAGGCTACCCACATGGGAAACAGAAGGTAATATTTCATTTTATATATATATATATATATATATCTATTCTCCCATTCCTAACCACCCTCTTATCATTAGCTCACAATCAAATCAAACGTGATCTATACACTGAACTAATAAACTATTGGAAAAAGGCAATTGATATCGCAAGCAGCAAATTAGATCAAGGCAAAATCTTTGGCCAACAAATCGTGTCAGAATGGGCTAAAGAGTAAGTTTATTTTTTTTAGCTTTTTAGCTTTTTAGCTTTTTTTTTTTTTTTTTTTCGAGCAGTAGGTTAACTCTCCCCTCGTTTAGATTGGCGCAGCATGATGCAGAAACTCACGGTCAATTCAATGAGGTCGTACAGAAATTCAAGGAACGTTTAGGTTGGATCATTGGTCTCTAAATTCCCCCTCTTCCCCTTCCCTCCGCATCACATCACACAGATAAATAAATAAATTTGACATCAAAAAAGCTTTTCCCTCACAAAAGAGTCATCAGGGCTCAAATCATGACTTTTCTTGGTGTTTCTTTTTTTTTTTTTGTAGCCGTTACCTCCTCCCACGCGGTATCCTATGTGATCTCTGAGAGCAATTATCTACGAAGGATGCACGTCATTCTTACTGACATACACGGTGGAAAAAAAAAAGATAGTCAGCCTCAAATGACAAGTGCTGATCATCCTATCATCTAAATTATGTGGCCACAAAGAGCATTATCATCATCATTCTTTGTTGTAGTCCCATGATACAGATAACAGTGATTCGTTTGATACTAGAATGCTCAAACACAAATGGATGTGCGAAAAAAAGAGGATCTTGCATTTCAAACCCAACTTTTATGCGTACTCTCTCTCTCTCTTACAGGGAAACCACATCACTTGATTATATATATGTTGCTCAAAAAAAAAAAAAAAAAAAGATACAACTATTTAATGCCCTTCACTTAGAAACGAGATTTTTTTTTTTTTTTTTTTTTTTTTTTTGCACTATGTAACACCCTCTAAACTCATCCCGGACAGTTTCTTGGGGGTCAACCCGTTCCCCCCCCCCGTCGTGCTGGTGATAATGGACTGTTACTACAGTTTCACAGCTTATCATTGTAATGTTTAACCCAACCTGTTCCACTTCTTTCATCCGTCATTTCGTTTACACTTTTGCTTGTGTGACGCCCGAGTCTTCGTGTGGTCTGAATAGATGGGAAGAAGAAAAATGACGTACAAGGATTTTCTTAAAATCAACTCAGAATGACGGTTCATTTTTTTTTTTTTTTTTTTTTTTTTGCGCTGCTGTAAATAAAAAAATCATCACTTCTTTACAAGTGCTCTTGGTACCCAACTAAGCTAAGCTTTGATTGGCTAGACTTAATTATGGATGCACACATGGATGTACACACACAGGCTTTAAATGGATGTACACAGGTGATACATTGTAAGACTCTCTCCACATTATTACGTGTAAATAATTGCAAGAAGAAATAAGAAGGGGAGGACGTAGTGAATTTTGAAATGAGTACATGTTAATAATCGATACTGCTAACAACTTTTTTTTTTTTTTTTTGGTAATCTAATTATGGGAGTGTCCACGTATCTATCATATGTCGAAGGAGGGGGGGGGGATTAGAGTTATGTACGCTGACTCAGTTTTAACAATTGAAGGTAAACAATTTGCTCATGTCTGTATCTACGTGGCATATTCTTACTACAACAACAAACGGGGCTCATCTTGTGGCAATGAGTAATTATCACCCTCATACACGAATATGCATAACAGGGTCAATTGTGACATTTTTTGGTGGTAAGCATAATTCAAAAAAATAATTGACATGCGTATATAAAATAATTGGTAATATTATTTCGGCACCTCTGTTGGGGTGGGTGATGATACGACCAAACTACTGCTTTTTTTCACGTGCTTGGTGTTACAAACTTTTTTTTTTTTTTGTAGATGTTTGATTTTCCCCAAAAAAAAAAAAAAATACATAAAAAAAAAAAGGTAAACTAAAATAAAAAAAATTCTGCAAAAAATAAAAACCTTTTTTTTTTTTCTTTTTTACCTTATTTAAACATGGCAGGAAAAAAACGTTCACCTAAAAATACCCCTACTGCTATCTCAGCAGAAGAGAAAGTGACGTTATTAGCTGATGAGACGAGTAAAAAGAAATGGCAAAACTGGTGGGTCAGAACCATTACTACATTCATGATGATTGGTGCCTTTTTCCTTATTTTGGCCTCGGGTCACGTTTGGGTCATTTTAATGGTGGTTGCCATATCAACCGTTGTATATAACGAAGTGCTTCAAATCGCTCAAGGTCCAGCAAAAGATAGTAACTTTAGGTGGTTCAAGACAATGAGTTGGTAAGAAAACTTTTTTTTTTTATATTACTTCCCCCCTTTTTTCGAGAATACCGAGAAAAAAAAAAATTAAATTTTTTTTTTTTTTTTTTTGGATAGGTACTTTTTAGTGACAACCACTTATTTCCTTTATGGTGAATCAATCATTTATTATTTCCAATCTGTCGTCCTCGTTGACCGAATTCTTTTACCCTTTGCTACGCATCATCGATTCATTAGTTTCGTGCTTTATATCATTGGTAAGTACGAGTTGACTAATTGGAGGGAAGGGGTAGAAGACGCGCGCGACTAACAAAAAAAAAAAAACTTGTTGTTTATAGGATTCATGTTCTTTGTCACCAATTTGAAAAAGGGTCTTTACAAGCGTCAATTCCGTCAATTCGGTTGGATGCATATGGCACTTATTCTCGTTGTATTTCAAAGTCACTTTATCGTGAATAATATCTTGGAAGGTTTGATCTGGTTCTTTATCCCTACTTCACTTGTCATTTGCAATGATATCTTTGCTTATATCTGTGGTTTCTTTTGGGGTCGCAATCAACTCATCACCTTGTCTCCTAAAAAGACAATTGAAGGCTTTGTCGGTGGTTGGATCTGTACAATGATCTTTGGTTTATTGGTAAGCAATCCTTGGCTCTCTTTTTTTAATTTAGTGTGTGTGACGAATTTTTTTTTTTTTTTTTTTTTTTTTGTAGTGGTCAACCTTGTTAATGAGATTTGATTATATGATTTGTCCAGTAAAAGTAAGTAATGGATGAGAGAAACCCACACAGAAAAAGGAGAGGAGGAGGAGAGAGAGAGGGTTATAATATTCATACCCTTTTTTTAATTATTATTAGGATTTGTCCATGTCTGCATGGTCTGATATCACTTGTCCCGTCAATCCTGTCTTTATTTCTGTCCCTTGGCAATTACCTGATTTATGCATTACTGTCCTCAAAACTGTTGTAAGCACACACACACACAAAAAAGACAATTTTTATTATTATTATTTTTTGCTAACATGAGACTGGGTTTAATTAGCTTCAAAAGGAAATCACTCAGATTTGGATTGCACCTATTCAACTTCATACACTTGTGATGGCATGTTTTGCATCTTTAGTTGCGCCCTTTGGTGGATTTTTCGCATCGGGTGTGAAGAGAGCCTTCAATGTAAAAGATTTCGGACAAAGTATTCCCGGTCACGGAGGAATGACGGACCGTATGGATTGTCAATTCTTGATGGGATTCTTTGCTTCGATTTATTACCAGAGTTTTATCAAGACCTACACCATGAATGTCGGAACCCTTCTCTCTTCTGTCATTAACAACTTATCCTTGAATGACCAATTGGAACTCTTGGAACGTATCTTGACTTACTTTGTAAACCAAGGCATCCTGGATCCTGCTGTCTTGCAAAAATGTGGCGCAAGTGCTTTAACTGAAAGTGCCCGTCATATCTTAGAAACCGGTGTCTCTTCCTCCTTGTAATATTTCTTTTTTATTTTCTTCTTCTTCTTTTTATTTTGTGCCATTATTATATATATAATTCTCTCTCTCTCTCTCTCTCTCTCTCTCTCTTTTCCTATTAATGTACTACACTCACATCTCTTTTTAATTTTTCTCTCTACAAAGTACAATAAAAAATAATCTCCCCCCAATGTTGTATTCAACAAAAAAAAGTCTGTTTTTTCTATTAGTGTTCGACTTGCATTGTTCAGAAGGGGGTTTTTTGTTTGTTTATTCAAAATGATTAGTTACGGACCATTCATAGCGAATTATCAGATTCATTGGCTAAAAAATCAATGCCAAACAGATAACACTTAGTTTGTCTTCCTAATATTTATAAATAGCCAAAAATAGGGTAATACTTGAAAGAAAGTATTCTGCAGTGGCAAGAATGAAAGAATATTTATCTTTACAGTATATTCAGCTTTTAGTTAGGCTGCATCTAGAGTGATCTGTCGGTTGCTTTTTAAGCATTGACACGTTTTTTTTTTTTTAGAGAGCAAATATCATTCTTAAACATCGATGCTATGTATTTTATTTAGGTCTAAATGGCCGCAGAAATAACAATCATGTCTTTTTTTTTTTTACCACTGCTCATGAACGATTTTTTTTTTTATATATATATGTCGGCAATTGAGGCAGCCCACAATCATGCAGGTTTCAAAGGCGCTACAGTTAACTACCTCCTATAACATAAAACTAGGCGGTACGATTACTTGTCAATAAGTCATTGTTTATCACCTTTAGTGTACCACATCTCTGTCTAACTATTAAATGTCATAGTATACAATACTCTAAAGAAAAAAAAAATCATTGCATTTAACCTACTGAAAAGCTCTCATTAAAAAAAAGTAATCCTAAATAAAGTGTTTCAGTGGGGATGCCCCCCACCGATATTGGGTTTGGAAATGGAGTCTCCTGTGTGAGAATACAAATTATAAAATGAGCCATTTTTTTTTTGATTTTCAATGCTTATCAGACAATCCGAACCTTATTAAATTAAAACGGCTACAATGGTTGCACAACGAAAATGGAAATTAAAAAGTGGAGTGATGAGGTATTTTATCTTTACCATGGCAAAATAAATTCGTTTTTTTAAAGAAAAAGAGTAATTGTCTCTTCCAACCATTATTCCCTTTTTATTTAGTGCTATAGGAATATGAAATCTGTGCATCAAAGGATGGATACATGCATAAACGACTTCTAAATGTATGAATTAGTCTCTGGCAGCATTTTCTTGTACGAAGGTTCATTGTTACACTAGATGTACGTGGCAAGTATTGTTGACTGGGAAGGTTTAATGAAAAAAAAAAAAAAAAAAAAAAAACGTACTAGTAAATATCGACTTGAACATCTCATGGATTTACTATCATCCAAAACTATATAAATTAATCCTTTAGTCAGTGATTTAACATCATTTGCCACACCCCCACAAAGAGTCTAATATTGAAACTCATAATCAAAGCATGACATGTTTATTTAAAAGACAGCAAAGAAAGAAAAAGATGAACATTATTATCTAGACACTTTGGAGAAGGGTGTGGCACACAAAAGATACATAAATAAAAAAAAAAAAACAAATAAATTAAAAAACGTCAAACCTGAAACAATAAAATTACATAAGGCACGAGCTTTGACCATGTTTGGGACACTCACGAGGGTTTGAAATAGCCACTTTAATTGGGTAGCGGTCTTTTCCGATCGATTATGATAGGTCATCATTACAATAGAACAATTTTTTTTCTTGAGCGGGCCTCTCTTTTTCTCCTTTTCTTTTTTTTTTTTTTTTAAATTTCTCTTTTTTTTTTTTGTTTGTTTCTTTGCCTTTCATGATCAGAGAAAGATAGTTATTATGAAGTTTGGAAAGCAGATGGAGACAGCAGCAAATGATTTGCCCGAGAATTGGAGACCTTACCTTATTCACTATAAGACCTTGAAAAAATCGATTCGACTTGTGGTGGATGAGTTAGAGTCTAGAGGTCTATCAACGGAATGGATCAATACCTTGGATACAGACCAAGCAATGCGGTTAGATTACATATTTGATGGTAGGTGGACTTTTTAAGCTTCTCTCTCTCTCTCTTTCTTTTGTCATTCTTCTAAACATGGGCTTTTATAGGAGACGTCAAAGATCCCCATCCATTTATCAAAATTACTATCGATGACCCCACTTCAATTTCATCTTCTGAAGAACCTACTATCTTGAAATTAATACCCATTACAGAACAATTAAACACTGAACCTCTCTCGATCAAAATAGAACTTGTGAGAGACTCTGAGTTCTTTCACTTACTTTTACATGAATTATCTCATGCCGCTGCCTTACACGATGTAGAGAAAGATCGATTTATTGGAAACGTGGATAGTCTGGAAGAACAGCTAACAATTGCTGTAAGTAGATAATTTTTTTTTACGACCTAGTCTGTATTAACGTATTATTTATACTATACTAGGCCTCCCCACAAAAGAATGATTTATACGCTTGGAGAGAAATATTTAATTTATACATGGAAGCAGCTATCTTTAAGGATGTATCTCAAGGACAGTACAGCCCACATTCATATCAAAGAAGTCAAAGTCAATTGCAATGGTTCACCACTGAGCTTTCAAGAATGAATTTGGTATACAAAATAAAAAAGCAATAAGAAAAGGGAAAGCATGAAATACTTATCAGTTCATGTAGACCAAGAAACTATCATCAAGACATTCTAAAAAAGCTCTAACTCAATTCATGGCAATCAATGCTCAACTCGTACATTTTAAGCATTTTCAATCGTTAAACCAGACTGCCATGATAAAGATTTTAAAGAAACATGATAAACGTACAAGTTTGAGGTAAATAATAATAATAATAAAAAAAAAAAAATGCATATGTGAAATAACAATTAAACCTTTTTTTTTAATGCAGTGCCACATCCGAATTTCCCTCGTTCGCAAAAAGTAATGCCATATTTGTCGAAGGCGTTTTAATGTCTCTTTATAATGCAGTTCAAACAAAGCTTATCACAATCGTTCCTCAACCTGATGATTATGACTGTCCGGTTTGTTTTTGTAAGTACGATTTATTTATTTGTTAAAAAAAAAAAAATGATGTTTGAAGGGATTTCTGATCATTGTGTTCTTTTATATATATATATAGCGATAGCTTGGAGACCAATTCGATTAGAATGTGGCCATGTATTTTGTGTCCGTTGCCTTATCAAGGCACATAAGAAAAGGTTATACAATTGCCCCATTTGTAGACAAGAGCATGCAGTTGGAAACGCAGATGCACATAATTTGGACCAAAAATTACAAAGTTTCATGCTATTGTATTTTCCCAAAGAAATTAAAGAAAAGCGTAAAGAAAATGAACGCGAACAAGCTACACTGAATAGACAACAACATTTGAAATGTTCGTTACCACCACGTAGGTTAGCTACCACCATAAATCATCGAGTGATAACTACACCGCCTCGTGAATCTAGTTGTAATATCATGTAAAAAAAAAAAACATCTATTCCCCCTCATATATATATTTGAATAATAAAAATTTAGAAATTATTTTGCGTTTTTTTTTTTTTTTTTTTTGAAAGCCCACTGCTAAAAATTATGCGCTAGTCTCATCTATTTGCCGGGAACACACCCAATTTCTTTCATAATTCCTGTTCATTGTTCGCTGACGTGGTCTGAATCCCTTACAGTTCTTTTGTTATTGTTCCTCAAATTAATGGGGACGCTATGTAGTAAGATAGTTTTGACAAAGTGCCTGAAGGCATTTTTAAAAAGTTTAAAATTTGCGTGTGCGGTACTCTAAAAGATAAGCCACCGGACGGACCGGAAAACGTAAGGCTCGGAGTGTGAGATTTCCAAAAGGACAAAAATGAAATCAGAGAGCAGAAGCTATTAAGTTCCTTCTCTACAAACACCATGGGTAAAATTGACTAAAAAACATCCAAAGAAGCCATCCATCCCCAATATGCTAATACCATCCATCAATCATAGGTATCAGTCGTGATTCTCGCCATAAGCGTAGCGCTACCGGTGCTAGACGTGATCAATACAGAAAGAAGAGAAAGTAAGGATTTACACACACCAGATAGATTTTTTTTTTTCTCTTGAGATCGTTGGAATGTTTTTTTTTTGAAATGACGATGCTAATGATTCTATTTTTTTGTTTGTTTATCACCAAAGGTTCGAGTTAGGTCGTCAATCTGCCAACACCAAGTTGGGTGGTAAGCGTATTCATCTCGTTCGCGTCCGTGGTGGTAACTTCAAGCGTCGTGCTCTTCGTCTTGAATCTGGTAACTTCTCTTGGGGTTCCGAAGGTATCTCTCGCAAGACCCGTGCCTTGACTGTTGTCTACAACGCCTCCAACAACGAGTTGGTCCGTACTAACACTCTCGTTAAGGGTGCCGTCATCCAAATTGATGCCACTCCTTTCCGTCAATGGTACGAATCTCACTACGCCATTACCCTCGGTAAGCAAAAGGCTGGTGAAGCTGCTGTAAGTTTTTTTTTGTTTGTTTTTTTTGTTGAATTTGACAGCTGGAGAAAGAAAAAAAGTTATTGACATTTTTTGTGTTTTTTAGGATGCTTCCGCTGAAAAGAAGTCCAGCAGTGTCCAAAAGAAGATTGCTGCCCGTGCCGCCACTGCCGCTGTCGATCCTCTCTTGAACGATCAATTCAATGCCGGTCGTCTTTACGCCGTCATTGCTTCTCGTCCCGGTCAATCTGGTCGTTGTGATGGTTATATTCTTGAGGGTAAGGAACTCGAGTTCTATCTCCGTAAGATTAAGGTAAAGATTTATTTCAAATATGTGTGTGTGTGTATACTGTTTATTAACTTTTTCTCTTTTTTTTTTTCTTTCTTTCAATCATTAGTCCAAGAAGCATTAAGTTTCTTTTCTTCTTCCTTTACAAATAAAAAGCTTATATTCATTGAAGTTTTTAAAATCCAAAAGTTTCAACTCTGTACATTTTAAACATTTTCAATTGGGAAATTTATATCTTCATTGATTGTAGAATAGTACATGCGTAGATAAGAAAGGGCATGTCGCGGTTGTCCGGTAGAGTTAAATTCAGTGTGTATTTCGATGTGTAGCCGAAACTGTTCGTATACGTATATATTTTGTTTGATCAGCATTAAGTTTGATATCATGATTATTATCTTACCTTGCACACTGGATTTTGATGCTCTACCCTTTGGCATTTGGCAAACTTTTTGACAGGCGCATTGTATAAAGCTCAATCAATCTTTTTTTGGAACTAACTAAACTTGAGGATTTATTTAAATTTATTGCTATTGTCTTTGAGTGAAACAATTATGTGATTTTCGTAAATGATTTGTAGAGATTTCTCTATATAATACTACTACGATAATATGCTTGTCAGTTGTATGTAGAATGGTGAACGAATGTTTCGCCCTGTAAGCTACTTAACAGTAAAAAAAAAGCTTAAAAATATATATATTTTGTACATCATCGATGGAATTAGACACTCCAAATTCTAAAGCAAATGAGGGCGAGATAAATGACATATCCTTGTTTGTTATCTACTGCGACAGTTCACTGCATATATCGTCTGCCATAAAGCTGTCTTACGAGAGTATTTTATAAAAAAAAAAAAAAAAATAGAACAATGCTGTTGCTGTCAAGTTCAGAAGGATGATTTAGCTGTTTACTTTAAAGAATGCTTATAATTATTGAATCGTTTGTTCCTGCAAAATTATTTGTTCGAATGTTTGAGTTTATGCCGAAAAGTGAATTACCACTGTCAATGATGTTTTTGGAAAACTGGACGAATCTATATTATTTGTTTATACAATTCTATTTAACTGGTCTTCCTTATCAATAAATTAGCATATTCCATTGTGATCTAATCTCAACGACAACAACTACCAAAAAAAAAAAAAAAAAAAAAAAAAAAAAAAAAAAAAAAAAAAAAAAAAAAAAGAGGGGGAGAGAGAGAAATTACGAGAATTCAAGTCAATGCATTCACTAGGAAACTGGGGCCATTAAAATTTAGATAGGTGGAACTATTAAACGACCCTTATGCTATTTAATAGCCTTTAGAACTGAGCGTACCTTTCTATTAACTTGACTTTAAATCAAAGAAATTAGCTGTTTGAGTGATGGTTTAGTGATTTATAATATTTGATCAAAAGGTCATAGTAAATCACACGAATTGTGTATTGATACTGAATGTATATGTGCATATATGCATTAAAAATTATTCTTTACTCATTATTCTTCAGCCTTCTTTGGAATCTTTGAGGGTTGAAAGCTGATTTGAAATAAAAGGATTGGAATCTATGTTTTCCCCACCTGTTTTTTGTGAATGTTATTTATCAATGATGTTAGTCTAGGTACCTCATAGTTGTAAATTTACAAATTGCACAATGTTGCCAACTTTATTATTCATCTTATGCAGTTTAGACAATAGCCAATGAACAAAATAAAATTAATGCTTATGATGAGAACGGACTGAAGTTCTACCACTGACCAAATTATTTTACAATTCATTTTAAAACAACAGAAGTTATGGTATATGTAATACGAAGCCGTATACCATACAAATTTACACGCTAAACTAAACCATAGGTTTCTTTAATGCGAAAGAAAAAAAAGCGAGCGGAGTTGTGAAGTAACCCGGACCGAGCTGATGTCGAACCAAGATTTCTGCTCATTTTTTTTGTGCCCGGCCACTCAAATTTATCACAGTGTTCAGCATTATAGGTGTGATTCTCCCTCTTTTAGCTTCGATATAGTCCAACAATGGTATGATGATTTTTTATTTGAAGATAAATGGATGTGTTTGATGTGAGATGTAGTTCTATGAGTAGATGGATTGATATTATAGATTGGTTCATTGGATGCAGAAAAATGAAAAGCCCAAAAAAAAAAAAAAACTAGGCAAAATGTTTTTTTGATAGGGGGTGTGTGGTGTATTATTCTATCTACTCTAAAACTCACACATTTCACATTGCAACATTTATTGGAAACCAAACGACGGAATGCTAATTTAAAAATTATTTGTTACAGAGCGCCGAAGAACAGAAGGTTACCAAGAACCCCATGCGCAACCTCCAAATTGAGAAGTTGGTTCTCAACATTTGTGTTGGTGAGTCTGGTGATAGACTTACTCGTGCTGCCAAGGTTCTCGAACAATTGACTGGTCAAACTCCCGTCTACACCAAGGCCCGTTATACTGTCCGTACTTTCTCCATTCGTCGTAACGAAAAGATTGCCGTTCACGTTACTGTCCGTGGCCCCAAGGCCGAGGAAATCCTCGAACGTGGTTTGAAGGTCAAGGAATACGAACTCAAGGCTCGTAACTTCTCCAACACCGGTAACTTCGGTTTCGGTATTGATGAACATATTGATTTAGGTATCAAGTACGATCCCTCTATTGGAATTTACGGTATGGATTACTTTGTTGTTATGGGTCGTCCCGGTAACCGTGTTGCCCGCAGAAAGCATTGTAAGACCAAGGTTGGTGTTAACCATCAAATCAAGAAGGTAAAATTTTGGAATAGATAGTGTTTTTAGTTAGCGTTAGTGAAAGAACCTTGATTATTAACCAACCCCTTTGCTATCATAGGAAGAATCTCAAGAATGGTTCAAGGCCCGTTTCGATGGTGTCATCTCCTACAAGGCTTAAATCTTATTTCTTTTACTCCAATAAATTAAACAAGAATTCTCATAACCTAATAGATTTAACAAGTGTCGTCCTTTTTTTTTTGTTTTTGTTTTTATTGTGTAGGATATGTATAATGGCTATTGTGCAATTTTGTTTTGTCTAAAAATTTAAGTAGGTGCGGCAGCTGTTTCCCAATCTGTACGATCCATCGGACAAGTTTCTCCATGAGTTGAACTTTGAAACCATGTCATAATACAGTGTAAGTGGAATACATGTCGGCATTTTCCCCAGATCAAGGGACAGTCATCGCCAGGTATTTTACAATTAGGGCAGCAGGCATCGTATTCTGAATGACAAATACCACAAACATCGTCATTGCTTTTTACATCCCAAGACCACTCTGCTGCCATGGTCCAGGATATAATTTTGACCTTCATTCTATTTCACGTTTACAATATAAAAAAAAGTTTATATCACAAAAAAAAAAAAATATGCACAGGACAAAAATTAAAATAAAATACGTGTTTTGGACTGCCTCTTGTGCACTGTGGTACAGGGATCTGTACCATAAAAAGAGCGACATTAATTGTCAAAAAAATGCTCCGTGCCTTCTAGAAAACATTTGTCTCAGAAATTCAGGGTATGTTTATGGATATGGAATAAAGATAAGCATGAAACAATCGATAAGCATGGATCAGTTTAAGATGACAGCATATTGGTATCAGGAATTAAAAGTAATTGTTTTATTACTACTTTAAAAGAAGATTGTCCTACATATGGGCATTCACGTTATTATATTTATTTTGAATAAACTCTTTGATTCCCATGAGAGAGTCAAAGCCAGTAGGACCATCGATGCTTTTTTGGTAATCGATTATCTCGTGACTAATTCTGAGATGTTCTGCCTTTAGCGCATTGTCTGTGTTTTTTGGCGAGTCTTTAGGTAAATTCTCAATAACTTTGCCTCCGTATGGATCCGATTGAGGGGGATTCCTGAAGTCTTTGCCAGCATTAATTCTGGGTAATTCTTGATCCCATTTCACGTCATCTTTCAAGAATTCAACAAGCGAGTCAAGGACAGGAAAACTTTTACGTGGTTCGAAGATGGAGGTAACAATTTTTTGTAAAGCTGATTCGAAATAATTGCGATAGTATGGTACCCGGAATAGTGCTTTTGTTAAGGGTCGGTTTTGAATACCTTCTACGTGACGGTAGTCTCCCTCAAGTTGGACAGATTTAGGGAAAGGACTATTACCAAAGGTCAATTCCATATCCCACCCAATATACACAAAGTAATGCATAATAGGGCATTTGTAAAGATAGTAATTATTTCCGTAGGACAAGTAGTTGTTCCAACCAGTAATGAGAAACTCAAACACCATGCTAAATATTTAATAACGTCAACACTATATTCTAATTTCTTCCTTTTTCAAACTAACTTACTTGCGGAGAAAAACTTCAGCACCAAGATATTTAGTCCATTCATCCATAATTTCCTTTTCGTTTTCAGTACTGTTGCTGATAGGTTTTTTCAATTGAACATCAATAAATTTAATGAAATCGGCGAGTACCGTAAACCCCTTTTTCTCAGTCTTGTCTTCCATTGCAACCTTATAGCCATGTTCGGCATAAACACTAGGATCGTCACTAATATATCTCAAATCCGAAATATCACCCTTGACTTTTGTGCTGCCAGTTCCCTCATACAAGACACCATTTTTGTATTCTGATGGTAAACCGGGGTTTGCATTTTGATCGAACCAGGCCTTGTCATATTTCTCGGCAAATATGTACAAACCAAGAGCAACATTGTTTAAATAAACACTGATTTTATTAGCCTAGAACTTGTTTATTTTCATATTGAATGGGGCTTACCGTTTATAAGAAATACGCGAAGCGGGTAAACCAGCAGCTACCATCATGTCAAAGCTCATTTTATCACGCAAGAAAGTAGGATCAGTGGCAGCAGCTCGAAGTTTCAAAGATTTGTAACCTCCCAAATGCTCGCCTTTAGCTAATTGAATGTTATAAGAGGGCTTTGGTTCAAAACGAGACATCTTTCCTGCAATATTAAATTGGACATTGCTAAACTTTTGGATATCATTGGCGCTATTAAAGATATGCTGTTAAAATATGATATCACCAGTTTTAAAATCTATCAAAGTTTTACCCAATAAATGTCAAATCAGCATTTATACTGATTTTTTGGTTATAATGCTCATGTATGCGATCGATTTCATCCTGGCTAGCTTGAATATGAAGAGACGGAATCTCATCAGTTGGATGAAGACTGGTTTTGTGACGAGATCCGACTTCATCATAAACTCTTTCAAACGTTTTCACGGATTTGGTAACCCAGTTTCTCCCATATACATGATTTATTTGCGATTGGATTGAATGACGTTCAAATGCTTCTTCGTGTAAAATTTCGTTGGTACCCTTTTTAAGTTCAACAAAATGATAAGTACTTTTAGCTATGGGAGCATCTACTTGAAAAATAATGCTAGATTCTGCTGAGGGAGAAAGAGTAAAAACTGATTCATCAACAAGAACACCAAATTCAGAGTCATTGGAACTCGGAAGACCAACAATGCTGTATGTAACCGAATATGCTGCAACTGCAGAAGCAATAGAAATGATCAGACTAAAGTCTAAAAAAGTAATTATTAAAATCTATAATATTTGCATCTCTCTATGTAAAAAAGCAACAACGATCTTACAATAAAGTTTAATTGCCATGATCTTGATACTATTTGCTTAAAGAATATTCTGGCAGAGTATTAATTTATATATATATATAACATTTTAGAAAACATACAGGAGAAAAATCCCTTTAACCGTTGTTTAGGAGTGCGAAGAAATATCTATTTAAGAAATCTCTCATTGTTAGTAACTCATATCTAACATCTAGCTACTCATAGTTTTTACGATCGAATCATGAAATACAAAAATCGAACCCATTTTTGCTAAACATTAATAGTGTGTCCACCATGTACTTTTGTAAAATGTGACACGTCTATGCCTATTTTTTAGTGTGTATCATACATCCTAATGTCATCCTTTGTAAACCAAGCTCCTGTCATAAAACGCACGCTAGGTCACACAGGTAGATCAATTTTTAATAAATCCAGATTTCTATACATTCTTGTGTACGCACTGTACCAATAAGGACTAGTTTCACTTCTACTTACATCTCCTAAATAGCATAGCTTTACAGAAAGTGAAATATAGCATTAGTAGAAACAAGGATGTTGGCGTTTAATTTCTGTACATGGAGCGAATTCCTTATTTTTTACTCGACCTAATTTTTTTTTTGAAGGGGGGGGGGTAGACAAACAAATTGATTTGGTTGATTTGAAAAAGGTGGCAAGTGTCATTAAATGGATACCTTCGATCTGTTCGTTACCGAGAAAAAATTGGCGCTAATTTTGTGAATATTACTAATAAATCTTAGATTATTCATTTGCAAATGACAACATACAATAATAACGGAAAAGGGATACTCTGCATATGAGTGTTATGAATCTTATATCACTATAGACTATTAATAATAGCAGGCCTTAAAAGTAATCAAAATAAGATATGCAAGCTGATTGTCTCTCCTTTATGCTCATGCATTTAAAACTATATATACTTAAACTTTATTTGTAGAACATGCCTCGATTAAACCTCCTGGTAAAAGACTAATATGTGTTTGATAATTGGTTTAGATTGATGTTATGACGGCATCACGTCCCAATAAACGGGGAGGAACTTGAAATCGTTTAGAGAATTTGTCGGCATTATGCAAAGGAAGCTTTATGCATAGGTAGCAGTAGTGGTAAGATCTAACTTGTTTTTTAAAAAACAATACAAACAAACAATTGGACTAATAAGAAGGATATTGGGAGTTTATTTTTATTCGCTTAGCTAGTGACTATGTCCAAAATCGAATCTGCTTTCCCAGAGATCAACAAGCTGTTGAGCAGTTAGACGTATCGTGTAAGGACTGTTGCATAATGTTGAATTTAACAACGAGCGATATTGATTGCTAAATTCCTTTCCTTGTATGTGTTGCTCAATACGATCTGAGTAATCACTGTTGGTACCTAAATTGATGCTTTGTCCCCCAGAAATCACTTTAAATAGCAATATCCCAAGAGCAAAAATATCTGATGCGTATTCATATGTTTTACCGTCGTACAAGGTATCATAGTATTCGCATTTACTAGGGGGTACACTATAGGTGGCAGACACTAGGCCAGCTTCATCAAAATCGGCTAAAATCCAATCTGTTGTAGGTGCAGTGCTCTCTGCATAAAAGGAATGTTCAGATAATCCACGATGGACATAACCAGCAGCATGAAGATCTCTAACAGCTAATAACAAAGAGTATACAGTGTAAACAATGAAGGTTTCGTCCAGGACATCTACTATTTGTTCGTCTTTAAATCGGTATAAAGATGCTAGGCTTTGACTCGGCTCATAAAATGAAGTAATCATGATGAATTTGAATCCATTATCGGCACTAGTTGGTTTTTTTAATTGTACAGCATCAAAATATTCAACAATACGATTATTACGGGATTTCAAAAGAGGAAACTGAAGAGCTTGTATTGCGTTTTCGAATTTTTTTTCGCCGTCGCTACCCTTAAAATAGTGTATCAACGCCGATTTGCCTTGGAAGGAGCATTCACGAATGTATACTTTGTTTTGATGTTGTGGGTTAGAGCTAACTTCACCAATAACATTTGGTAAAAGCTGACAGCGATTGTTAAAAATAGAAGAGTACTTTGTATTTTTTGGGTCGGCTTCGCCAATATTTGTTGGGATCAATTGGGCTTTAAAAGATGGACGTCTTATTATGTTATTTGCGTAAACAGGTGGTACATCAGAGGACTTTACGGTTCCTGGTTGAGAGGGTACAGTTTCTTCGACATTTGTGGCAGCTTTGTAGTATAAAGTAAAAGAAAGTTAAAATTCTAGTTATCTAATTAACAACACGCGCATTTATAATTACAGTCAATAGAAGAGTATACTCGTTGCAAAGACATCTCCCTACGGCGGCGGCATAGTAAAAATATGTAGAAAGCCAAAGAAGCTAGTAATGCACCAATAAAAATACCTAACATTGTGAATCCTCCGGCTACAGCAGGATCAATCTTATCACTTGTAGACATGCTGATGGCACCTACTGAAGATGTCGGGGCTGAGGTTGGTAAATTACTGCCCGTACTCGAGGTTGGTATAACCTGGTTAATAGGCACAGTTTGATATGCTGCTCTATTGAGAATAACTAGGCTTGAATTTTGAAAGAGAGCAATAGAATTCGAGCTTAGATTATTAAATGAAGTATCTATGATATTCGCCGTGGCAGACTCTTTGTCTAACTGTGTAACACTATTTGTTAAAAAAGGGCGTGATTAAAGTTGATGACAGTACCTTTATCAATTGAAAGCTTGGGCCAGAATTATAAAATAGTGCCTGCGATGAATCCTCGCTTGTCGTTATTTTCCAAACTGCATTCGAATCAATCATGTTGGGTTTTTGGAATTTATACACGGCTGAAGATGAATTTGATATAGCTATAGAAGATAATTTATCGCCAGTAGTAACTGAAAAGCTTTTTAAACCTTCAGCTGTCAACTGGTATAATTGACTATCATTTGCCATGTAAAGGTTCCTTGTAGTTGATATACCAGAGCTTAAATTGTTAAGCACTTTAACAGAAGGCTTATCTGGACATGCTACACCGAAAGAACTTTTACCGTAACCTACCATCACACATCCCTGGAGGCCCGTCCAGTGATCAATAGGTAAAATGACAGTACTACTATTATTTAATGATCCATTTGTGGGGTCCGGAAGCTCTTGAAAAGTGAAGTTATGACTAACATTATCGAATTCGGCAGAGTAAAGAGCTAATTCCAGGTTTTCTTCTGTGGTACCTATAAAGTAAATGGCATTTACACCATTGTATACACATTTTTTTATGGATGTAACAAGGTCAGTATCTTTCAAAATAGAGGTTGATGACTGCTCCGCAACGAATGTGACTTTGTTGTAGTGATATATATTCGTGTCGTTATCAAATCGATAGAATGTGTCGTAAAATTTACCACCGCAAAGAGATGAAGGCATTTTTGTAAAATTCGAAAGAAGAAGAAACGATGATTTTCAGAGATCGCTTCTTACTCACCCCTTTCCCGCCGCCGCCGCCGCTTTTGTTTGTGTGACAGGAACTCTAGCTTTGCCACATAAAAATGTGACGCGATTCATATCACAATCATGAAAAACTAGAAGATTCGCCATTTATTCTGTTAGAAAATTCTGGAATGATGTATCAATGATGCTTCTCCTGTGTATTTTAGTTGACTTGTATGTTGTTTGGATATGTTTAACAATTTTGTGTCACAACTCGTAAAAAAATTAGAGCGGCGTCATAGTTACACAAAAAACAAACAAAATAAAACAAACAAATATAAATGCGGTTTTATGAAGTTTCTATTGAGAATTATAAATGTTCTCTTTTGTTTATTTATTATCTGTTCAGGTTAAATCGTCAAGACATTGTTATTATACAAAATCATGTCTTCTGTAGAGATGAGAGGACGCTGGCAATACGTCACTGGTATAACCTCTTCAAGTGTTTGGCATATCAATGGGTCAAAAATATCTTGCCCTTTTTTTAGATCAAACCCAATGGCAGCGGCAGGCAATAAATATATTTTTTGAATGGTTGGATATAAGTTGATTAAACGTATTACATGTTCCTTAAGCCACGTTCTACGTGTAGCAAGCTGAAAGGACTGAAGCTGGGCTTCGGATGCATTTGTACTGGCAGCTTTCTCCAGTTCCGTGATGAAAGTTTCAGCGTGTATATGAATTTCACAGCCAAATACAAGATTAGTCATGTTAGGTGATTGAATCATCAGTTTTCCCAAAGTATATGCATCTACTGAAATATAGTTAGTTTGCTGTGGGGATCCGATAAGTTCCAAAGTCTTGATCTTCAGTGATTGAGCAGGCTGGAGACGAAGGCAATGATCGGATAACGTTGTCCATCCACAAATCGTAAGATGTTGCAAGTTTTTGCATTGAGATAATATGTAGTATATGATATTGTCTCTAACGCCGCGTATGTGAATCGACTGTATGTGGGAAACATGAGGAGATATGATAGATTTCAAATTAGCTAGTCGCCACAGAGAGTTTGGGTTTTCAAATTCCGGATCCAAGTGAATCGACTTCCAGTTCATAGGGTGATCACAAAAGGTACGCATTGTTTTCGATACAAGACGTAAGGAAGACAAATCCCTACAGGATATAGACGATGTGATGTTCAACATCAACTCTGGTGGTAGTTCTTCAAGTATGTGCATCGTATTGATATTGCGGTAAAAAAGAAGTGAAAAGGAAGAAGCTTAAAAATTAAACTTTCTTTTATTTGTTTAATATATACAAGGGTAAAATTTAAGAAGAGAATGTGATTGCTACGTTTCATCAAAAAAAAAAAAAAGAAAGATCGTCCTCCCCCAACCATATTTTGATTCAAACAAACAATCACTTGTGTATTACTTGGAATGGTATATTCCCGAGACAAAACTATTCTTATTTTTTACCAACACTCCAGCAGCCGGGGCAATTATGCAATACTTCATGAACAAACATATCACATTCTGCACAGAACTCCTGCGCACATTTCGGACAAGAAAATTTTGCCGCCGCTGTCTCTAATTTATCAAATTGCGTTAGACAAGAGAAACAATGTGTCCCGTGTTCACTATGCATGTATATTGTTAGCGGTTGGTGCATATTTCCAGAGATTCTAACATCAATCTATACCTGTTAATTTTGATTTCATCGAAGTTATCAACTGGGAATAAATGATGGTAAGATCTAGCTAAATGAGGTGACGATACTAGTGTCAACCCGCATATATCGCAATCACTTGGTAATTCACAAACTTTGGATTTGCATTTAGGACAAATATAGCCTCCCACAGTCAGTTTTGAGTGACTACTCCAATGATCAGTAAACGATTTATGACTGGTTCTCGTCAAATAATTACCAAACACAAAACGTAGCATGATCCTCTACTAATCTTCTAGGAAATCCCATAGTAACCAAATTAGATGTGTTTTTATTGGGCAAAACCGCCGGTGGTGGAACAGCTTCAAATAGTAAATCCTTGTAATGTGCTTCGTTTAATACAATTCCATAAGAGCCTGTGATTTCGTACGATTCAGTTCTATTTCAGGATCCATACAATATCATTTACCTTTTGTAGATTCACATAACACGCGACATATTTGCACTTCAGCAGCAAGACCCACAATACTTACTCGCACCATTTCCTTTTTTAACAAATCAATAGTTTCGTGTATATCACCGGGATCACAAGTGGTAAGTGATCCAAAAATCAGTAATACCTCTTTAGATCCGTGACTTGGTACACCCAACATACTAGCTCTGGCTAATTGCAATGAATTTTGCAAAGAAGCCTCACCACTTGTTTCGGTATTTTTCTTCGTTTTCAATGCCTTGATATGATCTGTAGGGTTACCGCTTAATTCTGTCAATTTTTCAGCAATACCGTCTCTGGTAGCAATAATGCCAAGCTGTGATATAGGATTCTGATCAAAAAATTCAATGACAAATTGTTGAGCATATGTCAATGTCAATTCTACGCGACTGGGTCGTAAATCTTTCTCATTCATGGCTTCTGATAAATCAATAATTACAAATAAGTGTCTTATGATACCACGTTGGATAATCGCAGTATCCTTCAATAGTCTAAATTGTTTCAAACAAAGATTCAGTCGTGAGTCCAAAATGTAAATGAACCTGAGGCTACCTTCGACGCTTTCTTTGTTGTTGTAACTGCGAAACTACACTACTTAATCGGCCTTCTGAATCTTCTTGAAGAATATCCCAACTTCTTTTATATTCTTCCTCCCAAGCATAACCGCCGGTCCCAGCATCTTCGTCCTGATTGGCATCATATGTATCATCTACGTCGATGTAATCTTCATCTGTTGGTTTTCGAGCCATTTTAGTAAAGGATTGTAAACTAGGAAAAGCACGCAGTTTTTAAAAAGATGTTCAAATGTGACTATGTTTACGACTGCTATCGACCTGAACATAATTCGATTCGCGACGACAAAACGCTTGCTGAGGATGTATTTGTTTAAACAAAACGAATCTTATTTAGTTGAAAACACATTCGGCGAGTACACTTTGCTCCAGCTACTGTGTCGTTAGGCTTAACACTGTAAAGCAGGAAAACATAGGCCGTAATACACGTTGAAGTCAAAGATTGATTTACAATCCCTGAACAGTTAATTTGTTCTTACGAAGGTATGCTGAGTATTGATTATAAATCGAGGCAATGTGTGCCTATAGGGTATATAAATATACAAGGACAAATGTCTTTCTGGTCTTAAATCATTGAAAGACACAACAATATACTACATCAGTATGAATATGATTTCGTAGAAAGCAAACAGCGTTGCATGATCAACCAGTGAACGCTTTATAGTGTTTAGATTATTCCAAGTGGAGTAGATAGATTTGGTTACTTCTAAATATCTAATTTTATATTGATTCATATCTGCATCATCAAGTTAATAGTTTTTTTGGTTTGATTTTATTGGGTATATTAAGAACTGCATACAGTTTAATTACTACTATTTCAGGACCCGGAACTTGATTTCGAGCTTGTGGATGGATGTGTTTAATATTATGAAACACGGCGAGTTGTTTTTACCAGAAATATGGCATGTACCACTGGACGTATTATCTATAGACATATCCACACTAATGACCCATGTGGGGTGATACCTAGATATGTCTACGGAATAATATCATCGTCCATGTACACACTTTTTAAATTTTAAGACAATCTCAATATATAAATCTATAGAATTATACCGAAATTTAATTACTGGAAACAGATACACAACAGCTTTTCACATCATTCCAATTGGTAATTTTTTTATGCTTCATGTGTGTCAGAAAGATAATGTGACTTCCGGACTTGATTATCAACGTTGGTTTTAATTAAAGTTTTGAATTTTAAATTTTAAAGATGCATAAATAGATGTATTCTTACCAAACTATTGTTTGTCCTAAATTATCTGACTCTATTAATAAATACTTTTAACTTGCTCTATTATTGTTTGGGAATGAAGCAACGTTTATGTAGTGGTCCATCGTCGATTAGATTTATGAAAATAACTCATTCTCCCTTTTCAAGAAGATAATTTAGCCATGTAGTTAATTCTTATAACAATATCAATTGCCAATGACAATTAATAAGAGCCAAGCAGCAAAAACGGCAAAGTGAATGTGCTAAAATTCAATTTCCAATGTCATCAGTTTATATAATGTCTTGCTTTGGGTTATTTAAGAAAATTAAGGGAACTTGTGTAAATTTCAATAATCAAGCTATAACACAACGTTCTTGACACGCGGGAAAAAGCAACCACGGTTATAGTCGGTTTATATTTTTTTCCCAACCTGCTTGTTGCCATAATTAAAGATTCGTTTTTTTTATGCACAAGGTATTATAGGGACTGCATTCAAGTAAAATCTGTAGCTCTAAAAACTCTTTAAGATATGGGGAACTTGTATGCTATTGTTTAATTTCCAATGCAATTATAGAATAAAAACAGGCTCGTGAACTGATGCCTCCATTATTTTCAGGCATAATTTTTACAATGTGAATCGGACAGGATTAAAATTATAAATAGAGTCTTTTTCTGAATTCTTCAAATATGAGCTAAATATAGACAGGTAACACAATGACAATATATTACATGGATGACGGCAACAGACCCGGATGACATGTTTGATGTTTAACATATTATTATTTATTAAGAATTAAATATTGATTACAGTAAGGGGAATATTATAAGAAGGTAAAGGAGTATTTACAAAGGAATGTTTGACTATATTTAGCATTCAATAAGTGGCAGGCTGTTTCTTCTTGTGTTTTCCTGCGTAACAAAGTCGAAAGCGCTTTCCTCTTCGTCTCGTTCCTTCTTTTGATGGTTCGTTGTCATCCCTGTAAAGTAGAGAGGTCCACTTAAATTACTTGTGTCAATAGAGAGTTTAGGGCGCTGTTGGCTGTTATTAAATTTGGATTTTTTCTTAATTAGTGGTTGTTCCATTTCTTGTGGCTTTTGAACAAAATTAATTGAAAGTGTAAAAATAAATTGTTGATCTTGCTTCTTTATGTCTGGAAACAATCCACTTCGATCATAGTCTGATTGGGACCAAGTATATACAATATTTTCAGGTTGTGTACAAAAGCTGACATGTAGTTCTCTTTTTCTCTTGCGCGAAGACACAAGACATGAGGTATTATTAGGAAGAATGGTCATTTTGATTTCTGATAATTAAAGGAAATTTGAATAATTTTTTTTGCCTCTATTTATACCAAAAAAAAAAAAATCCCCTCCTTTTTTTTGTTATTAATAGAACAAGATCGGCGAGCGGTTGAATTTAACTCTAAAAATAAAGCGTAGGAGTACCAATGCAAACCACTCCTTTTTTATATACAATACTTTAGTCTAAAATTAGACGATTCAAAAATTTTATTGGACGGTTCAGTCTAGACGTCTTTCATTTTTTTATTTTGGCTAATCAATAATAAGCGACTTGGATTAGTGCAACAATCTCATGCCAATGCCAATACAAGACCATCTTCAACTTCTTCAACAGTACCAGCATCCACCACTTTAGATATATATCTATCATCAAACACTACCAAACAATTAAAGTTGTCGCCTCTCCGAAAAGAAAGTATTGTAGATATGTTTGCCAGTTTAAATGAAGCTAAAATGTGGAGGCTATCTACAGGTACAGTCGTCGAACAACAAATGGAAATGTCTGCACTTGAGGGCAACTTTGAGCAGCAAGTATAAAACATGTATTATTTGAGATAATGATAAACCCACAAGTTTCTGTTTTTAGTCCTGTGCATTTTATAGTATTAGATGTCAGTGACGAAAGCTGGCTGAAGTGCTTTACAATTGAAGACTATGTAAAGAAACTTCGTGAGTGCCAAGACGTAAATTTTTGTCTCTGGGTACAAACATAGTAGCGTTAGAAAATGACGAAGTAAATTAAACGCAACTCTGCACTTACCGAGCATTAAGAATTATACAAGGGTAAATTCACGAAGTGAGGTAGGAGCTGATTTATACAAGTTATAAATCATGTATTTGAAAACCTTTAGCATCTTAAAAGAACCATCGTACAATGTTTTGGTTTCGTTGTCGTACCGACCACACTCAGCGTAATTGTACTCAAGTCTTTGGCAAAGGAAGAGTAAATGTAATTTTCTTCCCATTTTTTAGTCACCATTTTGTTCTCTCCAGCTATAACTCTTTGTGCATTATGACCAGCAGACGAGAACTCGCTAGCCTTTTTCCCTCTATATTAAATAAACACGGAAAATGATTAGTAAATAAAAATTATGATAAAGTTAAGCATTTATACAACACCCTCGGCAATCAGTCTTTGAATCATCAAAAGCAATATAAACAAAAACTAAATTCGGCAAAGTATGTCGCGTTGATAAGTAAGTAATTACATTTGAAGAGATGGATAGATTGGAAGATAGAGGATCTTATCCACTCGTAACCAGGATTGCTTAACTCTTGCTTCAACATTGATTTCAACACAGCATGTCATGGCACTCACAGAGTTTCTTTACATTTAGTCATTTGTGGAAGGCAAATATTCAAGTGTTTCGTTTGATAATTCTTAATTCCTTTAATTCTTTCAGGTGTAAAGTAATTCAGCTTGCACAGGACTAAAAACAAAAAGTTGTGGGTTTATCATTATCTCAGAGTAATACATGTTTTATACTTGCTACTTAAAGTTGCCCTCAAGTGCAGACATTTCCATTTGTTGTTCGACGACTGTACCTGCAGATAGCCTCCACATTTTAGTTTCATTTAGCCTGGCAAACATATCTACAATAATTTCTTTTTGGAGAGGTGACAGCTTTAAATGTTTGGTAGTGTTTGATGATGGATATGAATCTAAAGTTATGGATGCTGATACTGTTGAAGAAGTTGAAGATGGTATTGGATTGTCATTGGCATGAGATTGTTTGGTAGCGGGACACACTAATACAAGTCGCTTATTTTTGATGAGCACTGAAATATTTTCCCAATTAGGGTGACTTTTGTTCAGTGATAAGAACAATTTTAATTCAAATTCTAAACCTACATAGGTGATATTTAATTTGGCTAATATTCGCCCAATTCTTAAGCACCAGCTCGTCTTATAGACAAATAGGGATGTGAACGAAATTTATTTGTGAGCTGATAAACAAAAGCTTATGTCAGGATGATTTAGCTGTTTATTTTATCATCCAAAGTGTTAGGGCATTTACTTGGAGTAAAAACATTTGCAAAAGCCTCAAGAAAGTCAGAGTTTGGTAGTTGTCTATCAGCGCTTCAGTAGTGAAGCATATGTTATAAAAATCAAAAATTATGAAAATCGATCAACCTAAAAAAGCGGCCACGTTTGACAAATATACGGAGTTCTGTAATAAAATCCAAAAATAGAACAGAGATCAGCAACCAACTAAAGGAATGAAGAACGTATTACACATTCGGTTTTGTAAAATATTTTATCAAATTGTTCAATATGTCTGAGAAAAACGAGCATTAAAAGTGCTGACTACTAGGTATCATTGCTACCAAAAATTATAAGGTAAGTGAAAACGTGTTATATAAAAACGCTGATACAGGGAAGGATAATAAACAAGGGAGCAAGCGAGCTTATATCTAATGTGAGCTCTAACCAAGGTAACCTCATTGAGTCAGGTAATATCAGAACAACACAAAGCCTTGAACAGTGTAGGTATAATTGTGTCCACCATTCCTGTAGACAAGTAATGATTCTGGGTTTCAAGTTGTATAATTTCAGCATATGACATCCTTCTATTGACCGTCCACAGCGTCGTGCGTTGGCACTAGATCTTCCATTTTTTTATTATAAATATAGACAATTGGTGTTTTAGCATTGCATCTTAAATTAGCGGATAAAAATACATTTTTGTTTAGGACACAAATAAATAAAATGTTTTTAGAAGTCGGTGATTTTAACACAGCCAAGCTAATCTTGCTTAATAAAGTTCATACCTTTAGTACTTAAAAGCAATATTATGCAAAATTATTGCGTATAACACAGTGATTAAAACTATTGGGTTGGTTCCAGATACCAGCAATGTTTATATCATTAATAATTCAAGTATCTCGAACAGCTCACTTTATGGTGGGAACAACAATTGTTAAATAATAATTCATTGTGTCATAGTTTGTCTTTCTGCAATGCACGTTCAAGTTTAAATGTAAAAAAATTTATTGTCCCTAAATATAATTCTACTAAAAATCAGAATATTTCGAACAAAGAACATAATTGTCATAACTGACAAATCCGTGCAAAACATAATTCATTATGCTGATAAAACAATGAAGGAAGACGAAGGCAAAGTCATGTTTTTTAATCTTAATTTTTGATGAGGTAACATACATTTATTTCTTCTTGTTTGTATTTTGAGAAAGTAACTGACGGTCTTATACATGATAAAAATGTGAATATGTACCAACAATATCGAAGAAGGTCTCCTGTATTACCGGGAGCCTGTTATGTATGTGATGTATTGGGCTTCGATGAAGTATACTGCAAGTTTAACATAGGCCTCTTTGTTGGGTGTTGAGCAACAAAATTCTCATTTGAAGCTATGATCCATACGATTTAACTTATTGTATTAAAGGAAAGCATCATCAATTGGCTTAATTGAAGCTGTGCATCCAAACCTTAAAGCGCAAATCTCTTGGCATTAAAAGCGTTCCAAGGGTAAACTACAGCACATTCTAAGAATATTAATGATGCATAATTTCTGCGAAAGTAGGTTCTTTTTTATTGTGTATCTGACATGCAAAATGTTCATCTTTTGCAAGGTGCATGTATTATTATCTTATGCTACAGTTTTCTTCTAAACACAAAACGTACCTAAAAAAAACATTATGAAGTACCTAGTAATAGTGTCAATAATGTTATATCAGCACAACACTGAGTGAGATGACTATTTTTTGATAAGTTTGCGAATGTTACGTGGCGATAGTATACTTCGTTGGAATGATTAGAGTTATAGATAAATTGGCGGAGTCTGGGTGTTTTAGAGTGTAACCTAAAAAATCATAGATGTAGACGTTTCGTCTTTAGAGTATACAATCGAAGTACTTGTTTATTTTCCTTACATGATCATTCGAAATTATCAATAGACTTAGCGATTTCCGAACCATATACGAACTTTACTATAGTGACAATAACATTATGCGGCATTTTTATACATTAATGCCATTTCCTCGGTTATTTCTAGTGTCTAATAAACATTCCAAAAAAAAGTAACGAAATCAGTTGTAGGAGAGATTCTAGTTGAAGTATAAACATTTTTACAATATAGCGCTTGATTCCAGCTAAGTTAAAAGTTTTCTTTCCCCTTCTTATTGGAAACCATTTCTCCCATATAATTGACACTCGGTAAAATAGGAGAGATGACTCACTTCTATCCCTCGAAGATTGTTATGATTTATTAAGATCGTAGATACTATGGCATCCATAAGTGTGTGACTATTAATCTGAAAAAACCTCTCTATAAAAACATTGCCATGAATCTTTTTATGATGTATGTAGGTATAAGTTGTCACTCGAAAACATTGACAGGATCACAGACGTTAGACAACCCCCGGAGTTCCATACCTACATTCTAAAGAAATGAAAAGAAGGAGACCTTAACCCATCATTGCTGACCTCTTCATACGATAGAAAGAATGTCTATGAAGTATTTCAAGTTAGAAGCTAGACGTAACTATGAAGGTCTCAAACTTTCTAAAATTTAACAAACAGTCGTACTGTGAATAGACTTCGAACTAGGATGCGTTAAGTCTCATAAATGTATCACTAATTTTTCAGAATTTGGCCCAATTTTACTCATCGTGGTGCTAAACAGGTTGACAATATTGTTGCACTCTCGTTTCGCTGAGATAAATTACCAAATCACACTAAATATATGTTTTAATAACAGTCTGAAATGCTTTTATTTTTAAAATATCATTAATAAACTGAAGGTAATGACCGGTAACAGTACCTTTAGGAATTACCGATGCTGTATTTCTAGGCTAATTATGCTTCATGACTCATGTCATCTTTATTTTACATTTTATGGATCAACTGATACTCTAAATGCCGCTAATGCAACGTTACGGTATGAGAGGCCTCTCTCACAGTAGTTAATTTTATAACAGACTTTGTTTCTGGACGTAGAACGGTTCATATTTGTCGAAGCATTCACCAAGGAAGACATTATAATGCATGAAATTCATCCCTTATTAGCAGGTCATTATTAAAAAAATTTGGCACGAGTTCCCAAGTTTTTTTCTATTTCCGGCGCCCATGTGACGCATGAACACTTCCATACTGATGTTGCAACTCTGCATTTCTTTATTTCTAGACATTCAAGCTTTCTGTCAGACTTCAACCGCGTTTTTTATGACAAGTTTTGTGCTATTTATTCAGGTCTATTTAACGCACGGGTTTTTTTTTTTTTTTTTTTTTTTTTTTGAAAAAAACGTTATTATGTGGTTTTTGATAAAAAGAACGTTTTTTTACTTTCTTACAGTCGCATAGTTGATGTTAGCAGACCTGATGGCTTCAAAAATCTCCATGAGCTTTTCCGAATAGAATAAAAATAATGTAAAAAATCTCATTTCTTAAAATAATCATGGATAGTTTTTTGCTGATTCTGTTCTGTGTGTCAATGTTTTAGTGTTGGTCATTACAGTATCATTACTTTAAATTCAGACAAATGCAAATTATCTTCAGACAGACTTATAATTGTTTTCAGACAAACAGAAATATATTTCGGACAGTCGTAAAAAGATTTTCAGACAAATGTTAAAGATAATCAGCAAAGATATCCATCCCAGTCTATACAATTTTTGTCACAAAGAATTCGAAAGGACGTCAAATTATTTTCGAACAATATTCTCACGATTTAAGTGAAAAAAAGAGAGTATGGAGGTACCTACAAAGGTTCCTACACTTGTGCAGATAATTGATATGGTCTACTTGTAATTTAATGATAAAGGGAATGATATTTGGGTAGGACATATCCGAGGAAAAGAAGACAATGACAGAGAGTATGGCATAGAAAAAACTTATGGCGGTGAAAAAGAACAGGTACATGATCCTAGACTATGACTATTCAATCAAACTTTGAGACAGCCAGGACTCACTCAGTAAATTTTGTTTGATACAACTTATAGTATGAATAATTTATATTTATATAAAAAACTAAAGCTAAAATTGCCTCATAATAAAAGAACTCAACAGAAATATGTATTTTTATATGCATCGGCAATAGCTTTATTTTTTTTTTGTTTACTTTTTATAATTCCTAACACTAAGCTATTGACGTTTGTTAAATCAACGTAATAGCTGATCTTTTAAATATGCATCAGCTGACGCAGTAATCCACTGTTTTAATCCCATAATAGAAGGCCGCTTTATCGTACCGTTGATGGCTTCTTCGAATGATATGTTATTGTGTAAAACCCGCCCAAGATAGTCAGAAAATACAACTGGATCCATATGTTCATTTTCCACAATAAAGGTTAAGCTTGAATTAACGGTATTAATATTTGGCAAAATAATGTAATCTCGAGTGATCGATTGGTCCCAAATTACATCCTCTTTAATCATCTCCGCCAATGCATCGATTCGGCTGTATATAATGTTTACATTGCTTACAGCTTTCTTAATTAATTCACCAAAAGTTAGTTTGAAGTCTGGTACTTCAAGGATACGTAATAGTGGAAGGGTGACGTCAAAATATGGAAAGTTCTCATACTTTCCTTGAATGGTGTCATTACAATATCTTTTAAAACCAGAGCCAAAAGTAAAATCCATGTCACTTGGTATAAAAATGAATTGACCGCTTTGTTTCAAATTTGAAAACAGGAAATAGTTGGTCTGGCTGGCGATGTACCCATCATTATTTCCAACAATTACTTCGAGTGCCAGACTATGATTTGGTGTTAGTACCAATGAAGTGTTTCATCAAAGCATGTATACCTCCTCAATACACTGTCGATATCAATTTTTTGGTTCCACGCAGAAATGGATTTAGGAATGGGCGTCATGGCCAAAAACTCGGTTAAAGATATTAACTGCTGGAAATCAGATGGAGCCTTTTCGCCATTTCTCGAAGAAACCTCTTTTATTTGATACTGAGGTTGATGAAATACATCCCCTTCTTTAATATCGAGGGATGCTATATCAGTGATTGGTGACAGAGATGCGTTATGATTTCCAGCGTACAGAGTCCCCTGAGTATAATCCTGGCTACCGTCATTGAATTCATTTACTATCCACGGGTTTTCCAAATCCTCTTGAACTCCAAACAATCCATACGGCTTATCGTTAATAAAGACTCTATTGTCATACATAAACACTTAATCAGTTACATGAAGCGGTTGTATGCATGTATACACAAATCTTACCTGGCATATGAAAATCCTGATCCTGCCAATCCAAATGATTTAATCAAATCATTTGATAGTTTTTCACGTAAATAAGAAGGATCCGTAACAAGTGAACGTAGCTTTATTTTCTGAAATCCAAATAACTCATTGCCTTTTCCCAAGTTAATTTTGTATGACCCTTTGGGCGTCATTTTGGTACTTCTGCCAGCCAATTTGATGTTTATTCTTACTATACTTTGAACATAGTTTAATCTGCCTTTATGTTAGAAAACATGATTAAATATAATGCTATCGTCATCAATTACCCAATATATGTTAGATTCAACTCAATTTTTGTTTTTAAAAATACGTTGGAGTGCATTTCGCGAACGCCTGCTTCATTTCCATATAAGAAGAAGGTAGGAATTTGACCATCTTGGTGAATGTCTGTGTTTATTCTATGTATAGAGGCCAAAGGTTCAAATAGTTGCGGATAAGCCGGGATAGGGTGGATATTAGTTGATCTACCATAAAATTCGTTTAAGGTGTTTTCTTTTGTCGGAAATCGAGAGAAAGTTTCAGTATCATAAATTTTACTGGAGTTTATTTTGGTGTATCTGTAGCCTTTGAGCGCAGATGGTGCAACACCTGTAAAAATATATGGAGTTTCTTCTGAGACGCCCAACATAAAAGGAGTTGGTATTTCATCAATGATAACGCCCATATCGGCATTTTTCATGTCATGGACTACTACAGAGTAAGTAATATTATGACATATAACTTGTGCTGTTGCGATTATAGCAGTCCATATGATTAAAACTATTTTTAAAGACGAGCATTAGTATCAAGAAACTATTTAGTTGAATTGTAGACGCACATTTTATAATTTTCATTATACAGAGATTTGTTCGAACTAAGATAAAACAAATTGAAGTATTGTTTTATAAATGAAACCAACATGTTTACAGGTTTGTTTATCCAATACAGTCATAAACTGCATTTGGTAAAGTGTCAATTTCATTCGCTGATTTTTATATGTAATACGATTCTATATAAAAAAAATTATGTTGAAAAAAAAACTGGTTATTATCGTTACAAACAGACATCACCCTAATAAAAAAAACTTACCAGCTACAGATATACACGGCTTGATAAATTACGTTCTAATAGTATCAAAATGCTTTGATATAGGTTGGGCCGTTAGTAAGTAATGCGTATAACTTATAAATATCCCAAGAAAGTGCCTTTCCAAGTATCATCATATTTTTTTTAAAAGATTGGGGTGCAGTTTGAAAATGTAAACCAGAACTGCATCAACGGAGTACATTGCATTATAGATATAATGTATCTATTTCACACTTACTTATATATTGCTGAATAATTCTATTTCTCTTCGCATGCATAACTCTGTACATATCATATATGTATGCTAGTATTACTGTTGAGGGACCACATAAAAAGTTGAGAAACAACTGTTTATTAAAAAAATTAATATAACCATCTACATATGATTAGTAGTGTAAATTATAAGCGGTCATGTACTCCATTATTGCTGAAGCATAAAGTTTACTAAAAATCCAACAAGAAAGTCCCGTAATACGATCACAGATTTATCCATGGGTTACTTATGTGTTTATCTTAGGTATCTTAGAAAGTAAAAAAATAAAAAATACATAAGTATTCTACTG